GAATGACCGCATGCCTTCGATGATATCGAGTCGTCCACATGCTTCCAAGGGTTCATATTTGCAATTCCCAGAGCGGAGCCCTCGAAAACGGCCAGGGAGCTGCTCGGGATCTCAACTCCATCTGAGCCGAGTCTGGAGGGATGTTGAAGGTGTTGGCCTAGCCGATGAGAGGAGCACGAGGGAAGGCGTGCGTATCAACTGGGAGGGGTAGGTCTTGCGACTGCTCCTCATCCCTGGCAAGACCTAGACACGGGGGTGTCAACTTTCAAGATAGCGGTGGAACAGGCTTATCCGCACCCCAGAGCTACAAGCATTAGCCGCTAAAGCGCAAGACAGGACAGGCATTAGGCTTCACGAAGTAGGCTTTTGGCTCTTGCAGGCAGCTGGCACCTGCTGCAGGCTCCGCTCCCAAACCATGGGGTTCGAACGCAACCGTTTGCACTACTGGGGACAGATCAGACTCGCGCACACAACGACGCATAGGCGCTCATGCTGATGCTCACGGACTCTTACCGTGACATGACAGCAGCAGCAGGTGGCGGGCAGAGAGAATACTGGTAGAGTTTTTGAACGATGGCGCACCACGTAAAGAACCACAGAAAGCCGTTTCCAATCTTCAAGCCGAAGTGGCCTCATGGGAACCACACATAACCCCTCCTGGCCCGCAGTTGTTTGCTACTTTGAGGTCATGTACCGAGATGTACTGGCTGGGGTTAAGGCATGAGACTGGGATGAGAGCTCCTCGTTAGATCGGCAACTTCTGGCAATGATCAATACTTGATACCTCCATGCTCGTCCTCGAACCTACTCCACAACAAGAAAGATTTGACGAAGCCTAAAGGTTAGCTCTTGCTAGGATAACATACAGTAGATATCGCGTTTTCCGAGACAATTGCAATTGTGTTATTATGAGTGCAAGACGTGGACTCGACAGCTGCTCTCGAGTATGCGATGTCAAGAGCTCGTGACAACCACAGATTGACGTCTTCGAGCTCTTCAGATTCGTGGTCAAAGAAGACTGGCTGGCGCAAAGCCAGCCATCTTTTAGCAATGGAACCGTCTCAAACAATAAACGCCCTCCCTTTATTCGTATTGATTCAGACTGTCTGATTGCTTCAAGAACTGAAATCTTTCAAAGGACTTCTTCTTCGGTCAAACTGTTACACAAGTTCTTCTTCTGCCTCGGAAGCATCTCGATATGTGACACTCTTATCCCTTGTCTCGAATGCAAGATTGATCCTCGACAACGCCTACCGCCTCGCCACGACGCAAGGGGGCTGGCCATAGAAATACAGTAGAAAAGTCTCGCACATCGCATAAGATGCTGTTAGAGGCTTCAGAAGCACAACAATCAAACTGAAGTGGAATGACTGTGTAGCTTTTACCATATGATTGGCTTCCAGGCGTTTTATTTGATGAGCCTCTTGTCTCATCTGACCTCCAATAGTCCGTGAAAGGGTGCGTCATCAAGTAAGTTACCTCCGAGGACGTAAACTCTGAGTAGACTTTTGCAAGCCGTAAGTTAGCTTGTTTCTAGGACATGGGACATGAAGGATTTCCCAAACAGCCTTCCAGATAAGGGAAGTCTGCCTTATAGTCCAGAACATCCTCGTAGCGACCAGAGAGCGAACTGCTCCTCACATTATTGTTCGTGGCGTTAGAAGTCGATGCTGCGATCTCGTGAATCTCGTGATCTGCGCGGAGCAGTGGAGATCTTTCAAGCATGTCACTGCGTCCATGCGGCTCCCCGCGAATACATGGTTCCAAAGCCAAAACCCAAGAAGAGCTTGAAGACTTGTCGAAACCTGTGCTCGGAAGCTCTCGACTTCTGATCCGTCTTCAAAATTAGAGAGCACACCACTTTCTGGTTCTCCTTCTCGATCAAGACATGTCAGCCATGATTCACGCTTGTCTTACTCCTCCTGTTGAGGAATCATTGGCAGTACGTGACCCACGTATTCGAACAACCTCACCGCTCTTGATACCCCTGCCTTCCGATTCTTTTCTTCTCTTGTTTTCTTCCACTCCCGGCAGCGGTCCCTGCAGCTCCTTCAGAGACATCTGGCCTTGCTGTGCGCCAGCAGACTTGCATGCATATGCAGAGCGGCTACGCACAGCTCGAACATAGCCAATCATTGCTACCAAAAGGCTCAAGAGGATGATGGGCGTCAGCAGGGGAGCCTTAGCCTGTTTCACGGGTTCAGCAATAGGTGCCTCAGGCGCTGGATACACAAATGGAAGCTTTCACTCCGGCCCTCATTATTAGCATCAAACTCAACGAGCAAGCGAGCATCACCAAGCAACGTCCTCAGACCTCGATGGCAAATCGAAGAAGAGGTCTGAGGTTTTGAGATGTCGGGCAGATCATCTTGGTCAGCCACCTTACGCTTTAACGAAGCCGTTCAATGAGCACGCCGATCAGTGTAATCCCGTGGTTGTTGTAAGGTTACCCCAATCACCATGGACCACGTCGACGTCGAGCCACCTTGTCCTCGTTCCCCTCCATCGGCCCTCGTTCTGGCGTCTCCGTAGGGTTGAGCTTTAGGCTGTCCGCGCCAAGGTATATTTTAACGCAGTACAGCGGCCCCGCCAAACCAAACCCCACCACCAAAGAGGGGAGGGAACGAAAATGCTCGAATGCTCGCAGCGCTCGCAGCGCAGCCTTGTCGTAGTAGTGGTGCAGCGTGGTGGGGTTTGAAGCTGCCGAGCGAACCATAGCAAGCGGGAGTATAGCCCTGATATCCGGTGGGTGGAGACCAGGACCAGACTGCATCGCCAGTTGATGCAGGGCCTGCTTGCCAGAGGAAGAAATTCTCATAGGGCGGATCAGTCAAGAGATTGAGAACAGAGGAGAAGAGACCCAAAGCAGACACTACAGTACTCTACGTAGCGAGCGAGCGACCTACCTCCTCAACATGCAAGCGCGGTAACGGTCCGTCTACATCAAACAAGGATGGCAGCTCTTGGCTGAGACTCCCATGGCTTGTGGCGCTGGTTCAATCAAGATCTTGAGAGCCGTAAGCAGAACACGCAACGCACGACATTCTCGAGATGATAGGTGTACCGCCGTATTATGGGAGGATAATTTATACGGAGTAGGCAACCAGTAGATTTCATTGTGCAACAGCAAGTATAACGTAGTTGCCCTGACCGAGTCTTTGGGCCTGAACAACCGCAATTGAAACAGAAGCCGCGATTAGAGCTAAAGAGCAATTATCGCTGGGTGCTAAGCCATCCTGTGATCTGAGTTTCCAGGCGTCGTCGATAGGGAGGAATTCGGAATTCAACGAGCTTTAAGCGAGTTTGTTGGTGGATTGTGGCTTCCTGAGTGGTGCACACCGCTCTTCCATCGAATCCACAGACGGCAGGTACAGAGTACTTACTGGTCTGGAATTTGGACGGAGCACGGAACGGACGTGTCTTGTGAGATAATGAGATGATGGTCAGATAATGACGAGATAATGGCCGAGTCATGGATCTCATTCGTAACTCTTCATGGTGGCTCGCGTTGTCGGCTTGAGCAATCCCGCTCGTGGATGGTGCAACAGCCAATGGAAGATACCTACCTAGGATGGCCGGAACATCCACCGGTTTTAAACACGGGCTGGATGGATAGTTCTCGCCCTCCTTGTCTTTGTGGCATGCATGGAACAAATCCAGAATGAAAAATGAGCCATCTTTCTAGGCTGTAATATTGTTTCTTCAAAGCAAAGTGCAAATACAGCAATAGCTCTTGACACCATAGTCCATTCCAAGTTTGCAAATCACAGTAGGAGCTCTAGCTGTTGACGGCTATAGGCCTTGTCACGTATTTACAGGAATTAAATTCTGACCCCACCTGGTCCTAGTTAGGTGGGTTTGCGGCGTGGAAAACCAGGAAGCCATGAAAGGAACGGCTTTACCCGTTTCTTCGGAGGCATTTTGAGCCTGTCGATGTTCTCGTACCGTCACATGGACGTTGTCTAACTTTGCGACTGAACCATAAACGAAACCGTGCAACACTCGTGTCCCAAAAGATACAGAACCAACTCGGTTTTATATTGCACTTGCATGAGTGGCAATCTCTCAACTATCATGTACAACATCCTCGAACCTGGTGGAGAGGCTAGGCTTCTCCTCGGATAAGTCGATGAGCACATTGAAATGTTTGCTTGCTTCGTAAACGCAGGTGGAGGAGGAGTCTTGTATGGTTGTGTGGGTGGGTGAAGATGAATGTAAGATAACGAGAGATGCGCGGGACATGCAGAAAAGGCTGTCCTGGCTGCTTGAGCAATGCAGCAGCTCTCACGCACGACATACTTGCGTTGCTTCTGCCTCGATCAAGGCAGATCTGACAACGATGGTGCAGAAAGCCGGTGCCTGCAAATGCGGCTGCGTGCATTGCCTACCCACCATGGAAATTAGAAGTCCAGCCCCTTGTACTTCCGTACCTTCATAAATACTTCATTGCTTGAAGAGAACGGAAACATGACGCGGTCCCGAGAAGGAATATTTCTGCCGCTGTGAGCTGAGCAAAAGGGTACGTACATCGGATGGTGTTTGGACAATGGAGGCTGGGGGCTGGGGGCGGGGCTGGGCTGTCAGGAAGCAGATCCAAGGATCCTGTCATGGAGATATTTGATTTGGAATGGCAACTGGGAAGGGATGGGGATGTACAGTATGTCTGTGCTCTGCTCTTGTTGATCCTCTGAATCGAGGGATGCATATGCAACCTCCACAGACCTCAGGCAAATGTAATGCATGGGGGGCCAGAGTGAAGAAGTGAAGTGAGTGGTGTTGTACAGATGAAATCGAAACAGGTTGATCGCGCGAAGTCTCGTGCCGACGTGGTCGCTTTGCCCCGCCAACGTCTTTTTTGCCCCACCCGTCGCGTCGAACAGCATTTGCAACGACCTACAATGGAACAACCGTATCGCATCTAATCCGCTTCAGCTCGATAGGTCATGGCAGATAATTCTTGAATATAGCTTCAGTTGTGGCGCAACATACCGCCATTCAACATGCCGCCGCCGAAGTCCACAATACCGCCTGCCGCACAGCCAAAGTATTCCGCATTCTTCGGTGCATGGAACTCATCGTCGACAGGACATCAAAGGGCAGAGAACACTCTAGGACACTCAACAGGATGGAGACAATCTAGGAATATGAAGCTTTCACACCAGTTCAAGAGCGGCGATAGTGGAGGGAAACGAGTCTCTGATCAGGTCGGCGCAGGCTCTGAGCATTGGGATGACAAGGCTAAGGCTTTGATAACGAAGGAAGTTAGAGAGCGGGCAAGATGCAGCGTGGCAGATATGGTTACTGGAAAATATCTCTGCGAGAAAGGAACGGGTACGATACTCCAATCGCAATTAGGCAAATGTAATACTAAGGTGTGGAACAGCAATGTTAACGAATGAAGAGAAGTTAATGGCACAGAGGAAACAAGAGGATGACCTAAAGGAAGAGGAAGAGCTGAACCGCAAAAAAGGGGTCTTCGACGGTCTTGTGATCTATGTCAACGGAAGCACGTATCCTTTGATATCAGATCATAAGCTCAAGCATGTTCTTGCCGAGAATGGAGCCAAAATGTCGCTTCATCTTGGGAGACGGCAGGTCACGCATGTCATCTTGGGAAAGCCTTCTGGTACCTCGGGGGTAGGAGCTGGTGGTGGTTTGTCTGGAACTAAGATGGAGAAGGAGATCCGTAGAGTCGGAGGCTGTGGAGTCAAATATGTCGGAGTTGAATGGTATGTTATCTTTTTTTTTAGAACCCACTGTTTTTACAGTCGTTCCGCAATTAGGACTACGACTGCCTATAAAGGAAGGAAGTCATGTATACATCTAGAATACGCGTGTCTTACACTGTACGCTCAAGCTAACACGATTGCAGGGTCCTCGAGAGTCTCAAAGCTGGCAAACGACTTTCCGAATCGCCATTTTCGAATCTCAAAATTGCTCCCAAAGGACAGAAGAGTGTCTACGGAATGTTCAAGAAAACCAATAGCACGGGATCTACAGGAGATTTCGGCTCTGGTTTTTGAGACAAACGCAAAGCAGCGTTTAGCCTCTGAGCTGAATGCTGTGAATGCTGCATGTGTGCGGAGTTGCTACTGTAAAACAAACGGCTGGATTTAGTCTTTCTCTTCTGATAGACCACTAGGTGTCTCATATGCACGTGTATGATTGATGCACTATTATGTTGGTTTGGATAGGTAGGGATTCAGGTCAACGGCGCGTGCGGTTTTGCTTGGGAGCATGGGAGCATGGGAAGCATGGAAGCATGGATGTATGGATGTATGGATGTATGGAGGCATGGAAGCATGGAAGCATGGGAGCATGGGAGCATGGGAGCATGGGAGCATGGGAGCATGGGAGCATGGGAGCATCGAAGCATCAAATGGGTATGGAAGGCAGCATAGGATAGGTGCATTGCATGCGGCTTAAGCATAAGATGAAGTTGTGATGGTCTACAAGCTTTTGTCACTACCAATATTGAACACCACGGGAGTCGACTGACAGACGCAACAACACTGAAAAACCAGAGCACTCACATTTACAGAGACATAATAATTTTATAAAAGGCCATGAACTGGTTCTTGAAAATTGTTACCAAGCGTAGTAGATGACCTCCATGCTGATTGCTAGCTACAAGTTTGCTCTCCTTAAATCCTTGTCCAGGGTTGTCCTTAGTAATTTGCTTGGTTGGCTAGTGAACTTGTGAGGCGACGCGGGATCCCGAACATCAACACCAAAATCAACATCGGCATTTTCTCCAATACCAACGCAGATTCACCTTCGATCCCCAACATCAACGCTTCCGCGAATAATGATCAACGGAATTTGGAACCAGGTATCATCTACTATTGGCATGGCATCGCCGTTGACCGATGCCAGAGATAACGCGCTCAATTCTGCGAGTCCTAGGAGGAATCAGAATCTTCAGGAGTACGAGGTCACGATGGAGTCCACAAGAAGCGATAGTCCACCCTCGTCACCCTTTGTTCCGAATGTGTCATCAGACTCGTTGGAAGAGCGCGAAAATCTCTCACCTATCAAAACCTCTCGACTCTCAGCAAAAAGTCCAATTGGCCGGGAACATACCTCCCCTTTAAAGATGCTAAAGAGTCGCACATCACCTACGTCAACATCGCGGTCTCCCCGCAAAGACCAATCGCCCACAAGAAGTCCGCGAAAGCTCTCATCGCCAGAGAAAAGATTCCCCGTTAAACCTTCATCGCCAATCAAAGTCGCACCTTCGCCCGTCAAAATGGCCTCGCCCGAGAAACATACTACAGTTATGGAGCAGAGCCTCAACATTGAGGATGTTTTGAGAGACAACGAGGGTCTTACGAAAGCAATTGAGATACTGGAAGACGGGGATAGCGACGATGACCAACCTTCGGACAATACAATGTTGACGACTGTCGGCGGAGGCCAGGGACATAATGAAGAAGTCAGCATGGACGACACGATGGTCAGCACATTCAGCGAATTTTCCGCTGTCCCAGATATGACTATGTTTGCAAAGATAGGACATAGTCCCACGAAATTCGCTGAATTAGGACCTACTCCAAGACGACCTCAGATGAACACTCCAGCGACTCTTCGGCGACCAGCAACGCGTGATCGATCTCCATCTCCCACACCTAGAGGTCACAGTTATGGAAGGAGTAAAGATGAGGGAAACACAACGAATCTGATTCTTGACTTCACTGAACAATTCAATGGATTCGCAGGACGCGCACAAGGTCAATCTCCGACAAGACAGGCAAGACAATCTCCATTAAAGAGCAGCACGATGCCAGACCTCTCTTGGGCATCAACCCCCTCCGTGAACAGACACACCATGTCGAATCTTCTAGACTTCGATATTCCTCCCGCGCCTACACCAAGAAGCCTGCCTTCAATAACACCACGAGAACTCGAAAGTCTCAAGTCGAACTTTTTGTCGGAAATCAGCAGTTTAAAAGCTTCTCTAAGCGGGAAGGAGGCCGAGGTCCAGTCTCTGAAAACTGCTGTTGGGGATGCCGAGAAACGTGTTGGAGAATGCATGGAACAGGTTCGCGAGGAGAGGAATCTCAAGGAACAACTGGCAGCTGACAAGGAAGACTGGGAGAAGCGGGGTAGGGAGATGGAAGCTGTTCTGAGAAATGTAAAGGAGGAAATTGTACATGGGGAGCGGGAGCGTGATGAGCTAGAGGGACGGTTGGAGGAGAGTGAGAGGAGGAGGGAGGCCGCTGAGATCATGGCACAAGAGGCCGAGAGCAAAATGGCTGCCATGAAAGCAGGAAAGACGCCATCCAGTCCAGGACACAGTAGCTCCAAGTCCGGGGAATGCGGTTGTGGAGGGCGAGCTGTTGAAATTGCTGTTGAAAAGGTATCCAGAGAACTACATACCTTGTACAAGGAGAAACACGAGACGAAGGTTTCAGCACTGAAGAAGAGTTACGAGCGTCGCTGGGACAAGAAGATCATGGAGCTCGAGAACCAAGTTGAGGACCTCAGCAAGGAGAACGAGGAGCTGAAACTCGGACGCGACACAACTATGACAAGAGTCGAACCCAAGAGCTCTCTAGAAGTCACACAAGATCTCGAGAAAGCAGCAGCTCGAGATGCAAAGACGAAAGAACTTGAGGCCGAGCTTGAGGGTCTCGCGCAAGAGATAAAAAGTGTGAAGCATGACAATAACGACCTCCGTAAGCTCTTAGACGAAGAACGAGTTGAGAAGAGCAAGCTTGTCCAAGCTGTTGACGAGATGATACCTCTTGTAGCAGCGTTCGACGACATGCTCGCCAACATGGACTCAGCCCCAGCAAACCTCCCAGAGTCCGCACCAGCTCCGCCGACTCCAAGCCAGAAACACTCCAGTGTCGAAAACCTCCGCGGAAGCATTTCCAGAGCTTCAGGCCTTCGAGCACCAACTGGTATTGCTAAGCCAGGAGAGAGCCGCATCGGTCGAGGTGGCTTTGGTGCACCTGCTCCAGCTGGGAGCAGTCGTGAGAGAAGCGGCAGTGGCCAGGGTGGTAACCGTCCAGGCAGTGGAATGGGATATCGCAGCGGTATAATGAGCTCCATCGAGAAGATGGGGAGCTACAAGGGGAGAGGGGAGTGAGAGGTTTGTGGTGAACGAGGTGATACTGGGAGTTTCTTTTGTTTTTACGAATCATGAGTGCTCGTATTAATGTTGGGACTGGTGTTCTGCGTCGAATTGGTTCGATTCTGGGGGCGCCATTGGCAGAGGCCTGTGTGGACGCTTTGTATATGTGGATAGTCCTGATAGTCCAATGAATCAACGTGGACTGCGGTCTCTGGTTGTCTGATTTTTGTGAGCTTCCCACATTGTTTCAACCGGCAATATCCTCTCCTATCGACTGTGTTCTCAGATTGCTCAAAACAATGAATCAGGCACATCACATTTGATTATTTTTGAGTCCGTATCGCCTCAACACTGCCCTGCCAAGCGAAAACATCAAGGAGTTGCAGGAAAATGTATGTTTACAATCTCAGCTTTCCACTGCTCTTAAATATTGGCCATCAATCAAGATATGGTACAGATAATTTTTCCCTTCGTGGCATTCTTCTCCATCAATTGATGCGCTTCGACAACCTGTTCCCATGGAAAGACCTTTTCGACGAAGATCTTGAGTGTACCATCCTCGAATTGAGGGAGATATCTATGTCCAAATGTCAGCAAAGCTTTATGTCTCTTTGCAACGTCCCTCCATTAACACCGCATAAAAAGGACGAAGGGGGTGGAATTCAATACATACTCCTCCAATTTATCCCTCAATTTCCCCTGATACTCCCCATCCCGACTCCTCAGACTGCTCCCCTCAAATCGCAACCTCTTCCTCACAAACGCACTGATATCCACACCCGCCGGTAACTTCCCACCACTCATCAGTCCCAGATTCACAATTCGTCCATCCTTAGCAGCCACGTCCAAGTTCCCCTGGAAATAGCTCTGTCCAACATAATCAATCACGATATCGACGCCCTTGCCGTCCGTAGCAGCCAGGATCTCCTTCGCCCAGTCTTGAGTCTTGTAGTTGAAGCCGGCCGTGGCGCCGATGGACTTACAGAAGTCAAGTTTCTCCTGTGAAGAAGCTGTGGCATAGATGACGGATGCGCCGGCGAGTTTGGAGAGCTGAATTCCGGCGATGGAGACGGACGAGGCGCCTGCGTGCCAGAGGATGCTTTTCCCTTTTGTGAATTCTCCGATGAGGTACATAGCTTGGGTGGCTGTGATCCAAGTCTGCATACAGATTAGTATTCGGAAAATCCTTTAAGAAGTTCCAACTGCTGGAGTGGATTTACCTCCGGCACACCAGCGGCCTCCTCCCAGCTTAGATGATCGGGCTTCTTCAACAACATCCTAATGTCCACCTTGATAAACTCGGCATAAGCTCCACCATAGGCTAGACCAAACACCGCATCACCCTTTTTAAACCCCTCCTTCCCTCCGTCGCCTTCTCCAAGATCCTCAATTGTACCGCTGAACTCGACGCCAAGGATTGGCCCTGCTTGAGGTGGTAAGGGATAGTGACCTTCTCTTTGTAAGAGATCCATTCGGTTGAGCCCGAATGCTTTGATTTTCACTACAGCATAGCCAGCAGAGATGGTAGGTTTGGGGATTTGGTCGTTGATGAAGAGAGATGTGGCGGGGCCGGTTTTGTTCTTAATGTCTATAATTTGTATGAGATCAAAGCTCACATGGTAAGAGATAAGATATACTCACCGACTGCACGCATTGTGGCCATTTTCGCAAGTTGATGGTGGTGATAATGATATTCGGAGCTTCAATGCGGGGTACGTTGAACTATAATTGCTTAACTCTTGGTGTTCCGGGAAGAAAATTTTGAGCATTCGATGTTTAATCAAAGGAAGGCCTCAATCTGAATAGTATCCAGCTTTGTACAAAGCGTTAGAGGTTCGGTCAAAAAGAGAAGTGAAGTAAATACTCGAAGGTGGAGGGGTTCGGATGACGACAGCGGGGTAGCTCGGCTTTGCTTACAAACTCGGGTGCCATGAACAATCTTCCAACTTCAGACTTCAGTGCAAGGGACTGACTTTCATCTTCAAACAAGCAATAGGCGAATCCACAGTGCCGTGACTCTGGGTAATTTCTTTTTCTGCTGCATCTCATGTTGAAAACTTTGCTTGCGCCTGGATTTTCTGTTGCCAGCATCTTCACAGCTCCCTTTTCAAATTAATTCAGGATACACAGTGTTCTCAAGTGCTGATATTGAAACACATTGACTGTGTCCAAATTCTTTTTCATTTGTCAATATTGGGACTGTTTCTCTCTTTCCTGGTCTTGACGTTCTCTCTCTTGTAAACCAAAAATGTACCTTATCATCGGGATTGTGCTGGGAAGTGCTCCCTGATGCTTTTGAATGGACATGAGGCATTCAAATAGGTGCATTATTGATCAACTACTTTTTGGAGAAGTTGTAGAAAGCAAATGGCACTGTTGTCGGAGGTAAAAGTCAACGCTACTGGCGCTCAAGTACTCAAAGCGCTGTGAGCGCTCACAGCGTCACCAGCCCATTCACACAAGTCTATGTTGCGAGGGATGAAGTGAACATTCCCAAGTATACTTAGACTTTTTCAATTGCCATTCACACAATGACATAATCTGGGGTTGGAATCTATAAAAAGAACAGACTATGACTGCAATTGCTGTCTTTCTTTTGACCATAAAATAAGGCGTTGATTGCAATTCCGTTCAAGTTCGTCTCGGATTCAACATGCTGGACGTCTACTTCAGGCAGGAAAGGTAAAACAACGTCAGTTCAGATTCAGTCTTGTAGCAGACATGTAGAAGGAAGGGTTCGAAAACAGGGGGGTGGCAGTAGTATAGAACTTGACGACAGAGACTCGATTTTACTTGGAGAATTGCCTATGCATGCTTCCTATTCAGACATAATCAAGCTTTTGATTTGGAGCTTAGCAACTTCTCATCATGCTTGGATCCCCGCACAAGCCAGTCCTCTGTTCAAAGTCTCCTGTCCTTTGCTATCCTTTTAACAACATCTCTTAAATGGGGAAGCGCGCCTCAGTGTTGGTGAATGTATTTTGAACATTGTATTGAATTACCTCTGATATCCTCTATGACGAGCAAAATCGTAACTTGAAGAAGAAGTCAATTCACATTTTAGTGTTAGTGGTCTAGCATTGTGGGAAAGTGGGCTATTTTCTTACCATTCACTAAGCTCGCTCAAGTCCATCTCACGCCATCGCTCAAAAATTTCGCCATATATAATGGACGACTGCTCAGCTCTTGATATTCAACCATCTGGTTTTATATGCACAATTCGAGTCTAGAGTTTGAGAAGTGCCGGATCTATTCAGTTGAGGCTCCTGAGATTAAAGATTAAAGTTCGGCAGTAGGGAATGTTCGCTTCTGATGATGTGAACAAGTAATTAGTGATCAGAATGAAGAATTGCTTGTTGTCATGTTGCTTTTCGTTGTCAATCAGCACGATAGATAACATTTATATGTGATCTATTACAAGTCTACTGCACCATGTCACAAAATACGCTTTTTGTAACTGATACAAAGCATGGTAAATAATCCCTCCCTTCCCCCTGAAAACTCGACACTCCGGGGCCAGGAAGTCCTCTCTTGATCCGTTCATTGTTTCCGAACCGATACTCATCATATCATCTTTTGTAGTAGTACAGACCCTTGTCTTTCCTGATTGTCTGTCCCGGCCGAACTGTTTCTCGCTTGAGAACTCATTTACATATTCTCCTCGACGGTACATATAAAAGGTGAAGGTCTGGCCATCAGGAAATATCTGACATGCTACCTGAAGCTTCATCGAGTTTATCTAAGGTTGACTGCAGGACATTCAGGTGTCTCCACTTGGTGTTTCTGAAAGTCTTCCCTGCAGTGCTATACCATTCCATCAACAACGAGGGCCGAGTCTCTCGAACTCTTACGTGGAATAGTGGTTGGATCAATTGCGGCAATTGACTGTCAGGTACATCTTTGCTGCCAGACAGATTGTCTTCCATTCGCCAGTTACAGAGGAGTCGATGGGGATTCAAGTCCTCCTCAGTGGAAAGCAACTTCCGAATTGCACTCAATGAACGAACTCCAAGAGCGAAATTCTAGGCTAAGGAATGAGGAAGCGCGAACGGGGATTACCCACTCGTCTCTGCGTCTTTAGTATCTCCTTGTTCAAGATTTCCATTCCATACCTCGCAACCCACAGCTTTTTATAGTCTGATCCTGCCATCATACGACTGCTTAACCCTTGAAGTTTAGCTGTCAACAGGCGCAGGGAGTCAATATATATTCATACATGTGTCCAGAAAGCTAGATTTGCAACGTTGAAAGGCGTACAGACATCTCCAACATTGAGTGGAGCGAGGTCGCTCACTTCTCTCGCTTCCAGAATGGAAATCATTGCTTCTCCGAGCGGTCATCACAATATCAGTAAGTGCATTAACGGGCCCTCAAGGCGAATTAAATACAAGCTCTTACCCAAACAGTGACCTTTACTGTTGTCAATCCAAATCTCGCTGTTGACTGTTCGGTACCAAATCCAGGGTCGGTGAGTGGTGAGGTACGATTCTAGATACATAAGTTTGACAGCCCATGCCTTGAAATAAACGAGCCTCCATCTCGTACTCAGACTTGTAGTTTACTTTCATCATCCTCGCTCCCTGTCACACGTATGATCTCATGATGCGCGTATCCTTTTGTGCTGCAAATCGAGTTGACTTTCAAAGATACAACTCAGTGTTTATACACATCAGCGTACCCCACATGAAACGGTCTCTGGAGCGTCATGGGTCAATTTGGATTCACTTAGCCATGATTTCCCGAAGTAAATTTGAAAAAGGGTGAGCTGAAAATCAGACATTTTGCCAGAGTTAGCTTGAGAAGGATATAAAATCCATACGAAGTTGACTTCAGAACAAGTATGCGTCCAAGGAACTGCCAAGGTTTTGTCATTTCTGGAAGCGCTCGATACATCAGGCGAGGATTGAAGACTTCTCAACTTAAGGGATGAAATTGGCAGGCTTGTTCAGTAGAAGGAGAATATTAACTAGCAAACTAAAACTTTTTCCTACTGCTATATTATTAGTAGATCTTGTTGTCACTTGGCTTGTATCTGTCACTTGCTGGGGTTATCAAAGCAATAGGCGAGCAAGGGAAGAGGCCGTCTGGCTCGCCAACATGAAGAACGAATCTATAATACCATCGACACACTAGATCTTACTCGTAATACCGTAAGGAGATATGAACATACCACAGCTTCGAGGCTAGCCATGAATTTCCAGTCATGTGTCCGGGCTTTTGTCCCTTGGTAATTCTTGCACTTCTCCTGGTAACAGCAGGCAGATTATATAGTCCTAGTGAACCAAGAAAACCCCAGCTTCATGCGTCTTAGATAAAAGAACTTCATTTAATGGAATGATCATAGGATTCGGTATTACTTAAGACATTAATCCACCCAATTGTACACTCCGTACTCCATGCCCAAGCCCCGCAAACCTCCAAACTCCCCTCCAAGCCTGTCCTCTACCATTCTACAACTTGGCCCGAGCCTCTGTCGCCTTATGCAAATCACCACCCTTCTTCTCAAAGTACTCCCTAATCTTTGCCCTTGCTACCTCCACAACACTAGCATCCTCCACGGTAGCAGGCACCTGAACCTCCTTATCGAAATCCCCATGTACCGCATTCTCCACCAATTCTCTCAAAACTCTTCGAAGCGTCTTCCCAGAACGTGTCTTAGGAATCATGCCTTTGCCTTGGATCATACCACCGAGAGAAGCAATGGCGCCGATTTGAGTGCGGACTAGCTTTTGGACTTCGCCGAAAAGTTGGTCAGAGGGGACGGCGGAGGGTGGGTGGTCGGCGGTGGAGAGTGTAACGAAGGCGAATGGGAGATGGCCTTTCAAGGCGTCCGGGATGCCGACTACACAGCATTCGGCGATGGTTTGGTGGGAGGAGATGGCTTGTTCGATGGAGCCTGTGATTTCGTAAGTATATGCAGGGTCATGCAGAGAAGATGAATATACCAGTGCTGAATCGATGAGCAGCCACGTTGATAATGTCGTCAGATCGAGACATAACGTGGATATATCCATCCTCATCGATCATCCCAGCGTCACCCGTATCAACCCATTTGCCATCAAATCGTTTCAAATAGCCTTTGTAGAATCTCTCCTCGTCTTGCCAGAGCGTTCTGAAGCCTGTGGGAGCAAGTGGCATACCAAGGACGATATTGCCCATCGTTCCTTTCTTAGCCTCTTTCCCCTCATCATCAACGACACGAACGTCCCAGCCTGGCATGGCTTTACCTGCACTTCCTGGTTTGATAGCAAGTGGTGCCACATCTCTCTTCTTGGTCTTGCGATCCTTCCCAGCGTGTGGAACAAGTGCGATACCTGACATTGGGGATCCAGACTCAGACGACCACCAATGATCAACCACAGGTGCTCCGTCTGCATACTCCTGGAGCAGGCCCTGGTACATGGTGATGATACTCGGTTCCGATCTTTCTCCTGCGAGGAAGAGGGCATTCAAAGTCTTGAACCCACCTCGCTTGCCGACTTCCTTAAACTTCTTGTTCTCCGGATCATCTCTTCGGATGGCTCTAAGTGCTGTTGGTGCTGTGAAGAGAGAATTGACTTTGTACTCTTCGATGATTCGCCAGAAAGCACCAGCGTCGGGAGTACCGACTGGCTTGCCTTCATAAAGGATAGTCGTAGCTCCAGTCAGGAGAGGTGCATACAAAATGTAAGCATGACCGACAACCCAGCCAATATCTGATGCGCAGAACATAACGTCTCCAGGGCCATGAATACCAAAAAGATAGCTGATTGACAGATGAAGACCAACTGCATGACCGCCTGCATCTCTGAGAACACCTTTAGGAAGTCCGGTGGTTCCAGAAGTATAGATGATGTAGAGGCCATCACTGGATTTGACAGGAACGCAACCAGCCTTGACACCTCTGCCTCTCCCGCTCTTCACCAATCGCTGCCAGTTTCTCTCACCATTGTTCTTGTCTACTGGGTCCCATCTCAGCTGGTCTCGTTGCCAGATGATGGTCTTATTGGGCTTATGTGCTGACTGCTCAATTGCTTCTCTGATGAAAGATTTGTATGACAAGGGAGGCTTGGCGCCGTCGATTCCGCAAGAAGCTGTGAGAATAGCTGCTGGTTTGGAAGCTTCAATTCGTTGGGCTAGAGATGCTGCGGCGAATCCTCCGAAGACAACTGCATGGATAGCTCCAATTCGTATCGTAGCGAGTATGCCAATGAGTGCAGCTGGAATCATGGGCACTATAGATATATTAGCATAGCTTCAATACCATCATTATTTCCAAGCCAATTGCCAGATGTGCACTATCTACTTCAGTAATTGGTGACTTACTATAAAGTAAAACGACATCACCTCTCTTAAGCCCCTCCTCCTTCAATACCCCCGCAAAAGTCTCCACCTCCTCCAGCAACTCCTTATATGTTATCTTCTTCTTCGACTTCGTTACTGGACTATCCCAGATGATTGCCGTCTGGTCACCATTGCCTGCCTCCACATGTCTGTCTACGCAATTGTAGCAGGTCGAGATCTCACCGTCTGGGAACCATTCCCAATGATCGTGTTTGGTACCAGATTTGAGCGACTTGGAGGTCTTGACGAGCGTGGAGCTGGGCTTCTTGTGCCAGGTGAGGTGAGACGCTTGTTCGGCCCAGAAGGATTCGGGGTCGGTGAGGGAATGGTGCTGGACTTCGTCTTGGGGATGGGAAGGCATTCTGGGTTGGCGCGGGGTAAGTATCTGCTGGGCCATGGAAGGGAAGGGAGTAGGACTTACTTTGCTGTAGTTGAGTAGTTCCTGGAGCTTGTAGATGTGTTAGTAACGCCTCGGTGGTAGCTCTGTGGCACTTGCTCAAGCTTGAACCAGCTCCGGCTCGGTCGAGGAAGTGTAAGCAGGTGCTTGTGTACGAGTAACCAAGGTGAAGGTAAACTTGGCTGTGAAAGAAAAGGAATTGAGATAGGAAATCGGAGTGGTAGAAGGCTCATTTGTCATGAACTAAAGGTGATGCATAAGCACCAATTACCATGGCTATGTTCCGGGTTTGAGGATGCAGTGCATCAATACTACTCTTGCTGCTTGAGGTTTGGTGTCAACAGCTCTCCACACCCCGCACTCCGCTTGTTCGGCTCGGGCCCATTTGCCCGGGCGCCAAGATATCAGAACTACTCGTAAGCAGGCGAACAATCCCAATATAACAATCAATGCTCATTATTCCGAGGGTTTATAAGTCATAATTTAGAAGTATTCTTTTAACCCAATTCACCTGTTCTTCTGTTGGCTACAGTATACTCTTGGCCAAATTGATTAGCAACCGTATAACGAGACGTCACTGCTACCAAACCAATATGATTACAAGTTAGATACCTTTGTAAGTATGTTAAGGCGCGATCCACAATATTCTGCCGACTTTGCGAAAGGGTCCTGCATACTTATTTATGAGAGAGCCACTGGTGGAGTACTCTCGACGTCGAGGAGGTGTGCTGTCAAATTCTTTGATGTCTAGTAAGCAATAGATGGAAAGACATGAAGCACAAGCTGGATGCTTGTCTCCTGTAAGCTTGCAAATGCTGTAGAAACCATCTTATCGACATGGAACAGAGACTACAAAATCAAACGAGTTGGCTTCAGCGTTGCAGAGCGAAACAGCCCAAGGCATGCTATTCTACGCCAGTACCAGGAGCTTCATTCCTGCGTAAATACTGCACATCGAGTATAGAGACTGTGCAAAGCGAGTACCGAACGGAGGTCTTCGGGTTCTGCGTGGAGATCGACGAACTTCGCAACATTGGCAAACAACCGTGCCCCATATTACAAAGTGAGGTCCTCATACTCAAGGCCGACAATGCCGTTATTAAGATTGGGCACACCTTTTCCATGCTCCCACTGCAACTATTTGACCAACTGCCTGAACGCCAGTTCCATGGCAGGCAGGAAGATCGTCGAAGGGCGTTAAAGATGAGAGGAAGTGAGCATATTGACCTCATTGTCAAGAACAACGCTTCCGAGACGAGTTGTAGGTTTCGCTGGTGATAGGTGGATGAGTAGCGACAGCTCTAGAAGTCGTCATCGAAGTGTGGCGACCGAAGACATAGTCACTTTTCCTGTCTGGCAAAAAGGTGGACTAGAGCTGTAGGATGCTGCCAATCCATTTGCTGATTGTACAAAAGCGAAAGCCCTTTGAACAGTGTTGGAATAGTACTTATATTTAAATGCCGTTGCTATGTAGTTCATCTATTCTAATCCCGATCCAGTATGAATTGACTCAGTCTGCTTGACATCGCACACTGTACCTGCTTCATCTCGACGCTTGAGTCTCAGACTGACATTACACAATGATCCCTGATTGAAGTCAATCCATGCTCATTTCGGCTCGATAGTCAAGAGACGTGGTGATTACCGGGCAGGTGGGATGAGAACTACACGTTCCTTACCAAACGAGATGGACTTGTGGTGTCTTCAAGAAGAGAGCGTCTCAGTGCACTGTAAACAACATCGCAGACTTGGGTCAAGTTGGTAATTAAAGACACAATCTGCAGCAAAGACCAGAATAAAACAATAAGGTATAGCCAAAGAACTTGATGAAGGGGGTAAAGATCAAGTAGATGCTTACATTTTCGTTTATATTCTCGTGATATTTTCGTTCCAGTATCAAAGCTGAATCCAGGGTGATAATCAATCCAACATATCTGCTTCATGTGCCGTCGAATCCCAAGCTCACGGCCTGTCTCTTGGCTGTTTCTCGGAGACCGAGACACCAAGTAAGAGCTCGACGGCCTGATTATCCATCAAAATTCGCTCTGAGTAATCGAGCGCAGAAGAGGAGGAGAAATATATATCCAAAAGAAAACCCAGACCAGATTCTGATTGAAATACGCTTTCCGCAGTTAACATCTCAACTGTCTTTGGTGGTCGTGGCCGAGCCAACTTGATTCCCGTAAAGACGCGGAAAAGCTACAAGTCGATACCGTTCCCAGCGTTAATTAGTTGAGAACATACCGAGCCAAAGTCTCCGCGAAGCTCTGTCGAAAGTGATTCTTGGAGAAAAGGCTTCATAGATGAGTATAAAGCAGATGGTCAGGTCCAAGACAAAATTTGAGGGGGGAAAGTATGCAGAACAGAAAAGGCAGCAGTGAATATTTATGACTGAAAGGATTTCTTCGATGAAGAAATGGAGAAGATATCGCAGAGAATAAGAAATAGGATGTAGAAGCTCCAAACCTCTTCAAACCTCTTGTTATTGTTGCTGCAGGCCAGAGCCTTCGCGTAGCGATCACACCCAATGAGCATCGCTGAACCGGTAGCCAAGATTCGGACATCCAGAGCGCAACAGCGTGCAAAACGAGAGACAGCCAAATCCCAGGACCAGCTGTAAGCTGAGGTGCAATAATCGAGAAACTCGCCACCAAAATTTAGCAGGTGATTATTTTGCATGTGGTCGCCAACACCAGCCAAGTGCAGCATCAGCTCCATCAAAATTGCGCGTACCTGCGCCGCCTGCAGGCCGACAGCTTTTGGAGCGTGCAGCCGGGCCGCCACTTGCGTCGTAGAGTTTTTTGGTTGGCAGTGGTGCTTTGAGCTTTTGGAGTGCTGCATGCGCTTGCGCAGGAACGAGAGAATTGATCGGATGATAAGCGAGGTGATGATCTTGGAATCTAGATTTTTGTCTTTTCTTTTTTCGCTTTGGCGCTGGGCCAAAGCAGCGAATATGATCGGATGGATACTTGCATGTTGTGGAGGAAAGGGGAGAGGGAGAGTGCAGGAGAAACAGCGTGATGGAGAATATTGAGGAGCAGATGAGTTTGCTTTAACACGAGGAAAGTAATTATCGGCCGTTGAACTGAGCAGTCTGATCTATCGAAAGATAATAATAGAATTTGTATTGTTGACCTCTGGTTGAGTGTCCGTACGAGTAGTGCTCACGGCAGCACAGGCAGACATCCGGCATGAATATCGGGCATAAGGTAGGGCCGTGGGTCAATCAAGGCGGCGGACAAGCCCGACAAATTTTTGATGGGACCTTAGCCTGTGAGGTTGGCGCTTGACCAAATTGACCTGAATCGCCACGACCCGACGCCTGCTTGCCAAGTTCCAACAGTCAAATTTCGCCTCGACGGACGGGAGATTTGATGGGATCCACCGCTTCAAAGTGTGAGGCCCAAACAGGCAACTTGTCTGGCGCCAGTGGATTTCATTCCCCATTTTTGTTTAGCTGTCTTTGATATCAACTGATTATTTCTTGCTATTTATGGTGGGCGGTGGTGGACCGATTCCTGGACTTGATTGTTTGTGTGTGCTGTACGGCCCGGAGATGGGAGAACGTTCTCTTCGGAGATCAGTGGAGATGCCGTGTGAGAAAGGGGTTGTATCCATGACTGATGCCCGTGAGCTTGTCTTGAATGTCTTGGGGTTCAGAGTCTGTGTTGAACAAAGAGTGGGAAGTGGGAAGTGGGTACGGAATGGAAGTCTGGACATGAGTCTTGGCCGCCTGGAATTTCGTTATCAAAGCTTTGAGAACGGAGCGCGGCGATGAGGGGTCAAACAGGTGGGAACAGCCCTGGCTAGGTAGGGCATGATGGTTCGAGGGAGCACGAGCTGCTTCATATGGAATCTTGATAACGTTGGTGGTGCAAACCCTCCAAGCTGCGAGATAAGGTTCCATCTGGTGCAACGATGCGTGCCGTCTTGCCATCTCTGGGATACACATGAGATGATAACCAGCATTGAACGGGAACGGGTTTTCAATTTTCTGATGGCAAGCCACCAAGTTTGAAGTGACGGGTTGCACAGATGAATAACGGCTTCGGGGTGCCATTCCGAGTCTTGAAACTCAAACATGATACAGATATCTGAGGGCCTGCACAACCTTGGACACCTTAAACAATGTCCAACTTGAAGTCGTTCGATGCGATTCCCTCTTCCGGTATTACTTTATATTGTTCTTGTGCATCCAAGACTCAGGAATTGCATCAGTGACGAGGTGGTCATGCAGCCGCCGGGGACAAGCGTTCCTGGAAACGATCTCGTCTGAAGCCTTTGCCCTGAGAGATTTAGTAAATGGAGAACCTTGATTCGTCGAGCGTGGGACGACAATCTCCAGCGCCCTGTTAGGAGCTGTTGCTGGTGGTTGCAGCCTCATATTAAAACTCCGTTCCAAACGAGAGCCAATTGCATAGGAGATTTCATATTGGCGTGGGTAATTAAGAAGCAGCCAGTGAGAAAGGGCATCATTGCAACATCTATGGCTGCCAGTAGTCGCTTGTCATCAACCGGGTCGTCGGTGCTTCAACCGAGAAAGAGCTGATTTCCCAGCCGAAATTGATTTTTGGCAATAATAAAGTAATGGGGCTCTCGAATCTGGATGCCGAATTTAGTCCGGTTAAAGGCTGAAATAAAGATTTGGGTTCAGGGCAAAAGCGTGGTGACGAGATCCGCCCCCAGAGGTTGTTTTTAGTTTTTGCTCGTCCAAGCCAAGGCAAGGGTCCAGCTACAGTAGATGACAAGCGAGCCAAACAAAACCAAGTTGTGCGAGATCGGATGAAAAGTTTGTGCTGATTAGAGGCTATTGGGAATAGTTGTACGGGGAAATGGGTCACGGCATATTGTGTATCTTTGACGCGAAGAGAGGAGGAGAGTGTGGTGCAGGAGCTGTGCATATCAAGCTACCTAGATTGCTGGAATAGCTGCAGAAAGTGAGGTTGCATCGCTGCATATTTTCAGACGGACCGTCTGCACAATTGCGTATATATTATTGTGCATCCCTTCAGCGCACTTGCTTCAAGCAAACCGCTGCCCACACCACCACGGCAGTGATACTCACACCACACAGCTCAACAGCTAAGATGGCCGTCCAGCTATGACTCTCTATGGATGAGCTAACCTCACGAACCCATTCTTGTCTTCCAGACCTTTTCAAGTCGAGTGACAAGCCCGCTGATGCCCCCACAATAGGGGACAACAATCTTCACGAAGCGGGCTTTTGAATCTGATTTCCACACTGAATGCCTCACCTGGAATTGGCATATCAGCGGCACGAAGGTGCAATTCCAGGCTGGAGAGGAAGGCTCCAGTGGTGCGAGCGTGCTGAATGGTTGGGGAAGACGAGATCCCAGCAGTGTGAGAAGGTGACTGAGCACGACTCCCCTGTGAGTAATTTCTGAGAGGCCGGGGTGGCTGGCACTGGCGAGTGGATAAAATCAAGTAAACAATAAATATACCCAACGGCTAAGCTGCTTCAGGCATATCTCTGGCAGTTTCCCCTGAGGAATCCACCAATCCCCACCTGCCCCTGACGCCGTCACCCCAGCAATGCCCTAGCGTCTACTTTAGCGTACACTAAACAACGGAGGCCAAGCTAACCTTCCTAACCTTCAGGACCCGACCCCCTGTCCTGCCCTGTGAGCCTGCCTCGCCTGCACCGCTGGCCCACTCGCCATCTCTCTTCTCTCGTCCTCCCCGTATAAAGCACTTCTGCCACCCATCTCAACTTCTACTTTTCTTCTTCACCCACACTCTCGTTCGTACATCAAACAACATACCTGACTTTTAGTCACTTACATTCGTTCAACCTACGCACGAACTCCTCAACCTCAAACCTCAACTCCAACTCTCCCACCTAATTACTTTTAAAGTAACTTAATACCAACCAAACCGTCAAAATGCAATACACCGCTGTCGCCGTCCTTGCTCTTGCAGCAACTGCCTCTGCCGCCTACAAGAACGAGACTGTCTCGTACACCACTGAGGTCGTCACCGACTATGTCACCTACTGCCCAGTTGCCACCACCTTGACCTACGGCCACGTCACCTACACTGCCAAGGAGGTTAGCATCACTTGGGAATTGGAACGCGTCTGGCAATCGATTCCGATCTTACGACGCGGTCCTACCCCGAATATCAAAATGCAACAAGAGCTAACATCTTATCTAGTCTGAGACCGTCACCATCCCTGGCACCTACACCGTCGTCAAGCCAGTGACCACCTCCAGCGCTGTGTACTGCAACTCCTGGTACCCCATACTGTTTCCAAACACAGTTTTGAAACTCTAGCTAACGATCTGAATAGTGCCCCAACCTACACCCCAGTTTACCCAACTGCCAACGCCACCACCGTTGCCCCAGTCCCAACCACCTACCCAGCTGGAACTGCCGCACCAACTGTTGCCCCAACTGCCACCCCAGCCCCATCCCCAATCACCGCCAACGGTGCTGGCAAGACCATGGCTCTCTCCGGAGCCTCCCTCGCCGGTCTCGTCGGCCTCGCCGCTTTCCTTTTGTAAGCGGTTGATCCTTTCGCCGATTCAAAGTCACGAACGTACGAATTCTCTTGCCGATAATTGGTAATTTCATGACGGAGGAAACAGCGCCTGGATGGTGGTCGATTTACGGATGAGCGTGGTCTTTGGGCATCATGGTGTTCTTGCATTGCTCGGTGGAGTCCTTCGTCTAATGCAGGTTGGCATCTTTCTTGTAATTGCTTATGTGGTTGAGAGTGTTGTTCATCAACACGAGGATCCATCATCATACCCCATAGTGTGTGGTCTTTCAGGTGTCTAGAAGCGATTTGGGTTTTTCTGGTTCTTGTCTATTACTCTTTTTTCAATGCTGTCTGAAGCCATTTCTGTTGCTGTCGCAAGAGAGTAGGAGATTCGGCTATCAAAGCTTGGTAAATACAACTGAACAAACTTGCTCCACCTGGAAAACTGCGCGTCTCACTTGGGGCTCTTTGATTTTGTTTCCTTTTCGCTGTTGTATGTCACCTGCTCATTCGATTCTGTGGGATACTTTATTATAGACTTCTTGTCAGATGCTTATACCTTAATGACTGTTACGCTGGGAGTGTTTATTGGTCTCTTTCAATACAATCAGATTCAGAAACTTCAAATACGATCTTCCAGGGTCCCAATTGTTGCGAATGAGGAATGATTCCCACAGTGCTCGCGCCTGTTGTTGTGTACAATAGACAAAAATATGAAAACGGCGGCACTGTCTGGAGACCAACTTTTTGGCCCAGCACCCTTCACTTCTACTTTCATGTCTCAAAACTGTGTGTTTTTCCCACAAGTGATTCTTACGGCAACAGATCACCTCAATTCCGGTAGACGATAGCCAAAACCAAGCAAGTGATTTCCACTCCTCGACAACCTAACGACAAGTCGCAAATCTCACGATGCGCAGATGTGACGTCTCATACCGCCAATCAAAACAAATCATCATCATACAAGACATCCTCAATCTCAGACACACTAGAAGCTTGTCTTGTCTTTTCTTCTGCTTCAATTCTCGAACATGACTCTGGTTAATGTGTCTAGACGGAAGCATAAACTCCCTTGCTTCATTCACTCTCCCGAGAATCCAGCGACGGGAGCGCCACGTTTCGTTTCGTTTCGTTTCTTCGCTTCTGGTTCCGATTGATTGATTGATTGATTGATTCTGTGAGGGAGTGAGAGAGTGAGTGAGTACATGTGACTGCCTATCTTCCTTCAGGTCTGGTTCTGGTTCGGGAGTTCGTGAGTCTCGTGGGAGAGGTTCGTCGCAGCTTGAGTGAGTGAGCGCTTGATTGGGTGCTACGGCTAAACAGCAGATAATAAACAACAACATTATCGTTCGTGCGTGCATGCGTCAAGCATGATGCTTGGGGGAACAGAAAGTGATCTTACTTGCATGCGGGAGGAAGATGTGAGGGTGTTTCTATTATTGAAGTGTCTATTAATTACTGTCATATCACTTGGAATATGTATTTTTGAGGCTGACTGACAGAAAGGAAAAGCTGTCTTGTAATAGCAATATTGTGATGAGATCTGGAAAAAGAAATCGAATCTGAGGTCTGTCTGAGTGAGGATTCAGGTACGATCGCGTAACTTACAGCTCCATCACAGTGCAGCGCAGTGCATCCGCGATGGACGTGACTCGGGCCTTGCTTGCCTTTCACTACAGCCACTTCAGATGGAAGATAGAAATAGAAATATCCATGCTGATCTTAGCATGTCTGAGGTGCAATCAATACAATACCTAAATGCAAACAAGTAACTATACGTGCGTACTGTAAATAAATAACAGATCTATCATTATCTTCATCATCTCTGCAGACTCTATCATCAGCTCAGCTCTGCTCTGCATGAATCTTACGGAGTAGGAGACCTCAGAAGAGCCCTGAAAGCTCAGTGAGCTCCGCTCCCACCCACCGGAAGAATCAGGGGAACCTCCCAACCCCCCAAAAATTAAAATTATAGGTAATATTAGCTGTCCCGCCCCAGCAACGCCCGACTAATCACCGATCGCTTGCACTGCAGAAAGCGGAAGCTAATGCAGGGGTGCCTGGACCTGGTTGCGCCGCCCTGCCCAGCCCAGTATTTTATTTATTTATTCGAGCAGTGCAATAATTGGTTGGCTGGTTGAACTGGTGTTGATGGCGTGAGTGGTGTTGTGAGAGGTCGCCGGATGGAAGAGGTTGGGCCGAAGATAAGAGCGGAGCGGACTTGGTCTTGGTCTTGGTCTTGGTCTTGGACTGGAGCGGGATTTGGGAGAGGATGGGGAAGGAGGAAGCGAGTGAGTGGTGAGTGGTATGGTGTGATTGGGTAGGTACCTAGGTTGGAAGATTGGTTGGTGATGTGGAAAAGAGTGGAAGGTGTTTGGAGGTGAGAGATACGCAGTGTATGGTATGGATGCCTTTTTGGTGTGTTGAAGGTTGTTATGTTAATGGGAGTGTGAGCCTCTGAATTGTGCATGGCGTGCATAAACTAATGCTGTGTTGAACAGGAAGAAGTATGAGTACTTGTAGGTCTCGTGATGAGCACGTGAGCTAATACATATCTCAACATCCATTTACCTACCTACCTACCTTACCTAGGTAGCATCAGATCATCTCTTTCCCCTCTATACCGTCGCTTTTAGCCATGAGTCAAGGTCGCAATGTTGCGATTCACCTCTATTTAGAATTGGGCATTTCCTAAGTTCTATAAATTGCGTCGCACACCGTGAGGTGACGAGAAACTCAACATTCAGATGACTACATGGAAAGTCACGAAGAGACGAGTCTTTGCACGAAGCTGCTACTTTCTGGTCTCCTCGTGGAAACTTAACCCCCTTTTACTACTTACTGAGATACCCGGAGGTAGCTCTACTGCGTTTACCTATTTGTGTCTGGCGCTCCTCTGGGTGTTGTTGAAGAGAAACGATAGTGGCAAGTCGAGTGACAGCAGTAATGAGCAGCTTCTTGCATACCAGTCTCTTCTTATCAAAGAAAGACTCAAGAACGTCCCAGTGCATATCTCTCCCCTTCTGGGTTGTGTGTATTGGAATAAAATTTGTCAAGCTGAAGCTCTTACTTTCTTTGCTGGCAATGCTTCAAACCATACGGCCATGGCTCTCACCATTTCGAAGAAGTCATTGTTGGAATTACCCGCTCGTCGTGTTGCTTAAATGATTCGTTTCGGTTCGGAATTTTCAGCCATCTTTTAGTTTGCCAGTCGTTTGGTGAATACATGCAACTTTTCATGGTACGAACGACGAAGAACTTCAAAAAATTTCCTCATGTTTGCTACTTGCGCTTAGACCAATGGGACTCGATAACTGTAAGCTTCATGACACCGAATGGCCTTAGAATCTGCTCACTCCACTGTCAATTATGACCACGTGTTTCTGTATTCTGTCACCCTTGAAGTGTAAACAGTGAATCCTCACAATGGTCACTGTTTTGCACCAAGAGTGAGGTCACTTAAACAAAGGTCCTACGAGTGTCGGGAAATATGTGATAAACAGATATGATGATAAAGTACTAGAGCTACCAATAGAACATATACACATCAGCAAGCAACCATGGGGATGAAAGTGAAGGAGAAGAGATGGAGGATTAAGCGAGGAGCTTTGTTTACCTGAGTTAAAATCTCAGCTCGACACATTGGACAGGACTTGAGATTGCATAGTGTTCTAAAATAGCCGAGACTTCGACACTCATGAAGCAAGTTATTGATAGCCTAGACCTCCAAAAACAGATATCATTTGGCTTGCTATTTGAAGTCGAGTCTCTATCCCGGAGACCTAGAATGCCTTCCCCAGCGCGTCACGTTTCCCAAGTAAATTTCCTCCAGGACCGCAATATATACCACGGTTTTGATTTATGTCTATTAAGTCAACTGGAATACTTCAACCTACACGCAAGGGTTATATTTCTTGGCATTGAAAGCAAAAAGATACAAAGCAACGTACAATGTGCTGGCGTGACCACTTCTCGACTTGGACGACGGTCTTTGCTATGGGCCATCTACTACCAGTTGTATCCGCTCACGTCAATAGCCTCGTCGCCACGAGCCTTTCTTTCCTTCCATGCATTCGCAGCCAAATCAACGTCCTCAGCACGGGCTTTCTTCTCCTTCCAGTTGTATCCGCTCACGTCAATAGCCTCGTCGCCACGAGCCTTTCTTTCCTTCCATGCATTCGCAGCCAAATCAACGTCCTCAGCACGGGCTTTCTTCTCCTTCCAGTTGTAGCCGCTCACGTCAATAGCCTCGTCGCCACGAGCCTTTCTTTCCTTCCATGCATTCGCAGCCAAATCAACGTCCTCAGCACGGGCTTTCTTCTCCTTCCAGTTGTATCCGCTCACGTCAATAGCCTCGTCGCCACGAGCCTTTCTTTCCTTCCATGCATTCGCAGCCAAATCAACGTCCTCAGCACGGGCTTTCTTCTCCTTCCAGTTGTAGCCGCTCACATCAATAGCCTCGTCGCCACGGGCTTGTTTCTCATGTACCGCTATGTTTCGAGTCTCCCTAGCGACAGTCAGAAAATTATTCTCGTGTTCAGGAAATGAAGATTGGAGGGGCTCAGTCGCGATATGATTAGAGATGACTTACTCCAGTCCAGCGATGGGAACAGCTGCGACAGCTCCAACCAAGACGGCGAAGATGAGAGAGTACTTCATTGTAACTTTTTATCAATGGCTACTTTGAGTCAGAGGAGATGTTTGGACCAGCTTGTAAAGTGGCTTGTATGTTCTTAAATGACAGATACGATCGTGATACAGAAAAGAAGAGCGCGCACTGGGCGACATCTGTGAGCCTTTTATGTTTTGCAATCAACAGCTGTTTCACCACCTTGTAAACCCTGGTTGAACCCACCTCCCTCCTCTCGCTCATGCTATCGGGTACAACACCTTGCGGAATGGCAAAGTGTTAGTTCTGCCTCCGTCATCATCTGCCGCTGCGAGTTACTAAAAGTTCCCCGAAACCTGTACTTTCAAGATCGCTCTGCCGACATGAAGCATATCTTCTTTGACCTGCCTTCTAGAGGAAAGCGCTACCTCGTTCTTGCTTTGGCCGCGGCGATATACCATTTCGCGGAACTTTGTGGTGGAAATGCACCTCCTTGATATGAGGTACTTCCGCTACTGGCCAGATGACATGACGACGCTACAAGAGAAGCGTTTCTCAGGCGGTTATATGTCTTGGATCTTCAAGTGATGAGCTGCCTATTGCGTATTCTGAACCACTTCGTTGTTGAGGAGAGGGAGGATTGGGCAATAGCCGAAACTCCGACGCCGAATACTACACTGATGATACGATATACAAGGCAATGACGCTATATTGCGAAAGAAAATGAAATGGATAAATGGGGTGAACAGTACCAACTCAATGTAGAGTTGCCTTATGAGGATATTATGCTTCCGGTGAAGAAAGTATGGCCTCAAAAATATGAACTGCTTTCTGATGGCATCATCAACACAACGAAGCCTTCGTCAAATATTCCCAGTCACTATCTAAACATGTCCGATATTCTTTCGGTGTTTCCAAGCAACTCAAACCCAGAGACGTTGCAAACAGATATATATTGAATCCTGATGCTCATTCAATCATCATTTGTGAAGCATGTGCCATTTCAACGAGCTTCTCATCGCGAGACCACAGGGAAGTGTTAGGTGACGACTATCAGCCGGGTGGTACGCAGTTCCCCGAAACCTAATCAAAATGTTTTCGTACTGTTGTAAAGTTCAAAGATCACTGTGGGGTAAGTGGGCCCGGATATTCAGCTAGAGTAGAGGTCGTTATCTTGTCAAGCTGTGATGCTAAGATCAAACATTTCTAAGCTTTCTCAATCGCCTTATCTTACCATAGTACTGATACCATTGAGGGGTAAGTGGGATTTAGGTAGGGATTTTATCAAAGATTTGCCGTTATTGGACGACTTAAGCTTTTTGGACAACCTCACGTTTGAACTCTCTTAGGTAGTCTTAACGAAACAGGAGGTTGACGTCAACCAATCAGCGAGGAATTAAGGTTCGATAAGATAGACTTGCTATTTTTGCAGAATATAGACATACTGTACAATGAATACACTCAAACTTTGTTTATGATACAGTCTGCATGTTCCAAATGTGGCAGGTGAGTGGGAGCTGACGGATGCCGAGACGGCATCCCCCACATCAAGTGCGCTCAGGATCAACCACCATTGTGCCAGTGATAGAAAAAAATATTCCTAGAATGTCTTTCCATGATGTCCTCAATGTTTCTAGAAGAACATCATTTCATGATGGCGAATCCAAACAATGCTTTATATTCTTCTTTGGAGAAAGATCATTCTAGTCTCTCCACTCTCCTCAACGACGACGACTTAGAAAAGGTTTCAGATGAATATGCAGACAGCACGAAGCTGCACGGTCGATTTCCTCGAACGTTCAATACGACTTACAAATCCTTGATCACTTTATTCATATTGCTGCCCTGGGCTCTTCTTCCTGTACTCTTCAAGATAGGAGAACACCAGGGATCGAAGATTCTTCCTAAATTGCCAAGTCACAGTAAGTAAAAGAGCCCGATACACGTACGAATGATTCTATAGTGGATAAATGATTGAATTCTTTAATAGAGATAACCAGTAGTGCTGTTGAGTACCAACTGAGAATTCTGGATGATGAGTTCTACACCACAGAGCCTGAGAACCTGAAATATAAAGGACATCCCAGACCGGAGCTGGATGATGCCTGGAACTCGTTGATTGAGAGTAAGTGTTCTTGGAGCAGCTTCCGAAGCAAGCGTTGACGATAGCAGACATGCACATGCGAGTCCATCCAGACGAGGCCAAAGCCGCCGGATTTGAATCCGTGGAGCTAGCGGACGGTTCTGGAGATGTGTATGGCTTGCCTGTCGTCTTCCATAATTTACACTGCCTGGTTAGTCTCAGAAATACTTCCCCTCTCCCTGCGATATTTTCCAAACTCTTTAGCATGGAAGATTGATGATATCACAGTACTCACTTCGCCGCGCCATGTTTCCGAACGTCTACATCGATGATCTTGACAGCCGGCCGCCTGGGCCCAATCAGATCAATGTGCACGTCGACCACTGTTTTGACATGTAAGCTATTTTAATCAACAAGTAAGCCGAGACCAGAGGCTGATCACTGGACAGTATTCGGCAAGCAATAATGTGCCAAGGAGACATGTCCATGTACTACTTCTACGTAAGTAAACAATGTTTCATACCCTTTACACAAATGCCTTTCACATATTCATTTTCCAAGTTCTCCAAAATAACTCTCTGACGCTCTTCCATCCAGTGGCCCGAAAGCGAAGGACGGAACAAGAGACCGTTCCCACGCCACGTCGGCCACAGCGAGCACGTGTGCGTCAACTGGGAAAAATTGCAGTCCGAAGCACACAAGCGCCACTTCTCCCTACTTGGGGAGAAAAAGATGCTGGTCAATCCATTATTCCCTGAAGTCTCGCTCAAGGCCGACGTCATCCCTAAGAGGAAGAATTACAGCGTCTATGATGGCAATATGGATGGCCCGCAACTTTATGAGGGTCTGGAGGACTTACAGGAGCTGTCTCGCATAAAGAACAAACATGGTGGTACGTAAGCTGTGTATATAGAGGTTGATGAATAACTGTTCAGTGGTGAGGAATGGGTAAAGGCGAAAGTTTTCCTAAGAGATGAGGAGCTTCTGATTTATGAAGGTCATGAATTCGCTTTAACAGCGCTCAGTTGTCAGACAGGATTTCAATGTTGACTGTAGATAAAATGATTGGTTCATTTATGCCGAAATCCAGTGATCTGTAACCAGTAATGCTACAAGTTTCCGAAACGCCAAACCCTCTCAGCGGCGGTATGAGTTTAAGCGAAATGTCAACAGAGCCAAGATTAATGTTCCCTGTCATAGTGCAAGGCTTAGCAAGCGGTCGACGAACAGTCCTACTTACAAATGTATTCATGAAATTTTCCAACTTGATTTGTGAGACAGAAATATCAAATCTGGACAATGTGTTTTCGATCGTCATTTCTTCTTGCCTTCCATTCAGCGACGACGTCACCCAAGACTGAAGCAGCTTGCAAGATGGTGAGGGGTTCTTATACAAAAGCACAACATCCGCCTTCAAATTTGGTTACGGATTATTGACAACAGTGTAAATTGGATTCCACGAGAGATCGCACTCTTTGTGATGGTAGATCTGCCTGCACCTGACAATGCGCGAAACGTTGACAATAGAAACGAAGCATCGACCTGTAATTTTGGCACATGATTATTGTGTTTGTGTCCAAGGGTGAACCCAAATATTTCATAGAAGCAACATTGTTATAACAGCAGCATGCTCATCGACTATGATGGACATTCGAACCTCCTTCCGTGGCGGGACACTTGTGTTTGCAATGATCTTGACTGGAGTTTCTGGAGATTCTTGGTTGGTGAAGGAAATGCTTATGTATCGGAACAGATCGGGGCTTGGATATGCTTATCGAAGATGATATTGGTGAATTTGGTGAGGAGAGGACTTCTACGAGGTTTACCAATGAATATGTCCTTATGGATGTATCAGCGTGCATCAATGATACAGTAACAGTCCGGGAATCGCGCTAGAAGTGTTTCAGCAAGATATTCAATCGTTCTTGTGAAATTGACCATCGTATTCTACGTAACTGAGCGCCATTCAATCCAAAGAATTCCCTAGTCCCTTTTTTCAACCGGCCCAATTTTCGACACTGCTCGAAAACTCTTTTTATATCATACACTTACAACATCCCTCCACCTCTACAATTTGCTCCCCACCAAACTGCCTCCATCAAGTGCAATCGTCGCTCCATTAACAAATGCCCCAGCCCTACTACTCAAGAACAGACACGCGCCCGCCACATCCTCCTTCTCACCAATTCTCCCCAACGGAATCCCACTTTTAATTGTCTCCCCAAACGTCTCCAGCGTCTGCTTCATCATCTTACTTTGGAACGGTCCAGAAGCGAGCGTATTAGACGTAATATTCCGCTTTCCGAGATGGTTGGCCAACACGCGGGAGAGTTGGTGGAGACCAGCTTTCGAGGCGGAGTACGAGAATGTTTCGAGGGATGGGACGCGGAGACCGTCCACTGAGCCGATGTTGATTATTCGGGATGGAGAAAGTTCTGAGGCCCCGGCTTCGAGGAGAGGGGTGAGGGCTTGAGTGAGTGTGAAGACGCGGGTGAGGTTGAGGGTTAGGACTCGAGTCCATGCAGACTCAGGGAATTCGTCGTACGGAGCTCCCCAGTTTGATCCAGAATTGTTGACCAGAACGTTTAATTTTGTCTCGCGTTTGCCCAGCTCCTCAGCTATCTTCTTGCAGTCTTCAACTTTGTAGAGATCGGCTTGGATGTAATCGGCGCTGCCTTTGCCTATTGGTTTCGAGTTAGTATGCTTCGTGGAATTGGGTTTCGGTAAGGAGGGGTGCATCAGACGAACCCATGGCATTTAACTCTTTGCATGCCTGCTCGCAGGCCTTTGCGTCTCTGGATGAGATGTATACTTTCGCTCCATTTGCAACAAATCCTTCTGAGATCATGCGACCTATACCTTTGGCACCGCCTGTGATTAGGACGACTTTGCCCTGCAGGTGATTGTTAGTATCAGCTCTGGACAATAGTGGATGGGGAAGACTTACCTTAACGTCGAAAAGAGTGGATGAATCCATGCTAATTATCTGAAGGAAGTAGAATCGGATTGACTGGGAATTCAAAAGGACTGAGCGAGTGGTATTGAGGAGGAGGAAGGATCTTCGAGTGATGTTGATATCTGGGGTAGTTTGCGCTCGGCCCAGGCTTATCAGATGCCGAGGTTCGATAAGTACTCTGGATTACTTATTTTTTGCTGGGGAACGAACAACTTGAACTCGACAAGATACGCTCCGGGTTGGGGATTTATTGAAAAGTAATAACCGATTAATTTCCACATTCTACTACTCATTCGGAACTTCACAGTAAAGAGTCCAATACTAGTTGTACGAAGTACGAAGTAAAGGAAATATCAAGCAGTTTAGGGAACGTTCATGCTCCCATCTTCTCCACCTACCAAAGATTAAGCAAAACTTCTGGAAGGTTTTGTCTAATAATATACCAGGAGAGAGGCAAGAGGTAGTTACAAGTATGTGAGCCATGTATGGACTTCCTCGATTGTCAATTGCGTTAGAACTAGATAGCACCATATAAGATACCTGCTAAAATGTACCCCTCATTGCCCCACTGTCCCACCCATTTGCCCCAAAGCTTCAACACCATACCTTTTCTTCCCTAATTTACACCTCAAACCTCACACTCTTTCCCCGTCACCCCCCAAACAAAATGCCAGCAGACCAACCAACCGATGCCCGTGCCCGCCTCCTCTCCCACTTCAGCTCCGCCAACGGCAGCACTGAACATGGAACAAAATGGGATGAGCTCTGGACAGAAGGTTTTCTCCCATGGGACAAAGGCTTTCCGAATCCGGCCCTCTCCGACCTGTTAACCCAGCGTCAAGACCTCATTCCTCCTCCTCATTCCTCTCAGCCCACCACTAGTAGCAACGGAAGGAAGAAGGCTCTAGTTCCAGGTTGTGGGAAAGGCTACGATGTGTTGTTACTAAGTGCATTTGGGTATGATGCGTACGGACTGGAGATCTCTAGTAAAGCCTTGGAGGAAGCCAGGAAAGTAGAGGCGGAGATGAGTGGGAAGGGTGTGTATGCGGCGAGAGAGGGAGTGGAAAGAGGGGAGGTGCATTGGATTACAGGGGATTTCTTTGAGGAGGGCGATGGTGGGGTTCTAGGAGGGGAGAAATTTGATTTGATTTATGATTATACGGTATTTACTTTATCCCTGATATTCTTTATTAAGCGACAATCGATTGACTGTGTTGATCCTATGCTGAGAGATGTAGTTTCTATCTGCATTACCTCCCGTCATGAGGCCAGCGTGGTCGAAACGCTTCGTTGATCTTCTGGCTCCGGAAGGACGCCTCGTTTGTGTGGAGTTCCCAACATACAAGCCGCCGTCTACTGGAGGACCTCCTTGGGCGTTGCCTCCGAAAGTATATCTTGCTCATCTGATGAGACCGGGAGAGGAACTGCCATATGCTGAGGATGGAGAACTCTTAGAGTCGAAACTTGGGGAGTCGAATAAGAGTGGTCTAGTGAGGATTGCGCATTTCCAGCCGGAGAGGACGCATCAGATTGGGTATAATGCAGAAGGTAAAGTAACAGATTGGGTTTCCGTATGGGCACATCCAAGCTAGTAATCAATCCTTCATATGCCGTTCGAGTAAATTGTGCTCAAGGTGCCTTGCGTAAAGAGTTGTAATGTTCTCCCAGCCCAAATCCATGTCGATAGTATGCCAGCCAAATCCTTTCTGGATCCTTCTTCCCATCTCCGGGCTCAATTGTCTGCGCAACTCCATCCTGTAAGACACATATCTCCACTATATACGTCTTAGCCAGAGCCAGTAATTCCAGATGCCCTCCCCATTCCGCCGTATCCCTAATTTTCTCAACGTACTGGTCCAGCGGCTCATCCAACCACGCCACAAAATCGTCTGGATGTCCCTCAATATACCTTGCAGCCGCCTTTCTCACAACCTTATACCTCTCTCCCTCCTTGATATCCTCACTTTCTGGACCCAATGGAATCCCAACTTGTGAAAGCTGATCCGCCACGGCAGAGAACAGACAATGTCCATCTGGTCTAATACTCTTCTCCACCAAGCCATTCGCAGTGAACTGATCCAGCATCTTCTTCCGCTCCACAGCCTTCTGATCCGGTTGATTTGCAGCTTCTTTCTTCGCCTGCTCGATCGCAGCTTCATGTTCTGCCGCGCGACGAGCCAACCGCTCCTTTTGTCTGTTTCGTTTTCGAGGCTGTCCATCCTCCGAAGGCTCAGGTTCCGAAATGGCCGATTTATCCAACGATTCGGTGATGCCGTTCATACCATTTGTAGCAGGTTCTTCGACAATGTCTTCCTCAAGATCTGGCACATCTTGAATGTCCGCGGGCTCACCGTTCAAAGCTGCGATTTCTTGCGCCTGCTTATCCTTAAGCTGGCGCTCCAGCTCGTCGCATTCGCTGTTCACGCCTTTCCGTGTCTTCTTTGTAGCGTTTTTCTTCTTGTTCGTGATTCGACCTTGCAGATCTTTTTGCTCTTTGCGGTGCCGACTTTGCATGTCCTCGAAGGACTCCATCGTGGGCGACAGTCGTGGTGGGGCCGGGGTATTAAGGGGGGTCTGGTCTGGGCGCTCTTCCCTCTGAAAGGAGTATTCGAAAGTGTCTTACACTGATGAATGGTATGTGTCTCTGTGCGAAGTAAAGAGTGTGTGCTACGACCTACTTGCTAGGAAGTTGGACTTGAGGAGTTGCGAACTGGACCCCTGAGAGTATTTTCCGAATGCATGTTTGCTTGTCAAGCAAACAGCCATCTCGGCTGCTCCCACCCCGCTTCCAAAATCGATCTCGAAATCACTCGCCTCTTCCACCAATCACAACAGACGGCCAAACCATCCTATCACGACCCGTGCCGATTTACCGATCATGACCAACCAGGACCGAGGGACGGCAACGACAATTATTCCCGGAACAGTAATGGAAATTCCTTTCGAGCAACGGATGTCCGCCTGTTGGAAGAATGGGGGAAGGGCGAGGGCGAGGGCGAGGGTTATCGCCACGATTCATTCATCGTTGGCCGTCTCTTTACTTTACTCCGTACTTACAGTAGTGTACTCTCGGAGTCCGGGGACCATCTTTTCTTTACCCAGTTCCTTTTAGTCTGTTGCTTGATTGCAAGATTACATCGTTACGATTACCAGAAGTAGTCTGGCAGTGGTGATCTGACGCCTTAGTTTCTTATTCTCAGCGTCCTTCTCTCTCTCACTCATTGTCGTCATTCTTACTCTGCTTGCTCTGCTTTCCCTCTATCTGGATTTCGCCGTATGTCTCCTAATATTTGAGTATAATCTGAGCACCAAGCCCCACTACTGTATCAGAGTCTGGCGGTCTGTTCTATATGACTTCCACTTCCTCCCCGACATCGCCCACATAGGCCCTCAATCGCTCAAGTCAAGTCTATCGAGAAGTAAACAGCATGGCACCTCATGATCCTGAAAAGGCAGACTCTTCATCCTCGCCACCAGGTCTCGTCACCAATAGCCCACTCTCACATCCAGGCCTCTCCACTCTTCAGGATAATGACCAGGACAAAGACCAGGACAAGGAGCAGGACAGAGACATAGACACAGATTCATCGACCATGCATTCACACACCCGTTCCTCTATCGGCAGTATATCACCTATCCCCGTCCAAGACGAAGTGACCCAGAAATCAGGCGACCCACCTCTCTCAAAAACAAAATCCAAATCCTCATCCGTGAGATCACGAGCCGTAACCATCGTGCCGCGAGCGAAGAGACGAGGGCTCTTAGCGAGATTGACTGTTATCCCCGAAGTGGAGAGACCATACGAGTACAAAAGGAGTACGAAATGGTTCATCACGTTCCAGGTCGCTATAGCTGCAGCTGCTGCGCCGATGGGAAGTGCGATTTTACTGCGTAAGTCTAAGTCTCACATCATGATCTCAACTATATGATTTAAAGTTCGCGATAGAGTTAGAGTTAAAGTAAAGATCTGACAAGGGTTTTAGCTGCACTCCCAGAATTAGCGATAGATCTTAACACCACGCCAACAATCACCAATTTATCAGTGGCTATGTACATGCTATCTATGTCCATATTCCCACTCTGGTGGTCTTCATTCTCAGAGACGCTCGGCCGGAGATCCATCTACCTAACCTCGTTTGTACTCTTTACATTGTGGAATATCATCTCCGCAATCTCAACTTCAATGGGAATGTTGATTGTCATGCGAGTCCTTGGAGGCGGTGCTGCGGCTTCAGTGCAGGCCGTTGGTGCTGGGACTATTGCCGACATCTGGGAAGTCAGAGAACGGGGTCGAGCTATGGGAATCTTCTACCTTGGTCCCCTCCTGGGTCCTTTACTGGCGCCTATCATTGGAGGGGCTGTGTCTCAGGCTTGGGGATGGAGAGCTACTCAGTGGTTCCAAGTCATCTATGGTGGAATATTAGTGGTGCTATTAACATTCTGTCTCCCTGAGACACTGGCCAAGCGACAACCTCTAACCCCTCCAGACGAGAAATCTGGAAATAGACCGGAGTTGACTCGAATATCAACTCGACAATCCGTCCACCTCAAAACAAAGAGAGCAGCAAAGGTCTTCAAGCGCTGTATTATCGACCCATTGAGCGTGTTAGCATATCTCCGCTTCCCAGCCGTGGCTCTTACGGTATATCTCGCAAGTGTTACTTTCGGCTCGCTCTATATTCTCAACATCTCCATTCAGCAAACGTTCTCGGAGTCTCCGTACGACTTCAAGGTTATCATCATCGGCCTGCTTTATATTCCCAATTCTCTTGGTTACATCCTAGCGTCATTGATTGGTGGCCGTTGGACCGATTATATCATGCACCGAGAGGCACGAGCTGCTGGTCGATATGATGCTGCTGGAAGACTAGACTTCCGGCCAGAGGACCGCATGAGAGAAAATGCCTGGATCGCAGCGGTCATGTTCCCTGGCGCCATGGTGTGGTACGGTTGGACTGCTGAGAAAGGTATCATCTGGATTGTCCCGATGATCGCAAATTTCTTCTTCGGCGTCGGCAGCATGATTATCTTCGGCGTAGCAACGACCATGCTTACAGAGTTTCTTCCAAAGCGCAGTAGTAGCGGTGTCGCTGTTAACAACTTTGTCAGAAACATCTTCAGTTGCGTTGGAGGTGTCGTCGGTGAGCCACTGATCAAAGCAATTGGCAACGGCTGGTTGTTTACTGGACTTGGTGTTATTTGCTGGTTCAGCGCGTTTGGAGTTGTCTTCTCCATGAGGAGGTTCGGACCAAAATGGCGCATTACAATGGATGCGCAGTTGAAGTGAAGCCGGAGATTTGATATACCCTCCCATAGATATTCTGGAGAAGCACCCTAAAAGAGGGGCGAGGGATTGCTCTTGCCACGGCTCGATTCCGACGTTCGAACCATTGGATTGCTGAGCATCGCAACGCTTGAATCATCTGATGGCCAAGCGACTTGCCCTACATTGGTAATCGAGAAGAGTGCCATCAGTTGAGCTTCTGTGGCAACCTCTCAGACACTTGCCTCATTGAACCAAGCTTGCGCTTCAAGGATATGGCGGCGCTCTCTGACCACACTAGCAGCCGGTCATTGATTGTCGAGGCACCCATAACCTCCCTCTAGATCTCATAGATCATGAAATCATCCGGATTTTGCTGCCGGAGGAGATCATTGACAACAAGTGATGTTGACCATGGAGGAAGACGGCCGACTTGTTTCTCGTAGTGTTCGGCGATGTGGATGAATCGCCCTATTGTCTGGTCAGAAAACTAATATGCACTTCAAATATAGAAAAGTTGCAAGACTGCCTTAACCATAAGAGGGATACCATGTGAAGTAATCGCGTCAGAGAGATCCCTTATCATGGAAAGATGTGGGAGATGATAATAGAACAACGAATGAAAGATTTTCAAAAGCATACCTTCCCATGTATAGCAACAGTCACAGTACACACATCTCCAAGTAAACTTCTTCCTGGCGAAGTCGTGCCATGTCTCATACCGTCGACTCTACTGTCGGAGAATGGAAGTACTGCAAGTGCTGCTTTAGTTTGTCCCTTGTCTCAAACGTCTGTTCTCCACCTTCTTCTTCTTCAGGTTTGAAAGTTATGCTGTTCGATCAGATGCATGACCATGTCCTTACCTAGGCGTACTAGCGCAACATAGCAACAGAACACACAGCTCCATCCAGCCATTGAGAGGACAGCAGGCTCCCCAAGCATACAGGTCCAGTGCATTTGAAGTCATGCAGCTCTCAATTTCATTCCAGTCACTTTTGCTGGCGAAGCTCCAATCACAAGCTGCGGACTGATACATTCCTCGCTCTCGTACTACAGACCCGCCTGCAAGTTCTGATGTAGTGATGGCTATGAATTTGGTTTTGCGATGCGTATGGTTCTTCGGGAGTGGTACATTTGGTAGGCCATCCTCATTAGTTGTGGTCTCAGAGATAAATGCCGATGCACACCGTGCCTTTCGACAAGTTCATGCGGCAACATTGATTGATTAATTTCTTGGAATCTCTTGGTCAATACCTTCACTTATCTGCTTCATCCCTCTTCCATATATGCCGAAAAGCACAATAGTGGCTACGTTTTAACAGTCCACGCATATACAAGCATCTGATAAAACGTATTGCGAGTATATTTCCATTTACATGTATCCTGATTCAACACCTGTTGTAACAAACCCATTTTTCATGTTCCACCGCTGCGTGCCACAAGAACACTTACTTTCAAGGGATAACGGCTCGACTTTCTCAGGCAAACGATTTCCCATTCAACCACCTGCTGAGCATATCTAAAGCCACCTCGGGCTGGTCTTGAGGGACCTAATCATCCATTAGCAACCATCAGACACAATATCTCGATCAACCAACATACCATATGCCCAGACCCATCAATCGTTACAAGAGCGAATCTCGTCTTCTTCTCATCACCCTCAACCATCTTGATGTTGACTTCCTTCCAAGCTCCAGCATCAACCTCCTTCCCTCCCTTAGTGCTCTTCCAAGGCTTTAAATCCAAAGAATTAAACTCGGCCTGTCCTTTCCATGCCATGTTTGCGGTCCATCTCTTTGCACCTGCAGTGTTGCAAGCCAGATCCAGATTACCTTGGTATATAAGCATATCGATCTGGTTTGCAAGGAGATACTGCACTTCGGGAACCAATGTTATAGAAAGGTCGTCTGTCAACTCAAAAGCATCAGAGACTGCGGGCGAAATGACACCGAATTTCTTGATTTCCTTCGGCACGCCGAGAGCAGCGAAGGATGAGGGAAGATTCAGGTAGTCTTGAATCCAAAGAGTATTAGGGTAGCAGACTTCATCGATCTCACATGGGAGAGTGACTGAAAGAATTAGCATGAAAGTCACAGGTTGCAAATAATAAGATTAAAAAACACTTACTGTCAAATCTGTTCCTGCCACCAGCGCCAGATTCTCCGTCATAATACTTTATTACACCATCCCAGCAAACTTCGGCAGCAGCGGCACAGATTGCAGCGTCTGGACGATCATAGCAAGTCTTTGAAACTGACATGCAGCGAGGCAAGTTGGTGGCCATGATTTCACAACGGGTCTCGTTGAACACTGGTTTCTTGACACCTGGATTGGTAGTACATAGAGTCTCCCAGTATCCATAGGCAGTATCAAGTGGTGAAACATAGCCATTGCCAATTGCCACTGACTTAAGAAGGACTTGCGGTTGCTTTGGATGTAACAAATTCTGTGAAACGATTTGGGCTCCAAGAGCTGGGAGGTAATGTCCCTTAAAATTATATCAGCTGTGTAACTTTTTAACATTCTCGGTTACATTGCGGACTTGACTTACAGCATAACTCTCTCCAGTGATAACAAGGGGGCCATTCTTGTGCTCGGGAAAGACTTGGCTCACGAACATCTGCAAGAACAGATGCATGTCTGCAGCACTGGTGAAGGAATCTCCCGGTATGGATTCGCCTTCGTCAACATACGAAAATCCAACACCTGCTGGTTGATCCACGAATATGAACGCAGTTTCCTTGTTCCACCCAAAAGGATTGTAAGTAGTCCCATTTCCATGCTCATTGATAAGGCATGGTCCAAGCTCTTGGAGCATACCCAGCATAGATGAGCCTCCTGGGCCACCCGTCAACCTATCAATGTCTCAGCAATGTACAAAAACATTACTGATAGTCGCTCCATTCAATTGATCAAGATAACTTTCAAACTTGGAAAAAAGTATTGTGATGTACATACCAAAGGCCCAGCGGTTCATCGTCGGCTTTCGAGCTCGCGCTCTCACTCTTAAAATACCAGAAGAACAAATGTTTATGACCAACATCAAGCCATCCAGTATACTGATCAACAGGAGTGTTGCAAAGCGTCGAGTTCTGTCGCTTCACGCGTATGGAGTGGCTGGGAGACACCTGACTTTGATAGACCGTAAAGTCGCCGGAGAAGGAAGACGGCTCAACAACTGGAACTTGAGACTCTGCCAATGCAAGACCTGAGGCGATACACGCCTGAAGAAGAGATGAAAACTTCATATTGCTTGTGTTACCGATAAGATGTTGAGGGCTGAGGCTTTTATAAGTGAAGACCAAGCTTTTGAGGTCGTCAGGGTGCTCGGTTAGGCTCCTCCACTGGCCACCCAATGAGGAAGGAGGATGACTGAAGCCAGTACTTTGGTGGTACTACGTTCATGACATTACTGGAGTCGGATTACGAACACCCCACTCATGATGCTGACATGCAGAACATTAGCTCAACAGGCACCAGTATCGGGGTTCGGATCGCATTCGGATTATTCTTCACAAAAATCGGGTTAAAAAGCAACCCCAATCGGCGCTCGGCGTTGACAAGAGAGCCTTCGACCAACTCGATGTAGCTTTGGTCGAGGTCAAGTTCCTATTCAAGAACATGGACTTAAATTTTAATCGTCGTCCGTATCTGTTCTAGAACTGAATATAAAGCAGTGTATGAATATATCTACCTGTGTTGGTACACTTTTAATGGCCCAGTACTGTTGTAAAACTGGGATGGAATTCACATCTTATCTATAAAGCAATGTGCTCAGCGGTAATACAGCCGACTGAACTCACTTATAAAGATTGGAATTCTATGGAAACGCCTTGGGGCGATCAATGAAAAGCATCGATCGTCTTTGAACAGTTGCCAAGCTCCTTCTATTTACTTCCTAATATGTGTACTAAGATAAGCGAAGATGGGAAGACGTCAAGGCTTGACTCTTTTTAAACTACAGATATGCGAGCGACGGTGGCCTTACATCTGGAAAGAACGATCAAACACCTAGACATACATGATAAGGAGAGACTAGAGTCATCATCTACAGAAGCTGAAAGATGAGCGATGACATGCAGCGAAAAGAATCCCCATCTTCGTCGTGACATAACCCAACCTGCATGGAAATTGAAGTATATTAAAATTGTTTCCTGTCCTTAGTAGGAGTAGTACTGTATCTTCGATATTCACGTTTCATTGGGGCTTTCGTCAAGGCCCCCGCTCAGAGTTCGGCAAATCCAGACCGAAGAACAGAACCACAACAAACCACAATATATAACCAAACAAGCGATTTACTTCACAACAGAGCCGTCTAATTCACTGCTAACTAGCTTCCAAGACCTGAAACTAACAACCTAATAGCATATCGTCAAATTACACACCAACTTCAAAACCCGCCAATCGCCCCTGGCTTTTGGGAAAACCCAACACCAAACAAGTGTTAAGTACAACGAGGAATGACAATTTCTCATTTCAACTCAGATTCGCTTACGTTAGTCATGATCCAAACATTGCATCTGCAAAAAATGGTCAGCTTCTACAGCGCAATCCCGCCCGGGCTTTCATCACGCCCATTCAGCCGTTTTGGCTTGTCAACACTCAGTAGCTACTTCAACAGCACAGCCGCAAGCATCCTTTCCAAATCAGAATCGAAAGACATAAAAATTTGAAAAGACAAAGCGACATACACCAAAAAGGGTAAGTACATCTCCCCTCTTCCTACACACGAGTTTGACGGCTCAAATTCTTTTTTGTTTTCGCAATAGGGGCAATTTCCCCCTTCTTCTTATCACTTTTTCCTGCTAACATTGTCTCGAGCATAAGATCAAGAGTAACAGCAGAGTCATGCCTATTACTTAGCTTAGTAGAAAGTTTTGATTTACAAGGTGCGGTAACTCTTTGTTGCTGGATTGATATCCAAACATGTAAAGTACTTAGCCACCTGACCCAATTTACATAATGTAGAAACCTGGTGAAGAGAATGATTTTGTGCCATAAACTATGACATTCATTACTACTTCCCAAGCCTATGTGCTCGACTCCCATGGTAAACTAAACGTACCCACCCACTCCTCCACCTCACTTCTGAGCTGGACTATCTCACGCTCATTTTCGCCCTCCCCTAGATACTCTAAGAATGCCTTCACACTACCAGGGTTCTTTCTCTCCTTCGCCTCCGCGGCCTCCTTGGCAGTCTTCGATAATCGCTGCGTGATAGTCACGGCTCTGTTCACTACATCAGCTACTCTGACAAAATCGTCTGGCTGAAAGCCTCGTGTTGTCATGGCTGGTGTGCCCATGCGAAGTCCGCCGGGCTTGAGAGCGGATTTGTCGCCCGGTACAGTGTTCTTGTTCGATGCGACACCCACGAGTTCAAGGACGCGTTCTACGCGAGCTCCATCGACACCTTGGGGCTTGAGATCGATGAGGACGAGATGGTTGTCTGTCCCACCAGAGACGATGGTGTAGCCCAGACCGCCTTTATCTTTGGAGTCACCGAGACGTTTAGCAAATGCCTGGGCGTTAAGGAGAACAGCTTCTTGGTAAGCTCTGAACTCGGGACTTTGGGCTTGCTTGAGGGCAACTGCCAAAGCTGTGATAGTGTGGTTATGTGGACCGCCTTGGTGTCCAGGGAATACTGAAGCATTGATAGGGTCTTCTAAGTTCCACATCTCTTGCTCCTTGGTCTTAGGGTTGGTCCGTCTTACTCCCTTCCTAAAGAAGATCATAGCACCTCTTGGACCACGCAGGGATTTGTGTGTAGTCGTAGTTACGACATCTGCGTATTCGAATGGAGAAGGGATGACCTTAGCTGCTACCAGACCTGAGATATGTGCCATATCAGCCAAGAGATATGCGCCAACTTTGTCGGCAATCGCTCGCATTCGATCGTACTCAATGAGTCTACTGTAGGCAGATGTTCCGGCAATAATAAGCTTGGGTCTGTAAAGCATGGCCATTTCTTCCAACTTGGCGTAGTCAATAAGGCCGGTTGACTCGTCCAGACGATATGGGAAAGTCTCAAAGTATTTAGAGATGGCCGAGATCTTCTTGGTGGGTGTTTGGTAACCGTGGGATAGATGTCCACCATGTGGTAAATCCAGTCCCATTATCCGATCGTGTGTATTGAGAAGTGCAGAGTAGGCCATAAGATTGGCAGGAGATCCAGACAGTGCTACTTAATTTAGTCGAAGTTCAAAGCCGGAAGATGGTAAACATACGCTGGACATTGACACCCCAGTCCGAATCCTTGACTCCAAACGTCTGCAGAGCACGGGATTGACAGAGGCGCTCTGCTTGGTCAATAAATTCGTTCCCGCCATAGTATCGTGCTCCTGGGTATCCCTCGGAGTACTTGTCTGCAGTGCGGTCAGAGGAGCATCACCTCACTTCGTACCAAGACCTACTTTGCATAACACTTCCTAGAGCATCGAGGACAGCCTGCGACGTAAAGTTTTCGGAAGGAATCAGGTTGATGAAGTGCTTCTGCCTTCTTTTCTCCTGTCATGTACGTCAACACTTGATACAAGGTCTGGTAATCGTGGGCATTCGTACATTCTGGAGGATTTCGTATACAGCAGGATCTGCCTGTTCGAGATTCGCAGAGAGTAACTGTTTGACTTCCAATCAGCATTCAGAACATGACAGGAGGACGTCCTTCGCACCTTCTGCTGGGACTCTGCCGTCATGGAAGATGCAGCTCGCCGCGATGCACCTGCACATATGGGCGCCACTCTACGAGCAGAAGCTCTAAGCAAAGACCTCGAAGCTCCCCTGAAGAGAGACATGATGATCTGATGTAGTCAGTACTGAGCAACCAACAGTTGAGAATCAATTGAAGCATACCTCTTTCTTGTGCGAACACAGAGTCAAGAGTCATAGGAAGGAGAATGGGCAGGTACCGAATATCAAGTCGTCCTTCACCTTCCCCGCCATGAAAGCACGCTAACGATCTGTGGCGCGCCCTCCCCATACATAATCCAGCCCGCGCCCTCTCAATCTAATTTCTCTTTCTTCTCTCCTCACAACTAAAGCGGAAGTGATGAATGCCTCTACGTCAGGTACAGCTCTGGCCTTAGGGCGGGCGACGTTGATATGTCTTGGGCTCACAATCACCACTCTTCGAGGGACAATGTGAAAATATCTGATCCGTCTTTCTGTTGATTTAATTATCTTCTGAACTATCGTTTCTAGACTCCACCTTCATTTGTGGCCTTTGGCCGTTCATTGATCTTGCACCTTCATCAGTTGATTACATGTTTTCATACTGTTATTGTATTTCATTGATACTTATGTTCTTACGCGTGTTTGTGACTTGTGTATTGAGGACCAGTTCTGGTGGTGGTATATCGTTATCGTCACTTTTTACGGATGTATCTCCGAACATAACTTATCCCGAGCTCTGGCCCACCCAGAACTATCTACCAACATTCTAATAGTCTTACCTCTTATTTACTTTCCTTTTTGCAGTCTTCTGCAGCTTTGGAGTTGGACCTGGCAATTGTTCTCCAGCATCTTCGGTCTGACATCGAGATGGGAAATCAGATGGTGGTTCATAATTCCCAACTGATTTTGGTTGTGTCTGATCAATTTGGGGGTTCAGCCATATAACTATTCCGTTTCTGTTTCTTTAGATTAAGACATGTTTTCGACATAAGTGACGTTCACCGTGACTTCACAGAGCCTGTTCTTAGTACCAATGCCGTGTTGTTCCAAGTTCATGATTCCATTCCGTGCAGATGCAAGAAAGACTAGTAAAAGCAACCGGCCTTGAAGAAAGCCCCTGCCCGATACACTCCGTTTGCTACCGTCACAAAAGCAATTCCCTTTACTTGGTCTCAGTCTCCTCGTCATCTCCGAACTGTGCACGTTGCTTGGCCGCAACTCTCTCCTGCTTTCGCTCACGGGCAGCCTTAACCTTCGCACGCTTGCCATCCATCTCCTCCTTGAGGATTCTCTCACGCGCCTTCTCAGCCTTGGCTCGGTGAATCTGTTGAAAACGTTAGATTGTGACCCTGGCCCCTCCCGTAGTATATTAACTTACGTGCTCAACCAACGCTCTCTTGTGCTTGAATGTGTTACCCTTGCTCAAGTGGTAGAGCTCGTGGTAAAGGTGCTTATCGATCTTACCGCTGGCACGGTACTTGACGAGGAGACGGCGGAGGACACGAAGACGGCGCATCCAGACGACTTGGCTGTGAAGAAAATATCAGATTTGCCCCTCAATTCCATCCACGTGTAGTAGTGTAGCATACCTAGGCATACGGGCATCCGCAGTACCCTTACGCTTTCCGAAACCACGGTGTCTACCAATTCTTCGGGCGGCTGTGAGCTCACGGGCGCGGGATCTCGAGTGCATAGTGACGGGCTTTTGGATGATGAGGCCATCTGCAACGAGCTTGCGGATGGTTTGACGAGAGTTGGCGTTGGAGATCTCGCTGGTCTCATTAGGATCGAGCCAGATCTTGCGCTTTCCGCAGCCTACGACGGAGGCCGCCAGGCGCTTTTGGGTGGTGAGGTTGACCCTATTCGAGACAATTGAGGTCAGCATCTGTTCGAGAGTCTATGACGCATCGTGCGCAGTGTAGAGAGTCGGCAGAGGACCCCGAAAGTCCTCAGATGGCGAAGGTGCTGTAGAGAGTGGAATGGCTTACATCTTGACGGTGTCGTTGGTGTCGTCGGTGGGATGGTCGTCGTGGTTGTCGATGGGCGATTCTCTGGTGCACCTTGAAATGAGGAGATGGATCTCGCGCTAGCGTCTCGTCTGGCGACTCTAGCTGACTAATTCGCGAAATTCTTTGTGAACGGGCAGGGCTTCTTCCTCGCCTAACCCTGAAATCCGGACCAGCTATGAATTACTCTGAAAGCTCGCTGCAGACAAGAGACTAAAGAAAATGTGTTAGTTCTTCAAATAGTATTCAATACAATGGGCAGGTCTGTAATGTTCCACGAAATAATTCCGCTCAGATCGTGCAGGACAGATCCAATTGCCATCAATTTCAGTTGTTAGGTGCCTCAGGTTCCCACGGTTGCACTCTCACACGTGACGAAGTGTCTTCATTGCCCTGGCTTGCATGGAGCTAGGTAGAGAAAGCATGCTCCAGATTTAGGGTGAATGGGATCAATTTATTCTTAATTGCTAGACAAGAGGAGATCTTGAATGAATCAAGAGATTGCTTACAAGTTCATCTTTCGTTCACTTATGGTACAGTGCTCACTGTTAGGTGGGAGCGGTTAGGGAGACACTGACGTGCCAAATGCATTTTCTACCAACCTCGACGCATGCAATGCACCAGCCCTTTTTCTAACCAGATACATGCTTTTCTCGTAACTCATTTCACTCATCAAATGCACCCTCTCCAAGATCCACTTTGCCCACACTCCAAATCTCTCGCTCATCATCTATTTCATCATTAGAAAGTCCCAATCCACCCTGTCCTCCTTCAGCTTCCTTTCTCTCTCGTGCAGTATTACCAAGCCTCAAGGCGACACGCTTGAAATAATCTTGCATGCTTCTCTTTTGATTGGCGGGTAGGTCTTGCGTGGAAATGTATTTGTCAAAGACCTTGCTCTCGAGCTCCACGACATTGAAAAGAGCCATGAAAGCGGCCTCAGCCGCTAGCTTGACGGGAATCACGGGATCTCGAACACTAGCGAAAACTGGAAGTGCCAGTAATGGTAGATGTGGTCGAATAGTATCCATGTGATGGCGGCATGTTGTGCGAATAACTACTAGTGCCAAGCGACGCGTGTCAACAGAGTTACCAGGCTGAATAAGACTGGCGAGTGCTTCGAAGAGTGGCTTGATGACTTCGTAGTCGTCGCTACGGCTGTCCAGAAGTAAATACTTTCCTGCAGCTAAGACACAATTGTCCGAGATGAAGTTCTGGAAGAGTCAGTTAAGAGAAGTCCCGTGAGGATGATTGAATGCTTACATTCTTACTTGTCATGCCTTGGCAGATGGCCGATGGCAAGTCACCTGCAAAGGCAGTCTCCGTGAGGGATGTTGAGGCTTCCAGCAGGACAGCATTCAATGCTAGTACGGATGATTGGCTGAAGTTGTTTGGTAAAACACGATTCTTGACAAGGCTAGCTGCGCCCTCTACCGGCACGTTCTTGATGAGGGCAGCAAGCAATTTCGCATTGGTGATGGCCATAGACACATCGTTGTCATCGGAGTCCGTATCGATTAGGCTGAGAACTGCTCCTCTTGATGCTTCGCTCATGTTGGCTCCTGCCTTGCTAATCACTTCATACAGTGCCTTTAGCATAGCATTGCGAACACCTGCATCTGATGTTTTTGAACCGGTGACCAACTCCGCGATCAAAGGATCAATACGAGGGGTCAACGTAATCAGAGTACCTAAAGCTTTCGCTGCCCGCGTTCTCAGAACTTCGCTAGATGTGTCAGCCAAAGATTTGGCAAAAGTCCGCTGTAGTTGGGGCAAGAAAGGCTTGAGAAAGGTCGGAATCTTCTCGAGAAGGTTGTTCAGTGTTAACAAAATTGCAGCTTTGACATCAACGGAACGTTCAGACACAACCCTGATCAACGGCCCAGTGATCTGGGTAACGAAAGGCTTCAGAGAATCGCCGCTTGTTCGATCAACGATATCAGAAATAGCCAAAGCGGATTGGGTTCTCTGTTCCGGGGTGCCGTTCATCAAGCCTTGCAAGAATATAGGTAGGATTGCGTTGATGCCCTTCGGTAGGGCGAAGCCTGGAAGATTGGCGCCTGCAACACCTACATGTTGCAGGACTTGTCGGGTTGAAAAAACAAGCGCTTCCATTTCCTCTTTCTTGAGATGTTTCGTGAACTCGGATAGCGCAGTCCAAGCAGCCTTGACAACCTCTTTGTCACTGTCGTCGAAGGAGACGAGTAATGCCCGAATAATGTCTTGGTTGTAGCGAGAATAGTCGACAGTAGCTGAAGCGAAGAACTTCGCAAGGTGATAATCAGTTGCAGCTCTTCTACGATGGTCATCGTGCTTGACCAGTGCGAGCAGTACGCTCATAGCGGTATTCAAGCCATCGAACTCGTCGATAGACAGAACGACGGTGTCAAAAGAGGCGTCGAGATCAGCTCGGAGTTCATCATCCTTGCATGCCATGATATTATCCATAAGTGAATTCAAAATACTCGGCAGTCGTCGTGTCATTGTGGATCCAGCAACCGTTGAGAGGGAGGCAAGAGCTTTGGCGTTAAAGGACGAGATCGGAGATGTGGTAAGAGTGGGTATCAAATTGGGGAGAATAATGTTGGATCGAGTAGTCTCGGTGAGAAGTGTCAGAAGAGCAGACAACGCGTTGTCGGCTTCGTCTTCAGTTCGCAAGAGACTCAAGAGATAAGGCAGTACCTGGTCCACGGCTCTTTTCCCGAGAATCTGTTGTAAAGAGTCGAAGGCTTCCGCTGCAGCCTCTCTGACATCTTCGTCGGAATCGATCAGAGCAATTCGAACAACAGATATTAGTGTCTTTTCGTGGTCTTCCAATGCGTCTGGGGATGCAGAAGATATTAATTCCCGCAACGCAATACAGATACCCTGCTTGGCATCTGTATCGGTTGATGTCTGGAGGCCCTCTTCAAGGGTTGGTAGCAGAGTTGAAAGTATACCATCTCCAGCCTTACGAATCAACTCTCCAAGCGCGTTTCCTGCAATAACTTTCTGCTCCATATTGGAGCTGCCCAGTCTTCGAATTATAAGTTGAGATAGTGTCGGGATGAGTTCCTTCAGCGTTCTAGGACTGGCAACAAGTGCCTGTTCTGCTTGTTAGCTCCAATTGATTCCAAAGTATCAGGATTACGATCCTAAGACACGATCCCGATTCGGAACTATTAACAAAACAAGGGGGGAATATGCTGACCTTCCAAACATTTACAGCTGCAGTTCGAACCAAGCCGGACGTATCGCAGCGACAAATGTATAGCGAAGACAAAACCTTGTTTCTTTTCTCTTCGCCGAGCACCTCCAAAAGCGAAACTCCCGCCTCTTGTGCACCCTCCTCAATTTCATCTGCTTCTGTTGTAGAACTGATCCCAGTGAGGTTGAAGAGAAGATCACCGACCAACTCAACGGAACTGAGACGAATTCTGTAGCTGTCATCAGCAAGGCCACGCTCAAGTTCTGGCAGCAGAAGATCAATGGATTTGGTAGCAAAGTTCTTGACAAGTAAGCGACCTGCACGAAGAGACGTGTCACGAATTGATTCCACGTCATCTGCAAGACCAGATAGAATAGGGGGAATGATCCTGCTGAGGTAGTTTGCGAAGCTGTTGCCGAAGCAGACGGGCAAGAATATGAACAGCGACATGAAGCCTTCCCGAACAGAAGGCTTGGCAGAGGCAACATTTTGAAGAATGGTAGGAAGGGTTTCCTCCAAACGACTTGTTCCAAGACCTGCAAGGACTTCACTGAGAGCTTGAGCAGAACCAAGGCGGTCACCAGCACCAGTGTCTGATTTGAGGGTTTGCATCAGACCAGGGATAAGATCTGGAAGGGCGTCCTCGCCCAACTTCTCGATCAGAGAGCCCAAGGCCTTAGAAGCAGTTGCACGAGTTGTTGGGACAGGATCAACCACCGCAATTTTGAGTCCTGCAACCAAGATTGGCAGATGAGCTACCAGATCTTTCCGCTCGGTAAGATGTGCCAGACTACCAATAACCTGTGCAGATTTACGCTTGGTTGCTGAACGGTCTCCTAAGCCTCGCTCCAGGATACGAGCCACGAGCGCAAGAGATGGGGCATCCAAATAATGGATGAAAGAGACCTTGATCAGAGCATCTAGAGCACCATCCGTGTACTTGGTAGGGTCACTCAACGCCTTGAGAAGGACGTCGACGAGACCCTTGATTTCTGGGTTATTTATAACCTCGCCGAAGCGTTTCAAACTTCGATTGGCAGCAAGTCGGACTTCCTTGTGACTGTCGTTGAGTACACCGGTCAAAGGTGGAATGATTTCGGGAAGACTTTGCGCGAGTTGTTGGGGATCGAGGTAGGCCATGGCACCAAGAAGATCACAGGCACCTTTCTTACTTCGCCATTGCTGGTCATCGAGACCATCTAGCAGTGTAGGTAGGATTCGTTTGACACCATAGGAGCTCAGGCTCGCAAAGCAAGCTTTTGCAGCGGCCAAGCAGCCATCACGTACATCAGCACTGGCGTCCCCAAAGCTGGAAAGCAGCTGAGGCACTATTTGAATAACATATGGCTCAAAGATACGGCCCAGAATCGTCGACAGAAGCTCATATGCGAGTAGAGCACCCTCGCGATGGTTGATATCCTTCTTGTTTTCGATCCCGCTCTTCAATGTTGACATGACGCGATATTCCCTGAGAGCTGATATTCCTTTGCCGTGGACAATTCCAGCAAGACCATAGGCCGCACCACGTCGTCCGGCATACTTCTTCGAGTTGAAGAGGCGCTCAAGAACATAATGGACATATTCGGGGGTGTTCTCGCGTGATGCTCTTACGAGGGGTGGTAAGCATTCCGCAACTGCATATTGAACAGCCTCGGAAGGTGTACTCAAAGTATCAAGAAGTCTCTGGACAACCTTTGGCACACGAGAATCCCCTGACTTCAGATGACGAGCGAGAGCACCGTACATGATAATGACAGCTTCGTTGACTCGGTCTGCAAATTCGGAACCTTTGTCAGGCGCCTCAAGTGTTTGCTCAAATGTTTTCATCAGATCTTCCACTTTGTCTTTGCCATGAATGGCAATGATGGCAGTTGCAGCTTCTACCATCTGCTCTCGGACGTTGGGATCTCTGTCACCCAGAGGACCTTGTTCAATGAGGAAACGGAGGAACTCATCGAGCATGCTTTCTTCAAAGACGGCAGCAAGCTCCTTGAAAGCTAGAGCAATACCGTTCCTGGCCTCCCATGGGTCCGAGAGATCCATCTTTTTAGGCATGCCGTACTCGTCAAGCTGAGGAACACGTGGCTTGGCCAGTTCTTGGTAGGTGGACTCTAGGCGTGATAACGTATCATGAAATGTGGACGGCTGTACCTTCACAGCCGAAGCTAATGACCGCGCAGCTGCCCTTCTAAGTTGCTTATCGGGACTTTCAAGATATGTTAACATTGTGGACGGCGTGTTGGCTGCAATCTTGAAGTCACTCTCCTCCCATATCTCTTTTCCGATTTCTACATTCTCACTGACATCATCATGGCAAGCCAACCATATTTCTTCCGAGAAATCAAGTTCGCTCATGTCAATGTCGGCGCTGATAGACTGCAAAACGGCGGTTCGGACGGAAATTTGTGGAACAATAGCACCTCTGGCAAGAATTGCGATCTCTTGGTTGGTGATATTTGGAGCGAGGCAACGACAAAGGTCTGCCAAGCAATCCTTGACGATCTTGTAGTGCTGGTTGTAGGTTTGCATGGAAAATATCAGTATTGACAATACTTCCTGGCGTGGTACAAGAATGTCAGAGCACGCATCAGTGTGAAAGGTGAGGAACTCCAAAGCTAAGACAAGCTGTGCTTCAGCATCGTCAGAATCACCAAACCCACCTTTCCGGAGCACCAAGAACACGAGAGGGAGGATGTATGTCAAAGAAACAGTGTCAAAGGGTCGCTGTTCTCCAGAAAATCGAAGTCGATAGAGAACTCGAGTAATGAGAGCGCCTAGTGGTTCTTGTACCAGCTCTTGAGCTAGGTGCGGAACATCGAGAGCTCTCAATGTTGCAATGCCGATGAATGGTCGGAGGACACCAATACGACTAGGCAAAATCTCTGCACACAGAACGTATGCTTCGGGAGCGGCATTGGCAGTTATCAAGCCCGCCCCGGCATTAATCACATCCACCAAAGCTTTCACGGCGGGTCCCATCCAGAGGCTTGCTTCTGTTGGAGGCCCGGTTGCAAGACTCTTGATGATTCCGATTCCACGTAGAAGTCTTGCTTCAAGGTATCGTATGTCGAGACGAATGCTGGCTTCCTTCTTCAATTGGGCTTTGACTTTGGCACTCTCTTCAGATGTAAGCTTCTTCTGCTGGCCCTTTTTCTGGGCCAATTGGGCACGTAATTCTTCCTCCCACTTTAGGGTATCGTAATCCTTGGTGTTCTTGTTGGGCACATAACCCTGAGACTTCGAAGCAAGCACATCTACAAATGCAGTACCTTCCTCGGTGCGGAAAATAGCCGCCTCTGTTGGACCGACAGTGACAAGCTGTGAAGGATTGAGATCGTTTTCGATTAGCTTTACGATACGAGATATCATTGTATCTGGTGCTACGAAAGCAAGTTCAGCGGCAGCATTAAAAGCTGCTTTCTTGACACTTTCGGACGTCTGTGATGTTTCCTGAGAGAAAGAAGGGTCAGCCAATATTGTCCAAACGACATATAGAAAGATATGTACTACTTCGTTGAAGCTGGTTGAGTCAATAATTTGCTGCATTAAGGCGTCTTCGGAGGTTCTCGCCAGCTCTCCTGGGTCTACTTGAACTCGTAGACATAATTCGATCCAGTTGACTCGTGGGATCAATTCTGGTCTTGACAAGACAAGTAATGAAATCATCTGCTGTCTCCGAACTACAAGATCAACTTCGCCGCCCAGCTTAGCCATTTCCTCTGTAGAGAGACAAATTGACTTGACGATAATGTGGAGGTTTTGGTTCTCTGATTTTGATATAATAGCTGCACTATCCTTATCACCAGACTCAACACAGTGGTGCCAACGCCAAAGACCGGCAATCATAATTGCTGAAATGTGTGCTGGTTCACGAGCGTAGAGTTGCGAGAGTGTTCTCGAACAAAAGTTTCGAAGTTCCGGCGTGACGCTAGATGAGCAGATACAGAAGATAATGGCTTGAGACCAAGCAGTGGAGACTGTTGAGACTGCGTCCATGGTAGCAAGCTCTTGTGATGTAGAGGATAAAGCACGAATGAACCATTTGAAATCATCTGTGCTGGAGAGTTTGCCGTAGATGCGCTGATTCAGTAAGAACGAGGGTTTTGGTTCCATTTTGAGGGCTTGATGATCAACTTGAGCCTTCTTGAGTGCCGCTTCGACTTTCGCCGTTGGGCATAAGGCAAGCTTGGGTTGAGCGATTGCCGTAAGGATATAGGCACAAGTTACCAGGCCTGACTGTGCAGCCGCCAGAGGATTTGCAATGACCTCTTGCCATATCTCCATCAGTGCTGTAATAGTAGACTCTGCAAGCTTAGAAGCTTTGGACTTCAAAAGCTCCTCGCTCTCAATGGCCAAGAATAGCTCTCCCAGCCGTACAGCCCATAGCTTTTTGACAGGCACTTTTTTATCAGAGAGCCCTTTGACGAAAGCATCAATGACCTGTTTGTCGATCTCTAGATCGTTGAAAAGACCCCAGGTGACATAATGAAGAACCGTTAAAGTCTCCGATTGAAGGGCTGCTTCGTTGGCTTCTTTCCCAGCAATAATGGCCATTGCAGGTGTCACATGAGTCACTGCAGCCTTTGAAGGAGGTAGCACTGTGAGCATATCCGCATAGTATGCTCTCTGCTCCGCAGACGGCACTTTCCCACTTTTTAATGGAACAAGTATCTCTTGGGCAATCTGAATAATCAAGTCTGAGTCGTGGCTCTTATGGACGGCAGCCTTGAAGGCCGAGAAAGCGCCATGTCGCACAACAGCATTTGTAGACTTGGTATTTGCTAATAACGGCTTTAAGAGATTGTTTCGAAGAACACTCGAAAGGTCGATGCTTTCCCCGAAAGAATGGAAGAGTGGAGTAACTAAATCATTGAGCACGATTTCTGGAGCTCGGAGAAGAGCCTTCTCAAGTGCAGGGACAATTACTTTCTCAACGTCTTCCGACGTAGTGAAGGCAATGAAAAAGTCCCCCAATGCCTTGGATATGTGGTCTGGTACTGGGGTTCGTGATCCAATGATTTCTCGAATGTAGAAGGCATAGTATTCAGATGCGTTGCTCGAAAGGATCTTCTTGGCCTCTGATTTCCTTGCACAAACTCCAGCAATAACTCCTAACATAACGGCATTCTTCGTGGATGGCTGGGGCCCTTTCGAAGAGAGCATGCAGACTGCATCCCCAATCAATTTTTCCATAGCGTCGCCAGCGGAGAACGCTTTTCGCAGCCCACGTCTAGTAATGACAAGCGCCGCCTGCCTCATGTTGGACCTGGTCGATTCACCGAGACAGAGTTCGAGGACGCGGGCGTTGCTCTGAATAGTAATTTGGCCCCATTTCTCCCAGTATGTCGTGCCAGCGATTTCTTGCAGCAGTATGCTACACCATTCTACCAGGACAAAGGCATTCCCTGGGGCGAGCCCTTGCTTTGCAGTTTCCGCATCAATGGTCCTTACAAACTCTTCCAAAGCCTCTGGGGCGCACCCGGAACTGAATATGGCCCGTATGCATCGTTGTACAGCTCGCCGTGAAGTTCGATCGTGGTAGTATGGATATGTGACGAAAAGAAGTCGTAGAAGAGGCGGGAAAAGCCCGTGGCTTATTTCTGGTAGAAGAATTTTGTCAGCATACGATCTTGAAGATGTAGAGCTATTTCGGAGGGGTACCATTGTTCGAAAGCCTTTCTTCGAGGGCGTGTAGGTTGCCCAAACGAATCTTGGTGGAGGAGGAAGACAATGCTACTTTTGTAGCACTGAGATCCAAATCCACCTTGCCCGTACCGTTGACCTCCACCTCAGTCATCTCGTAGACTCAAAATACTTGTCATGACCTGGAGTTGAGTTCGAGTTGGGTTCGGTGTAGTTGGGTGGCCTAAATTTATTCGGGTTGGAGGTTGGATTGATTAGCGACGCAGATACTGTAACCTTCGTAAATAAAAAGTCTGGAGGGTGCGATCCAAAACACCCCGCATCTGATAGTCAAGCTTCACGAAGGAGCAACTAGTAACCTCAACAAATCCTTTCCTATGGCTGGGGGAAAGAAGAAAAAGAAGCCAGCGGCAAACCCGGCCAGAGGATTTGCAACTACATCTATTGCCTCCAAGCCAAAGATCGAAGTCCCTGAACCAGGAGTTCCTTCAACAGAGTCATCCGCGCAGCACGGCAATCTCAACTCGGAAGAAATAGAGCAAAGCGCATCCGCAGATACAAAATCGGGTCGCACGACAGCATCGAGCAAGATATTAACTGCAGAAGAGTTTGAGAAGCAATTAGAAGACTCGGAATTACAGATACTGGTTGAGAGACATGCCCAGAAATCAAAGAGAGATGCCCTCCGTCAAAAGACGAGACTGGAGACAGATCGCCGTGTCTTGAGAAGTCAGGCCGAAAGCCTCAACACGAGGAAATGGTTACCTCCGGAATTGATGGAAGAGATCTTGGATTTGGTCAGTGGCGAAGGACGTTTTACGGGGCAGTCAAACGAATCTACTGGCAATATCAAACAAGCCTCTGAGGAGGAGTTGACGATCCGTCTTTGGACTCTGCAGCAAGCCCTTGGGGGGGCAGGATTCACAGATGAAAGGGTTCTTCGAGCCACCAGGCATGTTTTGGATATTTCGGACAAGATAGCAGTGGGGAATAAAGACGCAATTTGGGGCATGGAAGAAGCCTTGGAATGGCTGGCTAGGGAATGTACGAGGGATGATCTGCCAGACTATGATAATCTTTACCGCAAAGCCGGGATGTTGTCGAAGTCACAAACAGGTGAGTGTTCGTCCATTTTGCTCTACTCATCATGCTCAGACTTTATCAGACACACCAATCGAGAGTCCATTACCTTCTGGCGCTACCACCCCTCGTACAGAGTCTGATACAAGACATATGGGGACTGGTGCAGTAAATAACCACCTTTCCGGGCTGGAGCGGCAACGCTCACCTGCTAAGAAGCTCGTGGCCCTTGATTATGACAGTGATATCGATCCTGATGATCTTTTGCCCGTTTATCTGGAGTGCAAGACAAAGTTATTCCATGCACAGCAGTCCATGACTAAGAAGGACCATCCACGAGGAAATATTCGAGGTTCTGCTGTGAACAAGAAGACCGTGGCTGCTAGCACAGACTCAGAATCGGCAAGATGGACTCGAAAGGTTAAGAGAATACAAGATGATGTTCTATTTGACCAGTACATTGCAGATCAGCAGTGGGAAATCAAGCGTATTCAGCTGGAGAAAGATGCCGCAGCTCAGCGAAAGGCTGCGGAGGTCACCCAAGACAATAGCGACTCGAATTCCCAAGGATCCCAGACCCTTGTTGATTCTGATGACGAAGTTAGCAAGGAGGCTGCCAGAATCGGCGCTGAACTGCTCGAAGAGAATGGGAGCGACGATGACGGCGCACTGGCAGACTTGTTTGCGAGCTTACCGGTCAATGAGATTGACCCCCTGACTGGCAAAAGTTGCACTGTTGTAACTGGCCTGAATGGCGTCAAGATTACGATTCGAGATTTTGGGAAGTGGTCTGGGATCAATCCTACCCGAGTTCTCGAGGAAGCTTGCCGTGCTCGGTACGTTTACTCAAATTTCATCTGTGATGTGAACACGATGTTATGTTTGATCCAAAATATTGACAATTACGCAGAGATTCATCTGTGAAACTGAACTTTACTGTCATCTCCGATTCAAGCTTTTCGATCCGACATTCGCTGCGGATCATTTGGTCCAAATCGCAAGATATTCAATTGATAACGCCGCCAGTGCAGATTGACTCTACCTCTTCACCAAAGTCTCATACCTTCACCATGGTCTCCATATCGGCCCCTGATTCTAAACAATCCGAGGCTTACATCGCTACCATAGCGTTGTTCCTATTATTTAGCTCGTCAGCAAAAGAGGACAAGGTCTTTCTTCGTTTGCCGCCTGCATGGAGAGATCTATGGACAGAATTTGCCGAGGCAAAGAAGGAGAAAGCCGACGAAGCAGACCGTTCCAGTATTCGTATTTTTCGAGACATGGTCCGCGAGAAGAGAGACCAGGAACTAGAGGACGGCGTTCTCATACAGGGCGCTTTCAGAAATCGAAACAATGCTCGAGCCCCGGACAATAGTGACGAGTCAGGCCCTGACAAAGCTAACAAAGGATTACTTGAACCTCAAGCGTATCAGCGAATCTGGTACGACAAATCCAACACGCCAAGCTACCAAATGATGCTGGTTAGTCAGTCTTATCCTAATCCTTCACTCCTGCTCACACGAAACTAGAATTCTCGTATGCAGCTTCCAATGTGGGGCTTCAAGAACGAAGTCCTCGAAGCAATTGATCGACATCAAGTTGTCATCGTCTGCGGAGAGACCGGATGTGGTAAGAGTACTCAGGTACCGTCATTCATCCTGGAACATCAGCTTTCTCAAGGCAAACCGTGTAAGATCTATTGTACGGAGCCACGACGTATTTCAGCTATCTCACTAGCTCGACGTGTCAGCGAAGAGCTCGGGGAGCGTAAGAATGACCTTGGTACTTCACGGTCTCTTGTTGGCTATGCGATCCGTCTCGAGTCAAACACTTCAAAGGAAACCCGACTGGTTTATGCGACAACAGGTATCGTGATGAGGATGCTTGAAGGATCTAACGATCTCAAGGATATCACACATATTGTTCTCGATGAAGTTCACGAGCGGACGATCGACAGTGATTTTCTGTTGATTGTCTTGAGAAAATTAATGGCTCGTAGAAGAGAACTGAAGGTCGTTTTGATGTCTGCAACAGTCGATGCGGAACGCTTCTCCAAGTACTTGGATGGAGCTCCAGTGCTCACTGTTCCCGGTCGCACATTTCCCGTTACAGTCAAATACCTCGAAGATGCTGTAGAGTTGACAGGTTATACGTTGGATAGTACTTATCAGGAAAAGTTCAAGGATCTCGATGACGACGAGATAGAGCCTGCCGAAGTTGGCCTTACTGAGGCAAATAAGATCGAGAATACCAAAGCTCTTCGGGGCTACAGTGGCAGGACCAAGAACACGATTGCCCAGTTGGATGAGTATCAGATCGATTTTGAATTAGTTGCACAGCTTCTTGCAAAAATTGCTGTTGACGATCACCTGCAAATGTTTAGCAAAGCGATCTTAGTATTTCTACCTGGAATTGGTGAAATTCGCCAGCTTAATGATATGTTGGCTGGGCATCCGGTTTTTTCTGCAAACTGGTATGTTTACCCACTTCACTCCACGATCGCCAGTGAAGACCAGGAGGCTGCTTTCCTCGTGCCTCCACCTGGTACAAGAAAGATTGTTCTTGCTACCAATATTGCCGAGACTGGTATCACAATACCCGATGTTACGTGTGTCGTTGACACCGGCAAACACCGAGAGATGAGGTATTCCTCCCCTTTCATAGCTCAGTTTTACCTTACTTATTCGATTTTTGACAGATTCGATGAAAGAAAACAACTTTCAAGACTTCTGGAGACTTTCATTAGCAAGGCCAATGCGAAGCAACGCAGAGGTCGAGCTGGAAGAGTACAAGAGGGCTTGTGCTTTCACCTTTTTACTAAACACCGGCACGATGAATTGGTAAGTGAACATCTCAACACAGAGCATGATACTATGTGGTGCAGCAGCATGCTAACTATCATTTCTGAAGATGTCGGATCAGCAAACCCCCGAGCTTCTCCGCCTTTCCCTTCAAGATCTTGCTATTCGCGTCAAAATATGCAAGCTTGGTGGTATCGAGGAGACATTGAGTCAAGCTCTAGATGCGCCGTCGTCCAAAAACATTCGCCGTGCAGTGGATGCCCTTATAGATGTTAGAGCCTTGACACCAGGCGAAGATCTTACCCCTCTCGGTATCCAGCTTGCACGATTGCCACTAGATGTCTTTCTTGGGAAGCTAGTGCTTCTTGGAAGCATTTTCAAATGCTTGGACGCTTCTATTACCATCGCAGCAATCTTGTCATCCAAATCTCCATTTTCGGCACCATTTGGTGCACGAGCTCAAGCAGACACTGTTCGACTTGCATTTCGGAGGGGCGATTCGGATCTTCTCACCGTCTACAATGCATATTTGGCTTGGAAACGAGTTTGCGTGACTGGTAATTCGGATTACCAGTTCTGCAGAAAAAATTTCCTCAGTCAGCAAACACTGTTGAACATTGAAGATCTCAAGGGACAACTTGTGGTATGTCTGGTCGATTCAGGCTTTCTGCCATTGACGGGAGATGAGCGAACAGCGTTGAACAAGTAAGTAAAACCTCCTCAACTCTACATCTTGCTGACAGTTTAGAACTCGTTACTCCAGTAGACGTCGTCAATTCTTTGATATTCCCCAGCGAGCGAATGTAAACAGCGATAACGACATTGTGACTAGTTCAGTCATCGCGTGGAGTTTCTATCCAAAGCTTCTCATCCGCGATGGAAGAGGTTTCCGAAATGTTGCAAACAATCAATCTATCAGTCTTCATCCATCCTCAGTCAATAAGGGGCACCATGAATTAAAATGGTTGTCATACTATCATATTATGCAAAACAAGCAGTAAGACTGTCCTGGATCTCACTCTGATACTTGGTTGACCTGGTTTAGGTTCTACAACGCCCACGAGACTACTGGAGTAGAAGAGTTTGCTATTGCTCTTCTCTGTGGAGACGTTCGGTGTGATGTAAGTCTTGGCATTGATTTTTTCTAGGGGGGTTGCAACTAACTATATTCAGATGTATGCCGGAGTCTTCATCCTCGATGGAAACCGAGCACGATTCGCGGTGTCGGACTGGAAGACAATGCTTGTAATCAAGACACTGAGATCCAAGTTACGAGAAATATTGACAAGATCATTTAAGAGCCCTGGGAAGCAACTCACGGGACAGCAGCAGAAATGGCTGGATGTCTGGCAGAAGATATTTTCGCAGGAGTTCAAGGATAAATGAGTGGCACTGTAACAAGTTAAGACTGCATAGAACTGGCGTTTAAACTTGGGAGATTCACAAACACGGAAAAGCGATTATCTTTCGCACTATCATGAAGGGACTCATGCGTTCCCAATAGTAAAATACAAGCGTGATGTTGCCTTCTGTGGTACTCTGAGGTTGCTTTTGAATGTCACCACCAGGTCCAAAACCCTACCGCTATACACCTCATAGCTCGACGTGTCGAAAGAAATCACACTGAAGTGCGAATTGCCCCTTCTTTTACTTGTTTTTCAGATGTACGTAACTAAGGAAGGTAGGTACCTAGGCAGGTAGTGGGCGAGGCGAAACTCGCACTTTTCACTTTCAGAATGGACAGGTTGGGAAAGGACTGAATATAGGGAAACAATATCCAAGGAATTGGAGAGTTTGGATGGATGACAAAGGTTGATTTGCACTGACCAGCTTCGATCTGTTCTAGTCAAGTGTTGCCACACATACAGTTTAAGATGGCACACTTGACTTCTTGAACTGTCGTCATCACTAGATATGTATCAATACCTTTAGTATAGCAGTTATACCTTTTAACTATGTTGGCAGCTCCGCTGTAATATAAATTGAGCTTTTGATATCGACATTCCTCACCCTTCGACAAACTAGCGGAGAAGGACAAACTCCTCTGCCTTCCAGAATCTTTCCAACATCTATGGAGTTCAAGACCTTCCCAGTAGTCTAGACCTGTGTTCTAAAGACTTGGATCTAGTTTAGTAAGATTCTTCGAGCCGGCCATGCGATGATGACGAAATGCTAGATTGGTTTACCTGATTCTTTCCACATTCACTTGCACAGCGTCTGCGGACTAGTGATGCCGGCCAACATCCAACCTGAATGCAGATCAAATATCGTGTATGTAGAGTGTCTTACAGCATTTGAGGTTAGATGTACGATAGGTTCGACTGCAATGAAGAAAACAATCGACTATCCCATCAATGCAATATGACATGGTGGTCATAATCTGTTCCACAGCGAATGCACTGTGCAGACCCACGTACGGAAGAGGGACGCCGCCCATTCTAGCCCGCATGAAATATGAGATGAGCGCAAGCGAAGCAAGCGAGTGTAACAACAATGGACACCAAGACGCAGAAGTGGTAAGCCGAGTGCGTATGTAATTCTTCCGATCTGTACTGCACTGCCTTCAAACGAGCGTCAGAAGGGTGACGTAAGTTGGAGTTTCTGGAGCGCCAATTGGCAACAGTCGATGCTACCGGCAACACTAAAGAGATAGATAGTAGTGCACTTGCCAGACAGAAGTTCTGAGTGTCCTGAAGACTCAAATTGAATATTGCCAAGACAAAGCGTGCAAAGGGACACCATCTGGCAGAGTACCTAGGTATACAGTGTGCAGACATGCTTCTGTTCGACTTTTCCAAACAAACAGAAACCGCTGAGAAAAACGAGTTTGCTGGACGAAGATAATCAAGTACTGTAATGTCGATGTAGCTAGCCTGTTAACCGGTCTCGTTTTTGTTCCGTCGGTCCCCCCCAAAATCCTCATGGTGGAGGTCATGATCCATGGGTGACTGAAGCCCCAGACTGCTACCTAGGCTTTAGAATTCTTCAAGAATGACATATCCTCTAAAGACGGACTTGAGTAAGACTTTGTGGGGGAAATTGTGTCCTAAACTCTGCCCACAAACACAAATAAAGATCTATTGCAGCCCGAATCACGAATCACTTCAGTCGAGTGAAGAAACGCCCCTCACTGCTTTCCGATTCCATTCCATTTGCAGGCTGCAACTGCACGCTGGACAACGGACATGGATCCACCAAGTGAAGACCCCCAAATGCTATGGACCGCAAGGGTCATTGGCAATCAGCAGCACCACCACCACCACCACCTGCAGGGTGCAGTCAGTCACGTGACAGAAACCCTCGGCGAAATCCATGAGTTCTTCGGCGATCGAGAAAGCACATACTCGATCAAGATCGATCCCCGTTTAGTTGACAGCGACGACCACTGGCCTGGTGAAGTTGGTCTTCAGGTACAGGTAACGCAACAGGGTTTGAATGAGTTGTCGCCTTCGCAACGGACGACAATGATGACTTCAAACGCTACCCCCCAGGACGAACCGGTCGCAACTGCGATTCTGGATGATCCGCGGGACAGCAACTCCAACATCGACGACGAACTCACCGCTGTCGCGCGATCCGACGATGCTACTGGCAATGCGCAACAAGGCTCGCCTGCAGGGGAAAACATGCCACTGCTAGAGGATATACAGATGGGAGGGATGGACGGCCCGGCCATTGCGAATCCTGTGGAGGGAAAGGCAGAGACAGAGACAATGGCAGAGGGGAACGAGGAGCGGAGAGCGCAAGTGGAAACTGCTGCACCGGACTTCAAGCCAGCCCCGACACCAGCAATTCCAGAGTCAGAATCTGACTTCGCTGCCACCTTTGCCAATATTACGGCCATGAAATCGAATCCAGATGTCATGGCGCAAATGGTGGAGGCCCGGGCCTTCCTCCCAAATCTCATAGGATTGCCTCAAATGCCGGAGCCTTCACAAGACCTACATTCGGCAGCGCATGCCAGCATACCTCATGATGGGCAGATCGGTATGCCAGATATGTTTGGCGCGATGGCCCCCCTTCCGGCCACAATGATGTTTGGGAGTAGCCTCCAAGAACCTATCTATTTCAATTCTCAATATGGTCAACAAGCCGAGGCAGAACAAAAGGTCCAAGGTTTTGCAAGAATCGATTTCGACGACGGAAAGTTCTACCTGAACTCATATCAACTCATGATTGGTAGAGACTTGCGACTGCAAAAGGTTCAAGCGAGGAGGTCAGCGGCAGCGGGGACAGGTCCAATGCAGATTTCAGCAACCAAGCCAAAGTCAGCAGCTTATAGTGAAAGGGGAGGTTTCGTCCGAGGATTTGACGAGGGTGAGTTTGAGGAAGAGCACGGTCGAAAGCGAAAGCGGAAAGCTCGAAGTTCCAATGGGCCAAACAAGCGCGTGAAGAAGTCGAAATCTTCAGGCTCTTCATCACAGCATCAATCTAGAAGACCTTCCTTGGCTCCACCTGTGGATCCCCCTCAAAATCAATACTTAGACAACGAGCTACCTGCGAAAGTTAATATCGAGGAACACCAGCCGTCGCCTCATAAGATGGTGACGCTATACATCCATCCTCCTTACCCAGCGAGTGCTCAAGATTGGAAAGCTATTTCAAGACAGCATCTATTGATCGCGTTCAATTTTGACCAGAATCTTTGGGAGGGGCGGGTCATGGGACGGAATGGTTGTTTTGTAGAGGATGAACTCAAGCACCAAGGCGAAACCTTCCAACTCACGAATGGCTGTCATCTACAAATCGGCGCAGTGGAACTTCTGTTCAGACTCCCAGAACACATCCCAATTGGTAAAACAGGAGCCGAAGAGGAAGAAACCTCTGGTGAAGAGGATGCTGACCCCGCGGACGATCTCCGCCAATATGAGGATGATGCCCGGCTGAGATATGTCGTGGCTGGTAAGGAGATGAGTTTAGATTTTCGAAATCTGCGACGCCAGACTCTGGACCTGGGAGATGAAAGTGACTCTGATGATTATGGAGACCAGGGTGATCAGGAGAGTCGAGCCAGTGATGAGGATGACGATATAGCCATCGCCCAACCGCGACTGTTCGCCGAAGAACAAGAGTCAGAGTCAGAGGAAGAAAGGTTGGACGAAGAGGACATGTTTGATGATCAAGAAAACGAGAACGAAGATGACTTCGATGATCTGATGTCCGAACATAGACCTATTCCTCAGCCGAGGACTCCAGAACCTAAGAAACGCGGAGTAGGTCGCCCACCAAAGGATGGAATATCCAAGCGGCAGCAAAGAGAAGAAAAAGCTGCGCGACTGGCAAAGGAGGCCCTTCAGAAAGAATCCAAGAAGACCGTCAAGAAGGACGAGAAAGTCGCCAAAGAAGTCAAAGGTGGGAAAGGTGGCAAAGATGGCAAGGAGAACAAAGAAAATAAAGAGGGCAAAACAGCTAAGAAGGGGATCAAGACGGAGCCTGGTAGCCAACCAAACGCAGACCCTGTCAATAAGACTGCTCCTGAAGGTGGTGAGAAGAGAAAAGTTGGTCGTCCGAGGAAGCATCCTAGACCAGACACACCACCTGAGCCAAGGGAGAAACGGAAGTACACCAAGCGAAAGCCCAAGGAACCCAAAGATGGGGAAACAAAAGCTGATGGTGAGGGTGGTGATGGTGAAAAAGACTCCAAGGAGCAGAAGCCTCCTAGATCTCCCAGATCACCAACACCAACTTACAATGAAGCGGAGCTCACGGAAGAACAAATGGCCAAGCCATCATGCAACTACGTCCAACTCATCTATGAGGCACTGTCGGAGTCAAAGCACAAGCAAATGTCATTACCACAGATCTATCGGGCCATTCAGCGAAAGTATCCGTATTTCGTATTGAAGGTATCTACAGTTGGGTGGCAGAGCAGTGTCCGCCATAATTTGGGACAGAATGAGGGTTTTGAAAAGGTCGAGCGTGATGGTAAGGGATGGAAATGGGCCATCAAAGAGGGCGCTACCTTCGAGAAGGAGAAGAAGAAGAAAGCGTCTCCACCGCCTCAATACCCTCCTGGAAATGTGCAAATATATCCAGGTGTACCTCATGGATATTCAATGCAGGGTTATCTTCCTCACGGAATGATGATGCCGGGCCAAGGGTATCACATGCAACATCCAATGCCTACCAATTATGGGCCACCAGGTCAGCCGCAACCTTACATGGCTAACATGGGTCATCAACCACACATGAATGGGCCCTACCAGCCAGGATTTCCGCCTCCGAGGAGCAATCAGCCTATACTGACTATTCCTTCTGCATTGGCGCCTCAAGCGCCCACCTCTTACAGTTCTCCTTACGGTCCCAAACCGGCTGCTTCGACTGCACCTTCAACAACTCAACCAAGTGCACCCACAAATCAGACTGGTTCTTCCGCTAGCCAGCCTGGTCCTCCGACAAGTCAACAAAACGCCCAAATGAGTCAAACGGAGACACAAACAGGCCAATCAAGTATACAGACAAATCAAGGGACTCGATCAACAACTGAACTTGGCCAATCTGAGGGCGAAGCGAATCAACAAGGACAATCGACGAAACCACCCACTCCTCCAGGTCAATCAGCACCCTCGGCTGGCCAGACACAGACAGGCCCTCCGAATGTTCAACCTGTGACGAACCAACATACTCAAGGAGCAAGCTCGCCTAGTATGCTCGCACCTCAAGTTGGATATGAGCATTCACAGCAACCTCGCTATCCTCACTATCCCCCGTCACAGCACTTCTCTCAATCCTTTACCTCGCATCAGTCGCAGCAACCGCAAGTTCAGCATAGACAAGCACAGCCAAGCTCGCAATCGTTCCACTCGCAGCCTCAGCAGCCAGCGCAGCAGCCGGCACCACCCCAGACACAGCCTCAGGATGTACAGCAAACAAGCTCAAGCACTCCCCAACCTGTGCATAATGAGAAATACCTGTCAGCCGTTGAGTCGTTCAGAACGGTCCTAACTACACAAATGCTTCGAAAACCTAACGGTAGGGAAGCAGTAGATCGTGCCGTCAGTAAGGTTCTTGGACACACAAGCGACGATACCCCGGGGTCTCGTGACGAGGCTCAGATTGTGGAGGTCTTGCGGGACATGCTCAAGAAGATTGGACTTCTTCCACACGCTGGTGCGTCAAGCACACAGAGCGACCAGAGATCACCTCCGCCCACAATTCAAGCCCGGAATTCTTCATTCCAACTAGCGAATCACACCGGAACACAAGAAGACGCAGCTCAACCTCAACCGCCTGCTAATTCAACTGTGCCCAGAAGGCCAAGCGCTACGGTCACGAGGCCAGCTTTCACACAGAATCAGAACCGTCCGAGTGGCCCTCATGTGCCCAGACCGCCAATAAACAATCTGGGAAGATTCAACTCGACTAGTTCCAATGCATCAATGCGGCAGCGAGCTTCTTTGGGCTCGCCAGTCCCTCCCGCAAACCTCGCGAATGAGACTTTATCTCCTGGACCACTATCCAACGGGCCCTCCTCGAATGCGGCCAGCACGCTGATGCCTCCCAGTGAAATCGGCGAGCTTGACGAATCGAAGAAGGAGGCTATAGACGAGCCGGTGCAGGTGAAGACTGAGCAAGTACCTGAGCCTTCACCACCTAGCTCACAGACCGCAGAAACAAGATCATAGGTTGGGACATGTTTTGAGGAATGAAGTCACGAAATCATGAATATGGAGTTTTGGTTGGGTACGGATAGGCACCGGAATGTATGCATTTCAGGGAGGCTTTTTGGTTGGCGTCAAAATAGAGATAGGATGGGTTAGGATGGCATTATCGACTACAATGCTTGCATTTGTTTAACAATGGCGTTACATATCCCATGGTGCAATGCTCTCAGGGACTTCGGCAGGCGGGGCACATCTGGTATCTGATAGGACCTTGCTGACGCCAATCTGTAATTATGGATAAGCACAGAGTAGTTTACTAGCCAGTCTCGGTCGCTAGGAATACATGTTCTCAAAACAAGGGATTCGTTCCCCTCTCCTCGTAGTCCACCACGTATCGCTTCCATGATGCCAAGTCTCTACATCCGGACCGTCGTGCGCAAGTGTGCCTGCAGACGTTCGTTGTATCGAACGGCGGCGCGGTCCGGAACCGGGTTCGTGCAGTATGACAAGTATGCGTTTCTGCTGGTATCGGAAGTTTCTTCCCACTCGCTGTTCCTGAATTCTGCTGGTGTGGGGTGCTGGGACTCGCGTCAAAAGCGGATTGGACTCTTGTTTTCGTCGTGCCGCTCGCTTGCTTGCCTTGTCTCTTTGCCTTTCCTCTACCTCGACGTGTACTGTTAGATGGAGAGACGAGTGCTCTTTCTGCTGCCTTTCTTGTTGCTTCGGCGGTGAAAGGTCGATGAGCTGGGGCAGCTGAAGCATCATAGCCTGTAAATGCATTGAGGATGCCTTTCATGTCTACGACTCTGCATAATTTGTGGATCAGCCCTGGCTTACTGATGTAGAATCGTTCGGATGCTAACTTTAATGGCACGAAGGACGCCCTGCCACCTCATTTCGGCCCCCTCAGTCAAGTGGAATACTTAGCTGACACGAAAGTGCCTCGAACGCAGAATCTAGGCCATTCTTCTCAATCTACTGCCCCCAGTCAGCCCAAGAAGATACCTCCAGCCGTTGCTGCCGAGTCATGATGTGGATAATGGGAGCTTTGATATGCTACGAGTTCGAGATGCATGAATGGACCATGGAGTGGGCCAATGCGTAATATTTCTCGTGCCACTCTGCCGGGCTGTATTTAGTGGTCCACCTTCCATAAACACCTATCGCTCGTCAAACTCAGCTTATTACATGCAGATTCGAAGGAAATGGAGATCACAAGACTAAGTAGTGTACGACTTTGAAGTAAGCAGTTCTCGCGAAAAGCTTGGGAGCCTAGACATCCTCAGTTTCAGGATATGAGAAGGATATCGCTTCGCCGCCTCAATCGGGCGCCTGCTACAGGGCATCTGTTGCCAGTAAACTTTACAATTTCAAGCTGGGCGTCACCTACCATCATGTTTTCGTTATGTCTGTGCACTTTCAGGACGTCCATGCCGGCGTCGGTTTGGAGTCATCTCAATAATCGCCGATGACACAGAGAGTGACTCGAGTTTTATTGGCCGTCGCCCTGCCTTTGAGATACATATACCATATGTGGCACTTAAGATTCATTCTTCCCGGAGCTTTACGGAAGGCGTTTCTGAACAATGGCAATGATCTGTTGTTTGGGTAGATGAGAGGATGATGGCTGGCGGAACCGAGACAAAACAAACGCCCGACTGCATAGCAACGAAGATGCCATGCTTACAATATGGGCTGGTCTTTCGGCATGTTAGTTTTATTGCCAATTTGTCTCGTCATTTTGTTTGTCCCGAGAAACGTGGGTGGAGGCGCTTGCAGCCTTGCGCCACCGTCATGTTGGACCATGTGCTCTGAGAATTTGCTGAACCCCCTCATGTGCAGCTGGTAACGGATATTTGCCCTTTGGGCCGAGAGGAAATAGATAAGGGATCCTACGTCGATTGTTAGCAATTACATATAGGTTTGAACTCAACCGTTCGAGTTCCTTTCCTTGTGCAGTGAGGGGATTTGCCCTAAGTTTCCGCTCTGTGCATCCAGAGAACCTTCGTTCTGAACCAAAAAAAGGTACACCCTCTTCGGATTATACTGCGACACTGAAGTCCATAGAAGCTTACTCAGATATGAAGGAAGCCCTGGTAATGTGAGCTACCTGGTCGCTATAGAACTGGAAGGGCACTTAAAGCTTGTTTGATGTCCAATGTGTCACCAGGGCTGGAGAGCCAAGTCTCCTCACGGGGTGGATCTTTCCGTAATCTGGTGGTGGTGTCTTTTGACAGCAGATAGAAAGTGAGGCCTACTACAAAAGCTGATTGCCCTTCGAATAATCCCTCTCCCATAGTCGGCGTCGATCGCGTGTCACAAATCATTCATGGCCACTGTGATCTGACCGTGGCGAGTTTGTGCATCTAACTTGAGTCCTGGCTATTGCGAAAATATTCGGCAGATAGAATGTCAAGGCGAACCAAACTTGGATGGCAGTCAAATATGAAGGCAGTAGGACTACCCCGCTGGGTCGGCTGGGAAGAGGGTTCTTGTATCCGCGCTTGATGGTACTCTTTTGTATCATTTTGCGAAGATCTGCTAGGAACATGGGAAGAGGTCTGGTTATATGTCGATCCTAAGAACTAAACTTGTTTTCAGACTGGGAATTGTGAAATATAAGTATCACACTCTGCGCACGAACAAAACTGCATCCGTCCACTGAGAAGCTCCGCACGGACAAGGCGAAATAGAAAGGGGAGATCGCCAGTCTAGGTCCAGAAAAGGACCCAAACTGTTTCGCAACTTTTCAAAATCCAAGGTTCTCGAGCCAGTGGAGATAATTACTTTCAAAATGCATCAACAATTGTGCCCGAATTCTAAAGGGTTGTTGATTCAACACTTCTTTCCAAGTGCATGCTGCGTCTGCAGTTCTGCAGTGACAGCGTTTCACCGCTCTTATAGAGCACTGTTCACTGGAATGCGGCTGCAGGTCGCGATACTGACCTTCAAGAACGTGGATATCAATGGTTATTGGTGTTGACCTTACGATCCCTGGGCGAATCACAGGCGCTCGGTTGTTCGCCTCACCAGGGCTGTCGGAGCTGAATATTGTTTCCATGATGCCCCAACCACACGTATGCAGGGAGCAGCAGTTTTGCATACGTGGATCAAGCCGAATCTCATTTTAGGAAGCATGTGGGCGCTTGGAGCCTAGCCTTCGGTGCTTACAGGTGCGCATGGCTTGCCTCCATGTCTAACGATGAGATTACCTGTTGCCGCTGATGGTTGGGGCTGTCATCTGTATAAAGATTCGAAGCGATCTCATCGGTATATCTTAGAAAACCAGCATCAAAGATCTTGTTACTCTTCATGTTTCCGACTTGTGAAGTACACTACTACACGTCCCATGATCTTGTAGAGTTAGCTTTCTCTTACCCATTATCTTTATGTGAAGCATGTCTTCCTCAGAGAAGAATAGATATTGGATACCTCATGTGGACATCAACAAGAAAGTAATCACAGCGGAGATTCAATATTATCTGGGCCCTGAGTCGACCGTACGAGCATATACTCAAGATGTACCACACACAATATCTTCTTTTGCTTCGGTCGTTCTGACACAGTCCATAGGGTGAAGACGGATTCCTCATCACTACCCCTGGTGAATGCTTGACCGATGTATGCATGGAGTCCCACGATACTGTTTCCTAAACAAGGGTACTGACTGGACCTAGGAGCAAATTGATGATATCTGTCGCAAGTCCAAGGAAGTCTGGGATAAACAAGCAGCAGCTCGAACGAAGAAAGAATCAGACAAACAGCTCAAGCGACCACTTCATAAGCCCGTCGTGGTATCACGAGGCTCGAGAAACACCGACTCCACTAGGAGTCGTCGACACTCGGGTGAACGAGACAGAGGAGAAGGTTCGGGGTCCGGGTCAGGACGAAGACGGTCAGACGAGCGAAGCTATGATAGCTATGATCGACGCGACAACAGAAGGTGAATCAGAGGCGAAGGAAGAACGTTCGGTTCGTGGAAATGATACAATGGAGTTCAATGCTGAGTCTGATCTTCTGTGTGGTTTAAATCTGTACATGACTGTTGATTCTTGCAACAGAGATGGAGTAGCAGCTACTATGAGGAAGGAGAGGACAATGAGGACGACGTAGGCAGCAAGTTCATTGCTTGTAAGAATCATACGTGGTGTGAGCTTCGAAATCCTACTCCTAGTAATTGGTTTGCGACAGATAGCAATGTTGAAATCGTTCTGTAAATCCAAGTATACAGTCATCTTTCCACTTTATCTTATCATGTGAAGCCGTTATTGTTCTTTTATTGCCGTGCCGTATACAGAAGTATTCACACAAAGGGCAAAATAAGGGCTCATCTTAAGGCACCCCAATGAACCCTCTCGCTGAGTAAGGGCAACAGATCTCTAACGTTGCTTTGCGGCTTGAAATTTGCCTTTGCAATCTAACGCTGTCGTTGATAGAGGCTCAATTCTCAGGCAAGGCAAAATCACGATGCATCAAGCCGGTGAGGCAGAAGCCTGATGATGCAAGGCTGTGGCAAAAATAGAATCGGATATAGGACTGCCCAAACGCCACTCTCGAGAGCCTTGTGCTTCCACTTTATAGATCGGGATACAGAAATCGAAAGGTTTATCAGTCTTGTGGTAGTGTTGAATACGCGCTTCGTGCGAGGTCACAACGCGGAGAATTGGACCCAAAAGTTCACATGCCGGCCATAACCAAAAGCAATGATTAGCATTGTCACTCAGGATCTTATGGGAGTGAGCAACAGGAAGTCAGAATTGAAAATTACCTAGGAAGGTGCAGACGTTATCGATTCGATAAATGGAGTATTGTTTTACTTTTCCAGACTAACCTCAAGCACTATTTGTTGGTCACAAATGATGCTGCACAGTAAACTCACCGATACGGCTCACGGGAGGGAGGTTGCTTCTTGTCAGACGTGATAGGCCTTGTGATTGCCAATGACAATCATTCGGTGTGGCATGCAGCGATACTCTTCCTGAGTATATACAGTTGACAGTCTTTAGTCGAAGCTGGCTGCTGCAGAACAAATCATTTGGAATTCGAGTCGAAATAACATGATGATGTTTCTTTCGATCTTTGGCCTCATGGCTTCCATGAAAGTGACCGCTACAGACCAGGTTTTCGACATATATCAGTTCCATGTGTGGCCATATCCCCCGCTGCTGAACATACTAGAGTCCGAGGTCTCTTTTGCGAATGGTCAGTATTTACTTGTCCTAAAATGACAGTGTCATGTACTGACTGCCCCAGAAACTCTTTGGATCGGGTTCACCAAGTATGCGCAGTATTCAGAGCCTTTCTGTCCCATTGTGGGAAGCCAGATGTCATTCACATCATGGCATCAAGCGCCCACTGTAAGTATTGAATCATAACGCCAAGCCATCCCTTTCTCTGAAAATCTCTGGATTTTGGCATAAACCGAGATTCTAGGTTGTTTTGGGGTAACTTGAAGTCAATAGCTGCTGACTTTTTGGTACCCTAGGGATGGCAGAACCCATATATCTTCCCAGACAAAACTACTCCTGTCTATTTCACCACTGCACACGGCCATGATGTGCCAGAGGGTGCTAGCGCGATTGGTTTTGGTTTCGATAAGGACGGCAGGTGGACTTTTGAAGGGCAGAACAAGTTTGTAGCTTGTCAGACAAAAGAGATGGTGAAGCAAGGTCCATATATCGGTTACCAGATATGGTGGAAAGGAGCAGGATCGGTTCGTGGTGTCAATTGTAGCGAGCCACTATCTCTGGTGAAAGATGAGAAGGCCGGGAGCTGCGGTAGCGGCTCTTAGAGCTCAAGAAGCCGCATAGAGTCCAAGGTGTGGAGGATCGTAGGGTGGATTGGTGTCTTGTGATGGAAAGGTCGGAGTAGAAGATGAATGGGATGCGACGTCGAACTCCTTCTGTGATGTGATTTATTGAGTTTCCTCCATATCATGTCAATCTAGCAATCTTTAGGCTCTTTCCGGGCTGTCTGCTCATCGACCGCTTTCTCATCGAGACTCTTTTCGTACCCCGCAAGGTTTATTGGTCCAGCAGACCACAATACCAGTGCCTGGACACCAATCTCCACATTCTGTTCGCCGCCGACTTTATGTTTCTGACCACCTGTGATGTAGCCCATTACATTGACCCATTCTCCTATTTGAGTCTCGTTTGATTTCAATGTAGTAACAAGAAGATTGACATCTACTTGGGCTTTGATTGTATTTCCTAGTGGGTGGTTGTGTTCCAGCGTCAGTGTTGCTGTTTTTGTCGAGTAATTTGTGACACTGTATAATGTGAGCCCAGCCAATTCAAAATAACCCAATTCATACAAGATCTTGGGGTATTGAGACCTTGCATAAAATGAATACATGGTGTAGGATTTGGCCACGTAGAGTTGGGGGAATGACGGCCTGGGCTCTACCACAAATTTTCCATACGGGGAGCGATATCAAGGCATAATCTCATTACTGCCAACTTGAAACTCCCAAATTGACAGAGGGTTAAGAAATAAACGAAGGCTTACCATCCTAAGAAACGAACTTTCGAACCAAGAGAATATCTTCCGAGGTCAGAAAGTAGGCTCAATTTTGTGGCGATTGGCCCATTATGAACCCCAGCCATTTCTTGATAGAGCAGAATACTTTCATATCAAGGCCGCTCTGACAAAGTGAAGCTATTCTAAACTCTTCAGAGAGAGCTAGGTGAGGTAGGCATGTAACAACCCAAAGGGAGTGAAGTCACGATTTGCCGACCACGTGCCAATAATTAGCGCTAGGCCTTAATCAGCGATAGGCGGACTAGCTCGTCATCGCCGAATCTCTGGTCACTCATGATACAGGCAACGAGAACAAGACAAAATATCGTACCTAGGGTCCGCGTCACGAAACAACTCGATCATTTGCCAAACCGTGGACACTTCAGATACGAAACCTTGTGCTCTTACTCTCAGCGACGCTCTGCGAAGCCTCTTTGTCTAACCAGACTGCCCCACTACCTCCAACCTTCCGATAGCGAATTTGGATCAGAGAGGGCTGTCCTAGCCCCTGCCCGCATTCGAGTATCAGCAGAAGAAGTCAAAAGCGTATCTTGGGACTGGGCGGTCCGTTGATACCGATTTTAAGGGCAGCAAAACTACCTAATACAAGATGTCTGGAGTGTGGGGTTGGTTTGGCGGGCAGAGTGCCCAGAAGAGAAAGGATACGCCAAAGAATGCCATCCTCGGTTTAAGATCACAGCTGGAGATGCTACAGAAGCGGGAGAGGCATCTGCAGAATCAAATGGATGAACAGGATGCTATTGCCCGGAAGAACGTGAGCACGAACAAGAACGGTACGTAGTCGCCCCCGCCGCGGCATGGCCCATCTGGAAGATTGCGAAGATAGAGCCGAAGCTGGTCCAAAGATCAAAAGAACTTGTATTGAGCTTCTACTAATACTTTCATGTAGCTGCAAAGGCTGCGCTTCGACGAAAGAAGCAACATGAGCATACTCTCGAACAAACGACTGCCCAGGTAGCGACACTGGAGCAGCAAATATACTCGATCGAGGCGGCGAATATTAATAGGGAGACTCTTGCTGCTATGGAACGTGCAGGAGAGGCTATGCAACAAATTCATGGCAAGCTTAACATCGATAAGGTTGACGAGACAATGTATGTTACAACGGCAATCCTCGGGAATTGGAACCAAAATGCTGACCTTCTGATTCTAGGGAGAAATTGAGAGAGCAGCATGCCTTGGGCGAGGAGATCGCTCAAGCTATCACCAGCGCTCCCATAGGCGAACCGATCGACGAGGCGGAGTTGGACGACGAGCTTGCTGAGCTGGAGCAAGAGCAACTTGATAATAAGATGCTGAAGACTGGAACTGTGCCTGTGTCGGATGAGGTCCATAGATTACCAGCAGCCGCGAATGGAGAACGTAAGCTACCCTATCCTATACTTTGGATCGCTCGCTCACATCACTTTTAGTCAAAGGTAAAGCACACGCAGAGGAGGAAGACGAAGAGGAAGAACTTCGGAAGCTACAAGCTGAGATGGCTATGTAATTGTGACGAGACTGCAGTCACCGCTTTTCGTTCACACAACGCACGACATCTGCGTTATATCTGGAACCTGCATGTTGCTGAGGGGTTGGGGTTATTGCGTTGGGATTCCACAACTGCGTTCTTTCAGATTATTGACCCACCTTGGGAGCCGGCGTTTTGGATTTGCTGCTGTACATCTTTCAATACGAGAATACCTTATTACACCGACAAGATTCACAAGCAACCTCATTGTCATCTGATTATGTACATGTGTCCAGCCAGACGTTTGTGCCACGTGAGGCACACCGCCAGATGCATGACCCGGGACCTAATGTAGGTGGAGCGAGGCAAAGAGGGTAAGTAGATCTTTTAAGTTGAGGCTGACATCAGTGCCTTTGATTAGTTAGTTTCTATTGGAATCTGGCTATGGTCCACCATTGCTGAAACAAGTTATGGTTGGCATTCTGACAGCTTAAACGATGAATGAGAGACTTCGTTGCTCTGGGGGAGATCGTTGGCTGGACTCGTTGGCCGGACTCGGACCGAAGAGGAGAGGGAGGGCTTCCTCGTTATGTTGGAATCCATGATCTGATCTGACTCGGGTCGCTTTCCTGCGTTTATTTAGCAAGATGTACAGTAGGACATTGACTGGGCCTGAGTAGCAGCCAGCGCGACAAACCCTCCGCTCACTTTCAGACACACAGTACCCTTGCCGCTGTTCCTCTTTAGATAACACATCGTAATATACTATTACATAATCCAAAACCGATTCCAAGAGCTGTAACAGAAGCTCGCCAGAAGTTCGGCTCAAAGGAGGTGTGTTTTTTTTTTTGGCGTCGTCAGGACCTCGCTAAATGACCCCCTGAAGCATGCTGGCATGGCATGCCATGCCATACTGTAAAGAAAAAGTCGCGGGACAACACAGCACCGTGACTGCGATTCATTCCATGTCCCCAAAAAAATCCCCACACTGATGCTTAACATTAGAAGAATGCTTCTGTCGATGCAACCCACGCTCTGCCTCCAATGCTCCATCCAGCGAATGACATAGAGCGATCGGGCATCACTGGCTTCTATCGGCGAGGCATACAAGGCGAACACGTTGCACGGTGCACCCACGCAACCCGCTGCGAGGGAGGGACAGGACATGACAACCATGGCTCTGCATCGTGCTAGGCAGTTGTTGGGTGGATATTCTTCGATATGCCTCCTACTGGCTCGCCGGTTCCTGGCCGTCAAAGGGCAGTCCTTGCCTCCCGCTCCCGCAGGCCAGCCTGGGCTTGCATGCTGGCAGCCAATTCCAGCAAGTCGAGAACTTTGCCTTCCTGTCCGGATAACCCAATTGATGTGATGTGTGTTGGCCCCGTTGCCCGTTGGGCCGCATTGGATGTGTTGCGATATCGTCGACTGCTGCAGCGTCCGATCAGTGCAAGAGCATGCGACGTGGCGCCAGTCTTTTCTCTGCTCCAATGGACATCGAGCACGATATTGATCATTTGGCCTGTCGATTAATTCTCTCGTGGGGTGTCCCGCGATCGAACGTGGGTCGGATTATGTCGAGTCCTCTCTCTCACTGTTCGTGTTAAGTGCCAATGGCAAAGCTTTCTCTGTTCCTCGATTCCTACTATTCTATCAGATAGATCCTTCATTGTCTTTCTCATTTATGATAATCACTTCTCTCCTCTCGTATTTTTTCTCATTGCAACCCAACCTTCCACTTAACTTTGTTTGGGCCGACGCTGTGTGCGCAGCGATAACTCGACCTTAAAATCTCCGATATTGGGTACCCGCATATTGCCGAGAATTGTTTTGACATGGCGAAAGGAGAATAAGAGGGACTCCCAATACGTTCCGAGTGAAGCTTCTCGATCGTCTCTAAACGAGGTGTGCTCTCGAGCATGGAAGAGCCTTCCATCACAGTATGTCCTTACAGGACGCAAGTTCATGACCCGTCTTCGATTCAGACGGAACAGTACGAAGTACAAACCCAAAAATTCGAGCTTCAAACTCAGAAGTACGAACTCCAAGCACCTCAAAGATTTGAAGTGCAGCAGGCAAGGTACGGAGAACCTCAAGTCTTTACTGGCACAGAGAAAGACCTTGCGTTGCTCGCGAAGTGCCAAGAAGGTAGCCCTTTTGCATATCAAGTGGAAAGTGAGTTATCAGTCGATTGTCCCTCTTGATTGTGATCTAGGTGATCCATGTGCTCGGGAAATATTTATATCCACATGCATTGCAGCATTGAGCAAGGATCAACAATCTCAAACGAAGTTGCACATGGGAAACCAAAAAGCTAATTTGTGGTTGCTCAGACGACTCGGACGAGGAATCAATAGAAGAAGATGATTACAACAACGACAATCCTGGTCACGAAATGACAGCTGGGCTTGAAGGAGACAGCGAGGGGCAGAGCACTATGGATGGTGGGGGAGAATCAAAACATGACGAAGGTGGCGGGACCCCGATTGCTGGGGAAACCAGCATAACCCAGCCTGTCACAGTGGAGATCATTGAGAACGGATCTGAAAACGTTTCCAATGTGCCGCCAGCTGCCCCTGATCCTCCTACCCAGGATTATGATGCTCAGGAACAGAGCTTAGAGCCTAAGGAGGTTTCCGGCTCGACGGATGCATCACGACCGACCAGCCCTAGCAGCGTTCGTTTCGCTGACGATACAGCTCCACCTGCTCCTGAATTCAAACCTAAAGGGAAGAATAACAAACAATCGAAAAAGGAAACCAAGAAGGATAAGAAACAGGACAAGAAGGCCAAACAGCTCGAAAAGGAAGCCGAGCCTGAAAAGTTCGTTGAGGTCGAGAAAGTTGATGAGAACTTGCCCAAATCTGGAAAGAAAGGAAAGGAGTCTAAGAAAGACAAGAAGCAGGACAAAAAGTCCAAACAAGCCGACAAGGAGCCCGAACCTGAGAAGCCAATCGAGGTTGAAGAAGAGACACCGAAATCTGGCAAGAAAGGAAAGAAGGGCAAAAAAGCAGACCATTCCTGGGAGCCCGAACCTATTGCCGAGAAGGAAGTAAAGGAAGTCAAGGAATCAAAGCAAGAGAAGGGCGGCAAGGGGAAGAAGGACAAGAAAGGTGGCAAAGGAAAAGAGAAAGCAGGCAAAGCTTTGGCTGGTTTAGCTGTGGTCGGTGTAGCGGCAGCCGTCGCCAGTGATATGACACTTCCACCATCAGATGAGTCGCCTCCGAACAGCCCCGGTGAGGGCGAACCCAGTCCCGTTGATAGCCCGCCTTCTTCGGACTCCAGCCCATTACCAGAGCTTGAGCAGAGTCCAGATGCAGCCCCAGCTTTGGAGGGCTCTGAAGTCGAGACGAAAGAGGCCGTAGTTGAATCCAAACCATCGGATCCATTACCAAGTTCGGATGAGCCCGCTAGTGAAGCGCCAGTGGTGAGCCCCTCTTGCTCAACATGTTTCATAAATCTAATATCAGGAAGGACGAGACACCGGCTCCTGTAGAGGCAAGCCCAGAGCCAGTGGTAAGTTGAAGTCTCGAAACGCAAAAAATGACATTCACGTATGCTTACCAGACACCAGATTGATGATATCCCGGCTCCAGTTGAGGAGACTGTCGCTGAGCCAGTAGTATGTGATGTTTTTCAAGTTTCTGCTGTCACTTCACTTCTACAGCTCGCGAGATATCGCGGAACTTCGATGGCTAATACTCTTCTAGGTTGAGGCCGCTTCTACTGATATCGAGGAAGAGAAGATTTCGGAGCCTGTGGTAAGCTTTCTTGCCTCACAAGGATGTTTTTGAAAAAAATTCAATCTCAAGATTAGAATTTAGTGCTGATGGTTTCACAGGTAGATGAGACTCCCGCTCCAGCCGTTGAAGAGACGCTGTCACCAGTGGTAAGTCTTGACTTGGTATACACCATAATCTACCTGAGACTCAAGACACGGACTTTGCTGACCTTGCTTAGGTCGAAGAGCCGCCAGCTCCAGCTGTTGGAGAAAGTGCCGCCGTAAGTTCAAATTTGACGGAGGAAATTCTGTGTTCTGACTTGGACAGGTTGAGGAGACAACAACGACAACTGAAGAGATTGTACCAGTGGTAAGTCATGATCGATATCCTTTCCTAGGCGTCCTTTCGCCTGATAGTCTAACACTGGCTGTCTCTAGGTTGACGATACACCCGCCAATGCTGATGAAGAAACTGCTCCTGCGCCCGTGGTATGCCTTGATCGAGTATCGCGTCAAGCAAGTTTTGTTGTTGACTGTTTATAGGTTGATGATACGCCATCCCAGGTAGAAGAGGAACCGGTGCCTGCAGCTGTGGTACGTGTCCAGCGAGTATATGGATTTCGATGATAATTTGATCTCTAATAAAGTCTAGGCCGAAGAGTCGACTGCCCCTACCACTGAGGAGTCCAGCTCGGTTCCCGAGGTAAGTCTGGTTTGGATCAAGGTCGGTTCGTGGCTTATGACCAAGATTTTGACTTCTGTCCAGGACGTGGATGTACCAGCTCCTGTAACAGAAGAAACTGCCGCCGCCGTGTCAGTTGTAAGTTCCATATCCAATGTTTCTTTCGCGACGCTACTCAGAGCTTTTGCTGACCTAGTCAAGACTGAGGAGTCGCCGGCCGTAGAGGATAATGCCACGTCGACTGTAAGTGTATTCGAGCAAAATTTCGTCGAAGATGCTAATCTCCGTACAGGAAGAGACAGTGCCCGTGTCCGATCCAATAACTGAAGAGCCTAGTTCAGTGCCAGTGGTGAGTGTTCCTAAGACAGCATGCCGCTTGTAAACTTCATTATTATCAATCATCGTGGACGTGATTTATACTGATCAATATCAATTTAGGTTGAAGACACACCAGCTGCCATAGAGGAGGCCTCGGAAGCCGATTCTAGTGCAGCAGTAAGTCACTCTCCATTTGTTTCCACCTCTTTCCGCAACTTGTGCCCGAGGCCAGTTGCTCTATGCTCCGATATGGAGCTGATCCCGGTGTCATACCATGACCTCCGACAATGAACCGGGAGTAACATGTCATAGGATGGTGATAACCCTAATCCTGCTGCCGATGAAGTTCCTGTGGCGGAGCTGAAACCACTGGTAAGTCACATTCCAACTACACAAAATGTAAACCCATATATATTGAGCTAAAATCTTTCAGGAGGAAGAAGATTCTTCACAACTGGCTTCCGATGAGGCCACTTCTCCAACCACAGAGTCAGAACCTGTGAGTAGCTGGGGCCAATTTTGTGGAAACGCCATCATTGTCTGTGAAGTAGTAAATTTCACAGCTAACATACAACAGACAGCTGATAGCCCCGATGGCGTGAGTGAGCCAGCGCCTAGTCCTACCGAAGAGGAAGCAGTTGCTAAGCCTGTAAGCTTCCCTTGTGCTCGAAGATCGAAAATACGAGTCGTTCGCAAGTACTTTGGCACGAAAATTTACTGACATTAAGACAGGCGGTCGAGGTACTTGAACCAGTTGCCGAAGAAGGTCCCATCGCTGTGAGTGAATATCTACTCTCTTCTTCTACATGACATTGTGGTGTTGTGCTCGACAATTCGACATGGCTAGGTCTCCTCGAATGACCTTTGTCGGACCTGCCCTCATTTGAATGCCTTCCAGAGCAGCGAGACTAATGTTGAGAAGGTTGAGGATGGACCCGTCAGCGAGCCAGAGCCAAGTGAAGAAATTGTAAGCTTGTCTCTCGTTCAAATCTCTCGAGTTCAAGTCTCCTGTCATGCGCCTCCTGGTCATGTCGCCAATTATGTTACTAACTTGTCCAATTACTAGACCGACGAGACCTCAAAGCCTTCGGAAGAAGAGTCGTCGCCATCGGTAAGGCTTTTCTCTGACGTATATTTGAAATTCGTTACCTTGGTGTGCAACATTGCTCGAAGCTTTGGACTGACTTTGCCAGGTTGAGGAGACGTCTGAACCTGAATCTCAGTCAACGCCAGAGCCTTCGACTGAAGACAGCCCAGCTCCACTAGTAAGTAAATTCTTGGTCCACTTTCCACACCTGAGTAGGTAGTGGACTTAGAATACAATACTTACGATGGTCACTCTAATCCACCGCCATAAAATATTGTTTATCACCCAAAAGTCTCGATGTTTCCGATCATTGCATTAATGCCCTTCTCGCTACACCTCGGAACTGACTCTCGTGTAGGTTGAAGAAGCGACAGAAGAGCCAGCTTTGGCAGATGCCGAGACTGTTGCTACCGAAGCCGATAGTAAAAATGATGAATCCTCGGCAGATACGTTAGACGAGTCGCCTAAACACTCGGAGCCAAATGCGGAGCCTAGTGAGGGTGTAAAAGAGGTGGATGACTTGACAGCATCTGTTGTTGATAGGGCCAACTCTTCTCCGTCAAATGATGACAAAGAGGAGGTGGATGTGTCGACTTTGCCACAGCCTAGTGAGCCAGAAGTCTCTGAGCCTACTGTTCAAGAGGAGTCAGCGCCTATTGTTGAGGAGACTACAACCACACGAGACAGTGATGTCTCCCTGGAACCTACTGTACGCTCATGTTCTGCATAAATTTGGTAAGTTTGGCAGCTGACGTGTGTAGGTTGAGGAGTCAAAGCCAGAAGAGCAAACGACAGCCTCTGATGAGCTGAAGGCCAGTGAATCAAGTTCAACTTCCACAGAAAATGTGGATTCAACTCCAGTTGAGGTGGTATGTACCAGAATTTCCTTCTAGGCCCGTTGAAGTAGTATATTTTAGACCGGTCCCATCCCATTCTCTGTTTGGGCTGTTTTTATTCTGGCTCACAGCTCTCGGGATACTCTTCAGAAGTCGCCTAAGTATAAAAGAAATTGTCAACTGACATCACATAGACTGAGGATGCTCAGCCCGAAGCGCCCGAAGCGCCAAGTGACGAAACACCTTTGGTCGCAGAGGTCGGGGATCCAAATTCTGATGACAAAGAAGTGACACCTGATATTCCTAGTCCAGAGGTCCAGGTAAGATATATGGGACTCGATTTCCTGGTGACTAACGATCCTAACGTACCCATAGGCCACGGAAAACGGTGATGAAGAACAGGCGCCACCAAGCTCTTCCGCCGATGAGATACAAGAGGTCGAAGCTCAGTCTACCCCAGAATCACTACCAGCTGGACCTGAGGGCACAGTAAGTTGTGGACCGATTCTTAAGATGGGTGCCCAAGCTAACTTAACGTAGGCTGAGGAGGTCGAAGAAGAAGACGCCAGCCCAGCCGATTCCGAGCAGCCCACAGATGATGGCGATGCTTTACCGATCTCTGATGAAACTAAAGAAGACCGAGAAAGCGCTCCATTCGACCTGGCTGCCGAAAATCAAGTTTTGGACTCGACCAATAGCCACGAAGATCCCAAAGAAACCGAAGTTGCTTCGACTGATCAGCCAGGTCAAGCCGCCGCCTCCCTCGAAGACGAATCAGAAGCTAAGTCCTCAACTGAGGCTGAGGCGTCTGGGTCCAGTCAAGAGATAGAGGAACTAGCAATCGAAAACGCCGCTGAAAAGGAAGTTGTTGAGTCGCCGAAGTCTGCCGAGGTGGAAAGCAGTGATGTCTCGACCGAAAGCAAGCCTGTGGATGATCCTGTCTCTGAAAATAAGGTCGAAGAGAAAGACGCGCAGTCGGGAGATTCTAGTGGGCCAGTAGCCGAGCCTGCAAGTACACCTGAAGCTGAGACAGTCGTGGATTCGACGCCGGACGCCGTTGTGGCAGACAGTGAAACCACCTTAGTTGATAGTTCCGCCAAAAAACCCGAAAGTGAGGAGCAAGCGCCGGGTGTAGTGCTCGACGAAGTGAAGGACGAAAGTACTGCCTCCGACGAATCTTTGACAACTGTTGATGACACCAAAGATGAGCCAGCGGCGACTGGCGAGCCGACGACTTCTTCAATTGAAGATTCAAGTGATGCCACTGCAACCCACGAAGGAGAGTCCAAAGATGTCCAAGAAACGCCTGTTATTTCGGAGACTTCTATCGATGCCCCTGACCCATGTGAAGAGGTATCCGGAGGGAGCGAATCGAAAGAAGATATGGCTCTCGAGTCTTCGGAGACCTTAGCAGATGGTTCAAATGAAGAGACTCCTTCTGAGCCTTCCGAAACTATCGCAGAGGAGACCAAAGAAGAAGGTCCTCCCGAGCCCTCTGCGCTATCAGCTGAGGAGACCAAAGTCGCCCCATCTCCCATCGAGACTGTTGCCGATGACCTGAAAGAGGATGATCGCAAGCCCGAAGATGCTTCCAATTCAGCTGCTATGGAGGATGTAAAAGAGACGACTGTTGTTGAAAAAAGCAAGGAGGTAAGCCAAATTCACCTACCTGTGTTCCTTTGAGAATAATTATACGACATACTACCTTCCACGATACCACGAGTCTTGCTAACATCCCTTACAGCCCGAATTGGACGCAAGTGAGCCGACTATCGATGAGACAAAAGAGGTAAGACACTCATAGCATTGGTGAAGTCTTCATGGCAGCCTTGTTGCGCCACAATAGAGCTGAGCTAACATATCTTGATTCAGCTCCAACCCGAGATTACTGAAACAGCTGCTGAAAAGGTCAAAGTGGTAAGGCATTTGAAATCTCATCGTCCCTATGGCGAATATGATGTCACCCTGGGATGCCACAAGGTGTTGAATCCAACTAGCTTTGTTCGCCAGGCTGAGACCACTACTGAAGAGACTCAACAGGTATGTTTTTGTGACCCTCAATTTCGAACTCATGAAGTCAATTCACTTGAACAATTGCTATCTGAGCACCACTAACCTGACATTCAGGCCGAACCAGAAGCTGCAACTCCTGATGACAGTGCCCTGAGTGGACCCCCGCCGTCCGAAGCAGTCGATGGACTGAGTGATACCAAAGAGGTCGAAGGCGAATCTGAAAGCCAGCTCCCTGTTGCTGAAGATACAAAGGACACCGATGAGACGGTTGAAAGTGTTCCAGAAGTCGTTGAGGAAATGAAAGAGGTATATAAAGGCCTTCGATAAGACAATTTAGAGCGTAAACTAACACTTTTAAGGAGGAACAAACACCTACTGTTATACCAGCGGAAGAAGAGTCCAAGGAGACCGAAGCTGCGGTGGAAAGTTCCCCTGATGTCGCCGAAGTGGCAAAAGAGGTACGTTACAAGATGACTTATTGATATTCAAAGTCTACGTCAACTACTAATTTCACATAGGAGGAACAAGAGCCCGTTGCTGAATTACTTGGAGATAACGTGGAAGAGCTTAAAGCTGTCGTGGACAGTTCCCCAGAAGTCGATGAAGTAGAGAAAGAGGTGCGGCTAATCCTCACCACTCACTACCGTGCCTGGATGGAGGAAACATGTCATTGTTTGAGAACAGAACTTCAAGCTGACTTTTGTATAGGAACCGCAGTCTGAGCCTTCCTTAGAAGAAACCAAGGAGCCTGAATCTGTCTTGGAAAGCCCCGAACCTGCTCAAGATGTAAATCACCTCCTTTCCAGAGATCTGATTATGTTCCATAACCTTTTCATAGGCACCGCCGGAAGAGTCCAAAGTCCCCGAACCCGAGTCAGAGCCTACTGATACCTCTGGGTATGTGGATGAGACCAAGGAGGAAGCAGCACAAGTGGCTGATAGTACCCCTGAAATTGTGGAAGAAGTGCCGAAGCTAGTATGCACACCAAGAACCTCTGGTCTTATGAGAGCCGTCGATGACTAACTGTTCTTAGGATGAATCCGCTGTTGAACAGGAGGCAGCTGCTGGTGAAACGAAAGAACTTGAACAAGAGACAATGATTGAGGAGGTCAAAGTCGTATGCCACTTTTACCACTTAAATATTGTTCACTAACAATCACAGGCCGAGCCCGAGAATGACAATCCATCCCCACCTCAGGACGAAGCCAGCAAAGAAGTCGTCGATGAAGGAGGCGACGGAGGCAAAGACAGTCCCACCCTGGACGATGCCTTGCCTATTGCGGCGGACGCAGCAGCCGCCATAGCTGTCGGAGCCATAGCAGCTGAGGTACTTTCTGACGAAAAACCGGTAACCGACAAAGCCATTGTTGAAGAACCTGAACAACTCCCTGGAGTTGAAGAGGAGCCAGGGCCCGGGGAGACGCCGTCCTCTCCAAAATCCGACAAAGACAAACGTAGACATCGATCCTCAAGACATTCGCGATCAGGTCACTACAGTAGCTCTAGCAAAGATGTACCTCGTGAGGAACGACCACATCACAAGCGCCGCGAGACCGAACCTGCGCCGAAGTCCTCATCTTCTCCCAAGACATCCCCGAGATCTGCAAAGCCAACCCGTCATGACAGTGGGGTGAGTACTGGAAGTACTGGTTCTCATCGGCATCGCAAAGATCGAACTCCTGAGGAGCAAGCCGCCCATGACAAACGAAAAGAGGAGAAGCGTGCCAAGCTCAGAGAAGCAGAGGCGAAGTTGTTGAAGTCTGGTCCTTCCGAGAACGCCGTGATTGAAGAGCAAGATCCAACACCAGCTATCCCCAGACGCATGTCATCGTCCCGAAGATATAGCAGTGGTAGATCTGCTGCAGATGGTGACAAAAAGCCAAATCTCATGGGCCTGAAGGGCGTAAGCATTGTCAAGAGCCCCTTCGTTGCTACTGATAAGTCACATGTCAAAGAAGTGGTAGAGAAGGTCAAGGCACCAATCATTGACCGACCTCGGTTCTCCATGGATCATGAACGGCCAAAACTCTCTCGACGAGAGACAACTAGTCATCACACAAGATCGCACCGTAGAGAGAAGGAGGAAAATGACAGGGCAGAAGAAGAGAGGAAGGCTCGGAAATCTAGGAGAGAGTCCGAGAAAGCTATGGCCATTGCTCGAGCACAAGTTGCTGAGGACGCTAGAAAACTTCAAGAGAAAGAAGACGAAGAGCGGAGACTTAGGCGTGAAGAGCGCAGACTGAGGAGGGCTGAGATGGAAGCATTGGAGAAGACCTCTGAGGCTAGTGGTGTCAAAGCCTCGGAAGGTAGTGCTGATAAAGGTAAGGATGTGGAGAAACCGCGAGATGGTGAGGGTGTTCGAAGTAAGGAAAGAGTGCACCGCCATCGCCACAGGCGTGAGAAAGAGAAAGAGCGAGAGAGGGAGAAGCCCAAAGGCGCGCTTACATCGCTCTTCTCGTCGATGAAGAAGGTATTCAACTGATGATATGATTAAGTGGGGCATACACGGGGTATGGGTTTTGGAATCTAGACAATATAGGTTTATGTTTGGGTACTGAGGATGGAACAGTTTGGTCGAATGATCAATGTGTTATGAGATATGTGTAATGTCCGATATGTATTTCGTAGAGTATATACAATGATTTTGGGTGTAATTCATACGAGAAATAGTCGCTGTCCCCGGTTCTAGCTGCTCTCAAGCATTGGTATTATCTCATATGCTCCTCTGATCTGATATCTGTGTGAATCTGAATTCCGGGCAAGGTCAATGTGTGATTCGAGATTTCGGACAGTACTTTGCTACTGCCCAGATCTTACAGTCCCGCAACATACGTGGCACTAGAAGTAATATATCATACTTTGCAAGTTAGCAATGGACATACGTTGTAACTTGAATTAGTGACCGTGAATGGCATGAGGTCGCATCTCGTGTCGCATTTTGCGTCGGATTGCGTCGAGTAACCTGTGGCCGATTGCTTGATTGGTTACTTTGAATCTCATTCTTCGCGAGAGAAAAGCACTTCAGACCTGCCAAGGATTGCTTTTTATCCCCGCCAGAGTACGATCTGATGTTCATCTTCTGATCATTTACCACAGCTTGTGGACTCAGAACTGGTATCAACATCATTGGAGGAACGTTAATGCCAGCAGTCGTTATTGTTGTTATGGTGGCGGTGGTTAAGCGAGCCCCGCTGCCAACAATGGAGCTAACAAATTCTCCGCTAACCACTGACGATATTGTATCATATATGTTTTTAGACTTGCTGAACTTATTCGAGAATTTGGTTTGAATTCTACTGTAGGCACTTGTACTAGGTAATTAGTCTTCCACTTCTTGATCAATGTTCTTTCTGCAGCATGTGACTGCAACCACCCCACCTGCCTAATTTGGTCAGTCTCGCGTACTCCTCAGGCTTCGTGTAGGGGACGTTTTCTTTGTACAGGACCATCGGCTTAATCTGACTTTGACTGCCTCGTAACTAGACTCTTGCATATCCGGCCCTCGAATCAAGATCTATATCACTTAGACCATGGCCACATGATTCTAAGCTTGCTAGAACATCAGCAGCTTGAGGAGAACTTCGAATTCTAGGCAGTCACATTTCCCTAAAGATGGACAGCATCATTCCAATCTTTCGAAGAAGTCGCCTCTCCCACAAGTCGAAGGATCAAATTCCAATGTCAGATATGGCCTCGAACACTTGTCAAATTTCAGGATTCTTTCGCCTGCCGCTCGAAATTCGCCTCGAGATTTATGCACACCTGTTCTCCAATAAACGTTTTCAATCTGCCGAAGGAAAGCCTGAAAAGTACATGATTCCATTCGACCATGCATCTCGTGGATTCATGTTTGCCAGCCACCAAGTTCTTGCAGAGACGATCAACTATCTGTTCCAAATCCCACGGATTACTTTCCCACGACCCGAGCTTTGCTCCCTGATCCTCACGACAAGTCGGTCCCTCTTAAACCGTCTGTCAATTTTGGAAGTCACCCTCAAAGCTTATGAGACGCAATTGTTGGAACCAATATTTGACATGATCATCGCGGCACAAGTACCGTTGTCCAGCCTGACGCTGAATCTCGTCCCCACATACCCTGGCCAGCTCGTTTTCCCAGTGCCGCGTTATCTAATTCTCCGAGAAGAATTCCAGTTACGCGCCCAATTCGAGGGCGGAGCACGACCTTGGGCTCCACGATGCCACCATGATCACTCGTTCTTCGTATACCATTTCAATGATTTTGGTACGGGCGGTGAAACCGTCTTATCTCAATCATCCATTGGGAGCCTGACAAGGCTTCGACATCTGACAGTTACCGGGCAGCCTGAATTCTCGCAAGATTTTGAGCTGGCCATCCTGAAGCTGCATGGTGCAATGCAGAAGATGGCAACACGAGAAGGGAAAGACGTGGAGCTGGCAGACTGTTGTGGGCTACAGAATGGAGGCTTCCATTTCGAGGTGTGGATTTCTTGAATGGATTGAAAGCCCCATACAATGAAGATAAACTTTGTGTTGAAGACCTGAGAATGTGCAATGATCTTGAGACGTTATCCTCGAAATGCTCCTCATTCCCGAAGTGTGCATCCACACGAGAATTCTCAGAGAACCTTTTCATCTTCCGCTCTATAATTTTCAAGTCAAGCTCCCCACTGTCTGCATTTCGAAACCCCAGAGTAGTTCAAAAGAGAATAGTCTGGATCTCATCATACGACACATCTGACTGCTTCTCCAGCCACCCCCCAGAGGTTGGGGTTCTGAGGTATTCAGGTCAAGTAGAAGAAATGGTAGAGGTCAGATCATTGGCAAGTAGCTGAGCAGGCCAGAGTAGGTTTATGTGCACAACGGCGACTCGCAAATAGCTGAAGATGACAAGGGTATATTCCACATAATTTTGTACATATATCCTACACTACTTAGCCAAGAATTTCTGGAAAGCCTTATGATCGATCGTAATATTTCCAACAGCTTTCAGCTTCTTCCTGCCTTCCTTTTGTTTATCAAGCAACTTCCTTTTGCGGCCAATATCCGCGGCATGGAGCTTCTGCAAGACATCTTTCCGGAACGGCTTAATTGTTTCTCTGGCCACGATCCTACGTCCGGATGTGGCTTGTATGATGACCTCAAACATCTGTCTGTCAACGTGCTCCTTGAACTTTTTCACCCAGAGTCGTCCCAGTCTCTCAACTTGTGTGCTATGGACTACTCGGGCTACCGCATCGACGGGTTCCTTGTTGACTAGGAGTTGCATTTTGACGATGTTGCTGCGTCTAAATCCTGCGTCTTCGTAGTCGAGACTTGCATAACCTTTTGTGCCGCCCTTCAGCTTGCCGAAGAAATCATCCACTAGCTGTGAGAGGGGCAAGTCATATTTCAAAATGACTTGGGTAGCAGTAAAGAAATTCAACTCTTTCTGCTCGCCACGGTTGGCCTCGCAAAGCTCGATCACTTTACCCAAGTACTCTTCGGGGAGAGTGATTGTAGCCGAGACATAGGGTTCCTGTAGTTCTGCTATCTTCTGGCTCATTGAATCTGTGTCCGGGAAGTTTGTTGGTGACTGTATGATCTCTTCCCGTCCATCAGTCCAGATGACCTTGAAGGGTACAGTAGGCGGCGTGATAATGATACTGGCTCCATGTTCCTGTCGTAGACGGTCTTCAAAGACAGAACAGTGAAGCGTACCCAGAAATCCCAGCCTCCAGCCGGCACCCAAAGCTTCGGAGGACTCTTTTTGCAGAGTAACACTCCTGTCATTCAAGACAATCTGATTGATAGAGTCCTCCAGATGCCCATGGTCACTCTGATCAACAGGGAAAGCCGAGACGAACACCATAGACTTCGGTTCCTCGAATCCCGGGTATGGCTCAACGAGATGTTCTGAGCCTACAGTCGTGAACGTATCTCCACTCAAAGCCTCCTGACTCTTCTTCATACCGGGGTTGAAGTATATGTATCCCACTTGACCAGCACGTATCACATTCTGCGGTGTCTGGTCAGGATACATGATCCCCACCTCACCAACAAAATACTTCAGCCCAGTAGCAAAAGACACTACCTGGTCACCGGCCTTAATCTGCCCATCAAAGATCCGCACAAGCAAAATTACCCCCTTATAATTGTCGTACCACGAGTCTACCAGCAACAGTCTCAGAGGCTTCTTATGATCCCCAACCGGACAAGGTACCTGCCTAATCACATTCGGCAGGATATCTCCAACATTCAATCCCGTCTTCGCAGACACCAGGACTGCATTCTCAGGTTTCAGCTCAAATGCTGTCTCCATCTGCTCCAATGCTCTCGGCGAGTCCGCAGACGGTAAATCCACCTTATTGATAACCGGTACCAGAACCAGTCCTTGTGAGAAAGCCAAGTAGAAATTGGCCACCGTCTGGGCCTGCACACCCTGACTTGCATCGACCAGCAATAGCGCTCCTCCACAGCTAGCATACGATCTTGAGACCTCAGCTCTAAAGTCCACATGTCCGGGCGTGTCCACTAAATGCAGCAAGTAATCCTCGCCCTCATGATTGTATAACATGCTACAAGTCTGTGCCTTGACCGTAATGCCCCTCTCGCGCTCGACATCCAGCTTATCCAGAATTTGCTTGTTGCCACCAGGCTCTATGGTACCCGTCAGCTCCAGCAATCGGTCACTGAGCGTGCTCTTCCCATGGTCGACGTGAGCCACGATACAAAAATTGCGGAATCGCGATATGGGGATGGCTTGGATACGGCGCTCGAGGTCGGACGTCGGTTTGGACGGTTGAGCATATCGCGCGATGGAGGTGCTGAAGCCGCGCTGGGTAGTCTGCGTGAGGAATTGGGAGGCATAGTGTGTTCGCAGCGAGCTAGGGAGCCGGAGGAGTTGCAATGGACATCGCTGCATTGGCCTGTTGGTACGAGGTTTGAAGTCGTGGTGTTCCTGTTCTACTGAGTATGGTTGAAGCTTCAGAATTATTTTTAGTGAGACTGACATACTATGGAGCTTCCTGCAGGGGATGTGGCGCTTGCCGAGCCGGGGGTCGCTGCAGCAACGCCCTAGATTTATTGATAGTTCACCATGACGGGAACTTCGAAATCGCAGTCGTTACCGCAAAGAACAATTCAATCATACACGAGCACAAGCAAAATGTCGGGTGAAAAAGAAAAAGATAAGGCGAAGACGCACAAACTTTCCTTGAAAGGTACGCCTGAATTCTCGACGATTTGAAGCATTTCCTAACTGAGTCAGGATCATCGAGACTCGTCGCAGAGTTCGTAAGTGGCAGATTCGAGCAGTTGTACCAGATGGAAATACTGATTGCAGGCAGTTCCAATACTCGATAAACACAATTCTGTTAGTTGTGCCACCTTCGCAGCCAAATTACAGATACTAACAACTCAACAGCTTCCAAAGAGGTGTCTACCCCGCCGACGACTTCAACCCGTTCGTTATACCCCTCTCCCACCCCAAGCAACACCCTAACATCACCGCAGAGTCAAGAAATATGGCCTTACAATGCTGGTCTCTTCCGACGACCAAGTGAAAGCGTATATCAAGAAGATCATGGGCCAGCTAGATAAATGGATGGTGGGGGGCAAGATCTCGAAACTGGTGGTTGTGATAACGAGTAAAGACACTGGAGAACATGTTGAGCGGTGGCAGTTCGATGTACGTTTCTACCTTTGGAGTTTCTCTCTGCGATGGAATTTGCGAGTTGAATAATTATACGAGGTTCGAGAAGGAGGGGCTGATGAGTGAGGTACAGGTTCAAATATTCAACAAATCCTCCTCGAAGAAATCCTCCAAAAAAGCAGTCGACAAGGAGAACTCCGCACCGGAGTACGTATAGATCCTTCTCCTCTCCCATAATATTCAGTCAAGTTTCTAACTCAACATTCCCAGCACATCCTCTCCCACGCCTCCCCCAGAAAAGACAGAAGCGGAGATCCAATCCGAGATCCAGTCAATTTTTCGACAGATCACCGCATCCGTGACCTTCCTTCCACAGCTCGACGGCGAATGTACGTTCAATGTACTGGTGTATGCGGATGCGGATAGCGAGGTGCCGATGGAGTGGGGTGATAGTGATGCGAAGGAGATTCGCAATGGGGAGAAGGTCCAGTTAAGGAGCTTTAGTACGAGTAACCATAAGGTGGATACGTTGGTTAGTTATAGGGTTGGTGATTAAGTGGACGTCTTGGAGCGAGAAGTGTTATGATATGGGTCGACTTGAGATCAGGGTCTGGGGCGATTTTGCCAGACATACTTTCTTTCTATGTCTGTTCTGTACTGTTTGATGACTGTGTCGATATTTTGGTTCGTTCAGGAGGTACGGCGTCTTTATTAAGGGACGGAACGATGGATGGTCTTTGCTGGTATTCAGCCTAATTGCTGAAGAAATGTTCTGAAGATTGGTACATTTGACGCTCACCATGAGCTATAAACCAGATATATCTACACGTATCCTACACCATTATCGGCAACTGTTTGTGTACACAGCTATTTCCACAACACATATGCACTATCCTACAATCCCCCCTTCCCAACTATATCCACTCTAATTTCTTAAACAGCCTGCTTTTCGTTCTGATTTCCACCTTCAGCGCCCGCCCATCCAAAAACCACTCCAACGGCTTCATCCCATACCCCTCCTCCGCCTGCCAGGCACGATCGAGCTCCAATGCCTCAGTCAGCATCTCATCAAACGGCTTCACAGGCTGCCAGTGCTTGAACATTTCATATTCGGCTTCGATGATCTCTCGCAGGATAGAGATTTTGTAGCGCGGTACGCGGTGGCCGACTTGCGAGGGACCCCATGGTGCAAGGATCTTGGGGAGTTGGCGTTGTTGGATATGCCGTTGGAATGAGGGGGAAGAGCGGTATGCCTCGAGTTGGATGGGTGTGTATTTTGATCCTTCAGGGGACAGGTCAGGAGACTCAGTTAAAGGTTCGTCGGACTGGTCATTCTTTTTGTGACTGGACTCTGTGGGATGGCCCCCGACCGATTTGGTGATCGGTGTGGTGCCGCCTGACTGGTTCTCTACTAGAACTGCAGTATGTTGAGATGTATGCAAATCTTCAGATCCATCTCCCGTGTCCAGACGGCCCTGTAGTGCCTTTTGTTCCAGCCTTTTCAATTCGAGCTCCAGGATCATTCGTTCGAGGTGTTGCGAAGGATGCTCTCTAACATGATTGATGCCAACAATCACTGGCCCGGCAAACTTTTCCCATCGATGTCGGCTCGTCTTGGGCTCCTCAATATCACTCGCATTCTTCATGCTATGGAAAACACGCTGCCTCATCCGGAAGGATGTAGCACCATACAAGCAGGCATATCGCCACACCACCCTCGCAACATTGTACGACCGCATCCGCCACGCTAATTCAAACATGATGCGGAACGTTTCTTCGCCTGGTTCAAATTTCATACTCCGCGGAAGGCTGCGTAGGAGTTCAACTGCACCAGCCAGATTGGTAGCTTGTTTGCAGTGGTGGAGAATAGTATGGACAGCGTAGATCTCGGGTACAACATGCCGCGAGTCCATGAAGTGGAGAAATTCCCAGCAGCGAGATATCAGGCCATGGGCTCCGAGAGAATGGATTATTCGATTGGCATTGCTATTATTGACCCACTTGTTGCCATATCGGGAGTCCATGTGGGCGATGAAATCCTGTTGTGTTTGGTTCTGGTCAAGTGACGATTCGATTTCGGGATAGGCAAGTTGGGTAGTTGCTTCTATCATTGTTTGGGGGTGGTTGAGGAGACCTTTCTTCTGCATAGCTGTCAAGATGTGGAGTTTGATTCGTACATCTGAAAATGCACTCATGAAACGGATCCACGTCCTTCCATTTGGAGTAATCCCTCGATTCAGCATCAGATTGAGGATGAAGTGGAAGGCATGTATATCTTCGGCTTTGGCGGCTCCGGCTAGCAGGATGTTGAAAGTTTCTGGGACCATTCGAAGTTTCAGTATTTCCATGTGGACGAAGAGAATCCGGGCATCTTCTATGTGGTTTCCGGTTATCCAAAACTGCATCACCTCGTGACACGCTACTCTTGTAATTGCCGGTCTAACGTTTGGATCTTTGAAGAGATCGCGGAGGATGGTGGCCTTCACTGTGTCATGGTGATTCGGCGATCGAAATCCGTATCTATTGATATGACTCCACATACGAGAATTTGTGACGCTTCGAACGTAGTCGAGGAATGACTGCTGGGTCCATATCGAGGGCTCTTTAATATCTTCTGGTCGTACCTGAGCAGACGGGTGATATTGTAGACGATTATGATCTGCTAGGACATTGCGGATGCGCACTCCACTATCATATATTTTCGATCTTTCACCATCCTTAAGAGCTTCAGGAGCCTCCTCAATAGAGGAATTGTCCTTGAAAGGTGCGATGGCAGTATTAGGTGCGATGCTCAAGAACTCAGCTGCACACTTGCTAATAGCACTCGCAGGCCCAGAGATTGAGAAACTCGTAATTCCCACTTTGACATCTTCGCGAGCTCCCAATTTGATCTGACAACCATACTTGTCCCCAATTTCTAGAAAGTAGTCATCAATTCCATGGAGAAGCTTTCGTGCATCCTCAGAGGAGAGCGAAAATTCCAAAGCATTTGAGAGCCATTTTCCATGTTCCGGTGTATGCTGGACCAGAGTTGATAGCACAGCACGCCAGTCCGGAGCCCAAGCTTGTAACTGTGTTTGCTTGTCCGTCTGGTATGCTTTCCTTGAGGAGCTAGCCGACAGCTTCGAATCGTCGTTGATCGCTTTCAGTGAGAGCACTTTTCGAGCCGTCTTCTCTGTTCTCGACATAGGCGTATCATCCTTCGCAATACTCTGCTCGCTTTGTAAAGAAGCTATTCCGTCCTCCGTTGAGATATTGGGGGGGCGGCTCTTTGGGGGGACGCGTTTAATTTCGAGGGTCTGCTGGTCGCCTGACGATACAGCTTTTCGTCTGTTGAAGCGCTTATCCAGTACAGCTTGGTCTTCGCTCAGAGTAGCAGCATGTTTCGGGATCGATATTGGCTTCTGCTGAGCTACGGGCTCATTACGGGGGACATCTTGAGATAATGGGGACGCAGTCGAAGAGTTCCTGATCCACGACGGGTATAGAAAGAATAGAGGTTCCCTGGGAGGCGAGACAAGACTTGCAGAAAATGCGACCCTGCCCCGGTTTGCAATACGACTTCCCAGGGACATTCGCTATGATGTCGGCATTCTCTGCGTGTGTCGGCTCAGTTGGTGTTGAGCCTCGCAAACCATCAAAATATTTTGGGAACTCGTCGTCTGAAGCCGAGGATGACCCGGTGGACTTGATTGGCTCCTCTCATCGCCCGTGACTTTGTGGATGATCTGTGGACGTATGATATGCCTGCTCTCCGGCCCTAATTTTGGTAATAAAATGAATCAAAACCACTTCTTTAGAATAGTTTCCCTGTCAAATGATGGAATCTATTATTTTAATACTCTAAAGTCACACGATTCTTTCAACCTGGCAGATAACCAGCTATGGCAGGGAAGCGTTTGAAAACAACTTTAGATGAACTGGACTCAAAGGTGAACAACCATCTCAAAGTCCTCCGTTCCAGCTAAGACAGGCCGATTTAGAGCTGCATGTAATAATCTATTAGGAATATTTCAGACTTCAAGTAAAGCATCCACGTTCAACGTCACGGTCGTGGCTCTATAGAACTATTACAGGTTAAGAGTTTCTAACAGACTGATGCCTCTCGATCGGATTTCAACAGCTTCCGCCTCATCGCAATCAGTCTGTGGTTTGCTATTTATCTTTTTTCTTTTCTTTTTTACTTCTCTCCATCTGTAAGGAGCCTCTCGTTTTGTCGTCGCTTGGTATGTTTTCTTTTAGATAAAGGTCGTTGTCATTTAGTGCATGCTCTTAAGCATCACATTTCCCCTCCCAGATAACGCTTCTGATGTTTAAATAAGATTCGGCTACCTTATGCTATGCTCCGGCTTCCATACCTAAACGCCATGCTCCACAAGTCTACCTATTCCTTTGCCTTGCCTTTTCCTTTTCCATTTACCTGTCCATTTAAAATAGCCGTTCCGTTCCCTTCGCCTTCGTGACAGTTGTCAGCCCCAGGGAGTTTCTGGTCTGATATTACATCCTTTGGAGCACTGTTGTCGAGCCCGGACCACCCTTGGTCCCAGCCTTGACTCTCATCCACTGCGCCCTTAGTTTCTCCCTTCTCTGCCATGTCTTTGACATCACTCCAGAATTCTAGCTTCCTCACTTCCTCATCAGCGTGCTTCACCGCTGCTTCCAGGTTTTCCAGACGTCTCGTCTTAGCTGGGTCCACCTGATCCTTTTCAGTGGCTTCGTTCTCCTCGGATGCTTTGTTGAAGATCTGGAGCAGGTGGCTCAAAAGTAATCTGCGCGAGGCTTGGAATATAAACATGCCCATGATTTCGTGCATATGATCTCGCAAGTAGTACAGATCTTCACCCCCATGCTCGATGAAGCTTTCAACAGCTTCTGTCTTTTCCCGATCAATTCGGGCGAGTCGAAGAGCTTTCAGCAATGTTCCGATGTCCTGGATCTCTTCCACAGAAACACCTTCCTCCATTTCTCGTTTCGATATAGAAATGGTGCTATACCGCTTTGTCTGGCTGTCTGTTGTTGATCCACGACTTGAACCACGCAATTCTGCAGGATGAATGGTGAAGTAGTCTGAGTTAAGCATGTGTCCCTCATTGACTCGATACCCAGCACTCTTTCTAACACGCTTTCGTGTCCAGGCTCTCCGACGAACAAATGAGCTGTACCATGATTTTGAATGCCACGAGAACTTCTTGGAGAACATGAAGGAGTATTCCCACCCGTCCTCATCAACCTCGTCGGTGAGATTGATATGCCATTCCGGCCAGGCCCATTCCCATGATGGGTCTGGAACCTGTGCATTCGTAATATTCGTGGCGCTGGTCTTTTGAGCACTGTTGGTCCAAGGTGATGGGTCTAGATTCCCCAGGGCACGGGACGAGAAGAGGGGCATCCCGCATAAGAAACCCCCTCGTTGGTTCTCGTACAGAATGTCAATCGCAGAATCGGTACTTTGTTTTGATTTTTTTGCTGCAACATTGTCCCTCGTCCGGCCACGTTCCTCTGATTCTCCTTCCCCTCCATCTACCTGCACACTGCCTATTTCGTCAGTGGCATCATTTTCAGCTTCCCCATGATCTGAGCCCTCTCCCTGACCCAATCGACGGTCCTGGTATTTGGAGTATTTCCTCTTCGTGAGTTCCTCCCGTAAATGCAGTGGAGTCGTATGTTTTCGAAGTGGCACGTCGCTATGCCGTCGGGAGGAGGAGTCTGAAGTAACGCCTAAAATTGATGAGTCTACCATTCTCACTGTGTATACTCTGCGGACTGCATTTTGGGTACTTACCTGGAGAAAGTGGCCTCCTGCCAGCAGAGCGACTTCGTGTTACCTCTGGGCTTTCTGGCCGCGTATGATCGATAAGATTGATTTCATGATCGTAGTCGGTATCCTTCAGGGGCGAGGGTCGACGTGTCGAAGAGTGTAGGATCGACATTGCCTTCCAATATCACAGCATTCTGTAGGGGACTTCCAGCTCTGGAAGCTGTTGATGCTGTGTTCCTGTCGCGCAGTAACAAAGGGAAATCGGTCTGGATCCACAACTAGGTAGGTAGAATCATGCAAACAGGTGACGGTTAACGAATTGAGTGACAGTAACAATGTTGTCCCTTCGTTTCGATCACCTAGGCGCCTAATGCTAGACGCTCCTAGCTGATGAACTTACTTTAGCGGTTTCCTGTTTTGCGATTAGTTTAGCTATCTGGCTTCCTCGGGAGAATCTCCAAAAGCCTCAAGGTTGACCCAGGCGCACGTACGAGTAGCGAGTCGATGACGCGTGGGGCGAGCTACCAAAATGATCTGCCAACTTTGAATTGGATCCAGGGCCCAGGATGGCACGAAAGGCACGAAAGAGGGTCTCACCAGCCACAGTGGGCAAACATGAGGTCCCAATAATTTCCAATTCGATTTTCAGCTGAAAGCCACGGGCCATCAGTTGATCCGGGCCACTCGTAGCTTCCTCACGGGAACTTTGACGTGACTTCCCTATGACGTGGTGTGCATTTCCTGTTGTGGTGTGGGGAAGCTGCATGGAAGAGCTTCCTCGACCACGCCAGCCAATCAGCAACGCACCTGCTCCGTCACATCAATGCCGGTGGTTGCCCTGTCTCCTCTTCTTCCGCCCTCCAACTGCATCTTCGTCTCGACTTTCTCCTTCACACCACAATCCAACATCCTGAACTCTCGACACTCCCAATAAACGTTAAATCATCTCCCACAATAATCAACAATGGCCCAACCAAAGTCTAGAGTGCCTCTCTACCTCGGTCTTGCCGCCGCTGGTGGTGTTGGCTATTACCTGTACAATGCTGGTGGAAACCCAAAGGTTGCAGAGAAGCAAGTCGAAGGCATGTACCTATCGATCTCGTACTGTGCTTTCCAGTTCCTTGAACTGACTCCGTTCCAGCTGATCTGTCTCGTGCGTCTGCAAAGATCAAGTCGGAGATCCCAGGACGTACCAAGGAAGCTCAGAAGGAGGGTGAGAAGTGGGCAAGTGAGGCCGGCGCAAAACTTGACTCTGCAGTAAGTACTTTGCCACTTCGCTTCTAAAGCTCTTCAAGGAGCTTGGGAATATTCTCTGCTCAAGGCGTCCTGAACGCTGGCATCAGCTACTTGATCCATTGAGCCACCTATCACCTGAACATCACTAATCGTCCTCCACAGGTTGAGAAGAGTAAGGCAGAGCTAGCCAAAGCCGAGAACAAATTTGATCAATATCGAAAAGATGCCGGTGCGAAGATTGATGCAGCAGACAAGAAGATTGAGACCAAGGCAGCAGAGGCCAAGAGTGGCATCTCTTCCTGGTTTGGTGGAAAGTAATTCAGTTCGAGGTTCGGGGACGTATGGTGACATGAGGGGATGATTGATGATATGATGTACGGTTTAGGCTGAGATTTCTCTGAGGGTGTGGAGGGCGTGTAATACCAATGCAAATAATGCTCCCCTCTCTATTCTCTCTTCCCTATTCTGAGGCACAGTTACTCGTTGGGATGAAGAAAGCTAAAGTTGGCTCCGTAATTCACCTCAATCTCAAAGCGAAGGTGCTCTGAGTAGTGCTCTAGCTTTGTCAGAACGGCCGTTTTTTCCGATTGTTCCCTGTTCCATCTGTACACAGCCGTTTGTGTGGGTTATAAGCAAAGACTGTTTGCACACAAAGATACCAGAGCGATCATGATCATACATGTATACCCTCTTGGACAGGAGAACCTTTTCCAACAAATGTCTGCTCTGAGCTTCGCCTGTGTTTTTTCGCTGGTATGTATTGGCCTTGCTATTCAATTGAGGCGGATTTTATGGAGTATAAAATTCAAAATGGAGACCACTCCCCAATGCCGATATGCTGACTGAATTCCTGCGCAATCGTTTATCACCATAGTGCCAGTATACTCTGCTCTTCCATTGTATTTGTCGATTCCATACGCCATGTTTATCTCCCTAGTACGACATTAAGCAATAATATATTCCTGAGTCAAAAAAAAAAATGAAAAAAAATTGTACCCCTTCACATCCTCTTATGTACTCAGCCCGAGGCTCGCAAGACTCAAGCTTTACACATCTTCGTCTGTGGATTCAGGTACCACCATCCATACTGCGCAACTGCACCCATGAAGAAAGCCAAAAGCACAATAACAATCTGCGAGACAGCCGAGCGCGTAGAGTTATATCGTGGTCTTGCTTCAAGCGCATAAGGCCCAACCATCTTCTTGATCGGCTTGACATTCTCCCTCTTTGCCGTTTCAACACCACGACGCATGCCTGGAAGTCCGTCCATGCTCTCTGAGTTCTTGTAAGCCCAGTACCTACAACTCAGTCAATACCAGCGATTTCATTTTAGGAGAAGAAAGGATTGAGCAAGGGCGAGGACATGAGCGAAAGACTCACTTCTCAATCCCATCGTCCTTCTTCCCCGCCTTTTCAGCGGCTACCCTCTTCTCAAAGAACTCATTCAGCGTCGGTCTGAAATCCTTGAAATCATAATACGGCATGCTAAACCCACACGAGCTCCCGACTTGATGGATATGAACAACCACCACAGCCCTCGTCCCATCAATAGTTTTAACCTCGTTCTTCTTCACAAACTCCAAGTACTTCTCTGTCCCATACTCTAGCACTTCTCCCCATCCCCATAGTCTTACAATCTTAGGCGGACCTTCGAATGCATTGAAGAGGATGGTGATGCGGCCATTTCCGGGCTCCTGAAGATGTGAAAGTGTTTCGACGCCGGAACCAGTGAGGTCCACATACCAGAATGTTTGCGGGTCGGTTATCCCGAAGTATTGGCCGCCTTTTGGCGAGACGTTGATATGTCCTGAGGCGGAGAGGGGTGCTGAGGCGGCCCAGAAGACTTTTTGTTCGAGGATCCAGGTGATGAGGCTTTTGGGGATGGTTTCGTAGAAGGCCCCCATTGTGGATTTTTTTTGAGCGGTTTGAATATGGGAGTACCAATGGAGATATCAAATGATTGCTTCCCCGGATTTGAAGAGTCACCGAAAGTGGGGTTAATCGACGAATATTAATGGTTCCACCGAATCCGATACCGGTCTTACGTTTTGAGCAGAGACTTCAACGAATCTTAGCTGCATCAACGTGATCAGCAACCGTTGTGCTTAAGATTAAGTTGACTTTCTACAGTAACTCACTGGAATTGAGTTGAGTTTTTTGAGAGTGATCCCTGACCAGACGTTCCTTGGGGATTGCCGAGGGATAATTGGCCAATCACATCAAGCGATCATTGGACCCCTATTCTCGCCTGAGGCGAAACGAGTTTCCTTGCTCCTTTTGTTTACTTCATAAGCTGCCAACCATACTTCTAACACAACAAATATATCAGAATACAAACAACTCAGCATCTCAAAACCTCTCACAAACTTCAAACGCTGCAAAACATGGAAATCTCATTATCTCATAATTTCGAAAATACTCGCCTCGCGGGCCCGGTGAAACTCCCGCAATCTCCGTGCTTGTACACAATACCTCCAAAATGGATCGGGAAACAGCACACACGACACCATCTCATAGCCATCAATGATAGACGTCCGCTCCGCAGGTGTCAAAGGCCTCGGCGTCTTCGCAAAGAAACTCATTCCAAGAGGGACACGCATCTTCTCTGAACGGCCACTCCTCACCATTCGCAACCACGATGCCAGCACGCTCTACCCAGACGTCAAGCTGCTCAGCACTAAAGACCGAGATTCGTTCATGGCATTAAGCGCTTTTCGAAATAGAGAGCTGGATCTCATGAGATGGTCTATAGTCCTCGTACATACTGCCAAAAAAACCGCATCGTCACTCCTTGGCGCCTTCTCTGGAAAGAGAGCTTTCTCGCAGCCGCGAAACCAGAGGGATTCGTTGTCAGATCACGTGGAGGCGTTGAGTATCTTCCGCAGCAACGCCTTTGATATTGGCCGGCATTTAGGCATGTGTCTGTTCCCCAGGACGGCTAGGATCAACCATTCGTGCTTGCCGAACGCGCAGGGGAATTTCAATGAGCTGCTGGGGAAGTTCAATGTCCATGCTACGCGGGATATCAGGGCCGATGAGGAGGTCAGCTTGAATTACCTGCTGGAGACGGGAGCGCAGCGGCATGTTAGGGTGCAGAAGCTGAGTCAGATGTATGGGTTTGAGTGTGCTTGTCCGGCTTGTGATATGGGTGGGATGAGAGGGAAGGATGGTGAGAAGAGGCGAATTGCTATGCATGAGACTCTGAAGGCTTTTGCTGAGCGGCCTACGGCTGGGAATAGGACGGATTTGGAGGCTCAGCTGGAGGCGACGAAAGCGTTCATTGAGCTCTTTGAGGGGGAAGGGATTGCTGGGAAGGAGCTGTCGAGCTTGTGAGTCTGAAGCATACGATTGCTGTGAGATATGAACATATGCTGATTTAGTTGACAAGGTACATGCAAGCGGTTGGCATTAACACTGACCTGCAGAATCTTGACGAGGCTTTGATGTCTGCTTCGCAAGGGCTGAGGTTGGATCGGGACACCTTTGGAGAAGATCACCCTGAATACAAGCAATCCCTAGAGAAAGTCAAATATCTACAGAGTCTTGGAGCTCAAAGCAAACAAGAGTAATGTATTATGAAAGCAGTTGTAGAATATGAAGATGCTGGATTCGCAAAGGAATGATTAGAAACCAGGCGACATCGATCGGCAAGGTCGGGTGATTATTATGCAAAACACCATAGGCTCAATCGAGTGAATATCACAGCTGTACCTCATGATTTGTGTTGAGTGGGAACATATATCGCGGCGGAGCAAATAAAGACTGAGAGCGGCTGACCACAGATGTCACAATCTTGAGGACTAACCCCAAAAGTAAAACAATACGACCAATGGGAAACCAAACCTTCGGAATTCTCTGATCTATAATCTATGTTCAAAGGGGAGCTGCGTATGTATCATAATCTCATGCAGTCGGAGCAGGTGGAGGTTTGGAGCACGTCGAAACTGTCTCCCACGGAGCATCTTTCTTCGGCGGTCCTGCCCCAGGAAGTTTCTCCGCCTTCACCAGCACAGGAATTGCCTGTCCGGTCCCAAGCCCAAAGGCTCTATGTTCAAGGACTGTGTCGAGTCAGCTTTTCAGATCCGACGCTTGTTGATGCAAGTCACTCACCTCTCAACATAGAAGCAATCTGTCCGGAGTGTGCAGAAATACTGATATAAGTGCTCTTATCCGATGAGAACAACTCTTCAACCGCAGTCAACGTCCTCTGATCGATCGCATGGTTTGTCTCTCTTAAGCTAGCACTCCATAATGGATCCTCCTCGGCGAAACCCTCTTCGAAAGGCCAATCAGGGTAGTGGCTGTGAATGACAGTCTTGCTACTTCTCCTGTCACATGTGTGCACACCAATGACTTCTCTCAAGTTTTCTTTGATGGTCGGAATGAATGGATGCTCTTTCGGGAGATCTAACCCAGAGAATGTGATACTTGCAGTTGCTAGGCAGCGTAGGAGAGGACTGGTGTAATATGATTCTGGGGTTGGGATTTTCTGGTCTTTGATTTGAGAACGCCAAAATTCGTTGGCCTTTTTGGCTTGGCCTTCGCCAACGGATGTGAGGAGTGCGTCGGCCCAGGTACTGGTTTCATTTCCATCTTGCAGGGACCAGTAACACTGCTTGATGTTAGGGCTTTCGGGGGACGAGGAGTTGGAGTACGAACATCCCATGCTTCGGTCCCGTAGAATGCTTCGGCGAGATTATGGTAACCTTCACCATGCCGACCGACTATAAAGGTTAGTAGTTGCATCGGCTGGTACTGAGAGACGTACGGTAGAGAAGCTTGTAGGTGATTTTGGAGCTGCTATCGCGATTCAATCTTGATACCTCACGTGCAAAACGTTGCCACTGTGTCAACTTGCTATTGGTACTTAGATCCGCATCTGCAGGATAAGTACGGTCTTTTAACCCAAAATTTGAAGTTGTCTGCAAGCATTAGACTACAACTGAATTGGACAGCGCGAAGACTCACGAAATCGAAGCCCTTAGGATCCGTAGCTTCGTCATCTTGGAGGAAATATCCCGTGACTGTACTGTACTTGGTGTATTCTTCTGAAGGAGCAGGCGCTTCCCCCATCATGATCATAAACGCTACGATGACTGTAGCAATGAAAGCAAATGCACTTAATACACTCAGTCAACATCCGGTCCCGGGATGTGTCAAAATTAGCCTTACATAAATGAATTCAACGTGCACAGATTTCTCCGACTACCGAGCATATGCGCGGGTTGATTCAAGCTGTTATATTTTGCTTCTCTGGCCATAGATCTAATAGACCATACTTGCTCTTAGAAAGCGGTACAAGTGGATCGAGTTGCTGTCAACTTAGGAGTTAGCCGTGTGGATGTCAAGGAGCTGGCCCAGTGTGTCAAACAATTTTGAAGCCTTGGCTGGGGAAACGTGGGGATAGTTACCGATACGCCGGGTTCAAGAAGATGGACTGGATTGGAGCGATGAACCTAGAGGCATTTGAGAAGGCTGGATCGGTGAAGGACGAGGCTGAAGATGGAAGGAAGTAACCCGAAGGAGAAAGGGGGAGTGCTGGTCACGTGAAATGTAATCTCGATCGCGGACTTGCTTAGTACTTACTACTGTAGGTAAGAAGGTTTGGTCCCCACTTGCCACAGATGGAGCTTCAGCCACAATGATGTAAGAGCTTTTTGGCATTTCGTTACCCCACAAAGGGCGGAGTGGGCCAGGGCCACCTTGACGACGACTTGTGGATCATCGAGCTCTGGTTTGGCAGTTCCGTTGACATGAGAGAAGTCCGGTCCCAACGCCAGATAAAATTGAAAAGCTAGCCCCTGGATCTCTGAATAGGGGCATCGACGTCATCATCAACGCTTGAAAAGAAAGGAGGCAAGAACCTCGGCGTAAACATGGAACACAACTCAGCGAGCTAGTTACAAGCCGGAGGAGCTCTGCCGCCTCCGAATGTGAGACCTGCGCCCGCATGGCGAACTGAAGGAAGAAATCCCATCATTTTGGCGCAGGAGCATCGAGCCATCTGGACCCATCCAGACAAGGGCAGGCAAGCATGAATCGGCCACCCGAGCCACCTTCCTCGTGATCCTTGTCTCTGCCTTGGAAAGAGCAACGAAGAGGGCCAGCCAGCCCAGCCACCCAATCACCGACCTGCTTGCTGCCAGCTCCTGACAGTCACGTCATACCCCTCACGCTTGCCCTCGCCCTCGTGAGGCCTCACCCAATTCACACACCCCTGCCATCTGCCGGAACTCACCCTCACCCTGGGAGCTTGCCCTTCCCTTACGAAGCTAGACCCGTGGCTGCCCTTCTCTCCCTTAAAACCCTTTGTCTCCTGCACCTCTGCCCTTCTCTCATATCTTCCTCTTCCTCTTCCATCAACACCACACATCTCACCGTGGCATCAATCCAAGTACTCGAAGAACCTCCCATCAACCTCTTCAATCAACCACACACTCTACCCATCATGTCTCTCCACTGTACGTACTGCCCTGTCCTGAGCTCCGAATGGTGACGACATTGTTTGTTTTCTTTCGTGCTTGCACCGCGGGCATTGACTTTGGCATTGCAATTGACTCCAAAGCTTTGGGGGCACTCACATGAGCTGCCCCAGCTTGATCTCTCGCTTGGTCTCGAGTTTGTTGCGATTCAAATAACCTTCACCGTCTCCTCCGGCTATGGTCACGTTTGCTTGTTGATGCTTGGACTAACCCCTTCCCTACACAGATCTCCCACCCGTTAAGCCATCCGCCATTGCGCTCGGCACCATCTTCAACCACGCTGCGTCGCTCGCAGTTCTCGGCCCAGTCTTCGGTGACACCTACCACCGCGCCCAAGCTGCCAACTCAAAGGAGGAGTTTGTCAAGTCAAAGGAGGCCGCCTCTGCCGCTGCTGCTTACGGAACTTCCCTCGTTGGTAGCGCCATCCAGTCATATGGTGTTGGTGCTTTGATCAACGCTACTGGTACTCTCTCTTACAAGGGAGCTGCCTACTTGGGATCTTTGATCTTCTTCGCCAGCTCTGCCCCATCGGTAAGTCCTTCACGGTGGATTCTATGACCTACATTTCTTGCATTGTTTGAATCCTAGCTAACTGTTTCTAGTTCATTGCACAAATCTTCACTGAGAAGCGTCCTCTTGATACCGTTGCCGTTGGTGCCGTCGCCCGCAGTAAGTTCCCTCGAATGGACCTGTGACGAAAGAGCTTATCGGCTGACAAAACCCTTCTTAGTTTTTGAGACAGTTGGTCTCTCCCTCTTCTTAACCTGGTGGGGAACTCGCACCAACCCATTTGAGTAAATGCAAAATATTCGTTGGTTCGGGATGTAGGAAGGATGGCGAACGGGAAGGAAGGATAGAAGGGTAGTCATAATCGACTGTGTATCAACTCAACTCCAATCAGGCAGTGCTTAGCGGTGTGCTTTTCACTTGCCTTGGACAGCAATGGTTTATGAATAATCTTTGAAGCATAAACTGGTGTCTACTTGAGTGATTGTCCCTGTATTTCATTGATGTTGCCTAATTTGAGAGAAGAGTTGCAGTGCCGCTGTACTCACGAGCTGGTAAGCAATGCAGCTGGTACAGAATAATATTCGTGAGTACAAAGATTTTTCTGCACCAAGTGGTCTTTCTGCAGTGTCCCACGCTGCCCTCCGTTCATTTTTCACTCATTGAAATGTCAACTCAAAGAAAGGTAGCGAGGGGTCCTCTGGTTATTCAAACTTAAGAGATAACCTTGAAAGCTTAATTCTCTCTTCTTGTAAAACTGACTTAATGTACAGAATGATCCTCCTTTATCACGTGCAGTTCACAGTTAACAGTTGTCACGTCCTTCTTTTGTTCATACAACGGGTTTTATACTTAAATAAATGAGGCATGCGTTCGTACCCCCTTTCTTTTGTGTATCAAACATTTCCTTGGCAATGTCGTCGGCAGAATGTGTTTGTGTGAAGGAGGAGGTTCTTGTTTCGTTGAGAAATGCGACCTTACATGTCAGGTATGCTGGTACTTGTGTGATGGTAGTTCGGAGGACAGTGAGACGGGAAGCGGGAAGTGTGTAAGGTCGAGGTGTTGAAATAGCTGAAGAGGGTTAGAGCAGAGGAGGAAAGAGTTGACAATGACTGGGGAGATGGTAGGTAAGCGAATCGGCAGTGAAATAAGTATTGGTAGCTAGGTATCCTCTCTCCATTGGAAGAAAATGTCCAAGCGATCTGTAGTATTGATGAGAGTCAAGTCAGTGGGGTAGAATTGAGATGAGGATATCATCCAACTTCTTCAGAGGCTTATCGGTAGATTCTTGGTATTTTGAGATGGGAATGGCAGCGGACTGGGATCCTGGGATCGTTGTCACGGAGTGTCTTCTTGTTTGGTTCCTGCAAGACTGGTGGGAAAGGCGGTTCGTTATATACGCGTTTGAAGCTGGAAAGACGGCGTGGTGGTTGAGATTGACTTCAAGAGATGAGGGTGGCATGCAGTGGATGTAAGAATTTTCATACTCTTGACTCACCTGACAGACTCAGGGAAAACCAAAGGAACCTGATGATATCAATCCCTGGTGGGGAAAGAGAAAGGGCTTGTTGACGTTAAGCGAGCAGTCTATATCCACTCTCCACTTCCCTATCCTTCTCCTTCCAGATGGTGTAGAACTCAAGAAGCTTGCTGTGGAGCAAATTTGTCACAACCAATATAATCATTAAGTTGATGATAAAATGAGAAAAAGACTAAAGTACGATCGAGCTCTGCTGACATGATATGGCCGACTTCTCATCCGAGCGATTTGCGCGTTGTCCTGTGCTGGAATCAGGGAGGGAACTCATTACATTGCCAAATGTACCGTGAAAGGCAAGTGAGAGAAAAACATTTGTAGAAGTGTTTGACTGTACTGCTTTTGGTATCCAGTTTTTCAACAAGTATCCGTTCTTCTGAGATCCGAGACATATTTGAAAACTGGTCTGAGGCGTATAGTTTACCCAGCTTCCGGTGAACAGAGAAGAACGAAGAATGTACAGCAACGCGGAGAATGACAATGAGCAGAGTGTTGCTACCATTGCTTAGCATGAGAACCGAGAGTTGGTCTCATCGGATCCATGGACATGTGTGATCTGAGGAGAGAGCTTTCTTCTTGTGATTTGAAGAGCACAAGTAGGGAAATAGTTTGCTAGAATTTGGCAGTAAGTGTAGGGTGAACAAGAAAAGGTCCGGGCTCAATCCCATTCACAAGCCGCCACAAAGCCCAACGCAAGCGGTCATGTTTGGTTGTTCCCTTCGCTTGAGTAGTTTGCGGGTCAAGCATTGTTTGGGAGAAAATGGAGTTGTAAAAACCGCCATGAAACAAATGAAGCCACCAAAGAGTCAATGTTATCGCAGTCTTCAAGACAATCAAGCAACTAGGTTCGACGAAATACCATTTTATAGCATGGTCTATGCGCCCAAACATTTTGAACTCCACATATGCATGAAATCCCATCAGTTGAACCATCCCAGCATATCCTGCCCTACTTATGGCTCTCATCCCTTTCCACCAAGTCACCCACACCAAGCCCTCTTCCGACTCTAACCTTTCTCTTTTTGCCCTCTTTTGGCGCCTCCTTGTTCCCATCAAGCAAGACCAAATCGCCCTCCTTACCCATCTCACCCACAGGCTCGCCTTCATCGAGTTCCTTGTCCATCTCATCAACCAGCTCTTCGCGCAGGGTGCCGAGGTCGAGCTTCATACTGAAGGCGTCCTCGCCGTCGGCGTAGTACTTGGCTTCTATCTTCTCCATTTGGAACGAGAGCGTATCACGGTAGAGGTGGAGTGCGGCCTTGTTGGAGACGCGGACGTGGAGGGAGACGTATTGGGCTTGGAAGGTTTCGACCATTGCTCGTTCTGGAAATGTGTCAGCTACGTCCAATGATCTTCCAGGTATGGGAACAGTAGGAGTTCCATAAACATACGTGATTGTCTCATCAACTTCTCAGCTATACCCAACCGTCTATGTGTTCGCATGACGCTCAAACTGGTGATGTGACCATGTTGAACTCCATCGGGGGGGTCCTCCTCCATCTTTGCAAGCACGTACCCTACGATGCGGGGATAGTCGTAGGGAGACTTCTGGGGGCGGGAGACATCGACGGCGACGTAGGAGAGCTGTGGCCAGGAGAGGGCATGGTAGAGGTAGTACTTCATAAAGTAGCTAGCCTGCTCGTCAGCTTCCAATTCTTGCAGAAATCAAAATTAATTGCCAGACGAGGGAGGCATACTTCTCAGGCAAATTGGTGATGTTTGCATGTTGTACATGCGGTATGTCCGAGGACCGTAGCAGTCGAATATCCATGGTCGCGGTGGTGGTGTCTTGAAGTAGAGCTCCAGCTGCCCTGCGCTGTGGACGTCAAGACATCCAGACCGACCCAGGCAGCCCGGAACATTTCTTGGAGTGCTGGGATTCCATTGGTGCGCTAGTACAGTACTGTATTTTAGTGGGGATACTTCCCATGGCGGGGTCGTTAAGCTGCATGTGCCTCGTGAGATTTATTTCTCCCTTTTCTTTGGACTATAGTACTCAAATCTGTGAATATCTGAACTGGACTCTCTTTTCTCTACTATCTCCATTGAAAGCCGACTTTTAGAACCTACAACATGACAGAAACACGCCCAACCCACTCCAGAACTCGATCTATGACCTTAGGCGGGGTAAGTTCTCGGATTCTGGAGGGGAAGCTTGCAATTGTGACAGGAGCATCAAGAGGTACTGTACGCCGTGTAGTTTATTTGAGAATATTTCTAATCTAATACAGGCATCGGAGAAGCAATTGCCCATAATCTGGCTTCCAAAGGCGCCAATTTGATACTCAACTACACTTCCGACTCCTCAAGTAAAGCGACAGCAGACCTCTCTTCTCTGCTCACAGAGGAATATGGAGTTACTTGTCTGGTAATTCGTAAGTCTTCTGAGCTTTTCAAATCTCCCCTCAAAGCATTTAATATCTTGAAACAAGTCGAAGCACTCGTCGTCAACCTACCAAGTCAGGCGCCTCAACACATCACTAACTCTCACCAGAAGCAGACATGGGCATCCCAACCGGCCCAGCCCACATTGTAAATACAGCAAAGAACCACTTCGCCCATCCCAAAACCGGCAAATTCCAAATCGACATTCTAATCAACAACGCCGGCGTCTCTAAGAATCTTACCGTCCCCGAATGCACGATTGCCGATTTTGACTGGCAATACAAGATCAACGTTCTCGGCCCCCTACTACTTCTCCAAGCCGTTCTTCCATACCTACCAAACGATCGAAGCGGCAGGATAGTTAATCTGAGCTCAGTGTCGAGTTCGCAGGGATTCACTGGACAGAGCGTGTATGGTGGGACGAAGGCTGCTTTGGAGGCTATGACGAGAACTTGGGCAAGGGAGTTGGCGGAGAGGGCGACGGTCAATGCTGTTAATCCTGGCCCGGTAAAGACGGATATGTGGGCTGGTACTACACCCGGATTTAAGAAGAATTTGAGGCCCTTCATTCAACAAACGCCTGGGAGTGCGATCAGACCAGAGGTTGATGATGAAGATCTGGTTGCGGACGCGGAGAACGCGGGTGGTAGACCTGCGTATGTTGGTGAGATTGCTGGTGTAATTGGCATGTTGTGTACGCCGGATAGTTTGTGGTGCACTGGACAAGTGGTTTGTGCAAATGGAGGAATGAGAATGGCGATCTGAGGAAAGGCAGTTTCGAGGATGTAGAGGCGCAGAGAAGATATATATAGCACATCGCATGTCAGAGATGTATAGAATGGTTTCATGTTGAAATGAAGTTTTACTGCAATTGTTTAGCTACCAGTTACTGACCTTCAGTTCTCTAACGCCAGAAATCCTATAGTACTTATTTTATGGTGCAGCAGAAGGTGGGGGTGCCTGCTCCTCCGCAGTCACACCTCTCAATGGCAACTCTACCTCACTGTCCTTTCCTGTCTCGGCCTTTTTGGCTGCTTCTGTCTCCTTAGTCGCTTCCGTTCCTTTCCCCTCTCCTGTCTCGTTCGCTGGGGCAGCCTCCTTGGAAGTATCTGTGTTTGAGCTTGCTGCCTTGGCAGCTTCCTTCTGGTAGGGAATTAGCAAGGTGATCTTCTGACTGAGAAGATGGAAGAATTTTGGTAATCGGCTCCAATACTCCAACACAACACTCCGCAGGATGAAGAAGAAACGTCCCAAACCGTCACGAACCTTAGCTTTCTTTCGCTCCTTGTCTCTTGCCTTGTCAGCTGCCTTCTTTGCCTTGGCATCTTCCTCTGCCTGTCGAGAGGCTTGTGTACCACCATACTTTCCTCGCCACTCGGCCTCCTTCTCCTCGGGAATTTTAGTAAATAGATATGCAGCCTTTCCAATTTTGTGACCACCTGGGAGAGCACCTGGGGACCATTTGTCTGGGATAGAAAGGAGAGGAGCATTAAGTTGTTCAACGATTGAGGCTCCTGTTGATGGCATAAACGGGGATGAGAGAGATGCAAGAAGGTATGCAAGGTTGAGGGCGAGTCCAATAATGGCGTGTGTTCGTTCTGGGCTGTTGGCCAAGTTGGCATTATCAAGACGACCAGCGAGAATAAGGTTACCCTTCGCAGAAATTTCCATGAATTTCCGCAATCCAGATCGCAAGTGAACGGCTTCCATATCAGCGACGTACTCGGCAAGGAGAGCATTGACTTCGCCGATGAAGCCGGGGAAGTCAAAGGAATCATCCTTGTATTCTGCTGAGAACTCGGGAATGACACCACCAAGCTTTGCATTAACAAACTTGACCAAACGATTGACAAAGTTGCCAACATTTGCAAGAAGCTCGCTGTTGTTTCCTGCGATAAATGCCTTCCACTCGAATTGTGTATCTCCAGTCTCCGGTCGATTTGCGATCAAGTAGTATCTCCACACTGCTGGTGGTATTCCAGTCTCCTTCGCACCATCACCGAAAACACCAATTCCTCGAGATTTTGAGAACTTTCCTTGCTCGTAGTTCAGGTATTCTGTGACAGAAATATTGTGAAGCTTCGTCCACTTGTCCTTGGTACCTAATTGAGAGCCCGGGAAAATGACTGTATGGAATGGTACATTATCTTTGCCCATGAACTGGAAGAGCTTTACTTGTTCTGGGTTACGCCACCACAGCTCCCAGTCCTTTGTGTAGTTCGCGGTAATCGATGGGTAACCAATGCATGCATCAAACCAAACATACAGGACCTTCTTTTCGTATCCTGGAAGTGGTACAGGGGTACCCCAACTCAGATCTCGTGTGATACTCCGTCCCTCAAGCCCTTTGTCGAGCCATGACTTCGTGATGCTGATACCATTTGGAGACCATCCTCCCTCAACGCTGGACTGTGCAAAGAACTTCGCAATATCCTCCTGGATTTTGTCTAAGCGCATGAAGATGTGTGTGGTATCTTTGGGAACAGGAGTAGTACCATCGACTTTGCATCGAGGGTTGATGAGTTCGAGAGCATCTAGAAGACTGCCGCACTTGTCGCATTGGTCGCCCCGTGCATCATCGTACTGGCATTTCGGGCAGGTGCCTTCCACGAAACGGTCTGCAAGGAAGGAGTGGTGATGTTCGCAGTATGGCTGTAGAGTAGTCCGCTCCTCCAGATATCCATTTTTGTATAGCTTCATGAAAATGTCCTGCGCGATAACCGTCTGCTGCTCCGTCGTCGTCCTGCCAAAGTAATCGAAGCCAATCTCGAACCAGTCGTAAATCGCCTTGTGCTTAAAGTGAAATTCATCGCAGAGCTCTTTAGGAGTCTGTCCAGTCTCTCGCGCTCTTGCCTCCGTAGCTGTACCATACTCATCTGTTCCACAGATGAAGAGAGTTGGTCTGTCGCGCAACTTGCTGAATCTTGAGAAGACATCTGCGCTGAGCACACTACCAATAACATTTCCAAGATGAGGAATGTTATTAACATATGGCAAAGCGCTGGTGATCAGGATGTTGTTTTTACCCTCCTCGGGTAAGATAATTCTCGCGGTAGCCATGCTGTTTGGTGTGTTTGAGGAGCTGTGAGTCGAGAGGTAGGCGTGGTGTTTTAAGCTTTGTGGTGGGATGGTGGGGTTGACTCACGCGCCAAGAGACGAGGCTGAAGTGCAAGTGGCGGTGTTTTGAACCACCACTGTAAGCGATGACGAGGCTGACACCAGGAAGCACAAATTTGGGACTTCGCCAATTCCGAAAAATAACGGCCTTCGAAGTTGTGGCCAGGGCACTGTGTAGAATCTTGCGAGTTATTCCTCATTGCCTAATAAAGGTTTACATAGATGATGAGCAGTAACTTATTACTCTAAACACTCGGACACTCCTTCTGCTTTTCATTAGAGCCGTTATTGGTTACAAAGCTGCTTTTCTATTGCCAGTGTCATCTCGGGGTTTTTCCAGAGTCCCGTACCGACAGGCAACACAGACTTAAGTCGGTATCACGCCGCGCGTAGAATACAAAATCTATTGAGTGCTGTAGAAACTGATTAAAAGTATTTATTATCTAAACATACAGGTAGCCAGATGTTATTGATAATGCCTTTGGAACTTCTAGCATGTCCCCGAAACAAAAAATGCAGCTTACTCAGGTTCTCTAAACTGATTGATTACTTGATGGAACTTCGGCAAGACTGAAAAGGTCTTAACCATGAGCGAGACCGACCGCCGCGAGACAGTCAATTAACACCATTAGCCTTCAAGAGTGGAGACGCCCTTTAGTAACTGTTTTGTATCGTGAAACCTTGCAATGAACATAGCACATACAATGTCACAGCAAAAGGGTATATTTAGCATTGTACTAGTCGTAAGCTTTAATGAGGGACTGTCTCAAGATTAACAGTAGTGGTCGCCTGCTCAAGGTTGGTGGTGTGTCATATTTCATCATGGGATGACTGAAACTGCTTAGGTATGCCAATACTGATAGTATGATCAGTCTTGCAGCCAAACCTCAATCCTGGTTGTCCCAGAAGAGGGTGAATGTATACATTCGGTTAAATCACGTGTGATCACTTTTCACTCCGATAAATTTCCGATCCTGTTGCAATTCAGAACTATCATCAATCACGCTTCAGCGATGCAGTCATCCACCATGCAGTCCACTACTTTCGACGAGGTTCTCGGGCTTGAGGATAAGTTCTACGATGATGGATTTCGGCAAGGATACGACGATGGAGTCAAGGCAGGGAGAATTGAGGGTCGGACGTTTGGGCTTGAAAAAGGGTTCGAAAAATACGCTGAGAGTGGTCGCCTCCACGGCAAATCAATCATCTGGGCAAATCGCATGTTGCATTCACCAGAAAATGTCATCAATGCCGACCAACGAGCCCAGCGTCCTCAAGCGCAAATTTCAACCGAATCACCTGATCTACAAGCCTTTCAACCATCCAACCTCCAGGCCCTGCCCCTAAATCAAAGACTTGCAAAAAATCTCAAAGTACTACACGCTCTCGCTGAATCCGAAAGTCTGTCCACTGAGAACACAGAGGAAGCTGTTTCTGACTTCGATGACCGACTGAAAAGGGCTCAAGGCAAGGCGAAGATCATTGAAAGAATTGTGGGGGGATACCAAGGAGATGCAGTAGCTGTGGCAGGCAGTAGACAGGGTGGAGATTCTTGAGCTGCGAGAGTTGTTTTGGATACCATGGACAATGCAAGTTGGTCACTCTGCTCATGTGAAGAATGGTATGGAATATCGCAGCCGTCTTACCCGCATGACCCTAGCTGATTTGTCTGTCTTGTCGGGCTCATCTTATCCATCACTTCTTCATCCCTTCTTTCTATCGGCACGAATAGTCTCAGGCCAAGTACTTACAGATTTGCCAGGACCCAAGACAGCAGCGAACGTACCTTGACAAAACTCTGCAACCTGCGGATTTCTATTCCATGCTTTCGACGGAAGCTTCCCGTGGCCGTACCAAGAACGCCAACAATTGGTGTGATGCTATGCATAATTTGGGAAAGTCACTTTCGAGTAAAGTAGAAGTCAAGATGTCAGAATGGCTCAACAACATTTTTTTTGCTACTGGAGATGGAGATCTGACCGTCACTTGATGCGGCAGAGAATAGAGCTGAATTCATGGCTGGTCGATGGTCTGACACGCCGAATCTCTGCGCATCAAATCATGTCACGGCCAATGAGCCCTCTTGAAAACATAGTGTCTTCGGTGCAGTCTCTAATTCAATTGCATTTGACATGGCGTCCTCCAAGCCACTCTCGGGAGGCTGGTAAGAATGTTCGTCGTTTGAATTGGATCACCTGCTTGTTACCAAATGCCGAAGGTGAATAGGACGCACTCGTTTACATTGTAATTCAATCCCTTGGCTTTGTATTGCTAAGTGAACAGTCTCCATCCTCTGTCGCGCTAGTGAATGGGGACGGAAGCTTTCTTAAGCCTCCTCGGCGAATTCATGTCTATGAAATTTCTTGAAACAACAACATCTATCTCCGCGTGACAAGGTTATCTAACACTTCCAGTGTACCTAGTCCGAATACCTCCTGTCCAAAATTTCTAAACACGGCTTGATAGTAAGACTGCCAAAGTTCTCACCGGCTCTCAACATGAATCGTCAAGTCGAAGGCATCGATTTTGGTGAACGCTCAACCTGCAAAGACAGAACACCGACCGCTGTATGTCGACCTCACTGCCTACTGTACAAGACACATGAATTAACAAAGTCACAGAAGGACCATGAAAGATACGAACCCTCATCCTACGGTCTCCTTATCGCCCAGCAAGAGCATCAAAAGCTGCGAGAGGAGATCAAAGCCGAGTTCCTTGGAGAAGAAGCCAGGAAGTTCCATAAAAGCTTGACAAATGCATACAAGAAAACGGCGCGACGAGAGGCGAGACTGGATCTCGAGGATGACAACAGAAGAGAGCTTCTAAAGCTGAAGTCCAAATTAGAGGCTGAGATGTTGGGAAAGAAGAGCGAGCAGATTGAGCGCTTGCGGGAGGAGTTGAGAAATAAGGACGCCAAAGTCAAAGAGCTTGAGGCACGACTCGAAGCATCAGAGAACTACCAGAGGATTCGAGAGCTCGAGGGAACTCTGGCAGCAATGAGGCAGGTCATTAAGAGTGTGAAGAAAAATGAGCCCGCTCATGAAGCTGAAGACGCGGAAGAAAATAATTCTTCAACCGAAAACTGAACAGATGTGGATCTGGTAGTCACTCACCTGGACTTCGGGTCTGAATTGAGCTATGCAGATGACAGTATACTTATTTTGAGGTTATCCAGCATTACAGATCTTGACTTTTGAGAGTTCGACCTGAGGATCTTAAGGTTTACTGCTTGGTTCTCTGCAGTCAATGCTGGAGTGTTCCTGCAGACCGATCTACAAATCAACTCCACTCCATGGCAAAATCATTTCAGATGAAACCTTGAGTTTCTTGGTCAGGGGTTTTAAAGTTCTATTTGAAAAGTAGAGCTCTTATTCCCCAAGTTTGACCTATCATAAAGCTGTGAATTGGTTAAGCTCGAAAGTCAGCTTTGAATGACAGATGCATTCCTATGATTTGACAGCTCAGCTTATCAAACCGACATTCTACTGATTGTGGAAGAGACTGATAGCTGGTCACCTCACTATAGTGATTGTGTAGATTTAGAATCCACGCGAGCCAGCGCCGTTATCCCCAAATCAACCGCCGAGAAAGATTTGAAAATCTCATCTGTACCTTCTGATAATAGTCAACGCCTTCGGTTTCAGGACAAATAGATCCTTTCCTAAGCTGGCCACCGGGACTTCAAATACCTCCAAGATTCCCATATCCCTCAAACCATCCCAGGGCTCAACAAGCTGAGCCACAGATGCTAGAGCCCCGCCGTCCAGTCAAATCTGCACACCTCCGGTATTCAGGACTTGGTTTGGTCCTGATTAATCGCAGGCAGATATCAGAGACGCTGCGGCACAGCATCCTGTACCCGAGCAATTCCAAGATAGCCCGCCATATTGGGCTCTGAGAGGAGATTAGACCAAAATTTCCAGCCGGAGCTTTTAAATACAGTAAGATAATTAGGCCTGATATATTTGGAATCGGACGTATGTGTAGCCATATAGAAGACCGTTGACTCAGTTGAAAACTCAAACAGACGCACCCTTACTCGTGACTACAATTATGTGATTGTGAAGACAATTTCATGTGATTCTTTTTTGACTTCTTATTCGGGAAGAATCTATAAATCTTCTCAGACCCTCCAGGCAGGTAGAATCCAAACCAACTCTTCACCATCCTACCTGAGCTTACAAAGCAAGCACTAACACGATAGAACTCATGTCTTCACGTCGAAGCCATCATCATAATTCAGGCTCTGGTCAACCAAAAAACCCCGGAAGGCACCAAGGACAATCTCTAGCTCGAGAGCAAAATGGGCTGCTTGCCAGCGACGACTCAAGAATGATACTACCTGACAGAAGTAACGCTCATGCTGGACATAACGTCCTACCCACCTTACACAACGACTCAAGCAACCAAAAAAACGGATCGATTCTCCCCTCCGCGGACTTTCGAGACGATACAAAACTCAAAACAGGATACACTAAGCCAGAAGATATCAGAATGGCCGAGAAGCAGAGAAGGTACACGACTTTACCACTAGCTGAGCAAAAAGAACAAGACAGGTGGGCACATGAGAAACTTCAAACACACCTCTCCTCTTGTCCCGAGGGATATCGTTGGACTCCATGGACCCAGAAGGGATTTGAAGGATACAGATGTCAAGGTGGAGCACATCTGATCACGCATAAGCTGCTCGCAGAGGGACAAGACGGCGTGTTCTTGCTGAACTTATCTCCTGGTAGTACTTTTGGTTCAAAAGCTGTCCAAATTTCCAAAAATAAGCTATGGTCTCACAAAGTTACGTGGTTCGGGCCATTATATCCTGGCGTCGTTGGTAGAGGTAATACTGCCGCATACCCCGGAGGCCCACCTCATCCAATGCTAGCTATGAGGAGCGACGGCAGTAGTCGTAACGACCAGCAGCCACGTCGTGATAGACTTCCATATTCTGGCATGACTCGGGGTATTGGTGGCAGCTCTGGCTATAGGGGAAGTATGCTTCCAAGTGCTGCTTTCAGGGACGATACAAGCGCTCCTGGTGGCCAGGTCGTGCCAAATTCTCGAAATATACGAAGTGGAGGCCAAGAATATTATGGTGGTCGTACAATGCCCAAAGGATGGACACCAGATCAGCATGCATATCCGACACGAGGCACGCAGGTAGACCCGGGGTGGCCAATGCCTCCTCCTGATTTCACACAAGGCTGCATTAATCCTAAACTTCTCGTTATACCACCAGAAGGTGTCAACAACCCCAATTATCGAGCCAACTACAGTACCATAATCAGCGATTATGACAAAGCCATGGCAGAGAAGCAGTTGCGCTTCAAGACTCTCAGCCCAGCAGAACAGGCTGTCCAGAAGAAATGGGCGAAGAATCATCTCATGAAAACAGAAGTCTGTCCACAAGGATTTGGCTGGTGGTCTTACAGGACAGATGAGCTTGCACCTGATGGTTGTAAGCTTGAGGGATACCGCTGCTGGGCTGGCGGGCACATGGTAACGCATGAATTGTTGGTTGAGGACAAGGGCCGGTTTTACACTCCAGGCATTGATGAGGATTGGAATGATAAATGGGCTGGCCCTGTCTGGCCAAGCCTTTTCACGAGGCCAACTGGTATTGGGGGAGAGGTAATTGTTACGGACGGTGACGGGCAGCCGAAATGGAAGGACCCTAATTGGCAATACTGCAGTTGGACCAAGCCAGGATCGAGTAGCAAGAAAAAAAAGAAATGGTGGAAACGATAGAGGACCGTCTGCGGACTATTGCGGGGATAATTGTCGCATTACCTAGTCTAGACATCTGTTACTGTATCGCTGGGTCATGTAGACCCTGGCCGCGATTTGCTATCAGTCATGAGCTCCCAAAAAATTCCGACCGAGGTTTTCCACGTGACACTATATGTGCCCCTTTAATTAAGCGAGTTTTCAGTAAACAGTGCATGAAGGGCACCATGCCCGATCTGCGGGTTGCAAAAATGCCCTGTGGGGATAGTAGCTCCGTGATCACCGGAGCTACACTGAAAGTGCACAATAATAAGAATGGCAACTGCCAAATCAGCTCACATTATCACAAAGACTCAGAATTCCAAGATCAGATCTCAACGACATGGACGTAGAATCTCAGCACTGTATTGCTTCCTGCTCCATGCTCCAGAACTACCGCCACAAATCAAAATAATGACTTCTCCATCCGGCAAACTATGCATCCCACAGAACGCGACCAAAGAACCCCAGCAGGCAGAAAGACCGCTTTGTACGCCGCCCAATGCATTTGTGTACCACCTCGCATGCCAGTCCCTCCACCCCCTTCCTTCTATCACGTCGTATCTCCATATTCTCGTCTGGACTCGTTTCATGAAATTCATTCATTGTATTTGGTACGGTCATGACCATTTGATATCTCCGCTTGGTTGTCGTGTTCTACGTTTTGATTGCAGTGGTGGTGCTGTCCCTACCGGTGCTGGCGACGCTCCAGAACGTGACTGGTCCCTTGTAAGGCGTGCGGCGTTCTCTCTTCTACCAGTTGTCAGTGCTGATCCAGAGTCGCCTCCAACAGACACAGTTGCGAGCGAGGATCTTGATCCTCGAAGCATAGATGTTCGAGGTAATCTGCTCTTAGTCATTGAAGCGACGCTTGCGATCTCGGCGCTAGTTCGACGAGTCATCTTTGGCCCATCTCTGCTTGCGGGCCGGTAAAGTATCGACTCGTTACTGCCGGAGGGTGCAGCTATGCGGCGTGGAGTAACATTGCCTTCGATGAAAGACGACTGCGATGCACGGCTTGCATGTGTTGGTGTGATTGGTGTTGATTGGCTGTGGTAAAGCGATGGGGGTGTGAACGTCCTCTTCATTTGGCCAGGCCGTGGTCGTCCTCCACTTCCACTCTCGGAGTCCTTGTCCAAGTTTGCCTTCACCAGTTCGCTTGCCATGTTTCTCACCAAGACAGCATTGTCATTTTCAGCCAATCGTTGGATGGCTTCAAATAGACCATGACTTTGAACATTTTCGGCTTGTTCATCGCTCGGATCACATATGCTGCGAACGATACGCAGTAAATTTAATCGTACAACTGCCTTCTTGTGGTTGAGCTTCTGAAGGATGCCAGAGAACATATCGGTTCGTGCAAGCGAAGCAGCTACCGGTGAGCTAAGTCGCAGGAGCTTTTGCAAAGGCTCAAGGAGGTTGTAGTCGAATGCACTCGCTCTTGGTGCATTGAAGCACTGGACGATGGCTTCTGTGAAGTTTCCTTCGAGCAGACACTTTTCTACTTTGGCGGTCTCTTCTTGCAGCCTATGCCTGAGTTAGCATATCGCAAACCATAAGTCGTACTCAGAAAAGACTTAGGTGACTTACCAGATGAATATCGCATCTAAAGCCGTGACCTGCCAGTATTGATCCTCCAGAAGGGAGACGTAAAATTGTAGCCCTTTGTTCTGCCACAGATATTTTCTCCCCACCTTGCCTGAATGCGCCATATCGCACAAGATTGGCAGTGCGAATTCTTTTGGCGGTCTCTTGGTCTTCATGATCTTGAGCAGTAACGGGATAATGTTGTTGATAGCCGCATCCTCCTGCCGCACCTTGCTCAGTCGGCATAGGTTGTACATTGTGTTCAAGACCTGATTTGAGATCTCGCGGAAATGTGCTGTGTCCTTCTTCATGCTCGAGCCTAGAAGATCAATCAATAGCTCAATAGCATTTGCTGAATGTAAACTATCAAGTGTGGTGGACAACATGGACAAGTTCTTGATGAACTTGAGCATAGTAATCTGATGAACAGGGGTCATCCTTCGGAGGTCTTTCAACACGCCTGAAGTCTATTAGCAAGTGTTGAGAGTGGTGTAGGGGAGTAATTGCGTACGCTTCAGGACGACACGATCTGCCACGACTTCCTTGACGTAATTCTCCGCCTGTGAGAAGAGATAGAAAATGTTCACGATACGACCCTCGACAAGTTCGGAAAGCTCATCATCCTCATCGAGAACGCGATCAAGGACAAGGGCTAAGGGTGATAGAATCTTGCTTCTCGAGAAAATACGACAAAAGTCGTTTTTGGGAGTTGGGCCCTATTCTCGTCAGTCGCTGTCAGGTGTGGCGAGAGCTTTAGTTTGACAACATACCTGTAATTCGAAGACGTTCCAAATACCGTTCACACCAATTAGCACTAGGTCCCGTGCTTCATCGTAGTCCTCATCCAAGAATTCAACAAGGACATTTAGACCACCGGCACTGACGAACATTTGGAGTGTCAGAGTCGATGTTTGGTACATTTGCCGTACAAATGCAGCAGCTTCTAATCTGATCTCGTTCGAGTATTGTCTTGCTGCGAATTTTGTGATGATAGGAATGCCACCGACGAAGCAGAGATTTTCTTGTATCTCAACGTCGTTGAGGATGATCTACTACGGGTTAGCATATACTCCAGAGTAATTGAAGTCGTCCTTACTGTATTGACCACCTTGAGCAGTCGCAATATCATACTTTGGCGGCTCTTTACAGTACAAGGTTCAAGAATCTCCAGAATAGGAAGCATTCCATGGGCACTGATGATCATAGCCTTTGCATCGTCTGATTCGTACAAAACATCGAGCTAGATCGTTAGTCTTTCTCTTCCCATAAAGCACTAAGAACGTACCAATTGCTCAGATACGTCTGCAATAGTATCATGCTCTTCAGTGACCTTCAAGGAGCTCACTAAGCCTTCCACTAGCGTGCAAAGTCGTGCATGCTTATCTCTAGCGATGTTCGCTTGCAAATCCATCTCGTCGAACCCTTGCTCTAGAGATGCAAATGGGTCGTCTTCGTCGTCCTCGTCACCAAGCCAGGAATTATTGGATAGCTTCGAATGCAGCATCAGGGCTCCAACACCGTCTTCAGAGCCTTTATCACTGTCGTCTTTCTCCACAATGGCACCTTCCTTGCCAAATATGTCCGAGAAATCTTCATCGTCTTCGTCTTCTGCATATCGCTGAATTTCGACAGAAGACCTTGTCCGCCTCATCGCTTGGTCTTCAGCTCGAGGAGCTGCTTTTCTTCGTATGCTTCCATTGATGTTCGTTACTAGCGATTGGGCAGAACGGGGAAGGCTTGTCAGATCTGACGGGTGGAAAAGCTTTGGAGATAGAGCATCGTCCTTGCGATTTTGTAAGCAAAAAATTCATGTTCAGTGAAACGCTGTCCTTACCTTGATGATACTAAGTCTCCGATCAAAAACGCTATCATTATCAACAAACAGGTCTGAGTAGTCTTCAACGGACTGTTCCCTGTATATCGCTGCCGGTCTGGCCGGGAGAGCAAACTTATGTTCTGCTTGAGCTTTCACTGGGGATCTAGGTCGAGGTGGATCGCTCCTAGATGTTTTTCTCGACGGAGGCTTCAATTCCACTGCAGGTTTGACATCCTGGGTGACCACAGTTGGCTTCAGTCGGTATGGCCGAATTGTTTCAAGCTCGTGGCTGTCCGGCTCTACCACCTTTCGAGGGCCCTTGATTGTAACAAGATCACCCTCAAAATTATTGTCCCAGTTATCATTTTCATCATTGGTCATGTCAAATGACGCAAAGGCCTTGAGGCGGTCAGAAGAAAACATGCCGCCAAAATTATCGTGCGGCTTGAATTGAGGTAGATGCAGCGCACTTGGCGATATTGAAGTAGCGAAGTCATCATCCCAGTTGTCATCAGCTAGGTATATTGTTAATGTCCACATTTCATAGCACTCATAAATTATACAGAGTTTTTGGAGGTCACATACCGGTGGTTTCTGGTGACCGAAATGCCTCCGCTTGAGTTTTTGGCTTAGCTAATGAAAGTGGGCCTTTTGCAGGAGTAATTAACCCAGCAACTTGTTGATCGTTATGGATATTGCGTAAAGGAGGGTCTCTTCTTGTGGGTAAAGGGCTTGCAACGGTTGACCTCGTTGATGCACGAAATGAGCCCGCACCTGTTGGGGATTTCAAGGCTTCATTCCATTGCTTGACCTCTTCGACGGCTTCGCTAAAGTTGGCGGGCGGTTTCGCAACGGGTGCGTCAGTTCTTCGAGAACCTACGATCCAGGCATGCTTGAGGAGTTTCCTTGCTGACACTCTCAAATTGGGATCTTTCTGAAAACATTGCATAAGGAAATCTCGAGCGGCCTGCACGATATCAGTACTTGAGAAGGATCATATTGGATTGACATACCGGTGAGACTCCTTCGGGCAATGGCGGGTGATCATCGTTGACAATAGCGAAAAGGGCTGGCATAGGTGCCAACTTGTGATATGGAGGCTTGCCTTCCAATAGCTCAATGACTGTGCAGCCCAAGCTCCAAATATCAGAAGCAGGTGTTGCGCCAGACAATTGGATAATCTCCGGGGCCATCCAATAGGGAGTTCCGACAACTTGTGCTTCCTTGTCTGCTCCAGCAAGAGTACTTGTAGAAACTCCGAAATCTGCAAGCTTGACCTTTCCATCTTTCGTTGTGAGTATATTGGCTCCTTTAATATCTCGATGTATAACACCCTGGTCGTGAAGGTATTGAAGTCCTAGGAGTATCTGTCCCATGTAGACCCCAACGAGATTCTCGGGAAACTTGCCGTAACTTTTGCATATCGAATGCAACGATCCATTTTCGCAGTACCTAGAAACACATCAGCGACAGATCAAAAACAGACGTTGTGCCAAGGCTTACTCTAATATAATGTTCAGGCAGTCAGACGACTTAACGAAACCTAAATACTTGACGATATTGTCATGCTAATGCAGGTCAGTGTGCCACCCTGTTTAGTTTTCCCGAACTGCCATCACTTACATGTAGGTTCTTTAGGAGGTCGATTTCGGCCTAGAAACACAAGTCAGACTCGTGTGCTCCAACGTAATTGAGCTTTCCTACCTCGATCATCCGCAATTCGCTCTTTGGCAGGTCCCCGAGCTTGATCTGCTTGACTGCCACAGCTTCTCCAGTTCCCCAATTGAATGCCTTGTAGACGGATCCAAAAGCTCCCTTGCCTAAGCATTCTCCCAAGCGCTGTCCACAGTGTAAGCAGCTGTTCTGTCCCACGTCCACACTCTTGACCTACATAGTCTTTCAGCCCTGGGTCCTGAACCGCCTTGTCTTTCCCCGCCCCGCCATCTTTTCTCGGTGTGCCTGGTGTCCTCTCACTCTTGCCATGCCCATTGCCAGCCCCTGGTCTACCATTCGCTTGCCGGTCCGACGAAGAGGGAGGATGGGAGACCATGGCCGATGTCGAGGGCCAGGAATGGGTTTCAAAGGAGGGAGCGAGGAGGTCGAATGCTCTGGCAGATAGAAGCTCTCATCCCAACCATCGATGCTCGCGTTGTGGACCAGGTCCTCGTTTCGAATCGCGGTATCGCGGGGTTAAAGGAGGATTATGGCCTAGGTTGTCTTGTGTATATGGCGGATCCTGGTCTGGTCTGCGGAAGCTGGCGAGGATGGACGGCCAAGTTCACAACCAGTTGAGAATGGGAACTGGGAATGAGCAGACGGTACGAGCTATATTGGCGGCGCGAATGCCACATTCTCTGCCGCAGCGCTCCCGTGTCAATGTTCTGGCAAGGGAAGTCTCGTGCAGTGCAGTGCAGTGCAGTGCAGTGCAGTGTTCACAAGTTCCGTTGTGGAGCGCAGCGAGAAATTGGCAAGTTCCAAAACGACAAACAAGCCGAGCCAGGATTCGCGTAAGGCTGAAAGTCTAGGATTCTGGATCGCGATTTTCTATGAGCAACTTCATTGGGCTTCTTGATGCCGCTTCAAAGACGTGTCTCCTTTTCTGCTTCTGCCGCCTGCATCGGGCCATGCGCTCTGCCTTGTTCGTAACCAATCAACAAAGTTATTGTTCTCGCAAAAGGCTAGCCATCTGAAGCAGTTTTCCTGTACGTCAGCCATACATATAATGCGGGTCCCCTGTCAGCTCTATTTCGCCCCTGGCATGCAGGTTTGAGATCGGATCACAGCAAATCATTCTGAGCAGGATTAGGATCATATATCCATAATAGAGCATGTTACATTTTCTCATCAATGACAATACAATCATTTGAAAGCTTCATCAAAAGGACGGAACCCTTGGCCACCCATTACTAAAAACCCTTGAACCCATAAACTCCAGCCTGAGACTCTTGCTGTGAGTCCAAACCGTAACCAACCATGAACGCCGTGAATGTCCGAATATCTCAAGTCCCCCAGTAAATGGCTCTAGGAGCTTTTGAAAGTACTGTAATCCAAACAAGCTATAGTACAACAAGTGGTATCACACACAGTGAGATGCAACAAATCGCAACGAAAATTTTCTAGTGATATTCCCCATTTTGGTGTCTGCTTTTCAGTTCGTTGGTTCCCGACGAAGGTTTCTGCTCAGTCCTGCTGAGGTCCACCAATTGTCCGGGATTTCGTCTCTTCGGGCCAGCCGGGAGATGATTCTATGCATTCCTCCAAGATCAGTATCTTGTCTTCCTGCTCTGTCTGCTCTCGTAGTGACGACATCAGCATAGGTCCTCCAGAAGCGATCACCTCTTCTGCTTCCATTGAACTCTTGTAGTTCGTAAATGTCTTCCTCTTCGTCCTCGGTATTTGATTCCGAGTCCGATATATCACATTCATGGTCCCCAACACGGTCGGGACTTGTCATTGAAGTGCTGGCAGAGGCTGAGGCTGAACCGGAAGACGGTCCAGATGCCGAGGATGATGTCGCGGCTGCAGCGGCGGATGTAGAGGCAAATGAGGACCCTACACTTGGTGGCTGTGGGTCGGGTGTAATGCTTGTAAGGAGAGTATCCCACGCAGCGCCTCCTTCGGGGCTCATGCTTCTGTCTCGATCCCCAAGCCCGTCCAGGCGCGCCTGACGAATCAGTCGCCGCGATCTCTCAATATTGCTTGCGGTTTGGTTCAAAGATCGTACTCTCTCCGAGAGTGATGCAGATGATCTTCCCATTGACTAATCGATAAATCAGTATCTTTTAGGAACAAAACTAATGGAAATGCAAAGAGCATATTTGGGTAGGGATTTCAACAAGATCCTCCAATCACAAGCAAACATCTCATAATGAAACTTACATCCGTAAAAGGTCCCCTGACGGAGGTAAAACTGAACTCTGCGTCCTCGAAGGAACGGCGTGGTGGGGAGAACGAGTCTCCGGTTGAAGTGTGGCGGGATGGTGATAGGACTGGGGTCATAGAAGAAGACAATCGTGGAGAATCCGTTCGGGCTAGAAATGCCAAATCGCTATCGGTATATGGCGGTGTTGGGGCAGGATGCCTGCGTGCCATTCTTCGCAGGTCTTGTCTGACTTGTCGCAGCCTGTGTATTTCTCTCTGGCGTTCTTCGGCAAAGGAATAGTCTCTCGACTCGGGAACTGGTGGCATTAATGGACCATCGATGTCCGAATTCGGTGGATGTTGTCTTTCGAAGCTGAGTGCATCGCGCCAAACTCGCGACGCGACGGGGACTGAGGATGGCAGATCTGAGATATTTGCTTGTTGGCCTTCGGAGACCTCAAATTCTTCAGGTTCAGCCTCGGGCATCATGCCCAATATTCTGCGCCTACGCGCTTCAGATGTCAGACGCGCATGTGGTCCTCGCAGTGTTCGCTGTCTTCGAATCGATGACCTTGGGCCTGATGCGATCTTTTCGGCTGCCTTGGAAGAGACCTCAGGCTCGACCGGCGTGATGAATAAACTGTGATTCGATTAGCAGCGTATGCGACATGGAGGCTGGAGGCTTGACGTACGGCAGTCCCATTTCCACAGATTGAGGGTGTACGAGGACGGGAAAAATGGGGCGTAGTTATAAATGAGTGTTTGCGACAGCGGTTTTGTGGACTTCGATGGAGTTTTCGATGGTTTTGAATATGGCGGTGATGGTAGTGGTGTTCTGGATGTTGATGAAGGCGAGGCGAAAGCGCCGCTCGTGAAGCGAAGGGGGGGAATGGCAGGGCGAGTTTGTTAGCGTGGCTGGAGATCGCTTCCACCTGCTGCAAGTCATCTGTGTGGGGCAATCTTTGGGCGTGGGGGGCAGCAGGGGCAATGAAAATAATTGAGAGGCTGAGAAGATTCGCTACCCGAGCTACCTTAGATCAGCTCAACTACAACATCCACCGAGACCTGACTCGCCAAACAAACCGCTCTCTTCAGTCAATATCACCACTCGATTAACGACTGGAACAGCATGATCATTATCTCATGACCCTGCACAACTCTGGAACCTCTTGGATCACACTCCTGGGTAAAGCTGAAGCTCTCTCTCCTGGATGGCCAAGTCGAATCTGTATACTGCCAAGACTATGTCCGACTTAAGCATCTTTGTCACTAGAGGAAGCATATCTTCATTGCGTTGACGCTTTTTCGGGGAATGAGAAAAGAGAAACCAAGAGAACACAGCAGTCTAAATTGAGGTAGCCCAGGATCAGAGACGGGAAGCCTCATTTGCACAGATCTCCACTCGCAGACACAATTACGAACTCGGAAATCTCGAGTACTCTAGATCCTGGCTGAAGACTCCTTCGTTACTCTAAGAGTCACCACTCGCTAGCCTTCACATTTCCAGTATCAAGATGATAGAACTGGGCTTAGCACGGATAAGCAGTCTGCTTAGACATACTCCTCAGCCATGGAAAGCTATCCACGTCGCTGGAACAAATGGCAAAGGATCCATATGTGCTTACTTATCCGCTATGCTTCATGCAAGTGGCGTGCGCTGTGGTCGATTCACATCGCCTCATCTGATCGACCGCTGGGATTGCGTGACCATCAACGAGAAAGCGGTTCAGGAATCAGTATTCAAAGAGGCAGAAAATTTGGTACTGAAGAGAAATCAAATAGAAAGCATTGGGGCATCAGAGTTTGAGCTTCTCACAGCTACAGCCTTCGAGGTCTTTGCGAAGGAAAAGATCGAGATGGGTGTGATAGAAGTAGGACTAGGCGGCCGACTCGACGCAACCAATGCGATGGAGAAGAAGGCTGTGACTGTCATATCGAAGATCGGTTTAGATCATCAATCGTTTCTCGGAAACACGATTGAAGAAATTGCTCGAGAGAAAGCCGGCATCATGAGGCCAGGAGTTCCTTGTGTCATGGACAGCACAAATCCACCCTCTGTACAAAAAGTCGTGCAGGATTACGCAAAAGAGATCGGAACAGATGTAGTTCTCAGCTCGACTGAATCTTCGTTTCTAGACGACTTGTCCCAAGATGACTATGAACCTCATCAATGGCAAAACCTTGCTTGTGCATACACCGCCTTTCATCTGGCATACACCAAGCTAGAGTCTCCTTTGCATCGACTTCTGCCAGCCATACAGAATATAAACTGGCCTGGTCGTCTACAAACGATCGACATTAGAAGTCTCACAGGACGAAGTGGAACCACTTTACTGGATGGTGCGCACAATGTCCAATCAGCCGAAGTCCTTGCTTCATATGTAGACGGCAAACTTCGAGGAGATAAACAGAAGGTGACATGGGTTCTCGCAGCTTCGCAGGGAAAGGAATTGGAGGGAATTTTGAAGCCTCTGTTGAAACAGCAAGACTGCGTTGCGGCAGTCCAATTTGGTCCTGTTGACGGAATGCCGTGGGTTCAAGCACTGCCTGCTCATGAGATTATTGAAGCTGCTTTTGAGCTCGGGGTGAAATCTGGTCAAATGTATGATGCTAGTGACGATTTGTCAGCAGCATTGCGTTGGGCTGCTACAGTCGCTGGACCAGGCCCTGTCGTTGTAGCTGGTAGTCTTTACCTGGTTTCTGATCTGCTCCGGCTTCTGCGAAACGCGAAGGAAGTGAAGACTCGGCCGTCAAATTAAATACATATTCCGAGAGGTTCCAACTTTCTCATGTCTTTCGCTCGGTCTGGCAGGTGCAATCGACAGGTTGGCCACGCGGTTGGCTACTTCCCATCGATACGACTCCAGAGGCATCTCTTCTTTTGGATCTTCTCCCAGCACACAGATCGTCTTCCTGTCAAGCATTCTTTGATTCATATGAAGAACCGGACTTGAAACTCAAGACTAATCTGACCAACAGCTGATGATAGATGGGGGATACGTCCCTGCCAAATAGTGTGGAATGGATCGAATGCCGAAAGGGCGAATTGTCTCGACTCTTGTGGAGAATACTGAAATAGGTAACTTTACATCTCATTGGTGGCATACGTGATGAAACTGGGTTGGCCGTACATGGCCCTGATTATGCTTAGAAATTTATTAATTGAAGTCTGCACTTCTTCTTCGCACGCTTCGTAGGTTGTTTACGTACCAACACAACACTCTATTTCTTTTACGACGAATTCTCACTCCTCTCCAACGGCCCTCCAACTCTCATCCTCTTTACTAACAACAATCTCATCAATTTCTTTCCTCCTCCCCTCCACAATCTCCCTTCCATTCGGCAAATCATTCTCCCTTGCCCTCTTCCAGGCCCTTTCTTCATTCTCGGCAACTCCACTCTTAACATGTCTCTTTACCAGTCTCCTTCCCGCAACCTCTTCCTCAACCTCTACAAACCAATGCTCATCCATCAGCTCCGCTGCTTCTCTCCAAGGCCCCTTGTCCAAACTCAGATAGTTGCCCTCGAAAATCAATATCCTACTCGTAGCTGGGACAGGTATCGCGTTTGCTATGGGGTCTTTGGTGGTGTGTGAGAAGGAGGGGGCGGAGATGGTGGGTGTTGAGTCTGTGAGAGGGGGACGGAGGGATTGAATGAGGGAAAGGTAGGCGCTTGAGTCGAAGGTGAAGGGGGCGCCTCGGCGGGCGAGCGCGTGGGCTGGGTCGGGAAGGGAATGCAGGTAGGAAAGAGGGTAGTGGTAGCCGTCCATGGGGATGTAGGTCGCTATTGGGACTGGAGAGGAAGTGGAAGAGGAGGATAAGGCATTGAGACGGGTGGTTACAGTTGTTGCGAGGGTTGTTTTGCCTAAGATAGGTAGGAAGTGTTAGAAAATAAGTCAAAAGTGATTGGCTCTTTGAGAAAGAATTTTGGAGAGGTAAAAGGAGAGAATCACCGGATCCAGGAATGCCAGAGATTGCTATCAGAAATCTTTCATTTGGACTTAGGGCTTGATACTTAGCTGTTTCACCTTGTTAGCATTGTTGACCTCATGAAGATTCCGCCTCGAAGATGTGGGACGGGAGAGGGGTGACACACCCCATGTTTGTTGCACGAGATGATTTACTTGATCTTCCATTCTTGCTTCGGATCGGAGATTGAGATGATTAGGCAGATGAATAGAAATGATGAGGTTCAATTTAGGGATTGGAATTAACAGAGTGCAGCTACGTGAAGCTTGACGAATCTGGAAGTGAAGCTCAAGTGGGGCAATACTTGATGGCGGGGTCATTCTTATCGATAAGAAATTTCTCCCTCTAGGTAACATCTCAATTCATTGCCCAATGAACACCTCGAGCGTTGATGATAGGCTTTTCTTGCATTGTCAATTGGAACTTCAATAAGACAACTTTGAATCTGTTCCGTTAGACCATTGGGAATCAACAGTCAGTAGAGGGTCAGCTGCCTGTTGAAGGTGGATCAAGATGGACGGAGAGGATGAGAGTGGAGGGCTTTTCAATATTGAGTTCGACTCCGAAGACGAAAAGGCTGCTGCTGAGCAAGAGAAGAAAGTTCCGCGGGACTTCCAGTCAGAAGAAGATTTTCAAAAGCAGGCGAAGGAATGGCGGCCGAAGCTTGAGACGGGTAAGGTATGTACTTGTCTAAATGCCCACTGCCTTCCTTTTGTCCACTGTGAACTCCGACTAAGATTTATTCTTACTGAATCGAGGCTGAAGTATTTGGGGGCTGATTATGACTGATCATTCCACTTATAGATCCACAAAGCACTCTCTCTGCCAATAAGCAATCCTTCAAAACCAGTCTCGCAAACAATCCTTCATGCTATTGAGGAGTTGTATTTCTATAGACAATATGATGAGGCAAGGACAACCACTATGAGGGCGTTGAAGGCCGAAGGTCTCATTCCCGAGTTTAGGAAGACATTGGAAGGTTATCTGGAGGTACGTACTTAAGTCCTTGGATGGATATCTCCGTTTTGTTTCATATGTTGTGGAAGGGAAATGAAAATATGAGGACTGATTTCTCTCACAGAGGTGTGAGACGAAGCTGGCGGTAGGAAAGAAAGATGAAGGAAAGACTTCTAGCTGAGAGAGAACTCGGGCACTCCCAGTGTTATGGGTGTCGGCATTTGATACCCCAGTAGAGCCGCATGGTATTACAAAAGACCATACGATTTATATATGAAAACTTGATTGCAGGGTGAGTCGACATCCACATGCTTTTTCAGCTGGCAATTTATCAGATTGACACATGCCATAGGACAGAGCTACTACTTACATCAGATGAAATAAACTTGCAAAAATTCCTAACGTCAACGAGTGTGTTGGGTTAAACCGATTTACTCAAGTCTATCCATCGTATGAGTGTGTGCCCACGACGCGAGAGGATTAAAGACCAGCTATCCCCGATTCGTCAGACGGCCCAAACCAGTTGCCAAATACACTTACCAAATCACATCTTTAGTCACCCGTAATTTCGGAAGAAAGTGTTCTGGGTGTTGTGTAATGTACCAAGCCAGGCAAGTTTTTTTTTACATATGGGAGGGGATTCAAGGTCTGTATCGTCTACTTCGCAGACTTACTGCCTGCAGGTGAAGGTCTCGACGTGACATAGACTTCAGAGTCAGATTGAGGTGATGTTCCATGTCGTTTGTGGGTGGTCAGTAAGATCTTCGTAGTAACTCACAGCACAGTGATATGGAGGTTCCTAGTATCATAATTAAGGACGGAAAAGGCTTAGTAGGGGCTTTGGAGGCTATAGCCATGATCGTAGGTTGACATGAGTGTGGATAAGTTTTGAGGGCCTGTGATACAAACTGCGACTTCTCGTGAATCCGGAGGCAGAAACGTGACTGCGCAAAGTCCTTGAGCTAGTGATGATTGAAAAAAACGTCTCATAAAATAAGTCCTACTCTATGGTGGTTCGACCAAGAATCTGAGGTTCAAAAAGATGAGAGAGACTGGAGGAGGTTCGCAATCAATACAGATTGCTAAAGAGGAGAGTTGTGGAATTTGAGAAGAATTGGTCGAGGTTACTTCAACGTTGAATCCTGAGGGACTTTCCCATCATCATCCTCCAAATCCAGGAATATAACGTCCCATAAGACATATGAAATCAATGTCCTCCAGCAACTGTACAGCAGTCCAGCGGTATGTGGGCTCATAGCGAAACACCTTCTCAAAAATTCTCACAACCAACTGCTGCTCCTCTGTGCTGACGGGAGGCTGCCTGCAGGCTGCCATGGACATCAGGCTCTCGTGCTCAACAGGCGCCTTGCTCTGGTCATACCATCCATTATCACCTTGTTCGCCATAATACTTAAAATCACCATGCCATCGTTCAGGCAATGGGCCAAATATACTGACCATACTAGATATAACTGAAACACCTCCGTCACCGCGAACAGGATGATAGCCAAGATAAAGCCATGCAAAAATGCACATGTAGCTCCACATGTCGCTAGCGAAGCTTGGGTCCGTGGCATGAAATCTCTCCGGAGCACAGAATGTGGCAGGCGTTTGAATCTTGATATTTACTGCCGTATCAGCTTTAATGGCCATTCCAAAGTCACCGAGACAGATATTGTCCTCACGCAACGTCTCAGGGACCGTCATTGACTTCACAAGGTCTCCTTGCTTCCACAGCCCGCCTAGACCAAAGTGTCTTGGTTGACCGAGGCGTCTGTATATTTCATTCGTGTCGTACTCGTCCAGGCACTTCAGCCCCCACATTGCTGCTCCTGGGTTCAGATCTCTCAAGTGCATTAGCACCAATTTACACAGGGGGACGAGAGAATGGTTCTAGCTTACCTCGGTGCACTATTTTTGCTTCATGGAGATCCTTCAAACACACTAACAATTGCCATGCCGCAGACATGCGATAATGCATATGAGTAGACATTGGCATTTCCGAGCAAGTTTGATCAAGATTCGGGCCCAGCAATGGCAACACTAGGACGCGATGTACGTGCAAGTTTTTGCCGGCAGGAAGCTCAAACATGCTGTGGTACGTAACCAGATTTGACTTCCTTTCGCCTTGCAGGCACTCATTAATTGCATCTGACTCTCCATGAGTATGTCCAGTGCGAGACGAAGTCAGAATTTTGAGAGCCACATATTTTCTTTCTCTCGTGTCGTGGGCCATCCACACAGTGGAACAACCACCCCAGCCGAGCTTGTGCACAATTTTGTATCTCTCGTCAAGAACATCCCCAATGGTCAGAGGATAGTATAATTTGGTGTCATACTGGTCGATGGGCTCGCTGTTCTCCTCTATCTCATCAAACCCCGCAAGTTCGTCGCTGTCCCACTCCTCCTCGGAGGATGATATGTCTATAGCGGGCTCCATCGAGGTTCATGTGTCTGTGGTGAGAGTTGCTAATGTTTGCTCGGGGGGGGGGGGGGGGGGGGGGAGAAAGAAGGCTTTCACATATATAGAGGCAGACCAAGCCGGGAATGGTAAAGTATGGATTCCGCTTTTGGCCGTCATCACGACGAATGGCTGTCGAATGGCCGAGGCCGGCGCAGGCGGTTGCAACATCAGATTGGGTGGAGTGTTCCCTGCATATACCTAAGGAATGTTAAAGTACGGAGGAGTGCCGCGAAAGGAACAGCTCGCAAATCTGGGTCAGGGCGGCCTTGCCTTGCCTACTACAACCTGCACTGTCCTATCTTGTCCTATCCTTACCTTGGAGGCACAGGCAGGTGCAAATGGACTGTCCCCTGACGGCTTGAAGATGATTCTATACAAGAACAGTTCTTGATGAGGAAAAAGTTCCTCGGAATGTCTCGGAACTGGTCTACCTCTAATGTCAAGGTAAAAGCTCATTCGTTTTATCTCAATAGAGACAGAAAACTCGAATTAACTTCATTTCACCTGCATACTCGGTACCTTTACCACGAGATCAGAGGCAAAAGTTTAGTCTACTAGGCCAACGTGCAAGTTATAGCTCAGGCTCGGAGTGGTTTGTTAGGGCTTGATCGCAAGGCATCCAGGTCGTAATATGTTACTGTCTAGAACTGTCCCTAAAGGAAGAAACTGTCCAGAGGCGATCCGTGGAACATTCATAGAAAAGAATGCTTTTTGTAGATAATCCTGTGACCGTTCTTTTACCCTGCCTTTGCATATGAGGTACCTCTAGCACCAGGCGCGCGCCAATTCCTTTGCGCAATCACGTGTGTCGCATTGGCCTGGAGCCATTTCATGGCCCGCGCGTGTGCTCGTACCACCAGACGGACACCCACCTTAGAGGCAAAGGCAGGTACAAATGGACCGTGCTATGACGGTTTCAGGACGATTCTTTGTACAAGAACACACCTTGATTAAAAACATTCCTCGGACCGCCTTAGAACAGTTTCTTTGTTTAGGAACAGTCCTAGACGATACGCCTAGATGCCTTATCTTAAGCTGAAATCTTGTAATCTGTTTACTACCCTTTAACTACTCTTTACCCTAGCTTACATGTTAACCTTATAAAGTAACTTTTCCTAAATCGGGTGATTTAGATACTTTCAAGCACTAAAAGTAAAAGTTAAATCTATAAAAAGTAGCAAGTATCTAAGTAAAGTAAAGAGGATTCAAGTTCTATGACCTTTTTAAAGAGAGACAACGGGGCTCTTACCTTAAAGGTAGAGATAAGAACTGTCCCTAAGACGGTCTAAGGAACGTTTTCTAGACCAGAGACTGTTCTTGTACAAAGAAACGTCCTGAAACCGTCAGAGGACGGTCCATTTGCCCCTGCTTTGCCTCCAAGGTACCGATGGGAGGCCGGTTATTTACTGATGGCAGAATTCAGGTCAACACATCGCTATCCCGTGATAAGTATCCACCACTTATTGGACAATTCTGATGAGCTGAACTAAGGCAAGAGCCGCATGAAGCCACCCGACCAAAGTCTCAGATCTCAGCCGCGATGAGTTCTGCAGAGTTGAGTGGGATACTATTGTTGGCTCGATTGATGACTAGGGTGTTTTGGACGACTTTTGAACAGGGGCAAGGGGGAGGGGAGTCATTCATTCAAGAAGTGCTTTAGACGGTATCCGATGTGGTGGAGGTAAATTGTCTGCGGCGTGACCGCTATTGACCTAGACGCTGAATCCGGACTATATTCACCATGGAGCTTCCAAATAGGGTGTGACCGACAGGCTGTGATTAGATGGCGTCCTTGCGACAGTCGTTCTCTGGCCATAAAAGAAGACAGAATCCCTTCGAGCTGTGGTAACCAAAATCATCGTCAACCCTCCCTCCATCCACCCATCTTCTACATTACTTGCTGCCGGGTCTGCCTCGATCGCTTGTTCGGATATTTTTCTCCTCTCACATATCCCCAGGACCTAGCCAGATGGCTCAATCCTATTGGAACTCTCTGGACAACAACGAGTTTGAGGGAGATATCACAGCGACTGATGGTAAAATAATTAAGATGAGATGGAGTTCCGGTGCACAAGCAAAGTTAGATGGTGATGTCAGAGTACAGCTTGTTGAAGAGTGGAAGCTCAAAGCTGTGACTGAGCATTTCGTTTTCACTGCTGCCTATCAACTTGGTCGCTCCAGCGCCGTAGTCATGTAAGTTAAGCATTCTCTGCTTGAATGTTAGCTCCAGACTAATTGTTCTTTCCAATCTTTAGTGCCGCACCTCATAATTTTACCACCAATTCCGGAGCTTCGAGGCAGAATCGACTGCCAGACAAAGCGCATATCACCTGCAGACTTGGCGGCGACAAACCCTCTAAAGATGTGGCAAGCAGCGAAAGCGTTCACGTTTATCTGAAGAGCCTGGGAACTGGAAATGACAAATTCGATGTCGCGGAAATTGACGGATTGCGGGTAAGGTCGAGAAAGAACAAATCCAGCAAGAGCGCTTTGGACGTAGAGCGCAGCTCGCTCGGGTAATTATCCCCTGGACCCTGGTACTTATACTTAAGAACCAAGCTTAGGGGAATCGTCGACATCGGGCACAACAAGCTTTATGGCTGCGAGCTCCTCTGGGGCTGGGGACTGGACATGGGATGATCATTATAAGCAACAGTACAGAATGGGAAATGGGGAAAGCATATGGGAGACGCAGGAGTAGGGAATTTTGGTCAACTGCAACTTCTGTCTCTCCCCTGTTCATAATGTGGCAATTACTGTGACCTATTTGCCTTTTTTTTGTGTCTGTACTTGGGAAGGACATGCGCATTTCATAACTGGCAGTCTTTTTGTTGGTTGAAGGGAAAGAGTATCTCATGAATTTACAATGGAAGTACCTACACCCACCTAGGTAATGGTATATCACTTGTCGGGTCCAACTTATCAAATGTAGGTAGGTATCTGGTATAAATGTGGGTCTAGAGGCTAAGAGGCTCCTTTAGTTGTAAAATATGTAACGCGTGCAGCGACAGCAATGTTAAAGGAAAGGAGGTTAAGTAGCTACACAACGATCGCGCATAGTAGCCCCTCTGACCCTTCGTTGGTGCATAACTCGTACTGCTACCCTTGGCGACCTCGACTTAGCAAAAGCTGACCTCGATATATCAAAAATCAAAGACTTCGTCTACACGCAAGGCCATACCGGCGAGACAGAAGGCAAGTCGTGGGTTTTCATAGTCGCTGAATGACGAGAATTGATCTCAGCTCGCTGGCATATCTGTGCATCCGCTGGACGTCCTACATAACTAGGTGCTGTTATTTGCCACAGGACAATGCTCCACTGATAATCGCCTACTATTATTTTCCACTTGCTTTAGAGAGCTTGTTTGGCTCGCAAACTTGAAAATCCGAACCGAATAGACCTTGTCCAGTCGAGTTGTCAAATTAAGAATTGTAGCTGCGCAAGGTACGGGAGATCTGCCGCTCGTGTCGGGAAGAAGAACATTTGGGCAATTAAGAGCGTATTCATATTCATATTCATACCATGTATGCCCAACTCGAAACTCGATCAGCCATAAAAGCCCATCATGCAAGCCAATCATCGTCGCACATCCATTAATTGCCTCGCAGCCCATAGGTTCCCCAGCTTCTTGATTGCTCGCCCAGGGGTGTTATGGGTGCACAAACCTGCCATTCGTGCCGGGACACAGGCTTCCCATTTGCTAAGGGGTGGCTGGCTGCTTAAGTTCTGTGGTCTGGCCCAGGCACATTATTCTAAGTTGCGGCGCTATTCGGCGCGGAAGCCAGCCCATGACAGTGCACTCCTCCCTGTTCTGTGCTCTGCAGTGCGCCAGCTATCTCCCCTGACCTAGTCCTGCGTAGCTTTGGGTATGAGGAGATTGCTCAGCTTATAATCCAACGTCTCTCCTCCACATCCTCTTCCTCCTTCCTCCTCCCAAATCCAAAGATCTGTCTGCTGACCTTTCTCGCTGTCAACAACTTCCATCACATCGCATTGCGAGCACTTAACGCGCCTCGACTGGATATCCACCCACTCACCCCACTCTAAGCTCGACGACGTCTCAGCTGCACCAATCATAATACTCAATTCCACCACCACAACTCCCTCGTCGCAAGCAACCTCAACAGCGCGCAAAATGCCTCCTGAGTTGAGAAAGCGCAAGGCACCTGCTGCTGAACCTGCTGCAGCTCCTCCCGCCAAAAAGAAGGGTCCTGTCGCAAAGGTCATCGCAAAAGTCAAGGAAGCAGTGAGCCCAAAAGCGACCAAGACCGCCAGTGCCACAGGTGCATCAGTTGGTGATACCATCACTCTTGAAGGTTTTGGGGGCGAAATTGAGACCAATGACGGCATCAAGACTACTATAAAGCAACTTGTTGAGGAGAGCAAGGGTGGTGTTGTGTTATTTACTTATCCTAAGGCTTCAACACCCGGCTGTGCGTATATGTCTCTTCTTCAGAAACGGGCAACATCTAAATAGAGTCAAATCGACCCTGTACATACTTGCCAGTACTGACATTTTCGCAGGCACGACTCAAGCATGCATGTTCCGCGACCAATATGCTCCCCTTACAGCGACGGGTTTCTCGATTTTCGGTCTCTCCAAGGACTCGCCAAAGTCCAATACTACATTCAAGACCAAGCAAAACCTCCCATACGCTCTCCTCTGCGATCCCAGCCAGACCCTCATTGGAGCTATAGGCATGAAGAAGGCAGGTGCTGGTACTACTCGAGGTGTATTCGTGGTTGATAAGTCGGGGAAAGTCTTGGCGTCTGAAGCTGGAGGTCCTGGGGCCACGGTTGAGGTTGTAAAGAGGCTAGTGGGAGGCGGTGGTGATGGGGCCCCCGCTATTGTCACTGCTCCAGCTGCTTCTGAGCCAAAGTCTGAGGTTGCCACTAATGGTGTCAATGGTACTGCCTCCACGGATGACAAGGCTCAAGCTGATGTGGCCGACGAAGTTGCTACTACTGCCGCAAAACTTGACAGCAATGAGCGCAAGGCAATCGTGGCTTGAGCGAATTATCGAGGATATGAATGGGACATATATTAATTGCCTCACTCACGTATGTCCAAGTTTCACATGGCAATTGGGAAATGGGGGAATGGGGGAATGGGAAGCTGAACGGGGGGCGGGCTGGTTTTGCTTTTTAGGGGTCAGGCGTACCTTTTGCTTTGTTCTTAACAGCCATGTCGTTGATTTAGCAGCGAAACTTAGCACAACGTTGTACAAAACTGGGCAATATTTGCTACCGGAGCAGCGTTTCTCTAATTAAGTGCTGGAATACCGTGTCTTCTCGAAGTGACAATGATGGATATTTTTTTCCATTGAAACTCGGTAGATACCGGATTGATTTTCAACAGCCATTCTATCTCTCGTACTTGAGTTCCAAACAAACCATAATTGAGATTCTGCAGCATTTTGTGAGGGCAGAGAGTAGCTGAATAAGTAGCACTCGCTCATCCCAACGCCAAGACATTGCGTCGGCTGAATATCGGCAATTGAGCCACTTCGCTCTTGAACCTGAACGACGCCGACGACGGTTGATTGAACTTTCTAGGCGTCTTCTCACCCCCAACGAGCCAATTGATCTCTCGTTGCGTAAGGGAAGCTCACAATGTCTTCAACAACAGTCGCAAAGGCAGCGCAAGCTGCCCAGCGGGTGATACCTGTCCACAAAGTAAGCTTTTTGCAGTTGCCCTGCTCTCACGGCGAGCGCCCCATTTGACCTTCGCACCCCAGAAATTATCTCAACACCAGCTAACAGTATCGCAGAAACAAACTATGCAGTCCACGGGAATTTGGGAACGTATCCGCCGCGTCCTCGCCGTCTCCCCCGAGCGCTCCAATGGTGTCCCTCTCAAACATTTCCGCAACCCACCACCTGGATCCAATGACCCCCTCTCCTTCGAAGACCCCGTCACCCTCCCCGCCGGCGACATCGCCGAGAACCCATACTGGAAGCGCGACTCCCGGCGTTCGTATCCACAGCTGTCGTTCGTTACGCAGGGCGATGTGGTTGGTCTCTTGAGCTTGGGCAATGCGAGCGCACCGAAGAAGGAACTGATTGGTGAGGCGGGAACTCAGGCTTTGGTGCAGGTTAAGGAGGAGGGTGAGGGTGGACTGGCGAAGTACTTTGAGAAGGGGGGCAAGAGTGCTACATTGGCTGCGCTTGGGAAGGATGGATTACCCCCGTTGCCTAGTGGGTTGAGCCTTAAGGCTGGGGCAGATAAGTACAACTTGACGGCGGAAAATGCTTATCCTGAAGAGTAAGTCGTTTTTTACTGATATTATGATTGTAGCTGACTTGTTGCAGATATCCTTGTCGAACATTCCAATAGAGGGGCAGAACGGTGTTGTTTGCTTTGTATATAAGAAATGGATCATTTTCACAGGACACCTCTGGGCCAGCAAATTTCCAGTGCACATGCCTTATTGCTTGTAAGAAGTCAATATCCGGTCTATAAGGTCCATTTTCTGCGGTATGAGTGAGCCGTGAGACGAGACAGCCAGTCCGAGCAGCAACGGCTTATTGTTTATCAGCGGAGCTCCACAGGGTTATGCAATCAAGAACAGCCAATCGAGCACGTTTTGCAACATTCACACTCCCTTCTTTCCTCACCCTCCCGGAATATCATTCATATTTGCCAGTCGAAGACCCAACATTCTACTGTGGCTCATTTAATTATGCTTCATAATCGGGAGACCACCCACTCAAGATACACATGGAAAGTAGATAAGAAATTTTTGGGACACATACTCATAACTGCAGATATCCATGCTAGTCCTGAGCGGTCGTGACAATATCATGATTCTGGCAGCGAGACGGGTAATTTCACCAGACCCTTTATCTCCATATTTTTCCATCTAAGCAAGAGGAACGAAAGTCAGCAATCCTTTTCATACAAGAGAGGAATTCGGATGAAGCCCTCTGCGTTCTCGAGGCATCTCGCATAGTCAAAAGGCAAGGAAATTCGACCTTACTGCAGTATCTTGAGCAACCCATAAATCATTCTCAAGTTCGGTGCTGCAACCCCTAATCGCTCTGCCTCCCTCAGTGGCTCCCCCACAATATTCTCGAACTCGATGAAGTTCCCCTACATTCCGTTAGCGAAGGCTCAACATGGCTTTATACAGCACATTTCAGATATTACCTTCTCGATGTCCTGCTGCATGCTCGGCTTGAAGAAAGTGAACTCTGGATCAGCATTGATCATCTTGTCCGCAATCCCCTCAGGTAGATTATGACCTGCGGCCTTCGCAATGGCAATTATTTCAACCATTAGAGGCCTCACTACATCTTCAATTGGAAACTTGTACATCCTCATTCGACTCGTGTCCATACGGACAACAGCACATGCTGAATTGTAACATGCGTTGTAGACTAGCTTCCGCCACCTGACGAAACCTACATTGTCGTTGTACTCGCAGTCTACTTTGCCTGATGCGCTGTAAATTTCGGCGAATTTCTTGGCGGCGGCGATGGAGACTTCGTTGGAAATGTTGGGGTTCTCGTAGGGGCTTACGATGAGCTCATCTATGATCTTGTTAGATCTATACATGCAGATATAACAATCCATCTTGGAAAGGCCCACTTGCCGGGATCGTCATGCAATATGTGAGAATGAGATGTCTCTGTGGCTCCGATGAGCGAAACACCGGAAAGGACAGGATTCTTTGGAAAGGCAGCAATGATTGGCTTCTCGATATTAAGACCGTTCTGTAGTAAAGCAATAGTAGTGTGTCCCTCGGTCACTGCAGGAGCTATGATCTCGGCTACTGTTGGGCCGACATCTGCCACATTTTTGGTCGTCACCACGATGAAGTCGTAGGGTTTTGTATTTTGCCCCACTGTAGGGACCGTATTGAGAACTGCATCGTGGTTCTAGTTACTGGGCTCCAGACCTTTGGGATGAGGGGATATTTACTGTTTGCTGGCTTCCAACCTTTGATGTCCGTCCCATGATCTACCGAGTTGATTGTGAAACCATTTTCCGACACAGCTTTGAAATTCGACCGCAGAACAGCAGTAACTGTTGCTAATCCTCCAGCTTCGAGATTATACGCTGCCATAGTCCCAACCCCTCCACTGCCTACAAGCAGCACATTGGATTTAGCAGCCATGATGAACGATATCACGTGGCGGGCTGGAGACGTTTCTCGATTGACCTAAGTATGGATTGTGAAATGGATATTGTTTGAAGTGTTCTCGTTCATTAAGTATGTAGAAACTAGCTTCCGCAGAGGAATTTGCGGATGAGTTTACCTGGGTAATATCAGAACAACAGGTAAAGTAAATCAAGCAAGGATGGCAATTCCGAATCGAGTTCAAAGGTGGGGTGGGTTGTGGCTTGTTGGACCATTCCTTCCATGTCTTGGTGATATGTGTCGTGGAAACCTTCCATATTCATCAGATACCAGAAACCCACTCCCGAACTCTGACTACCGCAGCTACAAATGAATGGTTTCTGTCTTTTCTGCTCTTGAGCTTATATGTCTACTCTGTAATGATGAAGTCTTGGGGCTGCACTAATTGGAGTATTTCATAGAGCAGCTAGTTTTGATCTCCTTTCTCCTCTTCCAATATGTCCTCGCACGTTTGACTTGGGCGGTAATGCTATTTAACAGATCATGGCAGACATTGGATAGCGTATGGCTTCCGAGTTGTCCAAAGACTAGACAATTCTTTGCCTCTATAACACGGAATGATTGACACTGGTTCAAGATCAGTACCAAAAAGTCCGACTTTGCCATTTTGGTTGTGGTACACGTTGAAGGTCGTTCCTTCTCTTTGTAGCAAGTGCATGAAGCAGGTGGAATGATGGAACTACTGTTGTTACTCACGAACAAAGGGAGACTCACGATTATCTCTGTCGTTGCAATACCAAATGCAAATTATTCTTCTACTATTCTTTGTCTCCCGCAAACATTATCAAAGGGCTCGATGCTTTTCGACACGGAAAATCACACGGCAGAAACTAATATTTACCATACCGTGACTCCCAAAAGTTCGAGGGCAGCGCCTCCAAGAGACGTCATGCAGTTATCGTCTCCTGAATCACCATCTTACGAACCTCATATGGAAATTGCAGGCGACTTTCATCTGCAGTAGCCCCGATGGCAGATATCAGATTCGCAAAGCCTTCTTGGTCAACTTCCCAGCAGCCGCGCTGGTTAATGCTACAAACCTTTCCATGACTTGCAATACTGCCACTATTCCTGCAAATAAACTTCTGATCACTAAAGGGGGTGGCCCAAGGATGTTGCATTGGTTGTGCAATAGGTTTCCAAATGGACTGCCTGTCGGCGAAGCTACTGTGTCACCTAGTTTTGATCTGTTGAACTGTGATCACATCATCCATACCAATGTACCCAATTACCGCGGCAGAACTAGGTCGACGATCCCGCTTTTAAGACAGCAGTTGGTGGATTGTTATCGGAGGTGTTTGGAAGAGGCGTTTAAGGTTGGGGCGGCGAGTATCGCATTTCCTTGTCTGGGTGCTGGTCTGGTGCTTGGTTGGCGGAGGAGGGATGCCTCGAGACTGGGGTTGAATACTGTGAGGCTGTGGTTCAAACATCCTGTCCACGGTGCGAAGAGAAGGGAGAGAATCCCGGGACCGATATATTTTCTTTCTGATCCTGCGGGTCCGTATCAACACCAGCTTGATTCTTGGCTTGCTGCATTCGAGTGAGTTGTTGAAAAGTGAGTGTGATGGAGGAGACTAATGATATATAGTGATCTGTGGCCGCTTGAAGAGGATATGGCACTGCCATTGATTGACGAACCAACAGCTAGAACACCAACAATGACCATCAGAACGAGGAAAAGGAATCAGAGACAGAATTCGTCTCGGAGAGGTGGATCCCGAAGAGGGCACATTACACGGATTGATGTACGCCATTGTTATTTTGACGAGGAGATTGAGAGTCAAGAGCGGGAACAAGAAGAATGGCAAGGACCGCAGCTCGACCAGACTGAACCTCCCAAACGACATGAACAGACCACTGAGGTTGTGCAGCCAGAAACAGAGCAGCCGGATATGGTAGTGGAAGAAATGAGGCAGAGCACCCTCAAAAGAAGGAGAGTGGGGCAACGTGAGCTCAAGAGCTTGCACGGAGGAAATTCCGATGATCATGAGCCTATGGGAAGGTCTAGGGACAGGAAGCCACCCCAGCGGTATGGATATTAGGCCTGGAAAGAAGTCAAAATAGAAACTTGTCAATGAAAAGTTTTATACTCCATCAGATGATGGGTATTGATAAGTTATATCAACATGGGACGGGTACGACAGTCGTAGAAGGGTAACGTTTAGAGCGATTTGACTGATATGAAGCCACTCGCTGGAGCGGCCGGTATGGTGCTCAGAAGGAAAGAGATGAGTAATGGATTGCACAATAGGACCTCATACCACTATAAGATTGGAAAACCCTCTAGTCTAGTCATGGATGTTTGGTCTGTCAAAGCAGCACTTTCGTCGCAACACTCAATAGCCACGCAGCATCTTGCCAGCCTCCAACTTCACCCTCCCTCATAGGGGGTGGTGGTACTTCTCCGGCAATAGGATCGGCAATTCCATCTAAGGTTCGCCTAGAAGCTCTCGAAGATATCTCAGAGTCTTCGGCTTTTTCATCTGTTGTTTCTTCATCCTCACCATCTTCTTCTACCGCAAACAGACTCCATCCAAGCATCCTCTCAACCCAGCCGGCGACACCCATACTGCTTGATCTTGCGAGTTTTCGAACCTCGGCTTCATCTTTCCTGGCCTCTTCCTCGATCTCATACACCTCTTCTTCCTCAGCATCCACAAAGTCTGGCTCACTTATGAAGTCTTGGCGAGCAAAATCTCCTTGGTCGAAGTACCCATCTCGTTCACCGCTTATGGGCGTGAAGAGCTGGGCTTTACTACCCCGCCTGCTATTCCCTCTGCTACCGAATCTGCTTGCAGGTCGACTTCCTGTACCAGTTGCCGGCCCAAAACTAAGACTTCGTCGTGTTGTAATTGGAGAGAACTCATCATCGGCATCGAATGCCACAACACTGCCTCTCCTACTAGCACGTCTGCTCGACCGGTCTCTCTCTTTTACCAACTCTCGTTCTAGCTCTTCCTCATCTTCATCTCGCTGTCCAGTCAAACTTGTAGAGCTCGCCCTAGATACCAGCCACGATTGACCCTTCGACTCTCTCGTTGATGAGGATATAGCGGCTCCAGCTCGTAGCAGCCAGTCTGAATCATTCCTATCCTTCGCAGAAATCGAGCTCAGGTTGAGTTCGTTCTTCAATCGAGTTCCGCCAGGTGTAGTAGCGCCAGACCGAGGCTGTTTTCGACCGGCAACAAGATGGGTGCTTGATTTCGATTTTGGAAGAGCTAGGTTTGTAGGCTTGCGCAGTGATACGCGGGAGGATGACCTAGATAGTATCGAGGGAGAGGTGGGAGCCGAGCGGCCTTCGATGTAGGAGAGATGAGTCGAATCTGGGAGGGCGTCTGGGTCGGAGAGGGGGAGTCGCGAAGTCAACGGAGCGAGAGTCAGTTGACCAAGACTGGTATGGGAGCGACTGTGGTGCCGCGAGTGAGGCGAATGCTGATTGTATGCCACATCCATGATTTATCAAACCGAGTATGTGAGAGGTGCGACTTAAGAGCAATGGGAGACGTGGGTCGACGAAGAATGGTGAAGAGTGAGGTGATTCCGAAGTGAGCGTGATAATCCGGGGAAGAAGTGGACCTGGGCAGCAAGCATGCGGGCCTCGCCTCGCCAAAAATTTGACTTGTGAAAACGGAAGAGAAACCAGAACCAGACCCACTGGAATTTTATGAAGATGCACCAACCCCGAAAAGGATGATATTGAGGTCGTGACTTTGATTTCTTGAGCATAACAAGATGCGCAATCTCAGGAGTACACGCTTCGATCAATGGGCGCCTCCCAGTCATTTCAGAGGAAAGGCTCTGACAGCTGCGACGTGGGACCTTGCCAATGACTCTGTTGTTTGCGCTTTTGGGCCAACCGAAAATGACCCTCTTATCGAATTGGTAAGAGTGGCAGCAAAGGGCGATTTACAGTATGTTATCCATTATCTGAACTTGAATCCAATTAATTCTGTCATAGTGAGCACACAATTATCACCTCTTGGGATGCGCCATGTCCCAATCCAGATCTCATTTGTGATGAAATCTTGAGCCTGCATTATTTCGGGGACAGTTTGACGGCATGTCTAGTCCTGGCCGGTGGCGACATTACGGTTGTCAGAGAAGAACCTCAAGCTGGAGAAGACCGAATTGAGATCGTTGGATCTGTTGATGAAGGCATCACTGCTGCAAGATGGTCACCTGACGAGGAGCTTCTGGCTATTACCACAAAGGCGGAGACCTTGGTGTTCATGAGCCGGAGCTTCGAGGGAGTCACTGATGTTGCTATGACCTCGGAGGATCTTCAAGCATCGAATCATGTCTCGGTTGGCTGGGGTAAGAAGGAAACTCAGTTCAAGGGAAAGGGTGCCAAGGCAATGCGAGATCCAACAATGCCAGAGAAAATCGACGAAGGAGTTCTGAGCTCAAATGATGATTTAAGAGCCAATATAAGTTGGAGAGGAGACGGTGCGTACCTCGCTATCTCGACTATCGAGGGTAGCAGCAGACGAGTTATCCGGGTTTACTCGAGAGAAGGAGTACTGGATAGCGCCAGCGAACCAGTTGATGGTTTGGAAGGTGCTCTAAGCTGGAGGCCAGTGGGAAATCTCATCGCTGGCATTCAAAGACTGGAGGAGCGAGTTGATGTGGTATTCTTCGAGCGAAATGGACTTAGACACGGTCAATTCTCTCTTCGACTTAGCCCTGAACAGTTACACGAGCGAGAAGAACGTATCAGACTGTGTTGGAATTCGGATTCAACAGTACTAGCTGTCATTATGGGAGATCATACAGAGCTGTGGACAATGGGTAACTACCATTGGTATCTGAAACAAGTGATCCACACGGATACTTTGCTTCCTGTAGGTCCTCTGGTATGGCATCCCGAGAAGTCTCTGAGACTTCTGACAGCGTCATCCGGTGAGTGAATTTCCCCTCAAAGGAGTGGCTGTCTCTAATGATTCGAAATAGACGGTCTTGGAATGCACGACTATATGTTCACTACAGCTCGTTCCTCTGCCGCACCACCGTACGATCATGGCATCGTAGCTGTGATAGATGGCATTTCGGTCAACATCACCCCTCTCCGGACTGCCAATGTTCCTCCACCTATGGCATTACATGAAATTGTAGTACCATCGAACACTATTGACGTAGCATTCAACGTCGATGCCTCGTTGATTGCAGTATTGCATCAGAAGGGGATTTCAATCTTTGAGTGGAAGAGTGTTACCTCCTCCGCTCCCCCGCCTGCGCTAACAGGAAGAGTAACATTTGAGAAGGCCGAATTTTTCACACCTACATACCAACAAATCTCGTTCGCTGGTACGAATGAAGTACTTGTTCTGCAGAAAGACGAAACGGGACCCTCCATCAATCGTTACGGTTTCAACGATGAAACTGGTAGAATGGAAATGCTGGATTCCAATGCAAACCTAACATCCGCAATATTCACACTTTCAAGTTTCTCGAAAGATGGGCTAGCACATCCATTCGTCCAAGGAAGAAAGGGAGACTTGCAAAGTCTTGCTTTTGGAAATCATTCTCTGTCTTGTTGCAGCTTCCCAACGTACCTCCCTTGGGTTGAGATCTGGGCCGGCGAGGATGATATTGCATTTGGAATGTCTCCTCACGGGCATTTGTATGCTAATTCGCGATTGCTGGTCAAGAATTGCACATCTTTTCTCGTTACCTCGGCACATCTCATATTTACAACCACCACGCACCTCCTTAAGTTCGTCCACGTCACCCAAGTCGATGGTAAATTTTTCAAACACTGTGCAAAACTTACTCTGCTAACACACAGCCAGATCTCGAAGTTCCAGCAGATGATCCTGAAAACGACGAGAGGTGCAGAAGCATTGAACGCGGAGCTCGGCTTGTCACTGCTATGCCCACCGCTCTCAATCTCGTCCTACAAATGCCAAGAGGCAATCTCGAGACAATATTCCCACGGGCAATGGTGGTTGCTGGTATTCGGAAGCTAATTGAAGAAAAGAATTATAAGAAGGCTTTTACACACTGCAGAACTCAAAGAGTTGACATGAACATTCTGTATGATCATGCACCGGATCAGTTCTTGGCATGTGTTCCACAGTTCATTGATCAAGTCAAGAAGATTACATACATTGATCTCTTCTTATCGTCTCTGAGGTATGCTTCATGATCGGGGACTTTTGGACATAGCTGATGATGAATAGAGAGGAAGATGTCACCAAGACCATGTATAAAGAGACCAAAGTTGTCCAACCAAGTCAAAATAGCCTTCCGATCACCAATGGTACGAATGGCGTCGTTACTATGGAGGCAACATTTGGGAAGAAGTCCAAGGTTAATCGAGTCTGCGATGCATTTCTTGAAGTGCTCAAGACGAAGACAGCTACGAACCTTCAAAACATCATAACCGCAAACGTGTGCAAGTCACCTCCTGCACTTGAGGATGGCTTACTCGTTGTTGCAAAACTCATGCAAGATGATTCGCAAATGGCTGACAAAGCTGTCGAGCATATTTGCTTCTTGGCAGATGTCAACAGGCTTTATGACAATGCCCTTGGGCTCTATAATTTGGATCTGGCGCTTCTGGTGGCGCAACAATCCCAGAAAGACCCTCGAGAATACCTGCCATTTATGCAGAACCTACAAGAAATGACTGATTTGCGACGTCGCTTCAGTATTGACGATTATCTAAACCGCCATGCAAAGGCTCTAACGCACCTTCATGCTCTGGACGTCTTCTCTGAACTCCAGACATATACTCAGAAGCATGCACTCTATCAAGCCGCTCTATCACTTTACCGGTACAACCCAAGCCAACACGCTGCTCTCACCCTCCTCTATGCCTCTTACCTCGAAACCAAATCCTCCTTCAAAGAAGCAGCACTAGCCTACGAATCTCTCCACAACTACGAAAAAGCCACCTCCTGCTACCTCGCATCCGGCCCGTCCTCCTGGCGTGAAACTCTTTTTTGCGCACTCTCCCAAACACCACCTCTCTCGGGGTCAAGTCTTACGGACCTTGCAACCTCCCTTTATGACGCTCTGCTAGAAAGCAAAGACTATTTTGCGGCGGGCACCATTCAGCTTGACTACCTCTCATCCGTCCCCAACGCCTGCCGAGCCTATTGCAAAGGGTATTTCTTCTCTGAAGCTCTCCACCTAATAGCGCAGAAACAGCAGCCTTCGCTCTTAGAAGAAGTAATTGACCCGGGCCTCAGCGACGCCTTCGCATCTTCCACGGAGCTCCTCGCAGAATGCAAAGCACAGCTTCTAGCACAAGTTCCTCGAATCCGTGAACTTCGCGCTAAGGCCCTCGCTGATCCATTGGCGTTCTACGAGGGTGAGCGAGGAGGCGATGGCGATTTGCCGGATGATGTATCTGTGGCTGCGAGTTCGCGTTTGAGTACTAATAGGAGCTTGTTTACGAGGTATACGGGGAAAGGGAGCCAGGGACAGAGTATTGGGACGGCAGGAACAGGCGTGAGTAGGGCCACAAGTAAGAATCGAAGAAGAGAAGAGAGGAAGAGAGCAAGGGGCAAGAAGGGGAGTGTGTATGAAGAAGAATATCTGGTTGCTAGTGTGGGGAGACTGGTCGAAAGAGTCGAGAGTGTTAGGGGTGAGGTGGGCCGGTTGGTTACGGGTCTGGTGAGGAGAGCGATGTGGGAAAGGGCAAGAGCTGTGGAGGCTGCTCTGGCGGAGGTGGTTGGTATGTGTAAGGCGTGTGTGCCGGAGGTGTTTGGGACGCCTGAGCAACCTGCTGAGCTTGCAGCGGATGAGAACGGGTATCGCCCTATTGGAGGCGACGCCGTGCTGCAAGAGAGTATCGACGCAGCTGGTAAAAGAAAAGAACCCCCTGTCATTGCAGCATTTGAGAAGTTGTCTCTGCTTGGGAACTAGAGCGTAGTTGACAATATATGAAAAGTGTTGGTTTATTCAATACATTTTCATACCAAGAAGAGATAGTCTAGAGTGCCTATCAACCGGATGAGGTTTTTGTTTGCAACGCCCACAAATGCCCAAGATGCTGTACAGTCTTCTACATATCATACATATATCTATCACGCTGTGATTGACTCGGTCGCCTCAGTCGTCTCCTTGGACACACCTACGGCCTCTAAGGTCAAGTTTCTCTTGCTAGCAATCACTTGCCCAATCTTCTCCAGCATTTCGGGCGTAAGTTTGCCCTTACCCAACTTCTTTCTCTCCTTCCTCGCCTTGCGATTGGCTTCATTCAGAGGCGTTCGCATCTTCTTCACGGATTTCTTCCTCTCCTGCTTCTCCTCCTCCTCCCTCTGCTTCTTCTCGATATATTCTGGCTCATGCCTCGTCCTAAAAATCGAGTACCGATTCCTCAACTCATCGATAACAGTATTTGGCATCGGCGGTGTCAAAAGACTCGGCACGAACGTCTTTCTCTCCACATCCAGACGCATCGTATCACCCGCATAGTCATCATAGGTCTTAGGCTTGGTTTTGTTCCAAGGAATGGCGATGTTGAGGCCAGGGATTTTGCGCGTCCATGTACAGCCCCCGCGTTTGTTGAACCAGATGTTGCTGCGGGTGACCTCTTTGACAATTACGTCGCGGACGACGCCCGTTTCAGCGTCTTTGAGAGGGGTGACGAGACGGACCGATTTAAGGGAGATGGGTTGCTCAATGGAGCGGAGGGGGCGTTGGTCTGGATCTTCGGCGCTGAGTGCGTAGGCCGGGAGGTGGATATCCATCTATTTTCAATATAGTCAATACATGTCCAATCAGGTGCCGACTTCTGGAATATTCATGGTGGAAACAGTGAACGAACCATATTCAATCCCTCAATCGTACAATCTGCAGATTTGGTATTGATATCCTTTATCTTTCCGATCTTCCCCTTATCCCGTCCCTCCAAAATGACAACTCTGTCCCCGACCTGAATATTCAAGAACTTGCCTCCCCAGAAGTCCAAAATGTCTGATCTCTCCTTTCCGTGCAGAGGCCGACCATGCATTCGCGTCAAGCTCACAGTTCCATACGTATCCTTATTCGTTCCCACATCTCTCCTTGGCGCCAGAGGACCCAGTTCATAATCCTCTCTCCGTGCGAGCCTCGCATCCTTTATGGTCTTGATCTCATCCTTGCGGTGGTAATTGTTCTGGTCTCGCTGGTTGCTCCACTTGTCCCTCAGCTTTTTCTGCGTTCGCTTCGTCGCTCGTCGAGCCACTTGCTTCTCTGCTAGTATGGTGCGCCGGAATACCTTCTGCATGGTTGCAGAGAGGGTGAGAGAGCACTGTCAATTGTCGTTCCTGGTGTAGTGGTACCGGGTAACTTTTTGATCAATCGAGAGCTTGATATTTGGACTTGGCGCGCTAGGGAGCAGAGTTGATCCGGATATCTGGCACGTGATACTACATATTCAGGGGTAAATAGGCTAGATGTTTGGATTTGCTGGTTTTACGAGAGTTCAGGAGGATCGTGCTACGAAGCTGAAGGATTAAGTTCGCAAACATTGTGGTAGGGCTGAGTTGCGACATAGGAATCTTGTGTGGGAGTTGGACATCCGAGGAAGCCTTCAAGACTAGCTAGGTAGGTATTTAGGTGGTAGGATACTTGTCCCGAGGCCTGGCAGTTGACATAAAGCTTCATATCGTGCAATAGTTGCATGGAGTCCTGCATATGGTCTTGGGGACATGGGGAACTTGGGGAACGAGTCCTGCCTACTCATGGTGAACCCAACAGCGCTCTTCAGATACCGTTGGCTCGATATCAACCAAGTAATTTATGGGACTTGCGTTGTCTTCATCGTGCCAAGGCTGCGCCTCACGATGCTGCGTCAACTCGGCACGGAGTCGATTGGTGGTATCCCCATGCAGTCTAGACTCTAGAGTCATGTAAAGTCTGGCGGTCCTCAGCTGTACAAGGACTCTGGGGCTCGTACCGTTGGTGGCTCGGAAGCGGAAGCTCTTGGTGCAGACTGCAGTAGTCGGCAGATTCTGGTACGAAGGGTATGCGGTGCGCTTCTGGTGGTCTCGTTCTTGTTCTTGCAGGGCCGACGGGCGAGGGGCGAGGGACTACTACAGTACTTGGGCTGGATTTGATAGTGGCTGCTTCTGGGCTCCTAGGCATGCTTCGGATAGGGAGGCTTGAAAGCAGAGAAGCATGTGAGAACAAGAACAACGGCATAGAGCGTCAACTGGGAACAATGCGAACGTGAGTACGAAGTACATCATCACACGGATGAACTAGGCATTGATACTGTGTGAATGTCCGAAACGGCTTCGATGATTCACAAGGTCTTACCTAGAGCTTCAGAGCAGGATGCAGCGAATGACGGAGTATCAAATGCATAACTGGGGTACTATGGGCTATTCCTCTTTAATACCACTCTCAGATACTGCAGCCAACCTTGAGTGTAGTACCTGGACAAGCAACAACAACAACAACAACAACAACAACAACAACAAACAAACAAGCAAGCAGACACTGCAGATACAACTTGAGTAAAGTAGAAAAGCTGGTCGCAGAATCACCTTTTCTTTGAACCGGGAATAGGCACCTTTTGACTGGTCTCTTGACTTTCAAAATAAGTGAAGAAGCTGTCCGTCGCAATCCGAACCCCGCCGACGTGACTGCCCATGCCCATACCCATGCCCATTGTCCACCGCTGGCTGGTGACATTCAGCAATAGCGCCGCTGTACTGCACCACCACCGCAGTTCGCTCCAGCGCAACCTCAGGTCTCAACTTCCCGCGCTAGCGCACCCTGCTGCTCATTGCCTCGTCTTCAACTTCAACTCCAACTCCCAACAACTAACGACTTCTACTTCATCTACCACTGCCACTCATTCTACCTTCCCCTACCAACACATACAGCAGGCCTCGAACGATCCTCCACTACCACAACACCCACTCACAAAATGGCGGAGATTCGCAGAAAGCTTGTCATTGTTGGTGACGGAGGTAAGTAACCTGTTCCCCAATCCTACTAACTCTGGTTTGGTTTGATTTGATTCTGACAATCTTGAAAGCCTGTGGCAAAACTTGTCTCCTGATGTAAGTTATGCTGCCCGATTTCGGCGCTCAGAAACTGACTTGGGCACAGCGTCTTCTCCAAGGGTACATTTCCAGAGGTGAGCCTTGAATCGACCTTCTAACATTATCCGAAACCTGCCTTATGCGCGGCCTCATCAACAACTCCGATGGCGATAGCGACATTACATATGCGGAATGCGGAGCTGATAAGGATGGAATATAGGTCTATGTCCCAACCGTCTTCGAGAACTACGTTGCCGATGTCGAGGTTGATGGAAAGCACGTTGAGCTAGCTCTATGGGATACGGCTGGACAGGAAGATTACGACCGTCTCCGACCTCTTTCATACCCAGATTCGCATGTCATCCTCATCTGCTTCGCCGTCGACTCCCCCGACTCCCTCGATAACGTTCAGGAGAAGGTACTGTTACCCCTAAATATGGGAAATCCCGACAAGGAGATAAGAACCTGCTGACACGTGCTCCTGGAATAGTGGATTTCCGAAGTCGTACATTTCTGCAGAGAACTCCCAATCATTCTCGTTGGATGCAAGAAGGATCTCCGTTACGACCAGAAGACCATCGAAGAACTCCACAAGACAAGCCAAAAGCCTGTTACCCCCGAGCAGGTAAGATAAACATCAGATCCGACCTGAGCTTGGACCACAAAGACAGTGCAAGATCTGGGGATATCTGGAACAATGCTGACAGTGATACAGGGTGAGGAGACCCGCAAGAAGATTCAAGCCTATAAGTACCTTGAGTGTTCAGCAAAGACCAATGAGGGTGTCCGGGAGGTTTTCGAGCACGCTACCCGTGCCGCACTCTTGACCAAGAAGAAGAAGGAGAAGAAGTGCATTGTCCTGTAAAGCTACCAATATCGACCTCTCTTTCTCTAATGCGATCGGATTTCACTGTACGACTCCTCGGGTGATACGGATGCTTCAGGATGTGGCAACGTGCTGAAGACTGTTCAATGCTCCTCTTCCGACAGGCATTTGATCTATCATTTTTTGATACTCGTGGAATACCTCATAAACCGCGCAGACTCAATTCATCAAACCCTCATCATACGCATCCAACAACAACACGTCCTCGAAAGCCTCTAGGTCTCTTGGTTCGGATACATCTTGGCATGGGGGCTTTTTTCTTCGCTATGCTGCGCTATTTCTTCTCTGTCTCTCGGAATGCGTTTCTTGCAAGATCTTTGTGTGTGCTCTTCTCCTTTCTCTCTTTACGTTCAGAGTGGGGCTCTGAAACGTAAGGCTGTGGTCCTGCTGCTGCGTCTCTTCTTTGGTTCGTCGTCATAAGGGCAGGCTGGGAGACTGGATGCGCATTTTTGTACGGTGTAATAGCAATAGGCGTAGTCCATCAGAGATGCTTTTTGAGACCCTGTTCTTCTGCGTGATTTGAGCGTGTTGATATTTGAATACCAAGCTACAAGGACTCTGATGTCCATGTTATTGTACACAATGTCCCAAGTGAACATCCGAAAGACCACACTGCCCAGATATGAAAATAGAGCAACCGCTCTAATTCTCAACACTGTTAGAGTGTTAGTCTCTCGGCTATATTTACGAGCAATGTCCTTGTGTTGATCGATATATTGCTCGTCTGGGCGGCGGATGCCTGATCAGACACACATCCACTAGACCCGAAGTGCAAGTTCTATCAACTTTTGCGTTCGTAAGCCTCCAGAGTTTGCTTTGTGATCCATATGGTTCTGCCTACACTTGTTGATCCACGCACGGAGGGTTTAGCAAGTCATCTACGTTTCTGGCTGCTTCCGAAGAATCTTGTACCAGTGACTTTTGCAAATAAGTCTGTCAGGTCTTTGTTGATAGCAAGAAATTGCATCAGAGGTATCCGGCTTGAATGTCCTTTCAGCTTTGCGAACACATTTTCCACTTTGAATCAGATGACTTTGAAGGTTTTCGTTGCAGACTCCAATTCGCCTAATGGATGTGGGCCTCTTGAGGCAGTCGTACATCTAAGAAGTCTCAAAGTCAATTTCCTACTATGTAACTAATACAGGGTATGGGAATCGTGTTTTGTCCCTGGCGAGGCTGTTATCCACATCTCTCTGGCTTGCCCAACTTCCAGCGGGCATCTCTTTCAGGTGCAAGGTGCTTCAGAGCTGTACTTCCTGCTATCACGCAGTCCCAAGGAGCCTAATATATGAGATCTCACCTTGCAGATTCTCAGCCTAAGCTTTTGAGTCAAACCTGGCTGCCCGCCACTGTCAAAATGGTAAATATTGTCTCCAGTCGCTTAGCTGGGGGTGGCAATATGCTCTGTTACATCTCGAATCTACAGCTATCTTGATTTCTGATGAAGCTTAATCTTTTTTCTTCTGGATAATAGCAGTATAGCAGCGTTCTGGCCCTCGCTGTCCATGAATAAAGGACTTTAATCTTGGTGATCTCGAACGCTGGGTTTTCTGTATTTTGAGGTGCAAGCTGTAGTTGCGATATTGACTAGTGGTAAAATCCATCATCTGAGGTGCCAACTACGACTTGGTGGAGAAGTATATTGCCTAGATTAAGACTCAAGGGAGTTCGCAAGCTTAATGAAGTTTTGAACCTGCCTTGTTGGTTTTGACAGTCACCGATCTCTAATCGACATTCAAGGAGCGGTGGGTGTCGGTACCATTGAAATGGTATGAACGCCTTTGCTTCTGACTTCATGCAATCCCGTTTGCCCGATCAGAAACTGAACCTGTCTCTGCGCTTGTCGTATTTCCTGGAAAAAGGTGAACTCGGGTCTGATTCGCCTCATTCACCTCGAACTTTGATCAATGACTTTCCTCAATCTATGATCGATCACTACACGCCCTCCCACAATTTCACCATCTCGCAGTACCAGAAACCCCTAAAATCGTCACAACACACCACTGGCAGCTCTGATCATCAACCAACATGTGTCTCCAAACTACCACATCCTACTCAAACTGCCGCGCCGTCCGCGTTCACCTCGACGTCTGCGCATCTCACATCGAACACACTCGCCGTCAACTCGACAATGCACCGTGCCCCAAGTTCAGCAAGACCCACCAACACGTCACGAACACCACCCGCTGCTTCTGCAAAGATTCTGCCAGCCTGGGCCGTCATGCCGGTTCCACTGTTGGCGTTGGCTGTGCCCGCATGGCTTCCAGAGGATACGGCGAGAACGGATTGACGTGGGGGTTTGAGAAGGGTCCCTCTTTGGGCCTGAAAAAGAAGAAGGATCGGGCGAGGGAGAAAGCTATTGAGAAGGAGAAGGAGGTTGAGGTCAAAATGGAGGATGACAGTGATGATGTGAGCAAATCTTGGGCGGATATAAACGCTGCTAGTTGCTTCGGTGATGCGAGCGGAAGCGGTGCTTCGCATGGTACTGCTGAAGAAGGGTGAGTCTATTCTTAGCTGGATTTGACCTAACAGAACTGACAAGTTTCAAGTATACGTAACAACCAGATGATGATGGAATCGAATCATCAACAAAGCAAGAAGGTCAAGTTTGAGAACAGCCCATCAAGCCACGCTCAGTTGTAAGTTTCAGATATTGTCTTTCCTTTCTTAGCACAAGAGCTGAAAGTAGCACAGTCCACCCCTTGAGCCATTGAAGACTCGCGATTTTGATGTTGATCACGAGATGAACTAAGACATGCAAGTGAGCAGCATACTTCCATGACTTTGAGAGATGTCTGAGTTGCCGTGATTCTCTAGGCTGAGAAACACAGTTGGAAGAATCTGGATTGGACCAGCTTGCACTTTACACCTGGAGCTTCTAGCATATTGACGCTTTTCTGAGAAAGGGAAACATTGTTCTTTCAGCAGTGCGTAATCGCTTCGATACCATGGCTTGCTTTATCGATGGTTACGGCTTCCTTCAGTCCTCATTTCCCTCTTTCGAAATCGGACGGAAAATGCAATGTTACTGTTAGTAGACGTACTCAATGGAAGGTTCTCTGAGTCTCCTAGTACTGTTTGATTCGTGACATGTAGATCGTTGAATGATTGTGTAATCTGCGACACGGCTTTGAATTGAACATGTACGTTCGAGAATTAGATGCACTGATGCGGTAGTGCATTGTATGTACTGTTATTAGCTCCTTCCCTCCTAACCTCCCCAGCATATGAATTCGATTTTGAGCCATCAATTGGACTCAATCACCCTATTGATCCTAGATCTTGTGTTTGAAAAGTCTCATATTCTCATCCGAAGGACGAGTGAAATGTTCCATTTCTTACCTTTCATCCTCGATTTCGTTACTTGTATTCGGCGGACAATTCGGATGGAAAATACAACAGCACAATGCTCGTAATCAAGGACTTACACTTAGAATCTCTCTAAATTTATATGCCAGCGGACGTTATGTCATGTTCACAGTCTTTCAATACAAAAGATGAAGAACCCTCATAGCAGCAATGCCTCTTCACTCGTCTTCTCGATCTCACTTCAACAACATCTCAGCTGAACTACACCATGTACTGACCTTGCTCAATGCTTGATCACTTTTTCGCAGTGGTAGAAACGTAATCAGCAGCGCACGACTTTCTCTCTATGACTTTCTCTCTATTAAGCTCTCGAGAGAACAATCACCTCGCTTATTTTCCTGCGCCATAAATAAACACGTCGGCAAAAGATAAACACTAAAAATATGAACACTTACAACACTTCCTCACTGTCTACGCCGACAGCATCAAAATTATCACAAACAGGAAAATAAGACTATCCATATTCTCTAAAAAGGAGCAAAAAAGGTACAATCACCTGAGAATACCGACGAATCAATGTTAACAACCGCTCATACCTCTTCGAAGTTCCAAAATTCCCCAGAATAAATCCTGGGAAACCTACTACGTCTTCACAACCTCGTCAAACGACTTCGCAGCCAGCAAGCCAGCCACTTGATTGATGGTGGGAATCTTCTTATTCTGTTAGATGATGGAGGTTGAGCTTTGTGAGATTTCGGCTCGGTTGGGCTTGTTGAATCCAAGTGAGGTCGTAGAATGAATGGTGGATGGAAGAGGGTTTCACTTTCGATTTTAGATGGGCTGGTGCTGACACTGATGGTGGGAAGCTCTACCTCAATACAGGCTCGGCTTGTGAATGAAAAATCGTGGACAGGATAATTTGATTGGCTTTCTAAAGCCAATCGTTTGGGTGTTCATCAAAAAATATCTCTTTTTACTGCTTCTTCCAATCTGCTCTTCCAAAAATATTTGGATAAACTCTCTGTAGGCTCAGTCCCAGGAATTCAAAGGTGACACAATGAAATCACGGTAAGTAATTAGCAAGGCATTATCTCTCGAAATGTGTTTCTGTTACTGGTACCGTATATGGCTCTATGCGTCTATCTATTCAGGTATCACGCCATCTAAGTAAACCCATTCCCAAGAATCCAGTGTCTACATCCTCACCCTCTCACTTTCCCAGGCTCATATACATAACCACCTTCTCCTCTCTACGACCCAGCAATAACACCCCAACCCCGCTTAACAGCCAACCACGCCTCGAAAACCTCCAGTTTCATCTCTACTCTGAAATATCCCGCCCAAGCTCTCAGCAAGCCCAACAGATTCCTCGGCCACAGTAAGCTCCCCCTCTCCTTCAATTGCTCGACCTGCTCCTCAAATACAGTCCTCGAACAATATCTCGCTAGAATAAGAAACGTCCTCACAGGTCCCTGTCTAGTCTGTAGATTCTCATCCAGACTCCGCGTCAAATCGTTTGTCTTGAGAATAAGTAGGATAATGCGTGGGACTTGGCCGAGAAGTTGGACCAATTGCTGTAACATGCCTTCGCCGAGAGCATCATTGATACTCTTCTTCTCCTCAGCTGATCTTGCCATGGAGACGTCTTGCGTTAGGACTCTGTAATCTCTGCCTGTGATGGCGGAAGCGAAGAGTGGGAATTGCTCGTCGTTGATACCCGCTACCTCCTTCGAGTACTTCCGCATGCGAGGCTCATCAGCATCGATGACTGCTAGCCAGAGCTTTGCGTATGAGCGTCGTAGGTCTTGAGGTATGTCGCGATAGAGGCCGTGATCGTACAGGACGACGTCGAAGTTGCAAGGACCGCGTCGGGAAGAGTTTTTACGGATTGCAATATTACCACCGTGGGGATCACAGTGGAGTGGTGCATCGGTGCCGAAGATCATTTCGTTGAAGATGCGTGCTAGGGCTGCGGACACCTCGTCTCGATCGATGCCGTTGGCGTCCAGAAACTCGAGATCATCTGGACGGTGACCTGAAACGTTCTCCATTACTAGGATGCGCTTCTTGCCCCAAAGGACTTCTGGGATCACGAGCGGTAGTTCAGGCTTATGGGAGAAATACTCCTTTGTCCGCATAGCGTTTTGGCCCTCGAGATGGAAGTCTAATTCTTGTGGTAAGGAGATCTCCATTTCTGACGATAGCCATTCCAGGTCGTACTCAGGAAACCACTTCTTCAGCGTCGAAAATGTAAATCTGGTGAGTGCCAAATCGAGATTTGCCCATTCGGCAAGCGCTGGATGTTGGACTTTAACCGCGACTTTCTGACCTGTTTCTTTGACTGTTGCGAGATGTACTTGAGCTAAGGATGCAGCACCTATTGGTTCATGATCAAACTCCGAGAAGTAGTCCGACAGTTTCTCGCCTGTGTCGTTCTCAAACATGGCTTCTATCGATTCGAATGAAGAGACAGGACATTTGTCTTGCAGGGGTATGAAAGTAGTCGTCCATTCGAGAGGAAGCAAATAGTTCATTGCGCTCTACCAAATTGTCAGTCCACTTCGTTTCTCGTCCAAGAAATGAACCGAAACTCACCAGATGCTGTCCCAGTTTGATAAATATACTGCCATTCTTCTCCAGCACTTTCAACGTCCGATCCGCACACCGCTGGTGACAAGCCTTCAGACTGATATTCTTCTCCTGCTCGTCCTCCATCTTCTCGTTCTGATTCAGCGTAACGCGGTAACTAGTCGCATGTTAGTCTAATCCCATGCTTTCTCTCTTCATGATCATAATCGAAGCCAGAATTACTCACTCATTGATACACACCGCCAACGTACTAGCCACCCTCCCACTCCTCTCCACCGCCCCAAAGGCATGCTTCACATCATCTCCAAAAGCCAGCGTCGAAGCACCAACACCACTGATCGCAGCAGCAGTCAACACTTGCACTTTCCTCCGCGGCCGGCCGCTGTATCCATTGTCGTTTCCGTTCCTACTTCCACTGCCTGGCTTAGGACCGCTCTTCGCATATCCTCTGAACTGATTCTGAAACTGCCTTCCAGCCCTTGTACTGTTGATTTGAGTCTGCGAGAGACATCTCTTACATGTCCAAACACTCAGTCCATTATAGCTACTCCCATGGCCCCCCTTTGCCAGGCTCGTGAGGTTGAAGCCTTTCATCTCAACACTGGGGCGAATCGCTAACCCAATTCGATTCCAGAGTCGTAGTCAGATTCAATCCCGCATTATGGCTGCAATTTCGAATTCGTATCTGTTATTAATCTGCGATAGCGTTGTAGATTTATTCAAGTCGTGGCTCGGACGTCGTGTTCAGTTTGAAAGAAAAGGGTTGAGTTGCATCAAAAAAAGTTGAAGATCCCATCCTCAGCGCACTTGATGATGTCGTGTGGTGAAATGTGGCATGGATCATCCCTGCAATCGCATGACCTTGCGATATCATTGAAGGAAGTCCAGAGCTTTAAGCTCCTTCGCTCCCCTCACTTCAATTGACTTTCCTGGGGCTACACTTATTCTTCTGACGTGCTATAAGATATGTGAAATCAGAATTGGAGTCCATACCTTTCTTACAGTAAACATTCGAAGGGAATACAATCACCATGTCTTCCAAATGGAACATCAATGGCAAGGTAGCTCCCCCTCCACCATGTTCTGACCTATCTACCTTCCTCCCTCTCCCATATATATAAATCTAAGTATTATGACACGTACTAATAATATTCATAGAGCCTAACAATGCCCCTCGCCGCCTTCACTATGGCGACCCTGCTCTTCGTCTACACACGTACATCCATCCAAGCCGCAAAGCGCAACGCTCAGCGCCACAGAGAAGCAGACGGCGGCCAGATCAACTGGCATAACGAGACTCTGCGGAGGCATGGGAAATTGGATGCGCCGGGGGATGGGAAGACGGTAGTGGGGGAGTTGGTGGGAACGCTGAAGGGAGATAGAAGGGTAGGGAATGAGCCGAGTAATGCTGTGGAGGAGACCTTGGAGGAGAGGAAAGTCAGGGACAGGAAGAGGGGTGGCTGATGGTTGGATGAGCGGGTAGAAAGAATGATGGCATGGCAGAGGACGAGGGTTCTGAGTATTTTGTTTGGCTTGGGTTTGGGATTGCATTGCATGGAGTTCTTGGACTTAAGTGACCATTAGGAGTGTATATATTGTCTTTTAACAGTATAGGGTATGCTGCATTGACATTCATCACATCAAGCCAATCCGTACAAACAGGAGCGTTAAAGAGTATGAATGAGTTTGGAAACCATAAATGACTAGCTCATCTCCTAAGTAATATAGCTACAACACCTCCCTTAGCCAGGTGACGGTGATCAGGTATCGTCCACAAAAGGTATCCATCTGTATATTCTCCCAAAGGCAAACATAAACATCCATCCCATCCCAAATATGCCGGACTCAAAAAGGATATGTGTGCATTTGCCCGTTCCCAGAGCAAAGCGAGTCCCGGTACAACATAACGCCAACTTCTGAAAGGAGGATCCAAAAAATGCAATAAGAACCCAATGCCCCGCTGCAAGTTCGAGATGTAGTCGGCCAAGTAGCCGTCTGGGAGAGATCTATTAGATATCGTTCAATCCCCGTACTCCTTGTTTGTCCCATAATTATCTTCACCATGCACTCGACTTTTGTATCCCTTCGGCTCTGGCGTGATTCAAGTTCTTCATTACGAACTCATATGTGAGCATAGTGGTAGTTGCAGCCGGAACCGCTCGCATCATGTTGGTCCCCATCCCAGCGTAGAAAGCTCGCCAGCCTTCTTCTCTTAATATCGTTTTGAAGGTCATGACAAGACCTTTGTATCGGCGACCCGCCTGGACTTTTGAAACGACCGCGGTTGGTCCGTGAGATTCAGACCCTTCAAGCCCACCTCGAAATGCGACATATTCAGATGTTGAAGAAGGCATGGTTCTTTGTTGAGTTTGTAACCTCGTCCGGATGACCTCGTGCGGATAAGTGGCCGAGCTTGCCATGACTTTGCTGAGCACACTTGCTGAAAATATCCCAAGCCAGTGAGCGCTATCATCACCTTCTACGGACTTGCCCATCCCCTGTCCAGTGAACTTGGTCTTCAGATATTCATATGCCGGAAATTGAACGGCAACATGCGTCAACCCGAGCAGCGCAGGAGTTAGCCCGGAGTAGAATGACAGAATCCCTTCGGTTCGGTACATCTTCCTGGCTGCATCAAAAGTGGACCTGTAATGCCACGGCGGCCGAGCTTCATTCGACGTAGCCTTTCTGCTCACTTGCGACATCAATCGAGTCTTTATCACCCATATTGGGTTTGTAACCATTGTGGAGCACGCTCCAGCGACAAGGGAAGAACAAAAGTTGACGCCGTAGGTATTGTCTGGGGAATGTCAGTATATATGATCTTAGATGGAAGAGCCGCATTTCATACCAACGTAATTGGCGAAGAAAAGTTTTGATCTTCCATAAACCGTAAAGTAAACAGCCCAAGTCGGTAAATACCCCAGTATTATTGGTCCCAAACCTCGATACATCCCTTTCAGCCCCTCTTCTCTCCAGATTACTTTGCCAGTCCCTATCAAGCCTCGGTAAACAACATGTGAAGGGCCTCCATTCGTCTGCGGCCTGAAGCCTCCTTGTGCTTGTAATTTCGTCTTAATCACGTCCAACGGACAAGTCACTATCCCTGATGTGAAGCCCCCAGTAGCCCCAGCCAACGCTCTGAAACTATCATCAGACCTTCCCATAGCCCATTGCTCGAAAGGTGTGGTGCCATTCTCTCTTTGAAAGCTCGAGGACGTCCTCGCAAAAGTTTGACTGGCCGATGGCGGCAGCGGTGGAGGAACTGTACCAAAGCCCTCTGATCCGGGAGATGATGGCGTGCTGCGTTCATGCGACATTGTATGTTCTTCTTGCGCGGAAAGGAGGGCGGGAAGATAGATAGCAAGGTTTGCTTGCTTGACAAGTACCTAGCCAGCCAGCCAGCTAAATCCAGCTACCGTAGGAAGCCAGCAGGGGGTAGCTTCCCTTCTGGCGAAGCAAGCAGAGAGGCACAAGCCTCTGTTGACTTGTCGGGATTGTAGGATTTGCCTCTTCCTTTCGCGTTGGGGAGTTTCCAATCTCGTGTCCCGGTGTGCGGGGAAGATCCCACGCAGCACGCCAGTGACACTGCTAGCGATTGTCCAAGGCCATTGACGACTGACCCTGAGTACTTGTTGATGAGGTTGAAGAGGAGAGGGCGAAAGTGGAGGGATGGTGTGAGTTTTGCAGGCACAGAGACCGAGTTCGGGCGGCGGCGGCGGTGGTGATAATCGAAGTGGGTATGGGAAGTAGCTCCCTTTAGCAACGGGCTTGGGTGAGATTTCGCTTATGAGAGGGAGAATGTTGATAGTGGGAGGCAGTTGGAGAATGGGGAAACCAATGAAGAGGATGAGGTTCAGTCGAGGGTCTCCACGATGGTTTGGGAAGATGGGAAGTACTGAGCTCGCTATCTAATTGTAGGTAGTGCAGTGCAGGAAAGGAAATGCGATGCCGTGTGTGCGGGAAAGCAAGCTTGGTTGCTCTGCTCTGCTCTGCTCTGCTCTGCTGTGATCTTGGAACCGGCTCTGGCTGCAGTGATGCAGGTGTGAGAGCAGCGAGACAGAGTGGGGGGTAACAATCAGGGGTCCTCGTTGGCTGCTGCTGCTGTTGTCCACCTGCAGCGGTCAAGCTTCGGCGTTCATTCGCAAAGTGCACGGACCAAGATATCATCTGATCTGAGTCACATGAGAGGAAGGCCCCCAGTCAACACTTCGGCCAATCAAGTACTCTCAAATCGGCTTACACTAGGCAATCGAAAAGTATGCGGAAGCTCTCGAGGCTCAAACGACAGTCGATATCCAGCTTCACCCAATACACGACATCGACCTAACGACCTCACCCCGCCACCATGTCTCAACCCTCTCTCGCAACCTACATTGTGAAGCGGCCATGGCTAAAGAAGATGATGATGCCGCTGTCCAATTGGTACTGCAACGCCGCCGGCTACAGGAAGCTCGGCTTGAGGTACGCACACCCACAAGCCACGCCCGCTCTCAACCGGACAGACTCAATTGATGGAGGAGCTGTATGGATTTGGAATTGGAGGAGGTGCTGATATGCTGTGTCTACAGAGCCGATGATTTGATCCCCGAGGAATCCGAGGCTGTGCTTCTTGCCCTCAAGCGTCTTCCGCAAAAGGAGGCCTACGACCGTGTTTTCCGCCTCCGAAGAGCGTTCCAGGTGCGTTAGATACGCGGGCAAGCGATTGTACCACGGACAGAGCACTATACTGACTCTGCCAGGCTTCGCTCGCTCACCATCTTCTCCCCAAGGCGCAACACACCAAGCCCGAAGAGGTACGCATGTCATGGCACCCCTGCATATCAGCTATTTATACTCATACTTGTGATCTAGGACATTGCATACCTGTCCCCCATCATCAGGGAAATCGAGGCTGAGGCACAGGAGCGCGCGGATCTGGAGAATTTGTCGATTAAGCGGAGATAGAGGACGAACTGCATGGTTAAAGGGAAGGGCGGATGTGTACAATGATTGGAATGGTGGTTTAGAGGGACGAAGTGGAACGCGAGCGCCTGTATATCAGTGGTCAACAATTCAAGAAGCATTATGAACCGAGTTTCCTGCGTTGTGACTGTTCTGGTACTCTACTCTGCAGAATGTTTCCGTACATTACGGACAGGCCTTATAATCAATACCTTTCCAAAGCAAAATTCTACCAAGGATTTCTAGAATCAGGATCTTTCACCAGGTCCATTGTACGTCCAATACTCACCTATCAAACAAGATAAGCGGATTCGAGAACAGTCAAGCTGATGTCCAGGCTCAAATAAAAGCGAAATTCAAAGTCAAGATATTCATCTGAAAATTGTCTCCATTCCATGCAGAGCCACCTGGTTTCTTATATTAATACCCAATCCCATATATCCATATCCATACAAAAGTGCCTTCTCAGCGACAACTGCTCGTCCCTATTTCATCTCACCATATCATCCTCGCAGCTTCAATTGATCGACCGATCGATCCATGAACCACCAAAGCCAGCACACCTCTCATGTGCAAAGAGACAAAATACAAGCATCAAATCAAAAATCAAATCAATCTATTACAGTTCTGCCGTATTACATTTGTGCCGCGGGAACTTCATCCCACGCCGCAGCATCAGCCTTGTGAGCTGCAGGCACGCCTTCCTGCACGCCGCCCATACCAGACCAGATCATTCCATCCCACAGGCAGCAAGTCTTTCATGTGGACAGGACCCGATCTCATGTTCTCAAAAGCCCATACAGACGACAAAATATAACTCCTTCCCTTCCCTTGAAAAATAAGAAGGAAAAAAAAAGGGCAACGTGATATGGAAATCCCACGGCAGAGGGGCAAATATCGGTACAAGAATTCACTCCAGGGCGGAAGCGGTCTGGGCTTGTTTTCCATTCCACCCACCCTTACTCTCCTTTTACTGTCGACATCGCTTCGATATGGCGATTCCAAAATCGGGCTTTCGTGCTTGCTTGCTCCCTCTTCTCATCGAACTCCGTTCCATATATGCGTGAAAACATGGTCGAGAGGATCTGATATAAACTGATCTCTCTGTGCTTCGTATAACGAGATGAATGAATGTCCATTTTTCATTACGCGTTGCCTGGCTTCTCATCGGTATCTATATGCCATACCACGTAGTTAGGTAGGCCGATGACCTCGTAGCCTGCTCTTTTCGCCATCTTTGCGAATCCCTCTGTTTCTGCTTGGTTCTCGAATGCGTAGGCTGGGAAATTAATGCCTACAAAGGGGTCAGTGCGTGATGCTAGCTATTCCGAGATGCTTCATACCTGATCTGTGAACATCCGCCTTGACAACAATATTGACTCCTCCAATGCCATCAAGCTTGAGTTCCTCGTCCTTGTTCAAACGCCAGTCTCCCATTTTGGCCATGTATGTACGGCCAGTATCGAACTCCTTGTAACCTAAAAACTGTCAGACAAAGCAATGTTCCGAAAATCGTGTAATATCAACCCTTACCTTCAACAATAATGGTGTCCTTGTCCAGTGATGAGGCCAGTTTGAGAGCCTTGTCTGATTCGATCCAAGAGTTATAGTCGACTGCGGGGTATTAGCAGCTTTCCTGCGCGTGATTCAAACCTTAACTTACAGCGTCCCTCGATATCCTTGCCATCTCGGTAACGGTGAAACCATACATCTACTCATGTTAACGGAGCCATCCAACACGACAACAGTACACATACTCGGCACAAGAATATCCCTGTTGTGGGCAGTGAAGTCTTCGATGATCTTTTTGGGGCTGTCCACAATGTCTACATCTCGCCAATAAACCCAGGAGTGGGTAGGCTTCAATGCTGCGCTCAGAAGGTAGTTTCGAGCTCTGGCCATGTTTTTCCTTCGGGGTCCTTGAGCTGCATATCCATGTCTTTCCTCGACGGTCTGGGCAGTGACGATACCAAAGTCTTTTTCGACAATTAAAACGCTGTTGAACGGATCACTCAATGTATCTGACGTTTTCTGTATCCGTGCCAATTCAGCGCTCAAGACCGCAAGAGTATCGTCCTTAGAGTCGCCAACCAGGAATCCAAGATCTATCAAGTGATGGGGATACGACAGTTCGGATAGGAGATCGAAATATTTAGGGAGATAGCTCGCAGCATCTCGCAGGGGAGTCAAGATTAATACTCGTTCTTCGTTCGCTGCCGCCTTGTGGGTGGACTTGATGGGATTGAGGTCAACATGTTTGATGGTCGATTCGTTTATCACTAAAGGTTCGTGGTGGTTAAATATGACGGGTGTTTGTAAATGCGCGTTCCAATCGACAGCTTCGTTCGCTGTCATCTGCATTGGAGGTTTCGAGGGCCCCCAACAGTAGAACCTGCGACATTCGAATCAGTAATGAACCATCGTGAGCATTTCCCATAGCTTAGCAGCGCGGGAGTAATGAAAAGGAGCTCTGACCTTTGCATTTCCGATGCCGATGTCCTCACTCCTCTCCATAGCAACAAACAAATCCCCGCCAGCGCGACACATAAGAGAAACCGCGTTCGTGTGAGAAAAACCCATATCGCTCTTGTGGGAGGTAGTTGAGCCTTCGCAGACTTCCACGTAACGCCGCCTTTAGGGAGAAGCATGACGACTAAACCCCCGTGGGTCGCAGCACTACCGAATGAAGGTATGCAATCAATTCGACCCGAAAAGCAGGATACGCCGCTGTAAATAGTGGTCGAGGAGATGTGCGAGCTGGTGCAAGCTGGAGCTGGGTCGTGGGCGAATGGCGGAAAGGGAGGAAGAGAGAGACGAAGGGTGGTTGAGTAGTGAAGAAGTCGCGAGTAGACAGTACGCAGGGACTGGCCGGCCACGCTTTGAGAGGAGCCAAGACCCACGCCGTTGGGGTTAGCGAGCTTTGTAGGTGGGCGAGATAATGTTTTGTACCAAGACTGGACCCTTAGTCTGTTGGCAGCTTTGAAGCGCAAACATTTTCCGCTGTTGTTGTGTTACTCAGTGAGTGCTTTCGTATCCAGAACTTGTGTCTCCTTTGAAGATCTGGTCTCATCGTGTTTCCTGGGGAATCTCTACGATTGACCAGCTTCCGTCTCATTTACGTTCGGAAAGGGGTTAGCTAAAATCACGTGTAAAAATCAAAGATCAGATGGATTTTTTCCACGTTTCCTGAAAATCTTATCTTCCACCCCAGCTTTTGGTCCGACCGTTGGTTTCTTGAAGGTATCTTTGCTTCGTACTTCATTCCTCTATCGGTAAGTGGTTGGTATTCTCTATTTTGTTGCAATTCTCGTCTCGCGCTTTAGCCTTCATCTACCCCTGGCAATAATTTCAAATTCTCCACCCATTTCGTCCCGTCACATCGAGATGCTCAAATTTAGTCTTTTATACCTGCAACCTTTCTTTTGCAGCTCTATTTGAACGTTCCCAATTCTTGCAAGTACACAAGAAGAGCAATAAAAACTGGAGCATTTTCGGAAAAGCCCTGATATATTTATAGATGTATGCAGCCAAGTTCATGCCTGTGGGTCAATATTACAACTCCTGGTTGTGGCGATATCCCCGTATCCCATCTTACATTCTTTCTTGCCTTTTCCAGAGTCTAGTTCTAGCATACGTGACGGAATTCTTTGTCTGCCTTTTCCATACAATCCTGTTCGTCAATTTGCAATCCAGTCACAATGCATTCCCTCCAAGGTTCCCATGTGCTGCATCTTTTCTCTTATGTTCTACACTGCTTTCAAATCCTAGTGTAACACATCAGTTGCTGTCATGACAGCAAAGCAGCTCAACATGGCTTCAAACCCAGTGAGTAGCGCGATGTTCGATTCCCTTTGGAAAAATACAGTCCCATGGTGCTTCCCGCAAGGTAGCGAATCCTACTACAATGAGCAGACAGCTTATCTAATACGAATGGTGTTGAATGCTTGTCTTAACTTACTGCACTGCTGTCAACCATGGTCGCCGACAGCTACACTGCTGACTTCCTCGGCCAGCATGTTGAAAGTTGACATTGAGGATTAATGCCATCGCCCTGTCCAAGTTGTGAGTGGTTGGTGACATTAGTGGTGGATGGTTGATGAAGTCAGGTTAGCTTGACCCTCGCTCTCGCTGTCGGAGAGCGTACCTTTGCGTGTGGACGGTAATCTGCCAATTTCTGGCAAACCATCACCCCATAGCCCTATTTGAATGTCCTTATTATATTTCACAAATTTGAATCAACTGTCCGCGAGATATCCAACGATTGGGTGGACTTGCCAAATATCAACGGCCACACCTGCCGTTAGTAGTGCACTCCCAAGCTTGGATTCGCTTCAGGGGCAGCTTCAAGTGTCTAACTCTATTTGGATAAGCGAACGGGAGCTGCCTGGGTAAGACGGTCTCTTGGGACCTCATTCTTGCTCCGAAATTCAAGCTCCTTATTGTTCAGCTTCAATCTCATCAAAGGATATCGAGCTCATAAATTGTAATTTGTGTGCGAGCCTGTCACAGACTAGCTTTCATCAGCACCATTAAATAACGGATTACAGCACAACGGCGTTCTTGCTTGCAGCAGCCGTTAGGCTACAACCCCTCCCGAACGCACCACGGAATTTTGTATCGACGTCTCTTCATTCGAAAAGAGCATTCGGAATGTCGTCCAGAAGGTCAGCGCGACTCAGTGCAGCTTCTCTTCAGGTCAAGGAGAGTTCTGTTCCTGAAAAGCCGTCGAAGAAGGTTAATACCTCAAGGAAACGGAAGAATACTGGAGCAGAGGCAGTGCCATCTTCAGATGATCAGACTTCGGGCCCATCAACTCCAAAGAGAAAGCGAGCAACACTGCCTGTTCCACCTCCTATGACTCCAACCCCGTCAGCAATAGGATTATTAGCTGCACCCGTGACTTCAAGAGATATGGCACCACCGCCCATCAATCGTCTTGCGTTTCCGAACGGCACCAACGCAACGCTTGTCACGCCTGAAACCCACCGAGTTCTTGCCAATAAGCCTGTTGATCAGGTATCTCCATCCAAAACGTCCAAGGTCAAGACGACAAGCGAGAATATTCTTGACGAAGGCGTCGCGCACCTAATTAAAGTCGAGCCGAAGTTGAAGCTGGTGATTGAAAAGCATCCATGTCACATGTTTTCTCCTGAAGGTCTAGCTGAGGAAATCGATCCGTTTATGAGCTTAACCAGTGGAATTATCTCCCAGCAGGTAAGATTTGATATTAGCCTTCGGGAATGCATTCTCACTCGACGTAGGTCTCTGGGGCTGCAGCGAAAAGCATAAAAGCTAAATTTGTTGCACTTTTCAACACCAACGAGCCAGACGTTGCTCTTCACAAGTTTCCCACTCCTTCCCAAGTTTGCTCTAGCAAGATAGAAATACTCAGAACGGCTGGCCTCTCCCAACGAAAAGCCGAGTATGTTCTTGGTCTAGCAGAAAAGTTTCATAAAGGCGAGCTCACTACCGCTATGCTCTTCACAGCCTCGTACGAAGAAGTTCTAGAGGAGTTGATCAAAGTTCGTGGACTGGGAAAGTGGAGTGTTGAGATGTTTGCCTGCTTCGGTCTCAAGCGAATGGATGTTTTCTCGACAGGCGATCTAGGTGTCCAACGAGGTATGGCTGTGTTGGCGGGGAGGAATGTTAGCAAGTTGAAGGCTAGCAAGGCTGGTAAATGGAAGTATATGGGGGAGAAGGAAATGGAAGAAATGGCCGAGAAGTTCAGACCATATAGGTAAGTTTTTTGTGGAGAAGAGGAACAACGCTAACCCAGATTTGTAGGAGTCTACTCATGTATTACTCGTGGAGAGTGGAAGATGTTGATATCAGTTCTTTGGGCAGCTAAGGCCCCAAAGGCCGAACTTCCTGTCTCGACAATACGAATCGTGTTAGAAAGTCTGCCCAGTGCTAAAATGTACGTTGAAATAAAGGCGACATGTATTACTCGCGAATTTCATGCCCGCAGCCTTCTGGGCTTTGTAGAATTTCAAAAATCTTATTTCAAAATGCTCAATATTTCTGACGAAAAAGCAATTCATTTCCTGTGCTGATCAAATGACTGTGGAGTAAGACTTCGCTATTATCACCGCACAATGAATTTTCGAACATACTGCAGCTCGATTTCAGTTCCAGCTCTATAACTTAGTACAAATGAGCGTCCAGAATGGTGGAGCAGTTTCGGCAAAGCTTTGCACACTTTTGTTCCTGCACTTTGCGCATGCCTTTTACACGAGGCTGCGTAGTCTGAGTCCTCTAGTGAGGGCAAGAGCTGATTCAACCGCCTAGATAACAACGCCTCTTGAGTTTCTATACGAATTGTCGCTCTTGATAGCGCCAATAGGAAACATACATGTCACCAACTCTGGTCGCGACTTCCCCAGGCTGCCACAAAGCTGACCTTTCCATTAGAATAATTTCTGAGGAGCAGCTATATATAACAGTGTAGGTTCTCTCGCTCCCATGTTTGCCTCCGCTACATTACTCTGGCGCGGCTATCTGTGTCTATCACGATGAACAGCGTTGCTTTCTCCGCCCTGTCCTTCTGGACTAATCCTAGCTGTCTTTCTAGCTTTTGTTGCTGGAGTCTCGCAAAACGAGAATGCTATCACCCGAATCTTGAATAGGCTCAAAAGCGAACTGCAGGAAGAGTTCACAAGTATAGTTCTGGACTTACCGGGAGAAGTGACCGGTAGACCCAGTACTGAATTGAGAGAGACAAAAAGGGGTGTATATACTACTGGCTACCAGTTGAGACGCAGGAGAGTATGAAGCAGAACAAGAAAACACATCAAGGAAACGGTACGCAGCTGTCTACTGGCTGGCAATGGGTCCAGGACATCTGCTCTACCGCGTCGACACTTCATCCAGGAATCCTGACTCCGGATCTCTTCATCGTAATGTACAGCGCGTTTACTGGCATCTTGATTTCGTACCTGGTGCCACAATTCAGATTCGAACGTCGACATGTCGGCCAGATATTGATCTACTGTTGGGAGACAGAGTGTTGGGTGTATCAAGCTTGATTGTTAAAGGTACGCTGAAGCTGTGGCGATATACAGAGAAAGGCCCTCGAGTGGCTCTTTCCCTAACATCTACGTAACCTGGATCATCAAATCATCAGATCATCAGCGCCCTGTTGAATTCCATTCCATTTGGTCCACATCAACACACCTCTTGCTTCAATGCATTCTTCGTCAAGGATGTCGTTACCACATTGGCCACAGTCATGGACATCATAGTTACGCAAATCGGGGGTTTCAACCTCTGCTCATGTTACCCACTCTGGGGCAACGTTAATCTCGCCCTCCGCAATGGAAAACCGTCTCCGGAGCTCTATTTTGGTGGATCCATGCTGCATAGCCAGCCATTTCGTTTACATGTATTGGAATGATGTTGTTGATTTTTACACTACTGGTTGCGAGGCAGCATGAGTTTGCGTTCCGAGTTTTACTGCATGAGACGATGGCGTGTCGTATCTTGAGTGGTTTGATGGAGTTGTGCGACTTCCTGAGATTATTGTAAGGTTGGGAGAGCGGTTTGGAAGGATGATGGGGCACCTGTTTGTGAAATTTAAGAATGTGTATCTGAGGGTGGCATGGGGGCCGGCCTCAGTTCGATTATGAGTTGGATGCTGTACAAGCAAGAGATTGAAGTTTCGGTGCTCGGAGAATAGTGTTACGCTCCGGCGTGAGAGAACATCATGCACATTGCTTTCTTGTTCAGGAGCCAATCTTATTGGGTTTCTTAGTTCCTTTCTACATTCCAGATGACGTGCTCATCTCGTTACTCGAGTATGTACCAAGTGTAGCCCATTAGGCAAGATTTGCACGTTGCCATTTCTTTCGATTGATTAAAGGTTTGACAAACATTCTTATGGTTGATTTCCATGAGCTTGGCTCTGAACAATTAGGATATGGGTGATGGACCTATCGGACAATTTCCCCCTGAAATGGAGTGTGAGTAGATCTCCAAACGGTCTGAGTTTATCACATATGGTCAACGGCAACTATTTTGGTGGTGAAACACTGACTATACTAGTCATTCAACGGAATGCCAATTGATCTATTGCATGATTTAGCAAATCCACGGTGCTGTAGAATATATCTACGTTCGGCAACAGAAGGAAAAAGCTATTGTGTGGCGTTTCCAAAAAAAAGATTCAGGTCGCAAGCGAAACCTTGAGGTGCAAGCAACCACGATCTTTATGCAGGAATCTGATATGCAACCACGCAACTTGTGCGTACCCCAATTACGCCGTCTTGGCGCAACTTCAGACGGCAAAATGAATCCGAGCTCTGAAACATATTTTCTAGACATCAGATTATTATATTACGGCGTTGCCCTTAGACATGGCGTCCAGAACATCGTGGGCGCCCACGCATGGGTTGAGAGCGCCAGGCAATCTATATCCCGGTTGGTTGGCAGCAAGGAGGGCATCAAGGACTTTGTGCTATTGAATCTGTTGATACGAGAACTGAACCCATTGCACGCGACGATACCTTCCGGGAGGGCTGGAAGTTTAACTTTTTACATGACAGCCGCCAACTCGAATTTTCTGTAGTTGATCACAATCCGTTGGGAATGGCTGGGTGTTGTGGCCAGGAAGGGAGCCAGCCATCTGCGGAAGCTAAGTGCAATCAATGGAGGAACAGACGTCGTCACGATCTTTGGAACAGAACAGAACAGAACAAAGCAACAGAGACAAGACTCTTGGTTCCCCAGACGAAGCTGCAAATTACGTCGTGTGGATCGTGATAGGGGACAGGACCCCAGTGGCGTTCTTACAAGGAGGCCACGGACCAGGGCAATTTCGAATGAAGACCGCCATGTCTTGCTCGCCCATGGTGATTGGAGTGCGTCTTTCAGATTGTCGTTGTCCTTTAGGGAACCGAAGGTGTGGAGGTACCTGTATCCTGGCGGCTGAAGAGCAGACTTTCCACGGAGTCTCCCATGAGTTGAGCATGGTTGTGCAAGTATTGAAGGTTCCACGGCCAATTGTACGGTAACGAGAGCGAGCGCCTGGCCGTCCCTGTACCCGTCCCCGTCCCCGTCCCAGCCCCTTTTGCGCTAAGCGGACCGATACTGATACAGTAGAATGACCTGCTTGCTCCTGGGCACACCTCCCGCCAGCGCATTTGAGGAATAGCATCACCAGCATGGCGCTCAAAGAGGACCGCAACGACCGCAACAACCGCAACGACGGCAGAAAAGTGGAGGAGAGGAGAGGAGAGGACAGGAGAGGACAGGAGAGGAGAGGACAGGAGAGGCCAGGAGGCCAGGAGGCAAGGAGGCAAGGGACGCTTCCAGGATGTTGAAGCCGAACAGCGGCCCCTGCAGCTTGTGGTGGGCACTGGGCACTGGTGGGCTTCCAAGGTTGCACGCAGATAGGACCACGGCCAGATGCGTGCAAGCGCAAGCTGATCATCAAGAAACTCCTCCATCTTGATTCTTGACCTCCAACCTCGTTCTCGTCTCTCTCTCCACCTGCTCTGTTTCGTCCTCCCTCACTCTCTCTACTTTCCGACCTCCTCTTCCTCCTCCTTCTTCCTAATTAATCCGCATCTTCCTTCAGATATATTGGTCTCGTGCGTATCATTTCTTTGGCCAAAGGACAAAAGTTTTCCGGATACAGTTCTCGTATTTTTCTCTTTGTTCCGTTCCAGTCCCCAGTTTCCCTTCGGCTCGCGGATCCTCGAGCTATCAGTCCCGCTTTCCTCCACACGCCAAAATCAGGACTTGCGCATTGTCGACGACTTAACTGTCTTCGGCTTGCATCTTCTATTGCCCCCATGCTGCCTAAATCATAATATTAATCTCACAATCAAGAGTCTGGTACTCGGTGTCTCGAAGTTCAACTTCTCCGTCCTTGCTTCTATCTGTACGATATTGGAAGAAAACGATTCACTGAGCTGCCCGGAACTCAATTCAAATTGACGAGCTGTTGACTATTTACTTTGACCCGTATCATTCAGCACTGGTTATTCCGCGAAAGGCATCGATCAGAAATTTATACAGCTATTCTTTTGGATCATACATCTGTTGGATACGCCCGAACGAATTTGCTATGTTGGTTATTAAAGGTCTGGCTACGGCCATTGCGCTGGCATCTACGGCAACAGCTTTCTTCCCTTGGTTCCCCGACTATCTTTGTGTTGAAGATCATACTTGCGTTGCAGAGCGTGCTGTGGATGATCGGGGATTGGTAGCAGCAACCCTCAAACTCGTGCAGCGGATACCAAAGGTACTTATATCTTAACACATCTCTTGTCGCAACCACTAACATGTCTTGACAGAATGATTTGCCTCATGATATGCAAATACAACGCCTCGCTGAGCGGTTGACGAGAAAATACCAGCGTGGTACTCCAGCTCGGCGCTTTGAGATGCTGGAGCGGGATGGTGTTGCCAAAAGGACTAATACCTACAATATCATGCCAGCCGCCACTCCCACACAAGCGATGAGTGCTCCAATCGATCAAGACGGCACGGATTTCTCATACTTCACTGAGGTGACCTTGGGATCAAGTAAAACTCTTCTCTACATGCTTCTGGATACCGGAGCTGCCACAACTTGGGTGATGGGAAAGTCATGTACTTCAGGACCTTGCAAAGTTCACAACACATTCGATCCAACATCGTCAACTTCATTCAAAGATATTGGCAAGACGTTTAACATCTCTTATGGTTCTGGACAAGTGGGTGGAAGATTAGGGACGGACACCATTTCCTTAGCTGGCATGAGCTTCCCTATGACTTTGGGAGTTGCTGACATGACCTCTGATGACTTCAACTCTTTTCCGATTGATGGTATCCTTGGCCTGTCACAGTCCAGAGGCGACTATCCCATCTTCCTCGAGACCCTAGTCGAATCGAAGAGCCTGAAATCGAACATCTTTGGTGTCAGCCTAAACCGAGCCGCGGACGGAACCAACACTGGTGAGATCAATTTTGGAGAACCAAATACCTCAAAATACAGCGGCAGTCTGAACTACAACGATGTCTCGAAAGATGCTGGTGGCGATTGGGCTATTTCGCTAGGCAATGTTGGAGTGGGAAGTACACAGGCAAACATCAAGGGGAAGTTAGCTTTCATCGACACGGGGACCTCTTTCATATTCTGTCCTCCCGAAGACGCGAAAGTCTTCTACGCCTTGGTTTCTGGTGCCGAGACGACAAATAATGTTACTTACACTGTTCCGTGCACTACTACAACCGCTTTGACGTTTACATTCGGATCTATCACATATAATGTCGACTCCAAGGACTGGGTCTCACCTATGGCCAATGGAGTATGTACAGGCAATATCTACGGCCAAGCCGTGACTCCTGGGAACTGGCTGTTAGGAGACACTTTTCTGAAGAATGTTTACAGTGTTTTTGATGCAGACAAGGATAGACTTGGTAAGTGACAGGGCGTCATTAACACTTTTTTGAACTTTGACTAATGTCATGATAGGATTCGCACAGAAGAACCCGGTAGCTGCTGTAGTATCTTCCACGGCAACGCCATCGTTTTCCTCCGCTACATCTACTGGTATGGCCACTTCTCCTACAGGACCTGGAAGCACAAGCGCCACCATGACTTCTTCTAACGGGACCCCTACAGGAACCACTTCTGCCACTGGTACCGAATCGTCCACTGCCCCAAAATCTGCTTCCACTACAAGTCCAAATTCTTCCAGTGTGAGCTCCAGTGCCGCAGCTCCACTTTCTCCGGGACTCAACGGTCATGAGACTTCTGGCACTGATCCTGCTGCTGCCCAAACACAGTCGACTACGTCTGCGACCCCTACGCCAAAATCAGATGCTAGACAGCTGCTTTCGACCCTTCTGCCAGCTATATTTGCCTTCATACTCGTAACTTTAATAACCTGATTACTCTTGGTTACTATACCCTCAATTCCAACGCACACCACTCGGTGGTCTCTTTCGCAGACATCGTTTCAGACACCAACATATACCCAAGGCTCTCCCAGCGCCAGGAGAATATTCCGCTACGCTCTCTTTGGGGCTCTCCGTCTTTCGTCGGTTTCACATGACTTGGCAATTCAGCAAGTCACACATTTATGGAGGCACCAATATCTGGCCCCGCCAGTGTACAGTATATCATAGGAGAAGCCTCTGGATCTTCTATCCAAATTCGTAATTATTAGCGCAGCATTTGCTTGAGCGAGCATCCCGGGGCGTGGCCTGCACACCTGGCAAAAATGGCTGAACGCCACGATGTACATTCTAGCGACGGTCACGTACATAATAATTGAACACGCATGAATTTTCTCAAAAAGAATGCCCATTTCCTTTTTCTGTGACATTGCTACAGATTGATCCAAAAAGTAAACATGTCTTGCCCCTGAATTGGAACCCAAATAGTGTCATCGGCCCGCAGATAAGCGAGGGCATGGATCTTCAAGAATTCGGACCTCATCAGCTCCATTGTGTCCAACGTCACCCTACCACAATAATGCTTCCTCGATAATAGCATGGCCAAGGCCAAAGCGAACACCACCCGTAAGGATGGCGAGAGTACAGCAGATCCAGCGCATGAGGAAGACCGTGGCCTCCTATCCCGCAACTCCTCTGACGACGACGAAGACTTAGTGGTACACCCCGGCCGCGACAGCTCTCCAGAACCTCGAACTCCTCGAACTCCGAACCGTGTACGATTTGACCTGCCTCCAGCTCTAGATACAGATGTACACAGCAATGGCGCGCCCCCTCCCTACAACGATACCCCCCTCTCCGGACGCCGCGATCCCCGCCCTCAAGCTTTCGTCCCTCTGCTTACCGACATTGAAGCACCATCGGTCACTCTCGCAGCAAGTCCTTGGGGCGACGACGATGTGCATGAATGGGCTGAGAGGGAACGTCTGCGACCGAAATCAGGGCTGCGGTCCGCATTCATGAATATGGCGAATTCGATCATAGGCGCGGGAATTATTGGACAGCCTTACGCCTTTAAACAAGCTGGGCTCCTGACAGGCATCATATTGCTTATTGGGCTCACAATCACGGTGGACTGGACGATACGATTGATTGTAATCAATAGCAAGTTGAGTGGGAGTAATAGCTTCCAAGGCACGGTAGAGCATTGCTTCGGCAGGACAGGGTTGATTGCCATTTCGGTTGCACAATGGGCATTTGCTTTTGGGGGCATGGTGGCGTTTGGCATAATCGTGGGAGATTCAATTCCGCACGTTTTGGCGGCGGTGTTTCCAGGCTTGGGCGACATACCGGTTTTGGGGCTTTTGACGAATAGACGGGCGGTCATTGTCATTTTCATACTGGGCATCAGCTATCCTCTGAGCTTGTATCGGGACATTGCGAAGGTAGGATGTCATTGAGTTCATAGCGAATAGGAAACTGACAGTTATAGTTGGCAAAAGCGAGTACACTGGCGTTGATCAGCATGGTCATCATTCTAATTACAGTTGTAACCCAAGGATTCATGGTACCGAAGGAGTCAAGAGGGTCTTTCAGCACGCCGCTATTGACAATCAACAGCGGGATATTTCAAGCGATCGGGGTCATATCTTTCGGTTTGTTGTCCCTCGCCTCACCATTTTCTATTTCACTAATTTCTCTACAGCGTTCGTCTGTCATCATAATTCCCTTCTCATCTACGGCTCTCTCAAGACCCCTACGATAGATAGATTCGCCCGTGTAACTCACTACAGCACGAGCATCTCCATGGTAGCATGTCTACTCATGGCTCTTGCGGGCTTCCTAAGCTTCGGCTCCCTCACCCAAGGCAATGTACTCAACAACTTCCCTTCCGACAACATCATGGTGAACATTGCCCGCCTCTGTTTTGGGCTTAACATGCTCACCACACTCCCGCTGGAGGCCTTCGTTTGCCGCGAAGTCATGTTCAACTACTGGTTCCCGGGCGAACCATTCAACATGAACCTCCATCTCATATTCTCAACCTCACTCGTCGTCAGCGCCATGACGCTTAGTCTCATCACCTGCGATTTGGGCGCTGTGTTTGAGCTGATTGGAGCTACGAGTGCTTGTGCTCTCGCTTATATTCTACCCCCATTGTGTTACTTGAAACTTAGTACGAGGAGTTGGAAGACTGCACCAGCTGTTGCTTGCGTGGCGTTTGGTGGAGCCGTGATGTGTATATCACTGGTTCAGGCCGTTATGAAAATGATACGGAATGAAGGAGGTGTAGCACGATGCCAATAGCTAGATGGACGATATTTACAATAGAATGTAAGATACGAAGATACGACTTGTTAACACCTGTTTGTTTGCGTTTGCTACTCCCGTTCTTTCATCTTTGGGGACAATCATCATTTGAACATATTTCCAACACCCTTTTGCTGCCCAGTCAAAGATTGTCTCTGTTCGTCACTATTCGTGGACATAGCTGTTCGATTTCAGCTTAGCCAAAGCTCCGTTCCGCTGCAAGATCGACAGATGACTTCTCGAATTCTCCTTGATATTCTCTCGAGACATTGACGAAAATCCTAGGACGGAGTTGTATCGACTATCCGCTTCTTTATTATCATGAAGTCTACGTTCAATGATCATGTAATTCGCCTCTGCTAACCAAGCGACATGGGCTCACGCTATCTAATCCATAACACCTTTATTGAAGTATTCTGGAGGAGTATTCAGTCTCTTGTTTGACAATCAAGGTGGGGAGAGCTTTGGTCGCTTGCCGCTGTATGTCTTTAACAGCTTTTTAAAGCCAGCTTCTTTCAGGTCCGCGATTGTGAAAACATGTCTGCCCACATGATAGGTAGTAAGAATTCAATATCTGGTTTTGTGGATAGCGGCAGTACTTTCATGTTGGTAGGAGGTACGTTGGTCGGCTAAGTAAGTATTTGCCCTGATTACATGCAGTATATATATGATTGATTGTGGGCAAGAATATCAAAGGGGCAACATTCGGAGGATCCTCAGATGCGTGATGTGAAATACCCCATCGATGAGGATGAGGATGAAAATGCCACAAAATGTTTAAGACCCAATAGTTAGGCGGCTGAGGCTGCTGTAAAATCTCACCGTCGAATCATAATCCTAACTCTACATACACACGTAGAATATGGATCTTTTTCTGTGACCGTCTTCTAGTCTAGACCAATGGTGGAAAGTAAATACTCGGAGAAAGTGTCCAACAGAAATGCTCGTGGCTCATCACAACTTTCTTCTGTCTCACTCAAGATTCACTACTGAAGTGTCATATTTCACTTTCATGGGGTTTCTAGGGTTCTGTTTATATTTAGACAGTGTGATTCTTGTGCACATACCATTCATGATAGTTCCACCGAGTTGTTAACAGCAAGATACTCCTGTTACGCCACCCGAAACTCGAAAGCAAAGTCTACGCTGCAATACGCAATTGTAGAGGTGACAAAAGAAGCACAATCAAGCAGACGCTTTCGCCTTCTTGGCCTTCTTCGTCTTCTTGGCGGTCTCTTCTGGGGCGGCGACCGGAGTGACAGTTGTCTCAACCAGAGAAGTCTTTGACTTCTTGGTCTTGAGCTTCTTCTCGGGAATGTTGGCAACAGACTCAGGGACAGATACTTCGGTGATCTCAGCAGTCTCAATTGTCTTTGTCTTCTTGACCTTTTTGGATTTGGGCTCCGTGGGCTCTTCGACGGCGAGAACGGCAGGCTCCTCAACAACAGCCTCAGTGGCCTTGACCACCTTGACCTTCTTTCCTTTCTTGGGCTTCTCAGTTGCCTCAGAAATTAAGGCATCGATTGACTCGGCAACGTCTTCCTTCTTTGGTGGGACGGTAACTGCTCGACTCTCTTCTTTACTGGTGGTTGAGGGGATGGGTGCAGCATTGCCAGCTTGGATCGCCTTAGCCTTCTTGCCCTTCTTTGATGACTTGGTCGTCTCTTCAATAACAGGTGCAGCCTCAATGGCCTTAGTCTCGCTCTCTCCGTTCGTCAGATCTTCAGGTGCCTTGGGCTTTGCGACACCAGTAGCAGTTTTAAGCGTTGGGGCCTGGAACTCGTAACCGATCTCCTTCAGCTTCTGAGATCTCTTTTCCCGCTTCTCCGTCTCCTTCTCAACTTTCAAGTTCCAGGTCTCCTCCGACTTTCCCTGCTCAAGGTTTCGGCCTTGCATCTTGTTCCATGGAACCTTCTTGAATCGCTTATTGGCTCCCTTGAACCAATCTTCATTGACTTGCTCATCTGGGATGAGCTTGACCTTGAGAATGTGACCAAACATCAAGTAATTGTCCATAGTACGAGCTACGATATCTGCGACAACAGCAGACTCGAACTTGATCCAGCCGTAGTGCTTTCCAGCACCGGTCTTCTTGTTGCGGGACATACGGAGCTGAAGAATCTTGCCAAATTGACCAAAATATGCTCTCATTTCGTTCTCGTAGAATCCATGGGGAATGCGACCAAGGTAGATCACGCCAGGCTTGTCGGATGCATCGGACTCTCTAATCTTCGCTAACCTCTTCTCCTCTTTCTTGCTGAGCTGCTTGCGAATGGGAACTTCTGTGCCCTCGGGGAGTCCGTCGTTGACCTCCTCGTCATCTCCATCGCTCTCGAAACCTTTGAGCATGGCCTTGGTCTGATCATCGGGCTCCGAGTCCGAGTCTCCATCCATATCTTTGTCCTCATCCTCAAGACCAGAGTCCAACTCCTCATCAGCGACGATCTCAGGCTCCACAGGCTTGTCGACCTTCACTTTGCTTGCAGTCTTCTTCGAGGACACTGCCGTGGCTTTTGTAGACTTAGCAGTAACGGCCTTCTTTGCGACCGTGGTGGTAGTTGGAGCTTTAACCTCGGAGTTGTCTTTAGGGGTCTTGGTCTTCTTCACTTTTTCAGGCGCAGCATCCTCGGTGGCTGATGAAATTGTTAGCAGTTGCATTCATTTCTAACTAGACAAGTAATATGTACCTTTGCGCTTCTTCGCTGGCGCCTCACTGGGAGTTGCGACTGCATTCTTAACCTTCTTCACTTTCTCAGCCTCGACCTCAGGAACTGAAGCTTTTCATAGATTAGCGCGGGATAGACTCTGGAACATGATTAATTACCCTTGCGCTTCTTTGATTGCATATCCTTTGCCATTGTGCGGGGTCGTTCAATGGTGCAAATGGTTATGTTGAAGTGGTCAAGGTGGAAACTTTTTTCGAGAGGAAATAAATTCGGAATGGTACTGCCGCCCAAGGCGGTGAGTCCACTGAGCTTGTGATTGTAGCGCCATTCTTACCAACCTCTAGCCTCTTCCCTTCCCTTCAACACAATTTCTGAAGCCAAACAATTGGAAACCCCAATTTCGCTCGACTTGTTTGTGTCTTTACACTTATGCTTACGGTCATATCAACAAAAGGAGACATCCTATCTATGATGTTTGCTAGGCTGACATCCAAAAAGCTGTCCTTCCAATACAGGCTGCTGTGTTGACCATAGGCCATATAGGCCTTTAGAACCTCTATCAAGTAGGTCTTCGAAGTACTCCGCCGCTTCTTGTTATTCTCCAGCCGCGACTTTACCAAGTGAAGTCGTGTAAGCAGAACATGATATTTATTCCGTTCTATTGACATCACTTTCTCGCGTTCTCGCCGCCAACTGGTACTTCAATCAAGGATTTCGCAGTTGACAGATGAGTATATGAGATCATTCTCACATCTCTGATTTACTTGTTCATTTTTATTACTGCATACCTTTCCCAATCTGCCCTCTCGTCAAATCCAACACCAGCGTTGAACTTGATTGGACAAGACAGTCTGAGCAAAAGAGTTCAACCTAGACATCGATGATCCTAACCTCTCTGTCACAACTGTTCTTAAAGAAGGTGGTGAGCTTCCCAATTGGCCAGTTCCTCAGCTTTCCGCTAACATCTACAGATAATACCGGATTAGATATAATGTCAAGCGCTTGTCATTGCTCCTCGCAATACCAAACCCGCTGGTTCGTCCATTAACAACGTCAGACAACTGGCTCAATAATCAGATTTACTGTTCGTTTGGTGTGACTAAGCTCACTTGAATCAGTGATGAAGGCAACGGGAAAGATGAGCACAAGCACTCGATCGTATGGACCTGCTTTTCTCTCATGCTGAGATTCTAGGTGCCCAAAGCTTCTCGCAACACCAGTCATGCAACCCGCAGTTCGTGCCATCGCCACCATTTTGGACGGTGGCCATCTTCCCTGCAGCCGATGGTATTGTGGGCAAAGTCTTCATGACTCAACCCAGCATATCGTTCCTGAATGCATTGGGTGGAAGATTCATGGCGTCGACACTTCTGCTCCAAATCAGCACATTCGGATCTGTCCAGTCGGCACACCAACATTCTGCTATCATGTTTGTGGCAATTCTTCGGGGCATACACGACAAAATGCCGACTCCGGCATTAATCAAGGGCAATGCTCTTTCGCACAGGCTTTTTGCGCCAGGAAGGCTGAAGGCCGCGGAAGAAGAGTCTTATATTCAATTCTGGACTCTAAGGTGAAAGATGATATCGGTGGGCAGTGTCATGAGCGTGTAGATATCGCTGGGTACAGGAATCCAAAAAATTAAAGATCAACAAGCTTAGAAAGACCCGTGGAATTGACATAGACACAGCTGAAGAAATGGACAATGTGAGGTAAATGACTTTCAAGAAGACGATATCATCTCCAGATAGTAGCCAGGTTTCTTGTCAAACTGCATTTGTCTTGCAGAGTATTTTGGCTTCTTCCAACAGGACATGACTCATGAACCGACACGTGCCGTAAATGTTGTGAATGCTTCCAGACGTTGTGCCGTTTCTTTTGGCCTGCGGGCTTGTTGACCCTATGGTAAAGTCTTTCAAGTCAACGATCTTTGTATTACGACAGTGACCTGCCTAATGTACAGAAAAGCCGCACTTGACGTTGGTGACCGATAGTCGCTTAATACGGAGCTAACGTTCGTGGTTTCCTAGAAAGATGCAGACGCTCAGCTGGAACACAAGAATAGAATGACTCCGCAAACTAGCAAGCATGGCATCCAACGGCAACCCATCACACTCTCAGATTTGGGACGATTCATCTCTAGTGGATTCGTGGAATGAGGCTCTTGATGAGTATAAGGTGAGAATATGCGAACCAAGCCACGGCCAGAACTGATCGCAAGCAGAAATACCACAGTATGAAGGCTCGAGGTGAGAGTGCCGAGCAAGTTTTGAAGGAGGCTAGAAATTCGAGCAAGAGGTTGTCAGTCCAGCCAGAAGGGACCAGACTTGACAAATAACTAACTAATCCAGGGACGAGGACGTGCATTATGAAGCAGGTTGTTTAAAGAACCATCCCGCTCAAGATCATCATGCCAAGAAGGAGGCATCCGAAGAAACAGCTGATCTTGACATCACTTCCCACGAAGACCACGTTCCGGTATGGGTTTTCGAACCAGAAATAGTCAAAGATATGGAATGTCGAAACTTCGAAGACCCAGTACTAAGTCTTGTATGTCTTTAGGTTGTGGAACGACCAGAGCACTCAAACAGATCGCCAGCCCTACCCCAGCATTTAGTCGGTCAAGGTGAGACAAACATCCGGCTCAGCCTCTCCTCCGGACCGTGGGATTTGCTAATTCCAGTCGTTTAATGCAGTTCACGATGAGGACCTCAAGAATCTGCTTATGTCTTGGTACTACGCGGGATATTACACTGGACTCCACGAAGGGAAGCAAACAGCAAAGGGAGACAAGCTTGCCAAGCATGAATCATAGGTGGTGGATCCTTCAGGCATGGACTGAGTTTCTGTGACAGTGACAGTTTAGCCATCCGATCGTGGCAGAGCTAAGCAAGCAAGCCTGAATGTCGGGTCCGAGCGACGCTTTGTATCTGGCAGGTGTCAAAGGACATGGGATAGGCTGGACAGTGGTGTAGAAGAAACAAAAGCGTGACTCTGGGACGAGAGATGCCTCGTTTCAGGACGAAGACGACAGTCGCTAGGCGTTCAGCCTGATGTTTGACCTCTTCCCGAGCCTTCTCCGCTTGACACCGGATGAGGTATCTATGATTGATAGCTTGACAGCTTTCACAAGCGAATTTTACATCCATTTTGGATCAAGACCAACGGCCACAACATTATTGCGCGCCGACTGTGTAAAGGAATCGCCGCCAATGTTGACCAGTTCGCTTGGCTGTTTGGTCGATTCTAGCGGCTGCGCATAGCACGTCTCTTGCCCTCTGCTTCTTCTTCCTCTTCTTCTGCTGCTGCACCCGCCCCACGCTCTCCTACTCCTGGATGCCAACGCTTGGGAGGATGAGATGGCAGTCGAGAAAAATCTGATCTCCAGGAACACTCTAACCTTATCACGTCGAAATCCACCTTATTAACCTTGATCTGAAGTTCCGAGACATTGGCGTGCTCGGTTACCCTGGTCGCCAGCGGCTCCGAGACGCTTCTGCAACGAAGTTTAAAACACTCCGCGTCCGAGGGTCTGCCCCCTCGACGACGCCTCCGTCGCCTCCTCCCCACTGCGCAATCCGTGCCCACGCTGGCCCCTCTCGCCCCTCCCATCATCCAGCACTTCAGATAATTTTGTCTCGGGTCACACATCAGATCCGTCCCAAGCACAATGCTGCCCGTTTGGATGGCACCACGTCCGTCCGGACGAGGTGCGCTCCGGCCTGTTTCGCGCCAGGATCTCCTGCAGCGGCCACCCACGAGGATTGCGAGCCGTCCTTGGGTCCAATTTCATGCTCGATTTAATGCCCTTCCTCCCCAGCATCTCTATGCTTTCTTCCTGCTCTTATTCATTCGACTTTGCCGTGAACACACTCTTTCACTCAGTTCTTATTTCCTCTTCCAGCTTTTCTATCATCTCACGAGCAGGCCCTCGCCATCTGGCTAATAGTATATCCTGTCACTTTCGATCACTTCTTCGGCCACGACAAACCAACTTTGATAGTTCAAGCTCTTCCGCAGTGCGGCTTCATCTTTTGCAATACTTCTACTATTTACGACGCCTAGACAAATTCATCATCTAATATATTCATCATGAGATTCTCCGCTATCACCGCACTATGCGCCGCGCCTTTGGCGTTGGCTGGATCACTCCAAGCAGACTTGGTTGCACGAGGGGCACTCGACTCAGAGCTGGTCGTCCGAACACAACACGAAGCACCCAAGGCTGAGGGCGAAGGTGCTCAAAAGGGTGGCAACCAGGTCGTCAACCACGGTTCCTCGAACGCACAAGTGACCGAGGTCATCATTATCTGGATCAACGCTGGAAACAACGCCCAAACCCAGACGGTCACAACCACCATGCCCCCTCCTGCTGGAGCACCAGCACCTATGGCAACACATTTGGTAAGAAGACGAATCGCCTTGGGGAAAGCCAGCAACTAATTTTCGAATAGGTCACTGTTGGTGGAGCAGGTGGACTTGTCTTCTCACCGGATCAAATCAAGGCCAACATTGGAGATATGGTTATCTTCGAGTTCCACTCGCAAAACCACACAGCAACACAGTCAGCTTTCACCACCCCTTGTGATCCTCTCGCCGGTGGAATGGACACTGGTTTCATGCCCAATCCCAACAACACCATCAGCCCAGCTCCTCAAGTGGCTATGCAAGTCACTGTTGACACTCCACTCTGTAAGTTTTCCGAGTTTACCAACAGTCGAACGCGAGGAAGCTAACATTAAACCAGGGTTTTACTGCCGTCAAGCCAACCATTGCGGAAAGGGAATGACCTTCTCCATCAACCCCACGGCAAACAAGACCCAAGCTATGTTCCAACAGATGGCCGTCGCCCAGAAGGGTACTGGAGCACCCGCTGTCATTGTGGGAGGACAACCAGCTGCGACTGCTGCTCCACCAGCTGCTTCTCCTCCACCCCCAGCTGCCGCCGCACCACCCGCGGCAAATGCCCCAACTATGGTCGGAGGAACTGGTCAAATGGCCAACGGTGCATGCGCTTGCTCTTGCCTCTGCGGCGCTGCTGCCTTCCCCAACGCTGCCATTCAAGGTGTCGGTGCATTTGGCGGTATTGCAGGTTAGTCCAACTTTAATAGAATTCCCTCGACCTTTCATGGCTAACGGAAAGAACCAGGTGCCATGCCAATGTCCGCACTCGAGGCATAGATTTAGCAATTTTCACTCCAAGGTGGTGTCTTCACGGAGCGATCCGTAGAAGAAGTGACGAAGCGGTTTCCAGCGTCGCCGTTGAGAGGCTTGACGCGGAGTTTCACGTGGAGATATATATGACAGGCTCGTATGCGAGGATTGCGCTTTAATAGTCCGATGAATGGATATACCTTTATTGCATTCCGCTCGGCGTTCATATCAACGATTTCTATTTTTCCCTTCTTTGTTCTTCTATTTGGGTGGTTCAAACTTATAGACATATCCAAACTTATTCTTCAATGTTTACATGTATATGAACATTTTCCGCATCTGCTTGCTTGCTTGCTTGACTTTCAAAGTGATTTCCCGCCTTGACTCGCCCCAAGCAAGCTTGCTATTTTCAGTCTCTTGTCTCTACCCAGTTCCAGATCCACTTCAAGCGCATGAACTCTGCCACATGACACATCTGATCCTCATCCCAAACGACAGCCCAGCATCCGTATTTGGACCATGTCCCGACCCGCTACAAGTGTCAAGGGTGTCACGGCCGAGCACAAACCCGCAAGCATTGCCTGCAAATTTCCTTGGAGGGAACCCGAGCACCGGAGATGCAAGGCAATGCTAGCCACCCGTGCGCTTCCGATGTATTTCCTCATGTAGGAGATCTTAGTAGAATTTCTATGATACCAAGCCTTACATGTAGTCCCACCCCTTGAGTGGGCTGTTCCTGGAATGGGATCTACTTCCAATTGGAGGCATTGCAAAAGCAGAAGGAGAAGCTAGCTGCCGGGGAAAAAGAGGCAATCCATTCAGGAATGTGATTAAATTTTTAATAAGGGCAGGTTCAACAACTTTCAAGTCCAAATTTGTCGGCGGCTCACACAATCTTCAGAATTGGCAAAAGCAATAGTGTATGCTTCGGGAAGAGGCCAATGGTTTGAAAGTCCCAAGAAGCCACACTTGTTGCCACACGAAAATTGAAATCAAATTGTTTGGGGATTACTTGGACACCTGTATGGGTTTTTCACAGGTGACTATCTCTTATCCATTGGAGCACTGGATATTACCGAGCATACTGCTGTATTTCAGCAGAACCCTCCTCTTGCGAGGCAACTAGCAAGTAGTGATATGGTGGCTTGTCTCTATCCATTTTACCTATGCTTGTTATACAACCAGCAGTGTAGCAGATTCACATATTTGGAGAATAAACAGTTCGTTCTTGGAAGATCCCACGTAAAAACATTCAATGAGACCTACAGTTCATGTAACGAATCCTCATTGCGGCTACACGGTTTGAGAATGATATTCTAGTCAACAACTAGGTCAGCCCCGGGCAGAACTTAGTAACCATTCACTGGCGTTCTCACTCCCACGAGACATCGCCTCTGTTCCCCCAACAACTAATTGTACTACTGCAAATTTCTCGCGAGTGAGGTCCTGTCATCGAATCACGGGATTTCAAATGGATTTCGGTATCGACATCATGGCCGTCTCCATCCTCGTCTCTACAAGTCCACCACAGACGCCCGTCTTCATGATAACCGTCAAGATATTCTACGTTTGAATATCTCTGATCTGCGCAATCTTCCCAACAGGCTTGAACCTGCTTGACGGCGTCTGTGAGTGTGGTAAAGAGACCAATGATACGCTGATCCTTGGCTCTGAAGCTCTCGAACGACACTTCCTTGACAACGTAGACCCGTACTGGGGTTGTGAGGGTACTGTCCGTGGCTTCGGCCGCTGTTGAACTTAATGCTGAAACTATAGACTTTTGTTGTACTTCCACAACCTCGCCTACACTGTCATCCAGGGCTTCTGAGGTATTTCGGATCGAGGGTTCAGTTGACTCGAGATATCTTTTCTGTCTTTTGGCCACAGGATTAGGATACACGCATCCACTATCCTTGCTCCTTCTCTTGGATAATACTGGTACATATTTGGATGTGGTTGCTTCACTACCCATATCTACTGGCCCCGTTGTTACGCAGTTACCGCTCGCGGATTCTCTTTCAGGCCCAACGTCGCCTGGACGTGCCGTCTGGATATCCCCATTACTCTTGGAATCTTCCGCTGAAGCTTCCTGGCCCGGACAGAACGTCCGGAGACACTGTTCAGTTACATCTGGCTGATTCCCAATATCAATTGTCTCATCCAAGATACGACGTGCTGCAACCGAAATATCCCAGTTAGGTCCTACGATCTGCAGCAAAGTCTGATCGACCTCCCTCTCCTTGGGTGGTCTCTCCTGTGTAAGAACGAGACTTTCTTCACCGAGCGTACGTAGGTGATCTTGGGTGAAACTGCGAGCCTCGCGAAACGAAAGGAAACTGCCCAGTATCTCTGAGCCCTCGCTACTTTCTCGGTCTGATGTAGGTTTCTTGATGACTTGGAATATACAGTTCAGTTCTTCGAGATCTTGGTTGCCATGTTGTTTGTCGCGCTTCGATAATTTCTGATACCCACCCCATGATATGTCCGTAGTCTTAGGGCGCCCACTTAGCGACCGTCGATGCTCTGGGATAGTTGGTCTTGGAATTGTCAATTGTGGGTATTTGCCCCGTTTGGTAATCAAAGGTTCGACTGGATGTTCTCCATGTTTTCTGCTCCGCTTGCGGGATTTGGTGTTCGTAGACCACATTGATGATAGTTGATGCGTGACGCAGGTTAAAAGCAGATAATTGAATGTTTGTTTATCGGTAAAGTTTATGTATGTAGTGGCGGAAGACTGTCACACTTTTGGCAAACATCTGGTAACAGATATCTGCACTAGTGACAGGTCTTCAGAGGAAGGAGCGGTGGTCTCCTCCAATAAGACACACTCCGTGATTCTGGACTTGCACTTAGGTACTTATCAATCAACCATGTAAGCTTCTTCTACCTGGTAAGGCAATGTTCTCGGGATCGGGTTACTTCTCTCTAAACCGAAGGTGGTTCCATGATAGAATATCTCCTAGTCCTCTCCCATTGACAAGCCACTTGCGCCAGATCACTGTTGTGAAGGAATTGCATCAAGCTTATATGAGCAGTAATTGCTCTGGCATACATCTTTGGAGTTTTCTGAACGCATGCATACGCATGAAAAGGACATGCTTTCACTCACGGTCCCGTCGAAGAACTCCTGCCGAGCCGAGTCCTGGTGACTTGACGACCATCTCTCAATTGGGCACAGCTCAAAATTTGGTAATCACCCACATTTGAGAGATTTGGGACAGATACGTGCATTTTGCAAATAAAGCCACATTACCTCTCGTCACAACACTACGTCCAAATTGACTTTCACTCTCGGGGAGGACCAGCTAGGCGTGTGCGTATCACTCTCCCTTGCGCCCTTCCAGACCCGAAACCCCACCAACAACCCAACCCCACCTGTCAAAAGCTCCCCGAGCTCCCCCATTCTCACCCCAAATATGTCACTGTGTCTGCTCTTTCGTCAAAATCTCAGAAGCACCTATAAATTCACTTCATTAAAAAGAAGTCCACTTCGTTCTATAACTCAAATCCGAACAATGGCCTCCTCTGCTTCTGATAAGTTCGAATGGCTGGTCATCATGCCAGATCAACCAGGCAAGTTGGCTAAGCGCATGGAGGTTAGACCGTATGTTTACCTTTTTTCAAGGTTCTAGAGAGCCCCTTTATGAGCCTTTGGTAGAGAACGGGGCTGACTTGTGTGTTTAGTGCTCATTTTGAGGGATTGAAAGAGGGTCTTGAGAGTGGCTTCTGGAAGATGGGTGGTGAGTCCATTTGTCCCCTTCCCAACCATAAATTAGAGACTTAATGGCCGGAAGACAAATGTGTGGATGGTTTCTGACAGGTAGTAGGAGCTCTATTGGAAGAAGTTCCTAAAGAGGGTGACGGACTGAAGATTCAGGGTAGCGCAATGGTGGCACTTGCTTCGTCGAAGGAAGAGGTCATCGAAAAGTTGAAGGCGGATACTTATGCTAAAAATGAAGTTTGGGATTTCAGCAAGGTATGCTCTTGTGTTTCGTGAAAAGAAGAAAATATTGACCATAATTGTAGATTCAGATTTACCCATTCAAGTGTGCTTTCAGACATCCATAGTACGGCGATTCTGGCACAGTTTAGACCACACGCCAGATGGTAAATCAGTAAGGCCCTGTTAGTGCCATTTTAAACTGATCATCAACGTTTCATTACAATTCAATCTCATTAAGTCATGCCAGCAAATGCGAGCGGACAACGCAAGCTCCATTGAGGAGTCCATTCAAAGCCAATGATCTCTCTTTACACTCCAGGCCATTGCAACAAAAGTGCCAGCAGAAAATAGAACCCCTCCAGTGAACAGTTCTTTCAAGAACATGATTGGTCTGCAAAATGCCTAGAATAGAGTCTTTGACAGTTATAAGTCATTTTCCTAATTAACATTCAAGGCACTACAGGCAGCGCCGTGGCACTGGGTTACTATTTTAAAGTTCCGAGTACAGGAATAATCCTTTCCCTCCAACTCGAACACAAATTGAAGAAAAATATCCTCCAAGGTGCTCACAGGAGGTGGGCAGGCTCTGCTATTGATGATAGCGTGAGAGCAGAGCCATTCTTACTGCTGAAGTGCTGAACGACTTTGCAGAAACAAGGGATTAGTTCACATTGCGACTGCCGTAGTCATAGAAGCGTAACGAAGGAAGTCATTGGTTTCTGATGAGTTGATGAGATGATTCGTGGAGGATCACTGGTCTTATATGGACTTTGCGATATATTGCTAGCATAAATTTGAGAAGGCTCTTGAAGTGAACAAAGGAGGTAGCAGAATATGATCGCTTAGCCTTGTGGGGATGGCTCTAAATCCAGTTGGCGTCTCGTACATAACCAACAACCAAGCATGGTAAGCATGGATTCAACTAGAGATCAAACTGGCTTTTAACCTTCATCAGGCTAGAATCCACCGAGATGTCTTCAATTAGAATGGGTCATTGGCTGGTCAAAGGCAAGAGTCTGTTGGTGCGAGAGAGTCAAGTCACTGCCGCAAGTATACTGAGGCGTTCAAAATATGTTTTCAGAGTATGAACGCACCAAGAGCTGCTTCTGAACCGAATTCCAGTGGGAAGTGAGTGGTGTGGCGGGAGGGAGGGTCTTCGCAAAGCAAAATCCCGTGCCAACGAATTGATGGGACGCAGTCAAAAAAGCGCTTGTGGATTGGGATTTGCAGACGACTCTTTATCAAGTCTAACTTCTGGAACAAGGTCAGGCTATGAGGAAAAATTGCTGGTAGGAAATGGACGGCATTGGAGGAACTGGACGATGCAGTTTCCGCATAGGCCTCTCGACCGTTCGCCCTTGCTGTTCATTCGTAGCGCTGCCGGACCACATAACCGAAAGTCGAGAAGGCGGAAGCGTCTTGGTGAAGACACACCAGCCAGAATCCTGCATCAATGCAGCGCAGAAACCAAAGCTAAACGACTTTCACACGTTCACACCACCAAAATTGACATCCAAGGTTCAGGAATCCTCAAGAGCTTGCTTTATCTATGAAAGCCTACCCGACCAGCCAAATGTTGCACCGAGAGAAAAACCGTGGCAATGCATTTCAAGAAACAAGAAAGATTAGAGAACCGCTCTAGTCGAAAAGACCGAAACCCATATCCTCGTCTGACTCCTCCTTGGCTGCAAAACACGTCAGTATGGGCGTCCAGATGATCCAAGACCGGGAGAAATATCGTACCCTCTTCCTTTTCTTCCTCCTTGGTCTCCTCAGCAGCGGCAGGTCCTCCTGCGGCACCACCAGCAGCTGGGGCAGCAGCCGCTCCACCACCGGATCCGACGTTCAACAGAAGGTCCTTAACATCCTTTCCCTCAAGAGCCTGTAATTCCAAAATATCAGCACCTGTATCCCACATTCTGGAGCCATTGTAAATCCATTCGTACCTTGGCGAAGAGAGAAGTCCAGATTGGCTCAACATCGTCGATCTTAGCAGCCTTGATGAGGGTCTGTAGCTTGTCGGCCTATGAAACAGTATCAATAACCTTTCTACTTGCAATGATTTCCAGCCTGCGAGCTTTGGGAGGGAATTGGGTCCATACAGTGATATCGACACCGTCATCGGCGAGGACCAACGCGGCGTATGAGACAGCGAGCTCGGCGTTCGACATTTTGAAGTTCTATAAAGTTGAGAATGATAATTAGTAAATGCGCCTCTGGCATAATAGTCCCCATCTTATGCGACTCACCGACAGCGGGTTGGGTTGTCGGATGTGTTTGTTCGTCGTTGAATGACTTTGAAGAAATTCTTGAGGTTGATTTTGCAGTGTGTGCTTAGAGTGGGCTGGAGTTTGCCATTCATTGGTTGTTTAGCGAAACGCTAGTATCTGTGCCTTGTGGCCTGACAGGAAAAGCGGCGTCAAGTGTCCCCCTCCAGGAACAGCTCGTGATATAGCTGTAGGCTTATAAGTCCTTTATATCAGACACCAAATGAACAAAGAGAGATTGTACAGATTTATATACATCTATGACATTACTTTAGAGAGTCCCAGAGGAAACCATTCATCCTAGCTGAGACAATCAAGATGGTTCTTGGGAAGAGCTTCAATTCATCGCTGCTTTATGCTCTCTTCCTGAGCATGGATAAGCCTTAGCGGGGCGCTGATTGTCACCTTCCCCCGCCCTGGATGCGGGCAGATGTCATATGGATATCTCGAACACAGTGCAGAAGCAATCTACAGACTCAACACATACCACCCTCTCAAATAGAACAATTGGCGACTGACCCAGTTCAACTTGCGACATAGTTTTCTAATTTTCATCGTCAAAAATTCGGCCTCATTGTCTGGCACGATGGCGGATACACCGACGATACCCCTCCCTCTGGATCCTAGGGAAAAGCCCATTCTCGATTCTTTGATGAAAGTTCGAGATGAGTTGACCATCCTGAAGCAAGATAGATCCACATACGTCAAGTCTTCAGACGTTTTGGCCTTCTACGATAGAGTGGTGGAGCAAGTCAAGATTCTCAATGAGATTCGCGCAGATAAGCCCCAAGAGGACAATAGAGGCATGTAAAATCTCCGGCGCATTCGCTCCAGGGCTAATGATTGACCGCTTAGTTGACCGGGTGTTGGACGGATGTTTTCAGTTGCTATCCCTCTTCTTCATGACAATTGGGCGAAACAACGAAGCTCCAGCAGCCTACGCCCTGACCTCAACAATAAAACGATTACTGGCACACTTGAGGGAGGTAGACCTGTACTCGGAGAAGGATCTTACCCACTGTTCGCATACTCTGGAGAGGCTACGGAAGATTGTTAAGGATGCCGAAGGGGGATATTCGCCATATTTCATTACCCTGCTCTCAAATCGTGTTGAGCTGTGTCAGGCGACACTTACAGATCTTCAAAACAGACTCGACAGGCTTGGGGGAGACCTTCTTTCGATTCACGAAAAGCTCATCTCTATCCTCCGCTCTATTTCCCTGGCAAACACAAAGACCAAGGTACATCGAACTTTCATTACTATGCTTACCGGATATCGGATGTGGCGTCGGCTAATACTTCCGAATTTAGTTCTCAACAACAGAAGTCGAGAAACTGCAAGCTCAACTGAAGGAAATCGATGCTATGCGAGTTGATGGTAAATTTGTCACTGCAAGTGGAGAAGTACCGATCGGAAATGAAGAGACCTGTGAATTGTTGAATAAGTGCTTACTCTGGTCGGAAATTGTTCTGCAACGGTAATATCTGCGAGAGCTGTTTCTCCGATTACAGCTGACAACTTTTAGGAAAGGAAAAATGGTAGAAAGCTTCAACGAACCGTACCAAACTCTGATCGATATCCGGAACAAGCTCGAGAAGTTGTCACTCACACAAGCCTGGTCTTTGCGAGAGACTGATTTGTACGACTATCAACGCCAGTTGGACAAGATTGACGAGAGCCGCATTGATGGAAATTTCGTCGATGCGGATGGTGTATTTGCCGAACTTTACGTGCAAAGAGTACGTTTTGTTGGATGTTTACGGAGCTTCGCTAACATTGTCAGACGCTTCTCTACCTCATCAGGCGAAGTTATGCTTACATTTACTACCTGATGGTCTCCTCAGAGCCAGTCTCTGAAGCTCTCCTACCAGTTTACAACCAACTGCAGACGCTGAGAAGATGTCTTATTGAAGTGAAAAACTCGGGAGGAGTCAGCTCACCACGAGAGTTGTATCCTTACAGCATGAAGGTGACATCCCAGTGATCCTGAAGTTGAATATTACTGATGCCATCAAGCTCAATTCGATTGACAACATGAGAGTGGATGGAAAGTTTCTAGTCGGCAAAGATATTCCAGAAGGCCAAGGAAGTGTGAACGACTTACTGGCAGAGTGCTTTGAATTGAGTTACGAACTTCGGGTTGCAGCCGAGACTGAAGGTGAAGATTGAGCGACGATAATCAGTCACGGCGTTTGGGGAACGGAGGCGCTATGGTACTTGCTCTCTGGGTTGCTATTGATTAGCAAGCTGTAACATATAGCAGCGGAACTGGTAATTGGCTATCTGAGGTCTGGATGTTACCATATGGGTGGTGTGGACAAGGATCTGGGGGTGTAAGAAAGGCAATTTTGCAGCCACAGTTACTTAATGCGATAATGCGACTGAAACTAAGCAACCCTTTTTATATGTCGAAGGTTTCAAAAAGAACGTAACAATTCGAAAGTTGTGGGATTCAAGGCAGTTGAAATGCTGAAAGCAAGAGCTCCGCTGTGAGAAGCTAGCCTCTTTACACGAAATCGGGCCGCCGCGTCCACAAGCGCGTCCCACTGGCCCCAGCCTTCCTCCTTCCTCAAACATTATCGAGCTCAACTCTGCCTTCTACATCCATCAAACCGACCACCACGAAGATGTTCAGTATGCTCCCTTCACATCCAAAAACATATGTTCAATCGAACCATTACACGCCACACAAACCATCACCACTTTCCTCTTCGCCACTGCGCAACACCACTCCATCTCCTCTCTCTTCACGCGATATAAATGTCCAGTCTGCACGCGCGCAACAGCAACAAGACGCAATAATGTCATCTCCCAGCAAGAATTCGGTGTCACCTCCTCCATCGCACTTCAACTTCAGCAATACAAACCTCATCTTCACCACACCTCCCGTACATACCCAGAAGAACAAAACCACCAATGCGAACTCAAGCTCATTGATTTCCCCCCCACCAAGTAAGAGAGAGAGCACGTACAGCAAGCGCACGACGAAACCCAATCCGTTGATGAGCGGACGTGGAAGTGGAGATGAGGGTAGGGAGACGAGGCGAAAATTGTTCTTGAAGCGGGTGAGGGAAGGGAGTGAGGACAAGAAGTGGGCGGCGAGAGGCGGCGATGAGGAGATTTTGAGGTGTCTTTGGGTGGCGGAGGAGAGGAGGAGGGTGGAGAGGCAGAGGAGAGAAGCGATGGGAATTGAGGTGCCCATGGAGGAGGAGGGTGATGTTGAAGAGGAGAGGCTGATGAGTTTAGGTGAGTTTGGTGAAGCGTCAAACATTTTGCGATAGCATGAGGCTAATTTGACACAGATGAGGTCATGGCTGAAGAGGTCGCTATGAGTGAAGAGCAGGAGTTGGAGGCTATGCTGGGCAGCATGGGCCCTGAGGAGAGTGCCTTCAATTATGGCTCGACAAATTCGAATCCGCTGGGTGTGCTCTTCGAGGACATGGATACAGTCAACCGAACTTCAGCACCTGCCGACCAGCAATCAATTTATGGGAGCGACGATGACGAGTACGATCAATTGTTCATGGATGTGATTGAGCAAGAGAGTAGGACGTCGAGTCAACAACAGCCACCTGATTACGTCCAAGACGATGACATGATGGATATGAGTTAGACTCCGTTTTTTATTGTTTGGGTTTCATATTCTGTACATCTTGAGCGTAGGCGTTAGGGGACTTTTTGGTTCACCAACGGATGGGCAGGCAATGGTGTCAGGTGTTTGTGACGTCCTGGATTACCTGTATCACATTGTTCAGATTCGGGTCACAGATAGATTTTTAAGGGCTTTTTGGTAGTAAGGCTTCTTCATTGTGTCGGACAGCCTTCTTCAGGAGCTCCAAATGCTTCCTGTGCTGCTGCCATATCGCCCACCAAGTCTGGAGGTGGAGAGCCAGCTGCTTGCATCTACAAGATGTTAGTTAAGGTTAAAAAAATGAAAGATTGGGGGCAGCAAACCTTTTGCATCCTCTCCACGATATACTCTCGATCCTTCGAATTATCATCCGTATATGTCTTCGTCTCGAATCTCTTCACAATCTCGCTAACGTAGACCTGCTGCTCCTTGTACCTCTTCATATCCGCCGCATCTACCTTTCCGTCATTCTCCTTCATCCATGCTGGGAACTTGTCATCTAGCTCCTTCATTGGCTCATACAGAATCTCCTTATTTGTCAACTGCTCCATCATACCCAGCAGCATCTTCGAGAACTCTTCTTCGCCGCCCTCACCATCCAGCCCTCCAGACTCCATGGCTTTCATCATTTGGGCGAGGATATCATCTGTACCGTCTGATGCGGCGGCAGCCGTAGCTTGATCTCCGCTGTTCTGCATGCGCTCCATAGTCTTCTTAATCGTTTCTTGAAAAGATTCATCGCTTGGTCCTGCTTTGGCGGGCGCTGCTTTAGACGAGCTTGATGTTTCTTTCGTAGCTGTAACTGTAGATGGGGATGAGGACGAGACTACTGCAGTGGCAGTTGCGTCGAGCGCTGCTACACCACCGAGTTCCTTGAGCATTTGCTCGAGTTGTGATTGCATGTCTGGAGAAGTCTCTAGCTCGCCCATCAGCTCTGCCATCCCGGCTTGCAGTTGTCGCGCGAAGTCTTCATCTGAGATTCCATCTGCGATTGGGTCGGTGGCTGTGGGTGCTTTGGTGGGCTTGCTTGCTGAGGGGGGTGGTTCGGGTTTGGAAGGTGTAAATTCGTCGAGCATGTCTGCAAATACTATCAGCCAAGTATCGGTCTAGAGGGAGAAGATTGAAGACAGTACCATCTAAGTCATCCAAATCATCCTCATCCGGGTCTGGGACTTCTTCTGTGGATGCGACATCTTTCTGTGAAGGTGTTGCTGTCGTTGGTGCGGGGTCTTTCGATGCTAAGGCTGGCACAGTTCCTGCTTCTTTCTGGATAACCTTGCTTGAGGTCTCTGCGAGACCTTCAAGATCCCCTGGTTTGGTCTCCATGGTATTATAGTGCTGTCTATGCGCGCGGGCAGTTCTTTGTTCAACCCTTGAGAATAGCTTGTGATTGAGACAGGGCCAGATGTTTGTGCGGATAGAGCCGCTTAGTATGGATTGCAAGCTGACTTGGACTGTGTTTGTTCTCAAGTGGGAGACTCTTGAAAGAAAATGGGAAATTGGCAAATTGAAAATGGAAAAAATAGAGGATCAGACTTATAAAGCAAATATTGAGAGGTGAAGTCGTGGGGTGCCGTGAATCACTGTTGAGACCGAGGCATTCAACAAGCACCCTGGCTCATGCCCGCACCCGCCAACCCCCCAAACTTAGGTAGGTACGTTCCAAACTCAGGGACCCTCGCTTCTCCAATCAGGCGCATCTTTGGCGATTACAGAGTAAAATCTAGAACCGCCACGAAGGAGGAAGGCACCTTCTCTCTTTCTCAGCCTCATCCACTCGACGACCGATCCAGATACTTCGGTCTCCAACTTCCACAAACTTTTGTGTTGAATCAAGATTAAAACCTTCACATCCGAAGTCTCAACTAAACTTTCACGAGTTTGAGTTCGGATTCACTATCTGCTACTCGGACAGACAAAAAGATATCTCAGCCTCATCTTGTTTCCGCGAAAACGACAACCTCGAAAATCACACAACAACTGCAGAACCTTCAACCATGGCGCTGTGCCAGAACAGACTCCAAGAGGAGAGAAAGCAATGGAGAAGAGATCACCCCTTTGGTTTCTATGCGAAGCCTCAGCGCAACGCCGCCGGTGTTCTTGATCTAAAGGTTTGGGAGTGTGGTATACCCGGCAAGGAGAAGACGATGTGGGAAGGTGGTTTGTTCAAGCTCAGTGTGACCTTCCCTGATGGTAAGCTTCTTCCCTGCGTTGTGTACTCAGAAAAAGAAGAGAAGACTAATATACAAGACAGAATATCCAACGAAGCCTCCAAAGTGTATACTTGACCCCACCACCTTACCTTCTAAATTCACGGTACTAACAAAACTTAGGCAAATTCGTTCCTCCCCTCTTCCACCCCAACGTCTACCCATCCGGCACAGTTTGCTTATCCATCCTGAACGAAGAGGAAGGCTGGAAGCCGGCTATTACCATCAAGCAGATCTTGCTCGGTGTCCAGGACCTTCTGAACGACCCCAACCCCGAGTCACCAGCTCAAGCCGACGCCTATAATTTATTCAAGAAAGACCGCGCAGGCTATGATGCTAAGATCAAGAAGATTGTGAGGGACCACCCCGCGCCTTGAAGAAACAAAGTGCGGAAATGAACGTCTCATGGGGCAGAAGAACTGGTCCGTCTCTTCGCGGAATTGAAGTGAGTGCATCGTACGGGTGGAACAATGAAACGCGGGCGGGATTGCGAGCATGGCGTTGGGCGGTGTTTGCAAGGGGTTCGACTTTCAGACTTGAGATATTGAGGCTTTAGGCTGCTTGCTGCTGGAAAGAGCTGCAGTCGATTGCAGAGTTACACACGCGACACCACAATAAGGCACCGGCTTCTTTTTACGGCATGGATTTTCTCCCCAGACGGTTTGCGATATGGGATTAGATGAGCTATGACAATGAATATGGGATTACGAGATTGTGGTTTGTCATTGTTATCGTTGTTTCGTCGCTATCTGTTGGAGCTAAAGCCAGGCCATGTGTTGATGTGCTGGTTGTGTGACTGACTCCTGTTTCTTTCCCCTCCATCCCACGTCGCTGCAACGGAGTGTTTTGACCTTGAGCCGTCGCTTACAGTTCACAACCCGCACCTGGTTGTTTGCTCCCTAGACCCCCATTTCGTGAGGTGCCGCAAAGGGGGCAAATAGAAACGCAGAAAGCAAAGCCTTCCAGAAAGTTGGGGCACCCATCTGACCTTGCCTCGTCTGCCAGTGAAAGTATTCGTGGTTGGGATGACACTGAGTTTGCTAGCCAAGCCTCGGGAGTGGATGACCTGTGCCCGCCCGCATTCGCCCTGCAGTGGGCTCCATTGTCCCACCATGAATTGCCCCTGCCCTGCCCTGCCCTGCCCACCATGCCCTTGCCATTGCCTTATCAGACGTCAAACCATGCGACAGGCTGCCGAACATCGGCGTTAAATTTCACCCCACCACTATCAATAAATTTCGAGGGAGGGGAGTCATAATCCCATTGCTTGTATCGGGATTCGGGACAGACTACTTATACAACTGTGACCAATACAATTTCTCCGCATATAATCATACTCACTCTGGTCTTCTTCAACCTTACATTGCTTTCGATCTTCCAACAGTCAATCAATTGCTACTGAATTGGATTGTGACCCCAGTCTCCCCCACCGCCTCATCAACACTCCACCAAAATGTGTGGAATCGTGGGCTGCCACCATGTTCCCGATGCGAAGGCATTCAAGCCGACGGCATTGAAGATGGTAAAGCAATGCCGCCATCGCGGTCCAGATTGGTCGGGCAGTTTTGTGGCCAACAACACCAGTGAGTCAATTCGAAGACAGAGTGGCTGTTTTGGCCGTCACAGAGTACTTGACTGACTGACTTTCCAGTCCTTGCTCATGAGCGTCTAAGTGTTGTGGGTGTTGACAGTGGAGCGCAACCTCTTACCAACCAGGACGAGACCATTGCCCTCGCTGTCAATGGTGAGATCTACAACCACAGAGTCATTCGGAAAACCTTGACGACCCCATACCACTTCAAGACTCACTCCGATTGCGAGGTCATAATACCCTTGGTACGTGAACATACACACTTCTAGATGTTAGATTATATGCTGATATACTGCCAGTATATGGAGTTTGGTCTCGATGCGCCCAAGCATCTCGACGGCATGTTCTCTTTCGTCCTCTACGATAAGGCACAAAACCGCACAATCGCTGCGCGTGATCCCATTGGAGTTACAAGTCTGTATCAGGGATGGTCGAGCAAGATGCCAGGCGCAGTTTTCTTCGCTTCCGAGCTGAAGTGTCTACATACCGTTTGCGACAAGATCATCTCGTTCCCTCCAGGACACATCTATGACTCGAAAACCGACAAAACGACCAGGTATTTCCAGCCTTCGTGGTGGGATGGTGCCAAGGTTCCTTCTACACCACTCGACCTGAAGCTGCTTCGCGAGACGTTTGAGAAGGCTGTCCGAAAGCGGTTGATGGCTGAAGTTCCTTATGGTGTCCTGCTGTCGGGAGGTCTCGATTCGAGTTTGGTTGCTTCTATTGCACAGCGGGAAACTCTTCGATTGAAGGCCATTGCTCTGAAACAGATGGAGACTGCCAACGGAAACGGCGAGACTATAGGAGACGAGGACAAGGGTGAAGGTCTGGTTGGTATTGACGATCATGACAAGCTCTCTACCGTCACATACCTGCCACAACTCAACTCTTTCTCAATTGGTCTTCCTAACGCCCCAGATAGCAAGGCAGCGAAGGAGGTCGCCAAATTTCTCGGAACCAAGCACCATGATATGACTTTCACTATCGAGGAGGGCTTGAACGCCCTCACAGATGTTATCTATCACTTGGAAACTTTCGACGTGACAACTATCCGTGCTTCTACTCCTATGTTCTTGCTCTCGAGAAAGATCAAGGCAATGGGTGTAAAGATGGTGATGAGTGGTGAGGGAAGTGACGAGATCTTTGGTGGATACTTGTACTTCCATGCCGCGCCTGACAAGAGTGCTTTCCACCAGGAGTGCGTTCGCAGAGTCAAGAACTTGCATTTGTCTGATTGTTTGAGAGCCAACAAGTCAACTATGGCATGGGGTCTTGAGGCTCGTGTTCCTTTCTTGGATAAGGAGGTTAGATATCCAGCAAATGTCGTTCTGGTGGATATGTACTGACATACAAATAGTTTTTGGAAGTTGCTATGAACATCGACCCTGAGGAGAAGTTGATCACGAAGGACAGGATCGAGAAATACATCATTCGCAAGGCCTTCGATACAACTGATGAGCCTGGAGCTCAACCATACCTACCAGAAAACATTCTGTGGAGGCAAAAGGAGCAATTCAGTGATGGTGTTGGTTACGGGTGGATTGATGCTCTGAAGGATACCGCCGAGGCCACGATTACTGATGAGATGATGAAGAACCCAAAGCCAGAATGGGGCAGTGATATCCCAGATACTAAGGAAGCGTACGTACCGAGTATATACCTTGTTTATGATCGCTGACAAAGATTAGTTACTGGTACCGAACGATGTTCGATGAGCATTTCCCGCCATACTGCGCAGATACTGTCATGCGATGGACTCCTACATGGTCAGATCAGACTGATCCTAGTGGAAGGTAAGGAGAATATGTGACCCTCCTGAAAGATCGATGCTAATAAATGAACCAGAGCAATTGCCATCCACAACCAGAAGTACGAGACCACAAAGTAAGCATCTCTTGCTGGACCTTGGTCTTCAGAACCTGATAATATCTGTCAAATTCCTTGCGCCGTTGATCATTTTGGGAGTTCCAGGTACCTCTGGCATCATTCTCGGGTTCCTTCTTTCAATCTGGATGGCGTTGCAGTTGCATGAAACTAGGTAGATTGATACGAGTTGTTTGTAGTAGATAGAGTAACGGTATCTGGAATAGAAGTCTGACTGCCAACGTGCTGGACGCATGAATGTTCCAATCGATGATCCATGACAAGTCGACCTTTGCATATCGAGAAAGTCGTGTTTCCAAGCCCCCTTTTCGTCAGGTGCTCCATCGCAGGCCCATTGAAAGTTCGGCCCAATCAGCACCCCACGTTTTGTCTCATCATCGGGTGGAATCGTGCGCGCATAATTTCCGCCGTCAACAACTTCAAAGTTCTTCTCCCAACCGCTAACATCTCCAACTCCATTCCTCCAACATCAATCGCACTTCCCCCAATCCATCAATCTCTCTCACTACCATCAAAATGTCTGTTCCAGCTTTCTCCGATATTGCCAAGTCGTCAAACGACGTAAGTGTACCTCCGGGAGCTCCAGAAAGCTCCATCTCGAATTTGATACCGAAAACACAAATTGACCATCTGCAGTTGCTCTCCAAGGACTTCTATCACCTTACCGCCACTACCTTTGAGCTGAAGAGCTCCACTCCATCGAATGTCGGCTTCAAAGTGACTGGAAAGTCCACACACGAGGGATCGAACAGCGGGCTCGTACGAGAAGCCCCTTGAAGCAGATGATGGAGGACCACACTGACTGGTACTACAGCTTGAGGCCAAGTACGCAGACAAGCCATCCGGTATATTTTTCAAGCGATTTGTGGTCTATTCCGGATACCCCCACCGATTCAATCCCATCGGTTTTCTGGTAGACATGTGTCCAAGAGGACAAACGCTAATGTTTTTCTATCGTCGCACAGGCTTAACGCTCACCCAGACATGGAACACTGTCAATGCTCTTGACACCAAGATTGAGCTCAACGACGTGATCGCCAAGGGTCTCAAGGCTGAGCTCTTAGGCTCTTTCCTCCCTGCCACCCAGAACAAGGGCGCAAAGTTCAACTTGCACTTCAAGCAAGCAAACTTCCACGGCCGCGCATTCTTCGACCTTCTCAAGGGCCCAACCGCCAATGTCGATGCTGTGATCGGTCAGGACGGCTTCTTGGCTGGTGCTTCTGCTGGTTACGATGTCCAGAAGGCTGCCATCACCAGCTACTCTGCTGCTGTCGGATACGTTGCTCCTCAATACACCGCTTCCGTAACTGCTGCCAACAACTTGAGTGTCTTCTCTGCTGCCTACTACCACAAGGTCAACTCCCAAGTTGAGGCCGGTGCTAAGGCCACCTGGGACTCCAAGAGCGGAAACCAAGTCGGTCTTGAGGTTGCCAGCAAGTACCGATTGGATCCTGTCTCATTCGCCAAGGTAAGCACACCCAATTTACAAGCGCAATTGGGCATTGCTAAATATATAAAATAGGTCAAGATCAACGACCGTGGTATCGCCGCTGTCGCCTACAACGTCCTCCTCCGCCCTGGTGTGACCCTCGGTCTCGGAGCCTCCTTTGATACCCAAAAGCTCGACCAAGCCACCCACAAGATTGGTACCTCCTTCGTCTTCGACGCATAGATTATGCATAAAAGATAACTTAGGGATTGGGCCACACAGTACGATAGACGGAGACAAGACAGTTGTTTCAGCGGAGTTTGCATTGCATAATTTGCGCGAGACGGACGGCTTGTACGTGTACAAATGATCTGAGATATCCAACCACTTCTATTTCTTCTATGTGATATCCTCCTTTGCCACAAAGTTTGCCGGCAGTATGAAATCCGAGCTTTCATTCCCTCATTTCTCTTTCTTTCTCATATTCTCAAACAGCAGACTGGGCACCAACACCCCCAGACTGATGATTCCCCCCACGAAAAAGAAGTTTGCCAACATGCTCCTCGGCATCTCCCCCGCCGGAACCTGCCCATCCTCCATCCCCCTCCTCCTCTGCCACCTCCGACTATGGTTCTCCTGCGTGCGATAATGGCCGTCGCGATCAAAATGCGGCACGTCATGCGTCTCATCATGCCCCCAAGGCTTCTGGCCATGTCCCATGCCCGCTGCCCCGGCCGGCGACTCGGCATGCGAATCCTGTGCTGCCTTGCGCTTTGCGCTCTGTGCCCCCCATCCTCCTGAGCGGTAGAAACTTGGTGGCGGGCCCTGGAATTGCGTACGGCGTCTGCTTAGGCCGCTGGCGGGGCGCCCACCTGCTGGGCCTGAGGAGTGGTAAGAGCCATGGGGTCGGTGGTGTGAATTGCTGTCGGGTGAGTGCAGATTGAGTGAGCGATCGTATTCTTGTCTCTTTGCTGGCGTGCCGAGGGTGGCGTAGGCGTCAGAGATGGCGACAAAGCGAGAGGAGGCTTCAGGATCATTGGGGTTCCGATCTGGGTGGTGGGTTTTGGAGAGGGCGTAAAAAGATCTTTAATTTGTGTTAGATGAGATGTTTTGTTATTATGCCGACAGCGGAGCGTATGCACGTAATGTGATTCCAATTGAGCTGCCAGCTTCAATACTGAGAGGCGCAGTATAGTAGATTGCCAAATAAGACATAGAAAAGATCAAACGTACTTCTTTACCTCAGCTGGTGTAGCTCCTGGCGACACCTGTAAAGTCTCATAGTGATTTTGCTGACTACCGCTCCTCCTCACAGCAGTCGAATGAAAGGATCGTGAAGTTTGTACAAAGCGCGTGGCGCACGGGAAGGAAAACGAGCGGAGTGGCATTCCTCATCACGAATGAACTTTCCTGACCAAACGTGGAGAAATCTGTGGTTGCAGAATAGAGAAAAAGGAAAAGAAGAAGTGTTGAGCTGCTGTTGATCTTGAAGCTGGGACGAGACAAGTGACGGCATGATATTCGGATCTGCTCTAGGCTAGGAAGGGCTAATTTGCGGGCACTAGAATGGCTAGTGCCACCCTCAAATTTTTGGGAAGCCTGTTGATCGATCCGCTAAAGATTGCCTTTTGTGTCCCACAGTGTTTAATGCCTAGAACCCCGCTATTGGACTTCGAGATTTCATTTGGTAGCACGAAATCTTTTCCCACTCCCTTTGAGTATCTGAGGGATTGAGAACGCTACAGGGAGATTTGTATACACATATCAGGGATCATTCAGAGGGAAAATCAACTGGGCTTGGCTCTGCAAGACACCATGGCCGCGCAAACTGCTGATGCTCTTGCCAGCTTGAAGCGTAGGACGCCCCGAATTGTCCAACATGGACTGTACTGATGGCCACACAGTAAAGGATCCGGAAGCCGTCAAAGACTCAACGACCGCCACAAAAACCAACGGTAACGGTAAAGTCCCCGAAGCGGAGGATTCGGACGACGATGAAGACGAGAGGGGCGCGGTTGGGGAAGGCGGAGCAGAGGGAGGGGCAAAGAAGAAGCGCAAAAGGAAGAGGAAGCCAAAGAAGGCTGGTGGCGCCGGTGGCCTCCCAACGAAGCAATCGGATCCTCCGCGAGTCCTACTCTCGAATCTGTTCCCCAGTGGAGAGTACCCGGTCGGAGAGGAGGTTGAATACAGAGATGAGAATCTATACCGGACAACCAATGAGGAAAAGAGACACCTGGATCGCATGAACAATGACTTTTTGCAGGAATATAGACAGGGTGCTGAGATTCATCGTCAAGTGCGCCAGTGGGCAGCGAAGAATATCAAGCCAGGACAGACTCTGACAGAAATTGCTGAGGGTATTGAGGATGGTGTAAGAGCCTTGACTGGACATCCTGGCCTAGAAGAGGGAGACAATATCAAGGGCGGTATTGCCTTCCCAACTGGTGTCAACTTGGACCATATTGCGGCGCATTACAGCCCCAATGCTGGAAACAAAACGGTTCTCAGCAAAGACAATGTCATGAAGGTTGATTTTGGAGTTCACATCAATGGCCGAATTGTGGACAGTGCGTTCACCATGTCATTCGACCCGATGTATGACAACCTCCTGGAGGCTGTGAAACAAGCAACCAACACCGGTATCAGAGAGGCTGGAATCGATGCTCGGCTGGGCGAAATCGGAGGTATGATTCAAGAGACCATGGAGAGCTACGAGGTCGAGATCAATGGCGAGACTTTCCCTGTTAAGTGTATCCGGAACTTGAACGGACATGATATCCGGCAATGGCAGATCCATGGTGGAAAGAGCGTGCCGATTGTGAAGAGCTCTGATCAGACGAAGATGGAGGAAGGTGAGGTGTTTGCTATTGAAACATTTGGTAGTACTGGAAATGGTTATGTTAGAGATGATGTAAGTGCCGTGTGTGAAATCTGTCAATTTGAGGACTAACGCTGCGTAGCTGGAAACTTCCCATTATGCCAAACGAGCAGATGCTCCAAACGTAGCATTACGTGTACAGTCTGCGAGCAAGCTGTTGAATGTCATCAACAAGAACTTCGGAACTCTACCTTTCTGTAGGCGGTATCTAGACCGTCTTGGTCAGGAGAAGTATCTGCTTGGAGTAAATGCTCTTTTTTCGGGTAAGTGGTAATATGCTAATATCCTGTAGCTGAATAGCTTGGTCACTGCTGGTATCGTGGAGGCATACCCACCTCTTGTTGATAAGAAGGGCTCGTACACGGCGCAGTTTGAACATGTAAGATGGTCCTTGGGGAGTCTTTTCTGATATCTGCTGACAATATTTGCAGACCATCGTACTCCGACCCAACGTAAAGGAAGTCATCAGTCGAGGCGACGACTACTAAAAGTATTACTACTAAAAGCATTGACAGACATCTACGGGGAGTTTAAGAATGATGGACGAATTGATGATTGCTTGAAAAGTGACAAATTGGAGTTTTCATGACCACAAACGGTTATCTATGTGCGGGTGCATCAATGGATGGATAGCTTCTAGATTTCCGAACGAGAAGTTGAATTTGAGCACCAATTGCAGTATCCGATGATCTTGCAATTGAATGTGTGATGTGCTCTTGGAACCGAGTCGACAAGACCTGATGGCGACAAGGTTGGGATAAAGACAAAATGATAATACAAGAAAGTAAACAACAGTGTCGCGAGGTCTTGATTCCGAGGGGGGGCTTATACTCGCACTAGTTCTCATTTCGGTGCTTCTGCTCTACGACCTTTCCTCGTGGACTTGTTCGGCGAGCCAGACCTTGACCATGAGCACAATTGCAACTTTACCTGCATCACCAGGAGCGACTACAGCTCATTGGAAAAGCAGAAGCAGGCGCGGTGAAATGGAATCGAGCTGTAGGCAGGTTCTGAAGGAGGGGGAAACAACCTGCAGACTTTCCTCGCTAGCAATAACATCTGTATCGTACCTACCTCATCCGTTATGAGTTACCGGATCTTATAGCTATCAGCCTCTACTTTAACATTCACGCTCTCCTAGGACATCTCCATGCCACAGATAAGGCCTGCTGGTTTCCGTGGGCATCTTGCAGAAGGAACTGTGATTCTAAATCCAGACATTCTACTCACATGTAGGCATCTCGGCACACCCGACCTAATATTGAACCTACCAATCAAGCATGTACCATCAGTTACACATTATCGAGCTTCACCAACTATAGATATTTTCGTCTTCTATGTCCTACACCATTAGCATTGCTTGTTAGTCCTCAACGGCTGTTTATCCTCGCTTTACCGAGTCATTTCTTTGTTTACTTTCTTCCCCCACCTAAGAACTCTCAGCCACAGCTATACATATCATCCCGTCCTTAGGCCACTTCCTTATCTTATCCACAAAAATAATGAACTGCATCTAACCTCTCAGGGCCGGCAAGCCTCAGCCAAAATCGCTGACCATCGCAGGGCCCGATGACCCTAAGCGAGGGCGGATGACAGGGCCGGCCTCTGACACCCAGTATGTTGGACAAGCCCATGTATGACAGAATCCCTGTCCTGCACAGCTTTTTGCGCCGCTGAAAGGTCTCGGGAGTTTCTACTTCCTTACGAAATTCTCTCCCGTTTATTGCGAGTCGGACAGATCGTCATGTTTTCATACGCACTGAAGATTGTGAAGGGAGACTCAACTGCGATCAACAAAAATGACATCAACCCCAATACGGTCTCTGAACAAAGTATGTAAACTTTACAGCTGTTTATGTCTTCCTATTCGAATTAATTTATACCTCATTATAGTTGGACATGTCTTGCTTTCTCTCGATGAGGTGCTACGTGACGATATTGGCGAGGCGGAAACCAAACTGGCCACCGGAGACTCGAGTTTTCACAAAGTTAGTGTATTGAATATTTACATTATGCCCAAAATCTAACACGGGTCCCTAGCTTGGTCTAAGTCTAGCAATCTTGCTTCGAGTTGCCTTGGGTTCAGATGAGAAAGTAACACAAAGAGGCACAGGAGTTACAAAGAACACTGGTGGATATAGGCTAACCGTTCCGTTTCAGCATCTGACGTACTTCACGAAGCCGAAAAGTCCTCTCAAAATGCATTTCATTTCATCAAGAAGAACCAACAGTCATCTGACGACTCGATGTACCCTCCAGGGTCTGCATTTGCTCTCTGTCACGCGCAATGCCAACTCATGATTGCCATACTCGCGACCCTGAGCGCGAAAGTTCCTGAGGCCATAAAAGGGTTCTATAAATTGAGAAAGGCATATATGACAATGCAGACCATCGTACATGCAGACAATTTGTTCAGGCAGCGGAGATCAACTTCGAATGTATCTCCGACGGATGTGCATGCTCAACACACATACGCCATGCCGGGGGGGTTTTCAGATTCTGAACCAGAAACAGGCACACAAGTTCCAGAAATCAATTCGGAAAAGAAAATGACTCTGGCGAGCACAGGCTTTGTTTCTAGTGATGAAGTTTTCACCAATAATAGCGACATATACATCCAATCGGGCACAAACCTGTGTTTTGGTGTTCTACTATTAATGCTCTCGCTAGTCCCTCCGGCTTTCAGTCTCCCGCTGCGGATTATAGGATTCAGAGGAGACAAAGAGAAGGGTCTTCACCTATTATGGCAAGCCACAAAGTACGCCAACTTACATGGTGCTATGGCTGGCTTGATGCTTTTAAGCTACTACAATGCGATTCGAGCAGTCTGCGATATTCTGGACGACAGAGCATATCCCAAGGAGAGGTGCGAGAATTTGCTCGTCTTGATGACCAGGAGATACCCTCACAGTCAGTTCTGGATGTTGGAAGAGGCTCGAGTGCAGGTTGCCAACCGCAATCTCGCCCAGGCTATCAATTTGCTGAGCCGGCAGGTGGAGAGACCACTCAAACAAGTTGAGGCTTTGACGATACTGGACAGGGGGTTCACTGCGATGTTTCTTCACGATTATGCACTGTGTGCGAGTGATTTCATACTAAGTGTTGACTTGAACAACTGGTCTCATACTTTGTAAGTTACAGAGTGTATTAGATGCTTCGGATGCTGACTTTCAAGGTATTACTACATCGCCGGCTGCGCCCATGTAGAAATGTATCGTCGCTGCAACGAGAAGGAACCAAAAGCGAAAGAAACGAACAGAACCAAGGCCAGAGAATTTCTGCATCTGTCCAAGGAAGCAGCCGGAACACAACGTCTGATGGCCAAAAGGCTTCCATTCGATGTCTTCGTTCGCCGCAAAATTGAGAAATGGGAACACAAAGCCACTGCGCTGTCGATCGACCTCATAGATGCAGTTGGTGTGAGCCCCATCCAGGAGATAACCTATTTCTACGGCGGTCACAGGAGGATGAGACAACCACAACTGGAAGATTCGCTCTCAGCGCTTGAGTGGTCGAGCATGATGTCTCATTGGGAAGATGAATCTCTCGATGAACGCGCAATTCAGACACTTTTGCGAGCGAATATCTACACCACCATGGGAGACTTGCTGACAGCCAGAACTCTGCTGCAGGATGAGATCTTATGTCACAGTAAAGCAGCCTTCAAGGGGCCTCTCAAAGACGACTGGACTTGTCCATGTGCGCATTACGAGATGGCTGTCATCTGTTGGATTGAAGGTCGGGAAAACGGATCTTCGTCAACTGAAAGACTGAAAGAATGTGCGAAGTGGTTGAATGACGTGTCAGCATGGGAGAGCTACGATCTTGATGCCAGGTAAGTATGAATCTTGAAGAGCAGTGTTTGGTTCTCCTCAAGCTAACCACATTATGTTTGATTAGGGTGTCCGTGAAAATCAAGACTGCTAGAGAGACATTGAAAAATCATGTTTCGACCGACAGTAGATCTTGATTATCAGAGCATTTAGGGGGCTTTGAACAATGCCAATCGCTGCGGGGCGCCTGTAGCAAGGGATCTGCCAGGGATGTATGCCCTGAAGCATATGGCATCACTCGCTAAAACAGCGTGTTGTTGAGGGGAAACTACAGCGCTCTCAACATCACCAGCAAAAGCATATCTGCCTCACTACAATAGCAGTCTTTTTACACAAAAACATATCCTTCGTCATATCTTGAATCATCTTGTATCATCCATGATTTTTGATAGATATTTGTTCGATTACTCGTTTGGCATCTTTTAAATGTTTGCTGTGAGGATGAACGAGACGCCCAGCACTTAAGTGAAAGCTGGCTCGCTTGTGTAGATGACGTTAGAGTAACCAAGTCGCAGTGTGGGAGAGTCTGTCTATTGCTTACCTACTCGGACCTTCCTCAGGAGGGCCACTGATTACTTCTAAGCTAGGCTTTGACTGGTTATCCCCTAACATCCAATGCAAGTCGAACGAGCTTTGGGATGGCTCCTAGCTCGGGCTTGGAAACTTCAGTGAACGATTTCCATGGAATATGGAAGATAGCATCGATCAGTAGCAATTCCTTGATACTGAAATTTTGGCTCGATGTAGATTGCGAGAGCAGATGTATGATTTCAATAGATGGAAGACCGTCCAGCCACCAGACTGAAAGGACTCAGTTTCTTCTTTTGCGTAGTAATAAGGTAGGAAGGACAATTTTACCACCGATAGTTATTGGTCTTTCAATACCAGCATCTTCCCGCAGCTCAATCATGATGCCATCTCTCTCATGCCTCCCTACCCCATTCTTCACCAAATTCGTACTTCGGATTGTGAATCCCGTAGACATCGCGCTGAAGCGATCCGAGGCAGTGATATGCGAATGTTGTACTACCTCCATCATGAATCAAGACGAGGGGGATTTTGCTGCTCGTGCGGTTCTGAATGTGATGACTGGAGCTTCACTAGGTTCTTCTGGCTGACCATCATTGTAAGCTCACGTCAAGCTACGTGAGAAAGTGCTGTGTAGTGAAGTTGGTGATGTTCAGGACGCTGAAGGGAGATGACGTGATTTCTGAATATATGCAGCGTGGGTTAATTACTACTTGTAGACTGCGAGCCTGGCGCGGAGATGTGGGTACCCAACAGCAGTGGTGCTGTGTGTTTACTTTCTGCCAAGGAATAAGCGAGCCGTGCCAAATTCATCAGAGCAAGTCTGGAATGTGGGTGGCATTAACATCCACAATTAGCTTTCACTATTTGGAATGGATAAAGGGCTCCAATTTGGTGTTTCTGCGAGTTTCTGAACAATGCTTCAGTATGAGACGTCTTATGCCCTTTGACTTGAGAGCACAGGAAGAATCGCAGGGAGTTTGGGAGAGGAGTAAGGAAAGCTCAGATTACTACTTTAATACGAAATCTAAGAGAGAGAAATGGTAGGAAACTTATCATGTCAACGCTCCAAAACAATTACAAGATCCAAGGACCATCTCAGCTGGGCTTTTTTTTTAACTCCGCTTTCTTGTGGAAGTTCATACTGACCCTGAGCCTCCATTTTGAATTCGATCCCACAAACCTCAATCGAAAGTCGCTCAATATTTTTTGGAATAAGATTCTTGCAATGGAAGACGAAGAATATCCATTCCACTGGTAGATGCTCTATTCAATCATCTGTATGGGGAGATATGACTTCAGTTTGAGAGTAGTATCCCAGACCGGCTGCACTACACAAGTACGCACTTATTCGTTAAAATTTTGCAATTTCTGTCACGATACTGATTCATCGTCTATATTCTCACAGGCGCGGTCCAAAACAATGACTGCGGGCCTCTTTGTAGGAGAATTTGGACACACAATCGAAAATTCCATGGCAGGATTTTCTTTTCCTGACTGTGAAGGTGAGGGGCAGATAATACGGACTGAGAGGACCACTGCGTGCCAGCTCAGAAGAATTCTAGCTGATATGAATTGATATCTGGAGGCTGCCATCGGTCCTGACAATACTGTATATAGCGCCCTAACCTAGATCTGTAGAACAGGGTTTGTATAAGTTTGATAGAATCTCACCTCCACCGAACTTTACTGAGGCAATCCAGGAAGGTTCTATAAGATCCTTAATGGTCGGCAAGATTATCGGCAAGAATGAAATTCTGTAGTTTATTCAGTGGACTCGACGTAGTAAATGATGGCATCGACCAAAGGCTCGCTAGGGATGGAAGTTATGAACATTGTGAGCATTTAGTGACTGCGGGACTTCGATTGGTACTGTCATACGGAGGAGAATTTCTGTAGAAAGAAGGGATTAACAGCGAGGTGTACCACGTCTGTCTTTCTCGAGACTCCCCTCACAAGCATTGGTCAACATTCGCTTAGCGAACGGGGAATATCAGGAAAGGTCATAGATGTGTAGAGATGCTTCTGATATGGAATGAATGGAAGGAATAGAAGAGATCAAAGCTGTGTTCATGGCAGGTGATTTTAGATGCTGCTGTGCTTGAGAATCGCAGTTCAGTAGTGTGAAACTGCTTGCGCCCCTCTTGAGGGTTGATGTCAATAAAGCAAAGCTTTTGGCGAGCTGTTTCCGCAGTTTGGTGTTTCGGACCAGTTTTGGGAAACCCAACTTCCCCAGAGTCCAGCATTCGACTTTAAACTTCTCACCGACATTTCTCTTCTTGCTTTACGCGATTCTCTTCTGTTCTCCGCATCTCCACAAATATTCCTTCGGGCCACAAAAAAGACCACTTCCCAGATCTCCTCTCTCCACACCCCAGACCCCAAACCCCAGCATCTCCACCCATACATACCAGCCAAGAAGCAAAATACATAATAGCTACCTCCTTTCTCCACCTCCCATTTTCATACCATAACAACAAGAAAATGGCAATAACCCACACGAAAACCAGCCGGAACAATAAACACAGACAGAGCCTGATTATTACGTACATCCTCCTTCACTAAACCCCAGCCAGACATCTCCAGGCCTGATACCCGCACTCGCATTATCGTACCATGCAAAGTTAAGTGCATCGTGAAAGAAAAATTTAAACAAGCCATGCATCAACTATACCTATTGAGTTCTCCCCCACACCCCAGGAAATAATGTTCATTTTCCACCTCAATGGTCGGTGCCGAGTCAAGCCACCACCTGAAGCCACTCACTAATTTAGCCCCCGCCTTGTGCCGGTCTTGAAAAGGCCCAAAGGAAAACTCGGTTAAGCCATCAAAGCCATCAAGCCGTCCCATCAAGCCACTGACATGTCTCCGTAACTTAATTCCTTCAAGCTCTGCGCCTCTGAGCTAAGTCCTGTGCCGTGCCGTAGTTAAGAAAGCGAAAACCTGGCCGTCGCTTGTGGCTGCTTTTAGTCTAATTTCAAGTTGGACGACGTATGCTTGAAGAATAATAATGGGTCGGGGATCGTGACTTTATTTCGTTAGTAGATTGTGGAGAAGATACTGAGGCGATGGGGTAATAGCTACTTTGTGAGGATGGGAGGTGCCAAGGTTATGGGGTAATAGTTTCGCAATTGCGTTTTCTGTTTGATAATAATGCGAAGAGATTTTCTTTTGTGAGCGTGCACATGATTTGACGTGTTTTTTCCTCCTGCTGTTATGTGAGGAGATTTTAGGATGGGGTTGAGATGTGGGGATGGGGCGATCTGGGGAGTCGTTGGAGTGGGAGGCTGAGTGAAGCTGTGGGTAGAAAGCGGTTGAAGGAAGAGTGAGCGTTACAGGTTGGGTTCCTGAGATGAGGGAAGACACACGTCACAATACAAGACTCAAGTCATTTCAGGATTAGGGATATAGTGATTATGCAGAGCAGCTTTGTCTATTCATATCTTCACATCTCAATGTATTATCTCGTAGATTATGATTTTCCAAAAGCAGTGTTTAATTGATGTAACGACAGCGTAGCACATGAGCATGTCTTGTCCCATCCAATCCAATCCAAGATCTAGAATGCCCATCCAAGAGTATAGCGATAGATCTTCTCTGCTTTGGTCTCGGGTCCACCCTTCTTCTCCATCTCTGCAGCAAGGAACTCCTGTTCCTCACGATCGATCCTGGCCTTTCCACTGTAAAGATCCACGTCCTCGGACTTGATGATCTTGGTCTTGTGCCAGAACTTGTACCCGAAAAACATGATGAAGTAGAGAGGGATACCAAGGTAGGTTGTGACGAAAGTATCGGTGTCGAACTTCTTCTCACCGAGTCTGCGCCAGCAGAAGAGTCCGAAACCCTTAAAGAAGGCGATCAGGATCGAGAATGCAAGAGCACCGACTGAGCCCCATTTGCCGAGAGGTGCAACATATGCGAGTGCGGTGTCTGGAATACCTTGGGCCTTGCGAGCATTGACGAAACAGATGTGGGCGATGAGAATCGAGATCCAGGTAAGAAGACCGAACATGGTAACTAGATTGACGAAGTAGCCGAAGACTTTGTAGGAATCGGTATTGACACCGAGGAAAGCCAAGAGGCAGAAGGCAACGGAAAGTCCCAAGGCATAGATCGGGACACCACGGCTGTCGGTGCGAGTGAAGAACTTGGGGGCCTTGCCTTCGTGAGCGAGTCCGAAGAGGGTTCGGGAGGCGATGTAGAGATCGGAGTTTGCGGCAGAGAAGACGAAGAGCATGATGCAGGCATTGAGGATACCTGGCAGGGTTTTGATACCGGCGAGCTTAATGGCGACGACGAATGGAGAGGCGGTAGCCGTGTTTCCTCCCTTCGCGATTGCATCCTTAAGTTCCTTAGAGTTGTATGGGACAAGCATGCCGAGGAGGAAGACAAGCACAACGTAGAACAAGAGAATTCGGTAGAATGTCAACTTGATAGCACGAGGAATGACTTTGCGTGGGTTGGATGCTTCTCCAACAGTGACACCAACAAGTTCGGTTCCAAGATACGCGAAGACTGCAGTGGTAAAAGTGGCCCATGTAGCGAGAAATCTACCAGCGGCACCGTCTAGAATTATTGATTAATATTTGAGCCCATGCGAGTGATCAGGAAATCGCTTACCCAAAACATATGTGTTGAAAGCTCCGGGATTTTTCCAGTACTGAAAGCCAGTGGCATCATGTGGACCTCCGCCACAGGCAAGGATCAAACTGAGGAGGATCAAGCCTAGGATAACAACGACCTTGATCGAAGATAGCCAGAATTCAAACTCTCCGAAGAAGCGGACACCGAAGTAATTGATGATGACGATTGCTACCAAGAAGATGGCGATAAATGCTCCTGGGTTGACCTTGTCACGCGGAACCCAATACTGGAGGACGAGCGATGCAGCAGTCAGATTGTTTGGTGTGACAATGATGTACTAGGCAGAAGTTAGCTATCGCTCCTGAAAGTTCTTTCTGAAGTTTTGTAGCTGAGCGTGAGGAAGTTTTTTTACGAACCTTGAACCAGTAGTTCCATCCTAAACAGAATCCAAGAGCAGGGTCGACGAAGCGAGTGGCATATCCAGTGAAACCAGATGGGAGTGGGAGCCATGCGGCCATCTATTTTAACCGTATTAGCAGGGTCCTCAGCCAATGCACCTCATCGGATATGTGTGGGACGCTGCATACCTCTCCAAGCGCAGCCATGACCAGGAAGCAGAGAAATCCGACGAGAGTGTAGCCGATGAAGAGAGGAGCTGGACCGGATTGTTTGAGAGCCTTTCCACTGCAGTATTTGTCAATATCAGTTGTGCAAGAAGGAGCATCTTGTGCCACTCACGTGCCGATAATGAGACCAGTACCGATAGCACCTCCGATTGCAATCATAGTAATCTGGCGAGAGCTCAGATTACGGTGAAGATGGTGGTTGTTATCGATCGGCTCATCGTCGCCCACTGTTCCTGCGACATTGGGATCATAGGCCTTCTCTTCGTACTTTCGCTCAGGAGAGCCCTCCGAGGAATATGTGTTGACGTTTCCCGACATCGTGGCGGCTGCGACTAGAACGAACTGAGATATTGTTAGAACCACGTTTCTGTCTCAAAACTGAGGGAAATTATATCGATTAGAAGACACGAATTGGAAGACTGAGTTTGCCCTTGTGTGACCAGGTAGGAGAAAGTGAAGTCTGGACGAGTGAAGGGGATAAGTACCTAGTGACGTAGGAACGGATTGATCCGTTGGCGTTGAACGTCTGAACTTCGACTTGAGAGAACGCGCGAACAACACGTCCAAATCGACTTGGTGATACGTGCAAGGGGTTGAGGGGAGAAGATAGAAAGATGGCGGGGGGAGAGCTGATCTTTAAGTAGAGTAAGGCCGGAGAGTCAGGGTAGGGACCCTTGAGCGCGGTCAGCCTTGTCCTGTGGCCTGGTACGGAATGCGGTACGGGCAATTGGGAATGGGTCTACCAGGAGTGCAGTGTAGCTCCATGCAGCTAACTGTACGGGAGGATCGAGTCTGGTAGGTAGAATTACTCCAGAGTAGTAGCACTGGCACTGTGGCACTGGCGAATTTACTGAGTTGGGACTGGTCTAGGCAGACAATATCTTTCTGTCATGTCTTTACCGAACTCCATCATATTTTGTGTTTACATCTGCAGAGACTTGCCCGCTTTAACTTTGTCTCCTACTCAGTCGCAACTCACTCTCATCTCAACAACTGCATTCCTTTCCCGCCAGCTCCTTTCTCCTCTGTCGCACTTTTCTTTCTGCTTTACCTCTCGAGAGGCTCCCCCCCTCACGGCATGCCCCCTCCTGCCCGTGCAAAGTCTTAGCACCTTCTCATTCAGGATTCTGCGATGGCTATCGTCGAGCAGCCCCAAATGACATCTCCACGAGCAAATGTCTCGGCGCCCAGGCTCTTATCAAGTGCCAATAGAGCTAAAGCCCCCGCTGACCGCAAGATGGCATGTCCCCGCCATAGAGCTCGTCTCCCAAGGCCGTACCAAGGCGCTAGAAGAATTGGAAAAACGTAAGAAAGCCTATTTGAGCCTTTTGCGTCCTATCAGCGCACGCGGCGAGGCCAGCCGCAGGGGTCAAGATTGTCGAAGTCGGCGCCCATGTTCTTGATGCGATGCCCATGTCTTTGCCCCAGCTTGTTCGTGAGATGTGGATTTTCTGGCGTGCTTGGCGAGTGCCGGGCATTTGATAACAAGGGAGAGTCAAGTCAAGTCAAGTCACGTCAAGTCAAGTCACGTCAAGTCAAGTCACGTCAGGTCAAGTCAAGTCACGTCAAGTCAAGTCACGTCAAGTCAAGTCACGTCACGTCAAGTCAAGTCAAATAAAATCAAGTCAGGTCAAGCCTGCACACCAGCTCGACCAGGCCGTTTCCCAGCCCGAGGTGGCTTGTGCCGGCTGAGCGCGGTGAAAACGGGCGGCCGCTAACTGTAACAGGCTTGGTATGTTTATATCTGTCAGGTGACCGTATGCCGAATCCTCACTGCATGCGTTTCCTCCCTCTCCTCCGTGTCTCGCACCCCTCCTGGCACGGCGACCCCGGCCAACCCACAGTTGACAATTGCTTTCCCATCACCAACAGCCTAGCCTGGCCTGGCTTGAAAGTTCCTTATCTTCAAGACAAAACCCGCGACATCTTGGGCCCAAGATCTCAAGTCTTGGTAGCCAAATTGACTTTTTGTTTTCTCCATTTTCTCCACTCGTCAGTCCTTAACAAGCACGACATTGCATTATTGTTGCAGAGTCGATGCCCATTTCGAATAATTCTCGGGTCCCGGACATATGCCGATGACTTCCAATCTCTATTGGAATTGGATGATAACGTTGATAAAGCGCATTACTCGCTCCCCAAGGTCTGCTTCAATTCATCGGGACGCGTGGGATGTATCGTACAATTCCCTTCCCAGCAAGTATCGTTCCAAATCAGATCTCGGGTGTGGCACCCATCACTCTCGCACCTGTCGCCAAATCTGCCACAAAGTCGCAGCCTCGCAGTCAGAAAGACCGCCCAGGCGGCACAGTCGTTTCTACTTGACCTTCCTCATCCATTGTCTGCGGTTAATTCTCGTTCCTCGAATTGCGTGCCGTTACTGACGACGATGTCCGTATGCACGCTGGCAACCTCGATAGTTCGATGATGTTCCAGCCCCGGATAAACTGAGAAAGTCCTGGGCGCATGTTCCGTGTTGCATCCAAAATTTCAAGATTCGCACAACCGACAGACTCCTATAGATGCGTTTGCCGACAAAGCGATTCCTCTTGTTTGGACCTGCCAAAGAAAGGAGGTCGACTTGGACCACTGTGTGTGCGGCCACATTCATACCTGTTTGAATCCCAGCTTTTGCACGGTGGAGCTTCAAGCTGAAGGTCAACATGTTTATCCGACACCTGCAACGAGAACACTGCCAGAGCAGCTAAATACTACTAAAACGCCCCTATAGCGAGGCCAGTCCTTCATTTTAAAGGTTATCTAGTCCATTTCACATCAGGTGGCAAGTTCCTCTCAAGCTGCTGATTCATTACTAGTGACTAGTCAAGCATCGAACGAGAGAAAGTGATTGACGGCCTCATAGCTGCCCCTGTCAGCACGGCTGATAATTAGAAAGGATTTCCTGTGAGTTTGGATATTTCACTTTCATCAAATTTGAGTGTCGTCGTCATTAGGGAAATACCCATCGAGCCGAGCCTGCGACCGCTGCGAAGCTTTAAAGTCAAGATTCCAAGATCTCGCCAATCCAACCCGTTCTTGGGAGCAAAACTGCGCAGTGGAGGCATGCCTACGAAGATTCAAAGCAATTCTCAGGTCAACGAATAGGAATCGTTCGATTCGGGGTGTGAGGACGATCAGTGCAGTATTCTTCAGTCCTAGCAGCTCGGTATCTTATGCTCACTATCGTGTGTGCTGATGACGCCTTTCCGATATGCGGTTGCTGCTCTTCACCGTTTACTGACGATCCTCGTTCAATCATATCACCTGGGTCGATTTTGCAGTATAATTGCATCTGCACTTAACTCATTTGTTATGCTCGTTATAGGACCTGTATCTCAATTTCATTGCTGCTGTTAATGCCGTCCGTCGCGCTTTCAAAAGTGCTTGCAGCGTTCTTTATCGCTAATGGGCAGCGGCAAAAAGAGAAACGGTGCATTGTGCATCCATTCGCTGAACCTTTTTGCATCTTTTCACTCTCAGTCTCACCTGTTTCTCCAAGTGTTCAGCCTCGCGATACAGTTATTCTTTTCTCTGTATATCACGTGATTAGATGTCAGGTGAGAAGTGTCTTGGTATAAATATCTCCCCGGCTTCTTGTTGGTCTGGCCCATCTTCCAACGCAGCCTTCCGTTAGAGGGTTAGTATCTCTTTGGAATCCTACTGCAATGTCACAACGGAAGCCCAAAGTTTGTATTTACTCGCTAGCTGTAGTACCATCGCAACTGCCAAACACCATGAATCAGACTTCACGCGTAAATGGTGAGTGCCTCAATAACCACTCCACATAATCCAGTCTTTAACATCGATCACTGTATATGTTTACATTCCAGTTCTCATTATCCCAGTATTGTCCTCCAACAAGATTGTGCTGAAAAATCCCGCGACGAATAAGACACTTATCCAACATTACTTGCGCGAATGCAGCGATGAGATCGCACGTTGGGCGGATCTCTTTATCTTGCTGAGAAAATGTCAATTTATGTCCAAGTTTCTTCTAATTTTGAATTACTGGACTTACATTGTTGCAAACATAAATAGCCGCGTTCCATGAACAACTAGCTCGCACGCATTTACGAGGTCCAACATTACATGTTTGCCAGCCTTCCCTGAGGAAGTTGATACCATCAGAAATAGCTCTTGAGTCCGCACCGTGCCAGTTCTGGCCAGATACAGGGAGACAGTGTAGATCGGTTGGGTATCTCTAGTTAGTCGGTCAGCCTCTAAACAAGCCACGAAAGCAGGGTCGGTACCACACACCTTATCTAATTGCTCGAGGTCGTCAGTAATGGTCCGTCTCTGGATGCCAGCTAAATCGGAAAGCTTGAAGCTATTGTCTTCCGCATCGAGTTGCGCAAAGACTTCCTACAACTCAGTCAATACTGTATTGCTAACTTTCGGATATTACAATATTTGAGAGACATCTCGGTTGTTCAAATCAAGGGCTCTACGAGGACCTAAGGGCAGCTATACTGACCTGGACAGAACCAGTATAGTTGACAGCGACGCCGTTGACCTCTCCAGTAATGTGCAGTTGATCGAGTGTATACCCGTCGGGAAGATCCGGGCTCTGACTAGAGCCGGTCTCAGAAGTAGGCAGAGCGAGGACCAAATTTGTGGCGAGGACTGCGATTGTAACGAGGGCATATCTGGGTATGTTGATGAAGCTCTTCATTGTGGGTGATCGTTTGAAAAAGCTTGAGATCGTTAGAAAGCCAGGTGGAATTGTTCTGGCGGGAATGAGTGGAGTTGAGTTACGTGTTGTTATGGTATTATTAGAAGAACGAAACTCCTTCGGGAATCCTGGAAGCGATTGTTGTTATATTCATCAGATCCTCGACTTGAGTAACAGTCGTGATTCACGGGTCTGTGACTCTGCTTTCAGGTCTGGACTTGAGTGGCATGAATTCAGGACAGGAGCGCTATGATTTGTCAACAATCACGCACTTCTCTAAGCATCCACCTCAATTTTTGGCCAATCTTCATTACTTGGGTCACAGAACAAGGAAATTTTGTTTTGAAGTCGAGGTTTGAGAGCAGTGCCTCATTCAGAGATGTCTTTGCAGCTCTACACCGATTCCGCGGCTGTGAATCACGAAAATCTGCAATTGCATGTAACAAGCCTGTTTCGATTCAGTTTACTTCGTGGCTTTTAGTGGGTCATGTTACTGGAATACCTCTTCAGCGACAGCCAAAAGTCTCCTTTCAGCCTCAGAGTCCTCCTCCACTCTTGCATGCTCACAGATTCATCTTTTCTTGCATACATATGTTTACATGACGGACGCATTCGGCGGATGCTTCACCTGACCTTTACCACCTGCTTTCTTCTGTCACGTTCTCATGGCACGAATTTCTCGTCAGATCTCAGAACACATACGTATTCGAACCTCGTAAGCACAGCTTCGAACGAAGTTCCTTTCCGATTCGCGAGAGACAGCCTCACGACTCCTTGTCAGTTGGCCACAACAATTTCCTGTTCCAAATCGCCCAAATCGTCTTCGAAAACACCACAATCCACACCCCAATCAACGACACGCCCAAGACCGTTCCCAAAATTTCCACCACATTATTCTCAAACGCATGACCCACCATATGCGTCGCACTCACCAGTGCCGAATTCGGGAATACGTACGCGAAGAACGTCACATGGAATTTAATTCCATGTCCACGATCCCTCAGCAGACGCCACTGTCCGAACACACTCAGCGTGAAGAACCAGATTGCGAACCCCCATATCACCAGCCCGACAGCATACGCCAGCACACGCATGATTACAGACACAGTCGCTGCATCTCCTACTTTCGTCACAGGGATAGCTTTAGAAGCCAGGGAACCGAGCTGTATCACGCCAGTGGCAGTGAAGCCAGCTGGACCCACGGACACGAACATGCTAGGTAGCTGGCGGCGGGAGGGCAGGCCGTTGGTCATGAGACGGTAGAGGAACGCGCTGTAGATGAGCGCCGAGACGAGGAAGCCGCAGCCTTGGAGGGTAGTGGCGCCTGCGATTATGGTTTTGGATGAGATGCGAAGGGTGTCATCGGGGGTGGGGACGGAGTTGATGAGAGCTGCGGCCATTGGGGCGAGGATTAGGAGAGGGTAGACGGGAAACACCCAAATAGGTGTCATGTCGCAAAGGGAGAAGTGCTGGGTTGACCATCTGGTTGAGGACCGAGTGTTAGTGTTGTGTAAACAAATGCTTGATCCGACATTCGGAAAACTAGGGATCCTCGCTTAAACTACGTAAACGTGGATTGGTCGATACACTTACAGAATCACATATATAGCACAACTTGAAAGGAATGCCATCGCAGCATACACCCAAAATAGGACTTCCAGACCAGTCTGCAACCACTTCCCGCTACTCGGTACACCGTATTTGGCGAAAGCCATGAGCATCACTCCACAGCTGACTACGCTTGCTGGAATGAACAGTGATTCCGAGGGCTCGAGGAAGGATTGCTTGAATGAGCCCGGTCGCGAGTAGAATCGGATGGTGATGAGAATACAGCAGGTGATGAAGAGTACAATGGTCAGGATGAGAAACATGTTGCCGATGGTGTTGAGGCCTTTGAATTTGAAAGGTACTGAATGAGCATGCCGCGTTAGATCTAAGTATGTATATCAAGGTGGGTAGCGTAGTGGCAACGCATCAGCTTTGAATCTAGGATCATGACTTACTCGAGTTGATGGCGTTCGCTATTCCTCCCGTAGCCATAACCATGGTAAACCAATTCCACGTGAACTTCTGCAAGCGATCCTTCCACGTCACATCCGTAGCGCTCAACCTCTCCTTCTCCATCACCACCCCAGACTCATCGCTGCTATCTTTCGTCTCTTCTTCATTGGGTGGAGAGGCGTTCTCGTGACTCTCTTCGTAAGATCGGATTTCAAGCTCAGAATTGAGTGCTGACTCTTTGAAACGTACGCCGCGAGGCTGTTGTTCGTGTTGGGATTCTGGGTCATCTGAGGATGAGAGTCTGTGCTTGTTGGAGAAAGGGTCGGAGGGAAGGGATGGTTCCCACATGGTCGGTCAGTTGGTTGAAAGAATGAAGAGTATGTGGTTCATAGCCAACGTGAGAGTACTTTTTTGTATCTAGTGGCTCCTGCGGTGCATGTGCGGTTTTGGTCACGACAGATGCAGGTCTCAAAGGTGAAGCTGTCAAGGCAGTGACGTGAGTGTCGTGTGATGGAAGAAATACATCTTCAAGCAAAGGAAGGTGAAGAAGAAGTGTGGTTTGGAAGAAGGGAGATGTGGGGATGTGGAGATATGAGGTATTCCCACTTGTGGAGCAGATACGAGTGGTGGTCCAGACACCGCAATTGCAGTTGCCAGGCACAGACTCTTACTGGTGGGATTTTCCTCGCCATTTTCTGAAAAGGAGGAAGCCATGGTGTAGCAACTATGATGTAGGGTTCAGAGCCTTGTCTCATTCTTTATTTTGCTGTCTCATCCGTCTTGCCGAATTCAACTGATCTGGATATGCATAACAGATGCCGCTAAGCATCTTAGTCGGCACCCTTCGGATGCAAGTGCAGAAAGGAGGCTCTCTAGGCCTGTAATTGGACAAGCAAGCGAGAAACCTGAAAGCTCCACTTGAGGAAAACAATCTGTTTGGTCGGATTCAACGTCGTTTTCTCCTGCCCTGGTGAAAATTCCACTTTCTGTCATGGAATGGTGTAACATCAAGGAGAATTGCCATGGATCGAGTGAGAACCATGCGGTACTGCATTTAGTTGCCGTATTACAGGACTCTGTTCGAGCTATTTCCTTTTATCTGCTATTCGAGGAAGTCGAAAGAGGTCAGTGGTATAAATAGTTCCAGATTCTTAGATTTCGTGAGAGTATTAGGCATGGGAGACTTTGAATTGTAAAGACATGATACAGAGTAGTCAAACTTGTCAGATGGTATCTGGTATCATTATTCATGCAACGCTTTTTAGCATTTATTTTGGTCGTGATGCCAGCTACCCCGCGCATGACACTAATGTTTCTCCGGGAGACATTTCTGGAATAATATCGCGTGCTGAGCAATGGTTTCTTCTGTTGAGAGCGAGAGTCACACTGTCTCGGATGAAGAGTGCCGTGCACGAAAGCCAAGTATGGAACATCATATTCCAGGTGCATGGTTGCCCCTTTGGCAGAGATATAAGGCTGGAAAAGAGGCTCCACGGACTGTCGGATGTGTTTTGCGATGCTGATTGGTGCCCCAATATAGTTGATGCAGTGTTCGGGTCTAGACCGTGAGAATTCTCGGCACCGTGCCCAGTTACACACGACAGCAATTTCCTGGGGAGACATAAAGATGATGGAATTCCCTCACTGTTTCCTGCTTGTGGTTCTCTTCATTCATTCCGATTTTGCTCTTCCAAAGCTCGGTAAAATAGATCATGACCGCTACAGCAGCGGTTATCTTCGCCCACAAATAAAGACAGAAGCACTTCGCACAGCTGGTCCATAATAGGACACCGTGCCATGAAAGTTAGACAAGACATACAGCACACCCCACACAAAATCTCGCCCAGGAGTAGAGGTCTACAAGTCTTCTCTTTAACCTGAAAGCCAAACGACTATAATTGCGACAGGTAGATGATGCGTCAAAGCCGGGACCGCAAGCAACGACACTTTTCGCACCCAATCCAAACGCCAGCTAACAAATCTAAAAGGGAGTCCCTGACATGTGGTCAGAATTTGGAGTCTGAATAGCCCAAGCTTGGTCCAGCCACGCTGGGGGAAACACGGGGAAGGAGTTAGTTTGCCCTCCAAACCCTCCATCATGGGCTGCCAATGGCATCGTGGAACCAGATGCCGAGAGAGGCACATCAGTCATGAGCGTTAGAGGCGATTGGATCGACTGATCAAATGTAGGGATTTGGTTCCCCAGACCCATACCCATCCCAAGCCCTACTTCACTGCCGATTTGCGGGTGTGGGGGAGCCATTGGATGCGGAGGAGGCCCCATCGAGTAGTCCATGGCTTGGCTACCGTTTATCGTAGCTGGAATTGGAAGATGTGCCGAGGAGATCTTGTCAAATATATTCTTCTGATGGTTAGCATCGTTACGACAAGAAATAGGTGAGTTGAGATGATCTTACCCCAAGAGACACGACGCATCTGGCAGCGGAAGCACTTTCAGATGATAGCCTGATAAGTATCTCCCGGCCCATTACAGCAGCCGCCATTGCCTCGCTTGCTGTCGGGTCGCTTGCATTACCCAGTATAAACATACAGAGGGACATGACTGCGAAGAACGTGATGTAGACAGTGAACCAATATGCTCCAATGAGCAACCCATGGGTGTCCATCTGCTCTACGATCCATACCACTTGCATGGAAGCGGTGACACACGCCGATGCGCATGCATAAGATCTCATTTCTGGGGCCTCATCTGGCTTAGCCCGTACAAGATGCTGTATGAATGGCCGGTACAAGACCATCTGGACGTGAGCGTAAGCCAAGCGCAAGAGGAGCTGCAGCCTGAATTTGTGTTAGCCCGTGTTCTAGAACAAGTCATTGTACAACCCACCCTAATGCCTTCGGTGACGTGGGAGCAGCCACGGTTGGGGGTTCCGCCACGTTCCGGAACCAGTCTTCTAATTCGGCTTCAACGTTTACCACGCGTGTATAGTCAACTTGATAGGAGGAGCACTCTCTACTGAGCTGCTTTTGATTAGGATAGATACGTGCTACGACATTCGCCATGATCAGCAGTAGCTTGGTATGGGCGTTAGCAACTGCCATGATCGACGTGTGGCCGTCCGGCATAGGAATAATGCCATCGGCTGTAATGAATTCATCGTCAATGTCTATTGGCAAATCTTGATCAAAGTCCTCGGCTCTGATGTTTTTTGGTAGGCCTAGCATTGTTGCGACATATGTGTCCATCGTTTGCAGCACCCAGAACGCCCTCTTTCGGACCTCCTGCTCGATGGGATCGAAGAACCTCAGCACGAGTGACCGATGTAGACCCATACGGAAAGCAGATGCAATTGCAACGGATATATACGAGTAACAACAGTGCATCAAACCCAAGGACTGGAAATAGATTACCATGCAGAGAATGGTCTGCAGAGACGTAATATCATGACAATCCATGGCATCAATCAATACTTGCCCCGCTCGGAAATATTTGGCCCTGAAAATATTTAGCAAGATTTGAGGAGGACTGGTTACGTCGAAAGCACTTACCCTTTGGCTTTATCGACCTCGCTGGAAGCTGGCTGATCGTCCTCACTTGGCTTTCCAGCATATAGCTCACCGAGAGCGAGGGTTACATAAAGAAGAGACATGAAATCTTTGTCTTCTGAAGTATACTGATCGGGGCTTATTTCGTAAATTCGATCAAGTCTCTTGTCAAAAGATGGTTTGTGAATGAACCTCAACAGGCAGCATGCGTCTCCAATGGCGATGGTTGTTAAGTATGTCGCTACTGTCTTGGGTGGTAAGGCTACATTCCTTGATGACTCCAACGGCGTTTCTGGCTCCACATTGGAAGGCGAGTAGCCTCTGGGTGGAAATAGTGCTGAAGATATCTCTTTTTCCGTATCTCGGTTGAGCAACTGACAGCAACGCTCACTGATCCTATCAAGGAACGCCAGGCCAGAGAAGTCTCCATGGTAGTCACAACGTCCCATACCGTCAATGTCGAGCCGACCTGTTGCTTGAATCATGGTGTCCAGAAGCTCTTTGTCCTTCGAGTGGGCTCTTAAGAGTCTTTCTGTCGGGCGCTTTGCAATTGGCGGCTCAATGAAAGTGGGCAAAACATGAGAGGCATGGTCTGAGCCCAGCACCCGTTTGATGTTGATGCCAGGTACGAACTGCACCAAAGCATATTGAAGCCGCTCTATTTTCTTCTCTAGTTCTTCAACGTATAGTGGGCCACCATACCGGGCCTTTTTGTCCGTACTGTATGTACATTCTAGTCAAGGTTAGCAAAACAGAAGCAGGAAGCAAATGTGGAGGCTCTGCACTGGAAGCCTGACATGCCCACATACCTTGATTGTAGTTGATGCAAGCCTCACAGGGCTGTTCTCCATCGCACTTGATCTTCCTCCCTCGGCAATCATCACATGCCTTCCTGATACGCTTGCGTTTGGAATCTGGCTTGTGGTTGGAAGAGTGATCTGATGATTCTGGTACGGCAGCAACAGAAGCTGGAGTTGCCATTGCTTGTCTTGTCCTATTAGAGAGGCTGGATAGCACTATAGTCTTCCTGTAGGAGAGGATAGAGCGTATCAGGACACATCAGACCGACGCAATTCCAGCAAGGGCAGAGATCAAGCGAATCAAACAATGTGCACAATGCACAGTGGGGTTCAGACAAGAGCGGTCTCTGCAACTGCTGTGGTGTGTTGACTTTGAGAGGCGTGAAAAGGGCAGGTCTCGCTAAGGGTGCTTCTGCTAATGGAAGCTTCCACTCGCCAGGAGTATGCCGCGATGACGCAGAGGAGGTCAAGGGATAAATAAAGAAGCAAATGCCACGAGGAGGGCTGTGATAGTTGTGCTGGGGAGGGGAGGGGAGGGGAGGGGAGAGAGGAGAGGGTTGATTAAAAGCAAGGTGGGTCAGGCAAAGATAGGCGTCGCCATTGTTAATAATTGAGTCTCCAATTGTTAAGTGTAGGCAATCCTTAGCGAGCAGTCTGTTCCCTGATGTCCCCATGGGAAGATGGAAAACTCGTCATGCCGGATCTTCCAGTGCCAGGGACTTCCAGAGTTTCCCCGCTTGGGAAGAATTGGCCAATGGGCTCCCCGCTGTGAAAGCCCCGCCGGGCTCAATACGGCCTACTCGAGTCCCTAGCGAGCCCTACTCGCCCTACTCGCCCTATTCTCCGGGTCCAAACCCCACCCAAGATGCTGAGCCTCGCTTCACGGAATCTCGGATGCTGAGGGCTTGAGACAGTCTCGTCGTGTTTCTGCGCCCAATAAGGGCGGACAGAGTCATGACCCGTTGATATGGTGGCATGTTTTCCCTCGGCACAGATCCAGTTTTCTCCTTGCTATCGCGATGATTTGAAATATGAGTGCCCAACAGACCCAATAGTCTTGCATAATTGGATTTGCTCTCCTCTCGTTAGCGGTAGGAGGTGATTGTAGGTGGTAAGATGTTAGTTACTTTATGGTTATCTGGGTTTGCAAGCTTCGGCTGAAAGAGTCTGTCAAACGGCACAAGCAACTGACAAGGCGAGCTTCGCTTCGCATTGGTCAGCACTTACCGAATTTGGAAGACTTGCTGCAGCCAGGACGTTAAAAAGGGAAGAGATCAGCAGCAAGGAGAAAGGGAAAGGCAGTGCTATGTATCAGACAGGCAGGCTGTTTGTCTGTTGATTCATTTCGAGGAAACAGCAAATGCAACTAAAGTCATGCTGGTTGCGAGAGTGCGGGGGTTGGAGAAAACTGGAAAGCATCCAAATCTCCAACCAACCAATGTGAGTCTCACGGCACTATTGAGTTGACGTGATTTTTGTGTAGAAGCGGGAGACTGTACCGAGGCTCGTCCATAAGTCCTTTGATAGGACGTTAAGGCTTGCAAGAGATACAACTGGAAGAAACGGCATTCAGCCGGTCATTACTTACACACAAGCAATATGAGAAATAACAACTAAACGACTACTTAGCGAAGGGTTCAATATACCACAGTGACGGCAATGGACAGCTTACCATTGCCTGCGTGCGAATGAGTACCACACCTCCGACCAAGCCCCGATTGAAAGAAGAGAAGAGCGCAGATAGTGCAATTTGTTGTACGGGTAAGCCGCTCGCAATGATTCTTTTGAGGGTACCCCATTTTCTGGGCGACGAAGTCAAAAGACATTGCAGCACAGACGGAAAGGGGGATGTCAAGTCAACATCCAGCGGTCAAGATGAACGTTAAGATGTCATCACATGACAGGCATACATTGATATCTAGGCAAGCAGCCATAAAATGATACCAGCTCGCAATTGCAAGGATATGCAGAAAATATATGTACAGGAATAGAATAGAGTGTACATCAACCCGCACTCGATCTTCAAACCTTCAAGCTCCTCAACTCTCCTTCTCGCTGAGACGAGTTTGCCATTCACTCATCATGCCTCACAGGCATCATCTTCCGCTGCAGCTGAAGGAGTAACTGTTGGTGCGGTCCTCGTTTTGGTGGAGAAAGTCGTGTGGTGGTGGCCATGCTTGCTCCTGGACTTGGACCATGATCCAGAGGGGTATCCCCCTGTGGGATATCCAGTGGGGAGAGCCGTTGGAAGGGCAGTCTCGCCATCGGTAGGGAACAAGGCTGTTGGGAAACCTGTTGGGAAGACGTTGGTTGGGAAGGCAGTTGTAGGTCCCTCAGATGGGAAAGTGGCCGTGATGAAGTCAACGGACTCGGTGCTAGAGCTTGCAGGTGCAGGAGTGTTGACAGCACCATCAGCTGATGAGGTAGCTGGCACTGAGACAGTGGGCTCTGCAGTTGGCTCGACTGGAACAAGACTCGAGTTTGGTGTTGCGATTGCGGTGGTATCGGCGGCGGTTGAAGAGGGGATAACTGCTTCCTTGGTTGCACTTACAACCGGTGCAGCGCTCGAGCTGGCAACAACAGCTGCGGATGAGCTCGAGACAGTGGTGCTTCCACCTCCCATGCTCGCACATGCGAAGCTCATCTTGGTGACAGGAGTTCCGGAACTCTTTGGCTTGCTCAAATCCCAAGTCATATCGACATACGGCCAGCAAACCTTGTCCGTACCGACATTGGCGATGTCTCCACTGACGAAGACCTTGGTGTTAGTGACAGCTGCGCCGACTTTGGCGCCAGTCTTATCGATGACTTGGAATGAGGTTCCAGCGTAGGTGCCGCTGCAGCTGAGGGGGACTGGTTCACATTTTGGGCTGGTGAGAGTTTCCCAGGTAACGAGGGCGAGGGAAGATGAAATGGCAGCCACGTGAACATTTTGGTGGTCGTCAGTCTCTGATTTGGTGATCCAGTTTACCTGAGAGTCTCCATCAGCCGCACCGACCGTTGAGGAAGCTTCAGCACCTGTGAGCTTGTTCTTGCTTGACATGGTTGAGATGGCGACGTTGTGGTTTAACCAACGTGGGCTACACTGGGTGTATGGAGCTCCGAGCCAGGCGTTCGTCGTCAAATCTACTGCTCCGCGCGATTGCCAGGCGAAGACATAGTTGGTACTTGAAGGGAAGAGGGCCAAGTTGGAGTAGGAGCCAGACATGCCTCCCATAGGCTCACCGCTTACTCCGTTGGTGGTGTTCTCATTCGCAATTTTGACGCCGGCCATGTACTGGGTATCGGTGTTCAACCAGATCGATCCCTGGTCTTCGGCGCAGATGGTAGCAAAAGGTGGTGCGTCGGCAGCCTCGATTCCGATACCAGTGTTGTGGGAACAGCCAAATGTGCTTGACGAGGGGATTGTTTGAAGGGCACCAGCATCGTTGACATACTGGATAGAATCTCCGAAATGACCAGACGCGCTACCAGTGTAAGCTGGGCGGAGTGTTAGTAGAGAAGGTAGGACTGGACAAGGACTATTACCTGTGACAACGAAGTAGGCGCTGTAAAGTTTGGCGGTTGCAGAGTAGACAAGATCGCCGTTCGCGTCTGGAGTAGCAGTCAACTAGTCCAGTTAGTCTCCTTCTTCACTTATACATACTTAGAATCACTGACTCCTTCTGACTTATGAACACCTGGTCCGTTAAGTGGTGTTCTCCAGGCTTCCGCTCCATTCTTATACCGGATGAGAGCCACGATTGGCATGTTGTTAGTTGGGAGATCAGTCATTCCAGACGCATCGATCGTTGCCATCAGGGCAAATCCATCATCGTGAGCCACCAACCCAGCAGCCTCATAGCCTGGAATTGTCACGGCAGTACCAACAGCGGTGAAAGCTGTCGTATCAACCTGCTGCACGACGACATTCTTCTTTGTCGAGTCCAAGTACGCAAGGAAAGCGGACTTTCCGTCAGGAGAGACAGCGAACGGTGTTCGACGATGGTGAGGAAGGCCGGTCCAGTATGCTGCGATGATAGGATCGAACGAAGTCGAGAGCGTCAGCGAGTTGGGGAAGGAAGAAATGCTTGGCTCAGCAAGGACAGTTGAGGCACCAGCCAGAAAGAATGAAGAAAGAAGTGAAAAACGCATTGTGCTTATATCGTTGAAAGTAAGGACTGACTGAGCACACGTGCTCCGAAAATGTTTTCTGGAGGGAAGAGAACGAAAGTAAGTTCTGAAAGGTAGGATGAAGAGAGAGAAGGAATCTCAACGCGGCCAGGGAGAAAGAGACTTATGAAATATCGTCACTGACCGTGGCCGCGTTCAATCTACGACATGTTGGAATGATGTAAGTAAGCATCAATTTCGTTCCTAAACTTTGTGGAGCTTCTCGGTGGAGTTGCCCTATGGATGAGGGAGATCATGTCTTGGCCGTGTGGAATTTCCGGGTCGAGACAGCAGACTCGATGGAATCTGCCCAGTCACGGAGGACTCTCTACGTTGAAATCAACCCAGTCAGCAATGATGCAGGGTGATTTCTGAATTCCGGTGGGATAGCCCCTTGAGATCGCTGAAATTGGATGTTTCGAAGCGTCTAGATGCGAGCTGCAGGGTATAGATCTTGAAATGAGAAGGTCCTGTTGGGGAATCGTGGAGACGGAAGTTTAAGGATTGCGGGTGGTAGTTATCAAGTTGAAACGTTGGAGGACCCCGGCGCTGCATTAGGCGAGATTCAGGGGCAGCTGGTTTCTTCGCGCAGATTCTAATGAAACAAACGGAAGATTTTTATTTGCACAGCGTTGCATAAGTCAAGGCTGGCTTCAATGATGTATCGATGGACTATTTCCTTGGGCGTGTAAGAACTGGATATAAAAGTGTCAAGCCGCTGACTGGGCTGGGTGATTGAGACTACGAGCGCGACTTCGATGGTCACTAGCCTCTCGCCAAAGCCAACCGAGTCCAATTTTGTTTGTAAACAATTACTCCGTCCTAGGCCTTGCAGATCGACGGAAGTGTTTGTATCTTCGGAATAATTCCAAACTCAATCTTTCATCGTATCATGTTCAATTGTTGCAAATTGCCTGGGGAGATACGTAAGGAGTCCGCATGCGTCCTTTCATTTCAATCCAACAAAACTACATTTAATTACCTTGTGCGCTCATGAGAAAGGTCTCCAACCCATGCCGCAGCTCTATTATGTTTTCATGACTTGTCCAATACATCGACCGGGCTCTTGGAGGTGAAAACAATCCGTACTTACGAAATTTTTTCTTTACTTCGCTGCCTGCTACATTTCTGCCCGAGTCTTTCTTGAAGGCGTTGAAGATTTACCGGCATTGCGATACCTAATGTCATGTCGCTGATCATTTCTACAGCATGAGGCGTGATATAGGGAGTATATGGAGTAACGATCTGCAGTGATACTCTGGACAGCCTGACATTTGTCTAGGTAAGCATTTCGTGGCGTGCTATTCTGAGCTTTTCTCCTTATGGTAGGGATTGAGCTCGGCGACAAAACAGCTCCCTATTTTCACCGCGAGAGCTCAGAATGGGGGTTGACATTATGTCTCAATGCATTGAACGCAACAAAATTAGCATATCTTACCAGCCCAGCATTTCAAATTTGCGTTCATTGACAGAGAATACTAGAATTCACAGTCTAAATAGAACAAGCCAAAGGGGAAATAACCAGAGATTTTGCCATGTTCAGAGCCAAAGAGGATTGATTCTATTACTTTGGCAATCGAAGTCCCAATGAACTTGAAGGAAAGCCGCCGTGTATTCTCAAGTATCAAGCAATAAAGATCCAGTACAAAGAGGGACACACAATCTTCTATCCATACACTTTTTCCCTCTGCCTAAAATCGCTCGCCATTCATATTGCATCTCTGTATGTCGAGTCCAGCTCAACAGCAACCAAACACATCAATAGCAACAGACTTCACTCAACGCTTCTTCCGTCTCTGCTTGCTAGAAACAGCAGCATCCAAGGACTGTTGGATTGCCGCTGCTTTCCGGTCTTCCTCTTCCTGCCTCTCCCTCTCCTCCCTCTCCTCTTTGTTCTTGCGGCGTTTATTTTGGCTAGCCACACCTGCATCGACCATCCTATCTTCAGCTGCAATTTCGTCTTCCAGACTATTATTGCTCTCTCTATTCTCTGTAGTCATTTTGAAAAGGATGCTACATGTTGATGGCGTTAGTTACAAGTCATATAAGATGTGAGATAGATGCTCGTACTCTGGTGAACCGGTGTATCACCTCCTGCAGAGGTCTGATATCCTTCCTGGAATGTGAATAACAATGGACGATATATGATAGATAATGTGGTAGTCTGCGTCTGGGATGATGAAGGCAAGTAATCCGCTGTATGATTTCCCCGTTTGTTTTCTTAGGCGATTTGGATATTCGGTGAAAATAAGATAGTAGATGATCTGAATGGAATAGAACGTGGCATTTGGAATGACTTTATAGGGCAACGTCCAGTAGTCGAATGATGTTCTGAGGCTATGCTGAGACCTAACCGCCGTCATTCCAGAAATATACGTTGGCTGAAGATCCGCCATGGTACATGTCATAGGACCATGAAACTGGCTTCGGCCTCCAGGCCAGGACATGATTGCGCTGTGGCCAGTCGTTTAGTTAATCAGGGAGAAATGAGCGTCTCGGTATTGAGACTCTAGTGAATTATATCAACCAACAAACTGGCGACAGGACTCTGGCTCGCCTTAAACGCCGAAAACACACTTTCCGGAGCACAGCGCTGAAGCGCGGCGCTAAGGCTGCCTTGAAGGCAACGCGGTATTCAAATTTCAGCGTTCTTCGCTTAATTCCGGGGTCTGGATACAGGCCGTGCACTGCCTGTAAAAAGTGTGTTTGATACGGTAGTTGAGGGGATAAAGCCCGGGAGCGTACATGACACAATAGAATGATACAGGTAGCAGAGGATATTTAGGTTATGGCAAACATTTATTTCGTCAGCCCAATAATAGTATATAAATCAGGATCAGTCACCCTTGTGGAATATACATAAAAACTGGAAATTCTATGACGTTCAATTGTATCATCGGTTTCGCACTTCTCATTGAGTCGTTGGGGAAGCCCTGGTCACAGCAGCGTCTCCAGTTCTGCAGGCCCGCCCCGCCAGCCAACGTCTGAAACACCAGCGCAAATAATGATGGAAATAGGTACAGTCGCGATCGTAAAAGGCGCGTTGGAGCGCTTAGCAGCCTTCGTTATTGGAGGCGGAGAAGGTGAATTGCAGACAACAGACAGGCGAGACAGGGTATTAATTCTCGTCCAGTACCGCGGCCAATCAGGATAAATCTCAATGCAGGACTTCAAGATTAGAGTCACCCCACCGCCGCCAGTTTATTCTGAACCAACATCAGGAACGGAGAGAGGCTCAGATCATCTCAATTGAACTTCGTGTCCATCCCATCGTCGCAGAAGGGAAATTATCCTGGTGACCAACGAGCCAGCCAGCCTTTGGGCCCATACTTCTAGTCCTTGTCCTCAGCTTTGTCTCTCTGCAACTTTGGCAAAAAGCTTTCATTCTTACAGTCTTGGCCGACTTCACCATTTTGGACTACACGGAGTTCTACAGCACAAATTTGGCTACAGCATAGTCTCTCACAGTTTCTGAGACGCTACATACGATGGACTGCGCCAGGCAAGATTTCGACGAGCTCGCTTGGGATAAAAACGACGAAGAATGGGAAGAGGCTAAGAAAGCGCTGAGCAAGAAGTCCTTGTGCCGTCGTCTCGAATTATTGGTAACGGAGAAGTTTGGACAGCCAGCAACCTGGATTTCGCCAATGATCATTGGCGGATTCAACAACCTATATCGAATACACGTCGAAGATTTCTCACCCGATGTTCTAGTCCGACGACCCTCTATCAGTCAAGCCCAGTTTCCAGAGGAGAAAACTCTTCGAGAGGCAGCAACTATGAAGTACATACTGCAAAAAACTCACATACCCACTCCGCGGGTATTTTTCTACAGTGCTTCCTCTGATGTCGGACCATTCCTCATCATAGAGCGAGTTGAGAATAAATCAACTTTGTCACATGCCCTAACTACACCCGGACTTGATCGTTCAGTTACTCATGCCTTGGATCCCAAAATTTCGCACACGAAACTCCAAGATCTCTACCTTAAGGTAGCGAGTATTGTGTTGGAACTCTCACACCACAAATTTAAACGAATCGGATCCTTGGTTGAAGCAGACGATGGTTCTTTCGTCGTTCGTGGACGACCCATTACACAGAATATGAGCGATATGCTCCAACTTGCCAACATTCCTTCCGCTATCTTCTATCCAGAGGACAAAACTTTCGGTTCGTCTGACGAGTACTACTTGAATCTAGCGCAGGGCCATCTAGCACAGTTGATATTCCAGCAAAACGACTTAGTCAAATCAGCAGATGATTGTCGTAACAAGTACGTTGCACGACACCTTTTCCATCAATTGGCAGAAAAAGGCCGCCTTTCTCTATTCGGCTTCCGGGAGGATAACTGGTCTGCCTTATCACGAGCCAAAACTTCCACTCTCTTGCCAAGCCCCTCGAACACACACTCGTTTAGGCTCTATGGTGATGACTTCCGTCCAGGAAATATACTTATCAACGAGGGCAACGAGGTTGTCTCGGTAATTGACTGGGAGTTTACATATGCTGCACCCACACAGTTTGTGCTTGATCCTCCCTGGTGGTTGTTACTTGACACTCCGGAGATGTGGGATGCCGGTATTGACGACTGGGTGGAGAGGTATAAGTCTTCACTTGAGATATGGCTGTCCGCCATGAAAGAGGCTGAAAATAGAGAAGCTTATCAAAACCGTGACTCCAAGTTTACGGACATACCTCTGTCGTCATACATGAGGGAGAGCTGGGAAACTGGGCGATTTTGGTTGAATTATGCAGCAAGGAAGAGCTGGGCACTGGATACCATCTACTGGAAGTTTTTGGATGAGAGATTTTTTGGACGAAGGGTAGATCACGTTGAGCAGAATGAACTTTGGAAGACAAGACTGGATCTTCTAAGCGAAGGAGCTAGGAAAGCAATGGAGCCGTTTGTACAGCGCAAGGTAGAGGAGATGAAGGTGCGGAAATTAATCCACTGGGATCCGGAAGCAGCGAGGGCTCGTCTGAAAAGAGTGCTCCTAGATAGCGGAATAGATTAAAGAGGGAGTGTTTCTCTGAAATGTACTGGCGGGTTCCAATGCACGCGGGACTGGCAAGAGCCGGTCATTTGAGGAGTTGGAGCAGGTTGCAATGTGATAAAATAAAAGCCATTGCCGGTTATCAGAATGGGCCTTGACTAGAGCGAATTCAGAAGGAAACATACTAAGGCAAAGTATCAAGGGGAGAGTCACGATAACTGAGTGACGACTATACTAGTTTGAGAATTGAAAGAAAGTCGATAGCATCGATGTTGTAAGAACACCCCCTCAAAATGCAGAACAAATTGCTAAAGTCCTGAGCATAAAGTAAAAGAAAGTTTATAATCTCTGTCAATGGAATAGCCCTTTTCAAGCGATGTTTCGACTAATTGACGCCAGTGGAAAGTGACGCAGGTGGAAAGTTACCTACCTAATGTAGGTAAGTACCTGGACAAACGCAATCTCGTGATCGACAACTGACCCCAGTCAGGGGTTGGATATCCTCGCAGGCGTTCAACATCACTGCAAAGTGAGTGACCTCTTCCAACTTCCAGTCACACAAGACTGTGGTATTTCTCCATCAGAATCTCAAGAACCAGTAATGGCTTCCACAATTTCCCATAAACGAACAAGCAGTGCTGCAGATAACAACGCAATAGCACCTGAGCCGAAACGGCAAGATCGAGAGGAGGACTCGAAAGACACCTCTGCCTCAAATGTGTCGACAGCCACTCCTCTATATGTTTACGTGGTGATGATAGACTCATCTCCGCAGTATAGCGATGCGACTTCAGATATCCATGGCATTTACGCCTCCATCAAGGACGCCAACAATGCACTGAAGGGGATTGCGAATGGCTATGGTGGAGTACTAGATTGCTCATTTGGCGCTGAACCCGATGGCCGTGTCTTTTGGAGCTGCCAGGATGCTGGAGAAGGCGAGAGCATTGAGTTGGGGATTGCGAGAATAGAGGTTAAAGACGAGGGGTCCGAGCCCGAACGTAAATGGCGCGATTTCAACAAAGACTCTGATGTAGAATCTGGTGAGAGTCCAGCAGAGGATGAGGAAAACGAGTTGGACGAGTAGGATATGATCGAGTTAAGGTAGCACGAAGACTGAAATGAGATCAGTGGTCGTGGTGTGGTAGGAGTATCCTTCTATAATTGGCAGCAGATTTCGGACCGCGCTGACCCAACGAAGCAAAGTATAAACAATATTCGCTATGAAGGGATTCTGAGTCGTTCAAAGGGTGTCTCGTAAAGAGAAACTTGGGTTTTGTACTTGCTTCTAGTAATCTAAGCACGAATTATAAGTCATAGAATTCATCGATGCCGTATATTCATTGTGATTGAGACGTGGGTGTCTACCAATATCAGTCTTCACAGCATTTAACTATGCCCTAAATTCCGTTCATTCTTGGGATCTCCACCTCCACCATTCTCTCGAAATTTTACTCTGTGTCGCTTTCCACACTGTCGGACCTGGCGCCTTCCAACATGGGATGGTCTCTAAGCGCTCCTCCTTCAAGCGACAGTTGTTTACTTCCAATTTCTCTCCAAACTTTGCCCATATCAACAGCACAAACATCCCATAATTAGTATAGTTAGGACCGGACAGTCAGATAAGGTAAGTTATTCAACCACGGAACAATTAAAGACAAAGCTAAGATTCAAAAGTCATAATACCTCACAAATTCCCTCCAAGCCAGTCCATTCGCTTCAGCCCACACCATCCATACTATTATATGTCGACGGTCAAGCATTACACTGTTCGAAATACTTTCAAATAATGGAGTTTCCTCGACCTGAAGTAACATCCATCAAAGTCTTGCTGTCCAACGAAGACCCTGCCATAACCTTCCGGCCAAGTCAGAATCCATGCCAAATATCGGAATCTAAAGTCGTTGAACCCATTCATACTATCAGAAGCGTAGACGGTGCATCGGACACGGATGGAGAGTCCTCCATGCCAAAACCAACAAGATCCAAGACTGATCCCCTGACTCCGAAACGAATCGAATCACCTCACTTTTGGAAGCCTACAAAAGCCAGCAGGGCCAGGAGCCAAGCGACAAGAGCAAAAGCCAGTCGGAAGAATACAAGTGGCAATGAGACCGTTGTAACGAATTTCCAGGATACCAAGAAGAGTACGGATGCTGAGGAAGCAGTCACAGTGACTAGCCAGTCAGAGAGCACATCTAATGGAGCCATTCCTTCGGATATGACCGAGATATTTGTGGTGTTGCAATATGATAGCTTGTTCCCACATTGCAAAGCCCAGGGTGTTTTTATGAACATTGTTGATGCAAACAACAAGGTATGATGCTCATATATGAATTCCAGACTACATACTCAAGATATATCTAGGTCATCGAGCTTTTCAACGAAGACGAAGCACAAAGGGGTAGTGGAGAGAATCGAGGCAAAGTCCAACCATACATATCCGAACATGGTTGTCTGCAATACTACAGACATAAGACCAATCCAAAGGGTATGGTATGGGTTACCAGAGCTCCATTATACAGGAGCATGGCTCATTCGCTTGCTCCCTGGCCAAATGAGGAGGAGATGACGGTGTTGTGGAGTACTTCCGGACCTGCTAGGAGGAGAGCTGCGGGATGGGATCAGAAGCGTTGAGTTGGATTGGGCACTTGCGTGGATTGCGGATAGATATAGGGTTCTGGTGGAGAAGTATGGGCTCTCTCTTCTTGGAATGCTAGAATGATTGATGGATGGAGCGGTTCATGACGAGAAAGATGTTGTGATTGTATTACTGAGCCCCGGGTCACAATCAAAAAGAAAAAAACATGTATACTTTCAACCCCTTCGTGTGGTTTGGCATACGAGTCTCTCCAAAACGAATCACGTAATTTGGTGCTCAAATTATGCGAGGACTAAAAGCGATGATAGCCCTAGTTCATCCCAGCGATTTCCCTGTCATGCTTCGACACAAAGTGAGGGTGATGCACACAGTAAGCGTGAAAGTAAGGAGTAAACAAGAAAAGAAGTCACCATGTTGCTGAAAAGTACTCATTTCTCTTTGGAAAACCCATGTCAAGAGTAACACTTGGCTGTCATGAAGCACCACTATCATTAGAATTGAAGAGGAGAGGAAAAGAAAGACATCGGCAAAAAGTTGATCTCAAGTCCCGTAGGAGCGAAACCAAAACCGCCGCAAAAAATAAGCAAAACTCAAATGACACCTCTTTCTTTTGGTCAGAAATGCCGCCTTAGAAACCCTTTTAGAAACGGTTGAAGATATATGTTTCATTCGCTTCGGTTCGTTATTGGCGGCGCTATCTTTTGCCTTTTTGCGAAGGGAAGTTGCGTATTGGGGCAGATATAGGAGGTAGAGATTTAGGCAAAGTACAAGCATGTGTGGATGAGATAGATTTGGAATGTGCCTTTCGGATACGAAACACTGAAAGCAAAGTTAAAGCGTTAATGAGTTACGTATCGAGATGAAGATAGGGAAAAAGCAACTGCACCATAAGCTCTACTACAGTCCAAGGGTGGTGAAGTGCTGGCTGATATTCCTTCTATGGCTCTTGCTTTGGGCCTGCAGAGTCTCTTTTGTTCTTCAATACTGACACAGCCGAAATTGTAGTCATTATGTGGGCGATTCTCGTTTGGATCGTAGGTGGAATTCGAGATTTAGCGTCAACTTTTCTCTCAGTAAGGCTTCCCAGCACTTAACATCTGGACTCAAAACTCTCGTTCGGTAGAGCTAAAGGAAGATCCAGATAGACCGAAACAATTTGAGTTTATACGCCTCGCTATGCACATATGTCCAGACCAAGAACTGAAAAGAAAAAGATGTCTATTGATCTAGTCATGTATCCATAAAGCGTCTCTCCATCTCCTACTCCTCATATTCCACTACCATCCATCCCACCAACTCCCTGTATCGGCGCAAAAATCCCTGTCACATACCCTTCCGCATCCGCTGAAATCCTGGCCATATCAATCCTATTCTCCAGCGCATTATTGACCCCTTCCACAACAGCCCTCTCCTCCATCACACTTCCCATAACCTGCCCCTCCCTTACCCAATACGCCGCATTCCTCCCCCTCAATTCCTCATCTCTCAAAATCGTGTTCCTGAGAATGCCCGTAGCATTCAGCTTCGCCCTCGCAGTATCCAGTATCCTAGTCGATAATTCAATACGTTCGGGTGTCGTAGGCGGCGTCACGAATGCCCGGTTCGTGCTGGACAGATACAACATCCAGCCAAGCAGCGCATCGAGAGCAGCAAGACCTACACCGCGATACATTCGCATTTTCCAGAAGAAAAAATCGAGGTCTTCCGCGCGAGTAGCGCGCGCATTAACTTGGGGCTTGTACGAAGACACGAGGTATATTTCGAACAAAGCTAGACAGGCTGCGCCTATGGTGGCGGTGGTGCGCCATATGGCGCCTTCTTTACCGATGAAGAGGCCGGAGGTAACGAGAGCGAGGACGAAGAGGTTGAATATGTGCGGCGCGAGGACACTGGGCATGGAGTAGTAGAGGTAGGAGTTTGGGTCGTCGGAGTTGCAGAATGTGCATTCTGCAAGGACGGAGGGTCCGAATTGAAAGAAGAGGAGGCGGGAGTCGAGGCTGTTTAATCGACTTCGCAAGAGATTGTCTGTTTCTGTAAGGCCTGATGGGCGCAGGGCGGATAGTCGTGTGAAGAGGACATCGGTGGGGGTTTGGATTCGGGATTGCGTGAGGGTGAAGATGTTCTCGGGATTGAAGATGGGGATGGTCTTGAGGAGGAAGATGCCCGATGTGACGAAGAGGATTGTGAGGGCGCGAAAGACGTGCGGGGGAACTGGTCGAATCGATATACCGTGGATGGAGGGGGCGGCGCGTATGGAGCGGTAGTATGCTATGCCTTTGGGGAGAAGGATTGGGCCGAAGAAGAGGAGGAGAGACTTGATGCTGTGGAGAATTAGCAGATGGCGAGATTTGGACTAGTTATCACTTACGTCCCCCAGGATACCGCCATAATGAATAGGTGGAAGCAACTATGCAGCGTTGAAAGTCACAAAAGTGAAAGTCAACAAGACACAGTCGCAACTCTCAAGGATCTGAGTCTATCGTGAGATGGCAGTACCTGGCTTGGCACTCCACCGCCATCCAATTCGGCTAGCTTCCATATCTTAGCTCCATCCGAGCATCAAAAAGCTCTTTCAAATTTCTGTAGGTAGCTTTCTCAAGCACAAAACTTGAAAACTTTGAACTCACATTTCGCGTGCAAGGAACGAGCATTTATCAAAATGGTTTGTATATAGCTATTCAATGAGCTACCTTATAATTTCTTAGGCTCTCAATCCTCGAACACCAAAATCCATCCCACTCACACAGTGGCACTTTCGAAGCTTTGGGCGACTCTCTCTCCATGGTCCTCAAAGTCAAAAAGTATGCCCAGATCTAGCCCAAGTACTCTGCCAAGAGTCATCTCACTCGTGTTGCAGAATCCTAGCTTTCAAGCGATGGGGATTTTTGCGTCTTTTTGATGAGAGACATTCCTTCTTCAATACCGCTCACATAGTTTTGTGCCCATGCTTTTGCATCATGCCTGCCATAGCAAAGCAATCGATGTCCGTATCTTTTCCTGTAGGAAATCGAACGTGATATGTATCAATCGAATAATGCCCTGACCCTCCTCGAACCTACAACTCCTTCTTCTCCCCTCTCGCAGCGCCAGCCTTCTCACCCGGAACCTTCATAGCCTCCTTAGGCACCTTAACACCATCACCCTGTACCAAAGCCACGAGCGCAACAATCGCATCACTAACCAGCAGAATTACTGCTCCACATGCCAAAGCCCACGCCTGAATACTGACACTTCCCAACGGCGCGCGCGGGAACGACAGAAGCCATTCGGCGTAGTATGGGACCCAACCCTTGGGGATCCAGAACATGGCTTGTTTTGAGTACCAGAATTGGAGAAACATGCGTAGACCGTTCGTGCCGAGCCAGCGGAGGGTGGAGACGGCGCTGTCGAATTGGGATTTGGTTGTGTCGGTGGAGGATTCTGTTTGTATTGTGCGTCAGTCTTGGGAGGCTCTAAAGGTTACTTGCTTGGTGAAAGGGGCAACAGGTAGTTAGGGAGACAAACTGCTCTTCTCTAGCTGTTCGACGACTTTATCATGCTGTCTGCGTAGCTTTGCCCATTTCGCGAATTCGTCTTGGCTGCTGGTTGCGTTCATCTCCTGCTTGATCTTGAAGTATTGCGCCTTGAGATTTTTCTGCTCGGCTGTGGACTTGGATGTCGGGGTCGGGAAGAGGTTGAAGAGGTTCCATAGCTGTTAGAATATTAGACTATTACGAGTATTGTACTATGCTGGTGATGTAGGCTCTTACCAGGCGGTTTATGGTTGCGGCGCCGAACGTGTTCACCAGATGGATCGCCAGTTGGAGGATGAAGACTAGGAGGAGGAGAGAAGGCATTTTGAGGGATATACTGTAGACGTAATATTAGCCCTATAAAAGGCCTGTCGGGGAGGGTGGAATTGTACGTTGCTTTACGTGAAGGCGATTCTCAGATGTTCTGAGCGGAAGGTGATTCTGAAGCCTCATCCAAATCGTGTTCAAAGTTGCCCGGCACGCGAGGCTAGCCCACAAGGCTCCGAGCTTCGATGCAACGAAATGTCCAGATTCAAAACTCACGCAGCAACTTGAGTTTGCTTTCATAAGAATCCCATATCGCACAATGTCAAGAGCTCTGGATCCAGAAACAGCTGCATCATTACAAAAAGCCAATCTCCAAGCTGTCTACAATGACATAGCTTCAGCCCTATCCACCAAATCCTCGGAATTACTAGAAATAGAGTTTCTACCCAAAAGCCACACACTACCAGCTGGATGCAATGTTCTGGTCGAAGGAAACAATATTGCCGTCACGAAAATCAAATTAGTGCAGGCATTTATTGTGGCTCGACAGAGGTCTTTCAAGTCCTTGAGAGACTGTCACGAGGAGAAGGACAAGGAGCTTCGTGATGCTACTGCTGTTATGCTTTTAATGGATCCGGAACATCTCACAGCGGCAAATACACGGAAGAGGCTCATCATAAACTATGAGAATGGATCTAGAAGTGAGCATGAGCACCTTCTGAGGAACGAGCTCCGGTTTGTGGATGGGTACTTGACTTCACGACTTCATCGCCATACCAAATCACCAACGCTCTGGAGCCATCGTCGTTGGATCCTCGAGAAATTCAAGGATTTAGACATGGAGCATGATATTCTGCAAGACCTCAAAACTGTCGTATTGGTCGCTGCCGAAAGACATCCTCGGAATTATTATGCGTGGTCTCATATGCGTTGGCTAGCTCAAGTCTTCGACAGCCCAACGACTCGTATATCAGACGGTCCAATTTCCTGGTCTGGTCATTCAACAATGACTTCTATTGTCAAGAATTGGTGCCTCAAGAATCCTAGTGACACCTCTGGGTTCTCGTTCTTGCTGTTCTGTCTCTTCAACACTAGGCCTTCCAGCACCTCCGCGAGTACTGAATTATGTTCGACAGTCTGTGCAGATATCCTCAGGCTCGCTGTCTCGTTCAATTGGACTCATGAGTCTGTCTGGGTATTTCTTCGGACAGTCGTTGCTTCAAGAATGTGTTCCGAGTCGACCAGAATTAGCTTCTTCCAAGCCATCGAAGCCATTTCCGCCGCTCGTCCACAGCGTCAACCTGTTCTCGAAGCAGCGAAAAAGTGGTACCAAGAAAACCGACAAAGTGTTGAGAGATAACGCGGACGATAATCAAAAAGGAACGCAAATTGCCTTTGCCGCTGAGAATGTCACTTAACGAAATTTCAAGTTGAGAATCTCCGGAGTCCATGCACATCAATATCAGCGAACGTATTGGCATTCCACGTCATTTGCCAGCTCAGAAGACAATGAACGCAATGCAAAGTCAAAGAACAATTTGCCACGGGCACTGGTGCATGATGGTATTTCCAAATTTTTCCGGGCACATGTACGCAGGTTATCAAGATCTCGCGATCCAGACCACTTCTTGATCCCAAGCATTTATTAGAGATCTTTTACCCCTGGCCGGAATATTGTTGGTAAATAGTGGCTTTACCAGGGCCAGGATTTGAGATTGAGCAATGTCCACTGCAGAAGCGAGAGACAGGGGGATAAAAATATCCTTGGATGGAGGTGTCACAGACCTCAGGTATCGTCATCGACAGTATTGAAGACATTGAGGCCGTACTGGATGAATGCTGATAAGGAGTTTGCGGTCCATACACATAGTACTGGATTTGTATCATGAATCTGGGGACAATACAACATTTGTAGGAGAAGGCAGCTCGAGACGTGATATTGATACAGTCCCAGGTATCTCACCCAACCGAGGTAATGCCATGGTTCTCAAGAACTTTGTTTTGTTGTTTCGCTTCGGAAATTCGGCGTGGGGACAAAGAAGTATTTCGGGAATCGAGGAGAAACAAGCTCTTTCTGGATTCATGGATGGTGGGGAGGCAAAATATGTGGAGGAGTCCGTACGGAGGTACGCGGTCTGCAAATAGGATCTATTTCCAGACGCGCTGTAGACGTGAATCTGATGGTGCGTCCTAATGGTGGGGTGGCATTTTTGTGAGTGGGATTTCTATTCGGCATGTGCTTGCCGTATCGAAGATCCACGAGCCGCTTGAGATGTGGCGACACAAGAGTTCTTTGTGGCTGGAAGCAGGTTGAAGATTTCCTGGTGTCAATCCAGCCTGGAAGTGTTGAAAAGTTAAAAGAACAGAGGTTGGAGTTTACCAATAGAAGACCCTAGATTCGCGGGAGAGCAGTTAGTGCTGGGATGGGCTTCCACTCGTTCCACGGCTTCTACGCCATGTAGATGGCGCTTGTCCTTATGCTACCTAAGTTGGGACTTGGACCAAGAGCCTGCCAGCAAGAATTGCGCGTGCATTGCAGCTATTTTGGCTGGAGATATCAGGAGGCAAAATATTCGTATTCACGCCTGGGGTTGTATCGTACGTTGCCCTTAGCTTGATATCAAGCTGTCAAGGGGGCCTATCTCAGCTTGCATTTTCCTCTTCTTCGAGTCTCGAGGGCATCGAACCCGGGCTTGTGAAGGTGTTGCAGGGACACAGCACTGAAGCGCGATTGGGGCAATTATTCACGTCTCTGGAGCTTTTTCCCAGCTGGCTTGTGGCGTGTGTAGCTCGAAATGTCGCGGCAGCCAAGATATACAGCCAGAACGGGCAAATAGTAACTCGCCTCGCATGCTCGCAACAGGCTTTTTTACCCGTACTATACGGAGTACAGTAGATAGGCTGGTTTCATTATCTTACGCAGCGTACAGCAGTCTTGACCCCCCAGCAGGAGTTCGTGCAGGAGCTCGCGTCTGGCTTTGTTCAACCGAGCCACTGCAGTCGTCTGCGCCAAATTCAAAGACTCTACTCTTGACTTGACTTGATGGTGGTTGGGACAGACACCATCAGTCCGTTCCAGTAGTTGAAGATGGCTGGCCCAACCTCCTGCGGCCGCTGCAATTGCATCTGCAGAAATGACAGGAAGCAAAGCAGAGTCAGAAAGTTGACAACGGGATTGATTGCAGGTTATGCACATGACGATATGGTGATCGTGACGATGCAATTCAACAGCAAATATCGAGTGTCGTGTCGTGTCGGTGTCTCACCCACTGATAAATTGCTGATAGGAGTCGAGCTCATCTCATCTCGGCGTCTCCAGTTTTTGCGCTGGAGAGAATCTTGGAAATCCTGGCCAGAAAGTGCTTTGGGCCTAGCCGGCTTGACCTTCGCTAGCAACCACAGGCACCGGGCCAATAGCTGCTACCCGCCGCACAGCGGCCCACCCCACCTTTCCCCTTAACTGGCCGGACCCTGGCTTCTCCCTGGCCCGGTATCCCTGCTGTTGGCCTGCCTGCCTGCCTGCCTGCACTGCTCCGAGCGAGCTAACTTTCGCGCATCGGCCCTCCTTGCTGGTGTGGTGTGGTGTGGTGTGGTGTAGTGTGGTGTAGTGTGGCCCGGCCTCCGTCCCTGTCTCTGGCTCTGCTCGTGTCTTCTACTCATCCACCATCTCCAAGCCACTTCTTCTCCTTGAAACTTCTTCGACAAGTTTGGACGTCTCGCCTGCCCGTGTTCTCTTCCTCTTCACCACTCTCGTTAAGGCCTATCTATTAATTCCAACGTTCTGTGTCAATCGTCAAAGAGAAGAGCAGATAGCTACCGTTGAATTCTTCGGTTCTGCTTCAGTCAACAAACACGAGCCACCCAACCCCAAAAGAAGGTACGTTGCGTGTTTTATCTTTCCGTCACCTTCCCTCCCTCCCTCCCAGCCAGGTCCACCATCAAACCGCCGCCCAACGCCGCATCACAAAACAGCAGGAAGCAGTGTCCGGTTAGACAAACAGTCCCTTCCCTGCCTGCCCTTCTCCAAACCTGAACTCGTCCTATCAAAGAAAACCAATTCTGCGGCATCACATCACATCTCCATCTCCACATTCACCCGCGAAAGCCATCCACGCGGCTTTCATCCGTCCATTCTTCGCCATCACCCCAACAACAACACCCACCTCTCCAATTCTATCGACGCGGACTCTGCGGCCCATCACATCGTGCAATTGAGCTGTGCTGACCTCTGGAAAGTACTTGTAACAGCATAATTTCATCAAAAATGTTCGCCCAAACGCTTCTCCCGGCCCTCGCCGTGTTCGGTGTCGCTGCTGGTAAGTCATCTACAACCAATCCCCTCGACTCTTCTCGGTCTCGCAGATCATCAATTCACTCTCAACGGATATCTGCGGAAAAAGAAGAGGCGATGACCGAATGTTTTGGGAACAATTGGAACCTTTGTACTGACTCGATCTTTTTCCAGCCCAAACTGCAACCATCTGCTCCCAGCCCACCGTCACCGTCAACTCCCAAGCCGATGCCAGTCTGCTTTCTGGCTGCACGACTGTCGCTGGAAGCATTGTCCTTGGTAGCACCGCCAGCGGCCAGATCGCCATCGAGGGACCACAACAAGTCAGAGGAAACTTGACCTCTCAGAGCGCTGGTGGTCTGGTCAGCTTGACAAGTTCCTCCATCACCTCGATCGGCGGAGAGTTCAGACTTTTCAACTTGACCTTCCTCTCAACCCTCCAATTCGATGCCTTGACCAGCGTTAAGACCATCTACTGGGAGGCCCTCCCCGCTCTCCCATCCTTGTCGTTCTCTGGACCTCTCTCCAAGGCCGACAGTGTCACTATCAGCAACACCTTCTTGACTACCCTTAGCGGTATCAATTTGAACACTGTTGGTACCCTGCAGATTGACAATAACAACAACTTGAAGCAATTCGATACCCAGATTGCAAACATCACCAACGCCGTTAACATCAATGCCAATGGCAACCAGTTGGCTGTCACCTTCCCCAACCTGATCTGGGCTGCTAATATGACCTTCCGAAATGTCTCTAGCATCAAGATTCCTTCCTTGGCAACCGTCAACGGATCCATGGGATTCTACGGAAACTACATGGAAAGCATTGCCGCACCAAACTTGACCTCTATCGGAAGCTTTGCAACTGGTGTTGGAAGTTTGGCCATTGTCGCCAATGCCAAGCTCGCCAACATTACTTTCCCAGCCTTGAAGAGCGTCGGAGGAGCAAACCAAATCGCCAACAACACTGCTCTGCACGCCATCGCCTTCCCAGCCTTGACATCCGTTGCAGGTGCCATTGATTTCTCCGGAAACTTCACTACGTATGTATCGCAGCTTATTACTTATCAGAACGTAAGCTAACAAGTGCACAGCCCCGAGCTGCCAAAGCTTGAGGATGTCAAGGGTGGTTTCAACATCCAATCTCAACAAGCCATCACCTGCTCCGGCTTCGAGTCTCAATCCGGCGGAAAGGGAAGCATCATTCAGGGCAAGTTCATCTGCAAGAGCGCCACCGCTACCACCCAGACCTTGGACGGATCTTCTTCCACTACCGGTGGCTCCAGCTCTTCTTCTACACCAAAGAGTGATGCTACCAACTTCGGCTTCAGCCAGGCTGCTGTCGGCATTTCCTTCTTCGGTGGTCTGTTGCAAATGATGTTGTAGAGCATTGGGATGTTGGCGTTTTTCTTGAGTTTGCCTTACCATAGACCTAATCTGCCACGTTCTCATTGTCTTTTTATAATTACAACTCATCAGCAAAACGAAGCAAGTCATCAATCATTGAGCGTTTTGTGCGACCTTCATTAGGATCATTCTGGTTGCGGTTCGGGTTACGTGCGTTTAGGGAATATGGTCTACTGGCTCCGGCTTGGCCTATATCCTTCTCATGTGCTTACGACCTCTTTATTGGACGTTCCGCGTGATCGGCTGTATGCTTGCTGGCGGGCGATTAAGTGAGGTGGTTGTTGCAGGAGTGGGTTGGAATCTCTGGTGTTACTTGGACGGACGCTGATGGTAAAGTGGAGGACATTAGGACAGTCAAATTCCATACACCTTGTACATTGCTTCTGGATCGTATTGCTACTATTTTTTCATTTCTGAAATCGGGTTCCTGTGACAATATCATTTTTGTGTGCTCTCGTCATTCGTGTAATACAATTACTATTTTCTGCCTTCTCACCACATTTATTCTCACATGGCATTCATTCCCATTCTCTTTCTCTCGAATAGATACTATACTTCGGAAGACATATCCCAAACTTCTCATTCTTTGAAAATTGACAATCATTCATGGTCATCCCAACCTGTCAAACTATTTAAGAACGTTCCAAGCACTCATGCCTACCTCGCCTCACTACCTCGCACTCCAATCTTTCTCCAACGGACGGACCGAACCTCCCTCCCCTCCCTAGTCTCCATCTGATGCTGTCTTGTTTGACAATAAATAGAGTACGAGTACTGTAGATGGTGACGAATGAAAAAAAAAAAGTCAATTCGTTTCAATTGGGTGTGTGAGGTTGATGGTGGGCTGTTTCATGTTTTGCAGGGGAGGAGTTGTCGGGAGGGGGAATGCGAAGGATGGGAGGGGAGTGTGGGAGTGGAGCGGCTGGTTAGTTGGTGGTTTGTGTGATGTTTGATGTTAATTGGAGAGTGAGAGTGGGATTGCTTGCGTGCTGTGTGCTCGTCATAACTGGAAAGTGTGAAGAGGAGGAAGGTCTTGTGTGACAACGAGAAAGAAAACTCGACTCAAGTTTAGGTTGAGTAGAGAGTGAGGGTAAAAGTAGACGTGAACAGGAAGGGTGTCGAGTGTGAGGAGGTATTGTCTTGACGGGGGCGGTGGAGAGATTTAAACTGTATTTGTCATGTTTCTCATTCTGTAGGTTAGTTACTATGAGGAGGTGAATTGTTTGTTATGTTATCCGAATGTCTGTCCATTTGTCTCGCTGTCTTGCTTTGGAAGTGGATGGAATTCAAAGAAGACGGAGCTTCCTGTTCTTGAATGTGAGAACAAGGTTCGGAGAGAAGATGGAGAAGACGTGTTGATATAAGCGTTGATGTTACAAATATCTCTAAATATCTTCCTGCTCTACATCGTTGTCTCTCTACCTGTCTGTCTGTCTGTCTTTCTACACATCTATCTAAATATCTACTCTATATCTAGCATGGCCCTTCCGGCTGCTGGTATCTGGAAAGGGCTCATATCTTTCTATGCCGGAATCTATCCTCTCTATTCCTCATTTACAGCTCGACTACACTATCATCACCGTGCAGAGCAATATTCGACCGCCGCCGTGCAATTGATGTCTTTACAGCTTCGCCTTGGGCGTGTCTTGCTTCACCATGATCTCAGCCACGATTCGGCGCTGCACCTTTCCTGTTGCTGTTTTGGGCATGTTGTCTGTGAAATATACCTAGGATCAAATTAGCAAGAGTTCGAAATGGTAACCGAGCTCCAAATAAGAACGAACTGTCCGAGTGGTTACAGTGGTAGGAGGAAACGGAGACATACCTTCTTCGGGACCTTGAACTTAGCCAGCTTCTCAGCAACCCACGCCTTCACCTCCTCCGCATTAATCTTCTCCCCATTTTTCGGCACAATAGCCACCGCAACCTCCTGCCCGTACATCTCATCGGGAATGGCAAAGCTCACCGCCTCGCCTACCTTAGGATGTCTAGCGAGCACATTGTCCAACTCAATCGGTGAGATCTTCTCGCCTCCTTTATTGATCAACTCCTTGATCCGTCCCGTGATGACGACATAACCATCCTTGTCCAACTTGCCCTGGTCACCAGTGCGGAAGAAACCCTCTGCTGTGAAAGATGACTTATTGGCTTCAGGGTTGTTGAGGTAGCCTTTCGTGACGTTCTCACCGCGGATACAGATCTCTGCTTCTGAACCTTGAGGAACTTCTTCGCCGGCTTGGTCGATGATGCGGATTTCTACGCCCTGGCCTATGCCTACACTTCCTGGTTGGCGCTTTGCTGGTGGGAGAGGATTGGAGGTCATTTGATGGGCGGCTTCGGTCATGGCGTATGCTTCCAAAACCGGGGCATTGTAGGCTGCTTCTAGCTGATGGAAGACGGTTGGAGACAGAGGAGAGGAGCATGAGCGAATGAAACGGATCTTGGGCTTGGTTTGTGGAGGAGGGTTCTTGAGTAGGATCTGGTGGATTGTTGGGACCGCGGTATACCAGTTGGCACCATGGGTAATGAAGTCGTCCCAGAATTCGGAGGCAGAGAACTTGAGAGGCACGATCACTGAGCCGCCGCTGTAGAGGGGAGCGAGGAAGCCTGCCAGGAGACCATGGACGTGGAAGAGTGGCATGACGAGCATGGTTCTGTCGGCAGGTGTGAGCTCATAGGTAGCTTTGATGTTTTTCATCGTGCGGGTGAGATTCTTGTGTGTCAATGGCACAGCTTTGGGACGACCAGTGGTACCACTGGTATGGAGTACGAGGGCAATGTCGTCTGGCTGGGCTGTCTCGAGTTTCTGGTTTCCCTTTCCCTTGAGCTTCCCCTCGTCCTTGACATCCAACACTACTTCTTGTCCATTCCAATAGCACTCTGCAATAGCAGCACTGTACTTCCTCGCAGCTCGAACAGCAGGTCCATCTTTGGCATAAGAGCCTTTTGGAACAAGCGCAACAGCGGACTTCAAATCGTCAATGTAGAACTCGAATTCCTCCTGTTTGTATGCCGAGTTGAGGGGAGCTGCAATGCCCCTCTGCCACGCGCTGGCTAAGAATGCAACAATGAACTCGTAGGTATTCGGGAGAGCTATCGAGACAGCAGCTTCAGGAGTGACGCCTAACTTGGCCAGCTTCTTTTGAAAAGAGAGGATTTCAGCAGAAAGTTGCTTATAGGATATGACGAGAGGATTGGGTTTGGAAGGGATGATAATGGCGGTAGCATTATCTCCCGCTGAGAAGGAATTGGAAAGTGTCGTAGCCATAGCGAACTCTTTGTTGATGAACCGAGGATGCTAAGTTATGAAAACGACTGGAGAGCGTTTCTCAGAAATTATTATATCGATTGGAATTTCCAGCAGTGCAATTGGGACGAGAAGAACTAGCTTCTGATTGGCATGTGCTGCACGTAGACTTTGCGCACTTGCAGATGTCTGGACCAACTGACGTCTGATTTCCTCCTGGGCTTGCTGTTTGAAGTCTGTATGGCGTCTTATCGCCGAGATAGGAGCAAGGATGAGCTTAAATTCATGCTGACTAATATTGCATTTCACCGGCTAGCCTCATGGATGAGGCTGAGAGCTCGAGTTCATGTTGACGGCTTCGAAACAAACAACTTTCACATCTCAGCCATTCGGCCAGTATGTCGAATCCTAGCCAGACCCCGACGCCTCGAAGTGGTGGTCTTTCACTCTATGCAAATTTGCTAGACCCGGAATCCACAACCCCTGGCACAATTTCGAAAGGGCCCGTTGTCTTCAAACCAGCAGATGCAGCAGATGATGGGTCAGCTAAGAAACCACAGATAGATTCAGGTAAGTGGCACTGTTTGACAGTCTTCATTTTAATAGTACTGACACATATATATAGCAGCCTTACGGTTCCAACCGACCAAACGACCACAGTTGTCGCAAAAGCCCAAACCAAAACCCTCATTTCCCAAATCCGTGCCAGGAGACACGACAGGTTCACGCAACGTCTCTAGTCCTTCATCTGCTCCCCAAAACCCAGTCCGACCAGCAGCAAAGACTACCTTGGCTGACTGGACGGGCCTGGATGATGATGATGTGAATGGTTTCTATGGAGGGGAGAAGAGACAAAGAGGTGGAAAGCGAAGGAAAAAGAACAAGCCAAGGGAAGAATATATAGCTGTGCAGGACTGGGATGATATTTATGATCCGTCGCGACCGAACAATTACGAGGAGTATAAGCACAGTGATGAGAAGATTCGAGAGGTTAGGGAGTGGAAGGATCGGTTGTATGCTCATAGGATGGCTAGGAAGTCAAGCGAGAAGGACAGTGATGAGGAAGATTACCGTCCACAGATGAGCAGTGAGTTCTGGACTTCTTCGATTCTGGTCCGACTTGCTGAAATGACTAGATCAATTTGCTCCGCCTCCGAACTACTCTTTCGCACCACCTCCAATGGACTCTCTGAAGAAACCCCAAGAGAGCACGGACAGCAACGTGGATTCAGATACATACAGTCCTGCACCCCCTCCACCACCACCTCCCGAAGATGTTCCTCCTCCAGCTCCCGAATCGTTGCCCGCGGGGGCGATATCCCGAGCTCCCGTCCGTTACAACCTTCCACCACCTCCAAGCGACATACCCAGCTCAGAAGCAGAATTAGAGAAAGCTCTTGCAGAAGAACCAGATGACGATGAGGCTGAGAGTGAGGATGCCCCAAGATCGTTACGGCCTGGTCAGAAAGGCTTTGCAGAACGATTAATGTTTAAGTATGGGTGGAGCAAGGGCAAAGGTCTTGGTGCTGAGGAATCCGGAATCGTCAATCCTCTTCGTGTACAGATCGAGAAGCGAAAGAAAAAGTCTGATGCTGAGGGAGGTGGGTTTAGAGAGCCTGGTGGACGGGGCAAAATTATAGGTGGGAAGAAAAATGTTCCTGAGAAGGAAGAGGAAGTGGGGAAGTTTGGTCCCATGTCGGAGGTGATTGTTCTGAGGGGCATGGTCGATGGTATGAACCTTGACGAGGAGGTTGAAGGCGCTGGAGATGGAGGCCTGATGCAGGAAATTGGGGACGAATGTGCTGATAAGGTATGGTGGATTATTCAGATCCTGCAGATTTTGACTGACGAGAATAGTATGGGCGAGTGGAACGCGTCTATATCGACAGGCATGGCACCTCTCCGAAGGTCTTCGTCAAGTTTACGAGTCCTCTTTCTGCATTGAGGGTGAGTTCTTATATGCACTTAATACTTTGCTTACGTACTAACAAAGTTAGGCTGTTAATGCACTGGAAGGGCGAATCTTTAATGGGAACACTATCTCGGCACTATTCTATGAGACAGAGCGGTTCGAGCAAGGGCTCTATGACTAGACACTGACTCTTGCCAAAACAACGATATCTAGAAAGTTATCTTCGCAATAGCGCCACTTTTTCCCTGCTCTTCGTATAGTGACAATCTTCGTCAGTACCAAGCAGAGCCTCGTTGATATCCTTTGCCCACATCCTAACATCTGGAACTAAGTTTTTGGGAGCATTCTGCGTGGATGTAATGGTACTCTTAGGATCTCTAGGAGTATTTCTTGCCTCTGATGCCGCGAAGCTCAAGTTCGACTTTCTTTAGACGCAACGCATCTTTATCCAAAGCTGCCCACCAAATTCTCCCATCTTCCTCCACGTCCTTGACGTGATCCATATTTCCGGTTGACTGCTCCTCTGCCCACTGACTGGCGACCTTGTTGTTCGCATCATCCAGATTAGTGTAGGTTTCAAGAAGCCTCGAATTAGATTACGGTAATAGTGACTTGGGACTGATTCGTATAAAGAACTCGTACTAGGGTCGTTGACTTGATATGTGCGGTACGGGAACTGAAGGCTTGGATACGGGAGTTTGTAGTACTGGATGTCTCCGCACTTTTCTTACGTTTTGACGTGGACACAGATGACGCGGATGATGTTTCTTTGGAAGGTCTGCTTCTTTCGCTTCGGCTTAGGGGAGTCTTTGTTATTGAGCTGCTTGACTCGCGTTGGCGTACGACGCTCGACAATTATTGTGGATGACGGTGCCGTGGATGTGGATCTAGACTTTAGAGTGGAATCGTTGTTGGTACAGGGTGGCGTGGAAGAGTTTCGATCTGCTTTGGGCTTTTTGTTTGGATTTGCTGTGGAGGAACTGTTACCATCAGCACTTTCGCCTCGCTAGTTCATCGTTGTCTTGGGACGAAGTTGACTTGAATTGTACGGCATCGTTGCGCGGGGTCTTACCGAGTTCGAGTCTTCCAACTCTGGGTCATTGATTTCGGCAGTTGAGCTGAGAATATGTCATCACATGAACGTGTGAATATGCATTAGTACTTCATATGATCGGACTGCTCTTATCTCAAGCTCAAGCCTCAATGTCTTCACTAGGCGGGCCAATTATCCAAATAACGTTTGAGCATTTGGCTCTCTGTACTTCAGGTTGGTAATAATATAGCTCTCCTAATAATTGAGAGTCTCGTTCGAAACTGTACCATGACCCTGAAGTTAAATTCCAGCCGATGACGCTGCATTTCTCAATTAGAGGTTGGTGGCTCAAGTGATGGTATCAATCCTTTCTGGCAAATTTCGTGTTTTAGAAGCTGTGACTGACATGGCTGGCAGCCAACCACCATCGCTCGTTCTATTTTGCAACAAGCGGTATGGTAGTGCAGACAACGAAACTCGATTATGACTTGAAGCAGGCCATTTGTTTATCCGCCCCACTGTCTCGCTTAATTGAAGTTGACTGCCTATGTAGGTAGGTTCCAAAGTCACGTCAATCGGAACGTTGTGAGAAATCCGGTAATCACCAATGAGGCATTCAAATCAGTAAGAATCCATCGAAAACTTTAGCGCACGCGCATGAATGTGTGACCTAAGCATCTCTCATCAACCCAAGTCCCTGCCACGAGCCAATTATTTCAACCCCCCTCATTGGCTCGGCCCCTCTCCTACAATGTTTTCCGTTGATGATAGCTGCCAATGGAGTGTCCGAGAACTAACCAGATCTAACCAAGACTCCCAAATACCCCGATATGTACCAAGCAGACCTGCCATCTCCGCACGACCCTGTCACAACGACGACTCGCTGCTCACATTGAAGGTGATTCGCATACCAGGCACTTCGTCCTGCGCAGTCACTGGATGACCGGTCATTGTTTAACGCTTGCTCAACTTGAGAATTGACAGAAAGCTACGAACCAACTATTCCCTGCCCTTCAGCTTTCCGAAAATGGGGTTTCAGCTTGCTGAACCAGGATTGAAGACGATTCGCTCCCGATTTCTGTGTAAACCCGCCACGAAGACCCATCTTCATTGTTGGAGTATCCCTCACTGATCGAGTCCTGAAGCTTTCACACATCTTGTACAGGATCCAGCACATGACGAGTCGGTATGTGGTTGTGAGGATTGGTGTTTGGAGACACTGGTGAGACTCGTAGTTGGAATGGTGAGGATTGATAAATTGCTGATACTTTCTTAGTTAGAAAAGTCGGAGAGGAAGTCGATATGGTCTGTATTTAAATAAGATCCCAAGATGGTAGATTCGTTTGCAGCCAGCGCATTTACTTGCAGATCTGTTTGTTTGTGATGTTGTCAGTGGTTTCACCAGTGTTGTAAATTTCTGTCGGAAGTGTTAATTGCACGACAGATAATGGGAGAGTTATTCTTCAGAGGCTGACCGACAAACATACAGGAACAGGAGATATGTATCTATCCACTATTTGAAGTGCATCCAAGTGACGGTACTTAGAGGCTATGACTCGACTCATTGGCCCTGTCATCATCCATTACCAGCCACTACAAATTATACTTCAACTGCCGCAAGGTACAAATCGACAACACCTACACAAAATTGGAAATTTCGAGGTGTGTTAGGTTGTTTGCTGAGGTTCACAGTGGGAATCCCGTCTTGAGGTGGATCTGGAAGTCCGGCAAAGTTCTTCCCCAATAAGTAACAAAATATGCGGAATTACAGCATCGACAATGTTATCGACACGAAATTCGCGTGAGACTGCGTGAAATATCAGCAAGAAACAATGCAACACCGGGGCACTTGCTGCAGAAATGCAACTAACAACCTCTCCAGCACTGCCAGCGCTGGAGGAATCCCAGCAAATTCGGCCTGTGGATCACGACACAAAAAAACACCCTTCATCTCGGAGAAGGTGGCTTCTCTCATCTTAGGGGCGGTAGGAGCTTGTTTTACAATTTCTATAAGTTCTTGCTGTCCAAGTTTGACGTGTTCTGATTGTTTTTGTTGTTTGTTGACTCTTTGACTCGCTTCGCGAAAGTGGGGCCCTTGTATCTCACCATTACGAGTCTAGCAAAACATCGCGACGGAAGATCACTAGGCTCTTGCTTGTAACGAAAACTACTTAACAGTCAGCCTTTATCACAGTATAGAAGATACTGCTCACTGTGAGCAAAAGCTTCATTAATTTATGATAAGGGAGGTGAGGATTCTCAATTCCCCAACGTCATTGCTCTCCACCCAGCTCTTTTTAGGAGCCAGAGGATTTACTGTTTATCTTTTGGAATTAGGAATCATCGCGCCTAGATACGGTGGAGTACAGCGTATTCTTCGACTATCTAAGTCAGACATACAAGTATCAACAAAAAACCCGTCTCCCTGTCCACTTTAACATTTCCATGAAGAGCCATCGAAGCAGTGTGAGCAGTCACGTAACTTTGAGTGTGGTTTGTCCATGGCCTTCAAAAAGTTTGCAAACAGATCATTTGGAGCTATCTGGAGCTTCTTAACCAGTAAGCTGGCTGTGAGCAATGCAAGCACGCGCCCGATTAGAATCCTCGAGCCTGATCGGCGAGTGCAAATTGTTCGCATGCATGAAATCGCTTTCAACAACATCTATGCGTGAACGAGGAGCATCAAACCCAAGGTCAACATGTCGAATCTGAGCTGCTGTGGTGTAAACCCACTCTGTGATGAAGAGGGCTGCGAATCAAGAGTAACGCTGCGGATCTTGCTCTTTAGCTGAAAAAATGCCGTATCTTTGCCAACGAAGATAGTCACGTTCCAGATCTCAGACCTAATTTCCTGATCATGTGTGCTGGGATAGTTGCTATCAAGTCAAGCTGTAGAAAGCTGAATAGTAGCCTTCACAAGGTATTGTGCAGCGAGCTTGATCCCCGGAACATAAACCGAGCAAACCCTTCGACGACCGGGGTCTTGTGCCATATTGAGGATGAGTGCCTTCAATGTGACATCCAGACTTGTAATGGCATTCGTGACAGTGTCGATTTCGTGCATTTCGTTGTCCTTGGCGATCTCTTTTGGCATTTTTGAGGACCATTCCCTCAATGAACAATTCCTCTTCGGCCACGACCAGTTTCCGGATCAATCACATGAGCAGGAACAACATCTTCGTAGTCTTGGACAGATTAAGTAAAGCATATGAAGTGTGGCAATGGTTCACGCGACTCCGAATATGTTTGCTCCAGGTCATCGCCATAGAACGGACAGCAAGTCTTCGGTAAGAGCGAATTCCGACTGGAGCCTCCTCTCACTGGCTTGCATGTTGTGCTAACCTCGTCAGCACAGCTCTATAGTAGTTGAACTCTAAAGAACTCTGACAAATACATCAATCTGGCAAACATGCTCTTAATTCAAAATATAACATTGCAGAAATTCGAATTGTGAGGCAGCCAGCCAGTCGCCTGTTGCACCCAACGCCCATCGCAATGTATATAATACAGGAAACAGATCTATCGTCTTTTCACATCGACTACCCTCTTGAGCCTGATTCGCCACCTCTGGTCTCTGGTCTTACGACCGAACTACTCACGCTGCCACTCCTACTCCCAGCAGCAGAACCCTCTTCGGCGCTCCTCTCAAGGAAGCCTGTCCACAGGTCTGCCAACGACTCCTTGTTCGTAGGAGTCTCAGTAAAGTATTCTGAGGAGAGAGAGGGCGTACTTGGAGTACGGTAGAATGGTGACATGGGTAAGCGTAAACTGCTGTTCGATCCACCCGGTCTCGCAAGACCCGCTTGCTCTTTCTGCTCGTCGGTCCAGTTGAGCAATGATGCTATCAATTGCAGTATCTGAAACTTCTTCGGATCAGACCGGTCGAGAGCAAGGAAGTGCAAGAAATGGTTAGTGACAATTTGTCTAAGAAAGTAAGCATAGGCGGGAGCTTGCTTAACATACGAACATACCTATCAATATTATCTTCCGGTTTGGCCTTTTTCAGATACCTCAAGGCCTTCGTGAGGTGGTCATTCAAAATGATTGCTTCGTGCCGTAATTTACCGACGAGAAGATTCTTCTCCTTAATCTCTTTCTCAAAGGGTTCCAGACGGTCGACCTCGGCCTGTAGCGCTCCCTTTGATGCCTCGGCTTCCGTAGCCCTAGAATCAGAATCCTGGACAAGCTTCTTGAGAGCTTGGAGCTGCTCTTCGTAAGATTCTACCATCTCTCTCAATTCCCTTTTCCGGGACTCCTGAACATCTTGTAAGGCTCTCTGTAAACCTTCCAATGTTTGCGATCGACTGTCTCGTTCAGATACAGCCTCCTCATAGGATTCTTTCTGGATCGAAAACTGCTCTTCCAGGTCTTTGATTCGCTCCGCCAACCCTTCTCGCATGGATCTCTCCTCCATTGCAAAAACCTCCCAATCTCCCATTGCCTCTTTGGCAGCTTCGGCCTCATCTCTCAGCTGCCTGGTCTGCTGAACCAGATCTTCTCGTTCACTGACCCAATTCTGCTGAGACAAGTTGTGCCGATTTCTCAAACTGGACAATTCTTTCGAGGTTTCGTGAGCCTCTTGCTCCAGCCGTTTAATATCCCCCTCCAGACTTTTGACATTGTTCTGCAAGGACTCGTTCTGAGATTCGAGCTCCTCGATCTGCTCCTTCGCTTCGGCGAGTTCTTGCTTATCCGCTTTTAACCTTTCTCCCAAACTCGACTTAATAGTGTTAATGCGCCCTAGGAGTGATTGGTACTGTGTCTCAGCATGATCCTTCGCAGACTCGGTCTCCTCTAGTTCGGCTCGAATAGTTGAAACCTCCTCCTCGTGCCGACCCTTAATCGTAGAAACTTCGGCCGTGTGCTTTGACTCGATGCTTGAGATTTCTTCTGTGTGCTGTCCCTTGATCGTCGCTATCTCTTCAGAATGCTTCCCCTGGATATCCTCCAGCGCCTTCCGCAATTGTTCCACCTCAAGACGAAGAGCTTCTCGTTCCTGCGACATGGCATCGAATCGTAAGCTAGCATCTGAGGTCTCTAATTGTTTGTCATCTGATCCACCCAATGTTCCGTGCTCCATTTGACTGCCCGACTGTGACGAATGCTCGATGGCGTGGCCATTGCTGGTCGAATCATGATTGTGACCATTCGTTTGCAGTTTGGTACTCTCAGAGAAAGCTGCATCGCGAGGTGTATTCTGCGCATCAAGTCAGAACTTCTACATCTTTCTTGATGACATTCGTAAATTGAACAGGTGTCATCCGTACCGCAGCCGATTGCCCTGAGTCCTCATCGCCCTCTACATCCCCATTTTCCGAGCCAGCTTCCTTCCCATTTCCAGGAACCTTGAGAGTTTCTTCAGTCGTCTTCCCTTTTCCCGCTTTTTTCTTCTTGTTGGTCTTCTTCTTGGGGGCTAAATGCAATCAATGTATCAGTAACAACAGACCAGATGGGCGAGGGGCTTCGGAAGCGATGAGACAACGAACCTGAAGAGGAGGACTGTGAGGGATCCGGGGGAGCTACAGCAGACATAGTTGATTCGAGTTGGTTAGTTGTGGACGGTGGGAGAAAAGCCCAACGCAGGTTCTCGTATTCTCAGCAACTCTCAAAGCCCAAAGTGACCTGAAGCGTAATTGCTCCTTTGCGGTTTAGCGCAGATCGTGTTGAATCCCTGCCCAGGACAGGTTGGTGCACGTTTCTTCTTAGTGCAGTCCTGGCCACGAACCTCAATTCTCTTTCAACGTCGAGTCTGGCGTGGAGCTCTCAACTGCAGGACTTCATAAATAGCTCTCATCAATAATCTACAATGAAGGAAACCCACTCCTGAATGCAAGCTTTGTTACGGATTTATTACGCGAACAATTCTCCATTCATCAGTTCGAAATCTTACTCCACAGTTCCACCTCCCCAAAGCGCCTCGGGTCACTCAGTGACCTGGAGTTCGAGCAGCCGGAGCAGCTCGTAATGGTCGGGGAGCTTAAAGAATAGGCTGGCCTCTTCAGAAATGGTTGCTGTCGCCTTACTAAGGAGTAGTTACAGTTAAGCTTGATGAATACGTTTCTCAAAATTTTAAGCTATCGTGCATTTATGTCTTCATCTGCTTCCATTGATTTGCTTCATTCATCGTTTCTCTCCTGCGTTCCATTTGAGTGAAGAGCCCCCTGTTTTTCAAAGGGGTTACTATCGGAATACTAGAGAATGCTTCCAATATTATCCATTAGCTTTTCATAATGGGGTCAAACAAAGTTGACGGAGGCGAAATATCAGAATGAAGCTTAGGCGTTGAGAATGTCCCGCTAGGAGAGGCCCGATGATGTTTCCAGCCGCTGCGGATATGATCAATACCATGCACAGAGCACAATTCAATATTCATAGACATGTATCGCAAGCCTTTTGGAACAAACCAGATGAGGTTGAATCCCTGGCAGAGGTTGAAGTCTCCACAGTTATTGGGCCACCGAATTGAGTCTGGAAGATTGTCTATCCAGGTGGGAAATCAATGTGATAAGCATTGCCCAGATTCCTGCTGGACAAATCGACACATGGAATTTCCTCTCGCTGCATGGTTGCGCGGACTGCAATGAAATGTGGTACACTTGGACAATGTAATATGAAGTATTTTCGAAGGTCCGGGTGGTCTAGAGTAGACAAAAAGAGATGGTGGTAAATACATCAACACCATTGGGACGTGACAGCCACGAAGAGGTGCCTCACGTCAATCTTTCGGTCTTCCAACAAATCCGTCACAAATCATCGACTCCATCAAGGTAGGATTCTGTAGGCACTAAGCGAACCCACCGATACATTGAGTGAAAACTCGAGCCATCAGCAGGATTATAAAAGGCGCTTCCTCTAGGCTATTCGTGAATATGACAGAGGCTACAGATAACATGGAGAATACAGAGTAAACCCCATGCTTCATTGCATACCGCGAGGCGGTGAAACAATGAGCCAGAACAGGATGTATAGGTGAATGCCTTAAGACTGGAGAAGAAGAGAAGACGATCAGCGAAAATTTTGGTTTTGGTGAGGGCATGCGCTAGAGCCTTATTGGGACTAGTCAGATCAGATGATTTGGCGTCGAGCTGAAGCTTGGCATGCGCGACTCCACTCAACCTCGCTTCTTCCTTCTCTCAAACAAAGCATCAACCAGACAACGCCACCTCCGAACTTGAATTCACGGCCGGTCACTGATTAGAATTCCTGGCCCGTAATCAGCCCAGAGCCTACTAGTTCATCATTCGAAAACTCAATTGACTGGATCATTGATTTTACTTTCCAGCCTCGATTGTTGGCCGCAATATGGCGTCTCGCACGTACATGTCACCGACCAAATCCAGTACAGTTGGAATGTCCTCGACGAATATGACTTCTTCTTTAGCCAGTAAAACTCCCTCCAAGGATCAATTGCCCAAGAAACGTAAAGAAGCTCACTCCTCACCCTCATCCACTTCCAAGGACCAACGAGGAGAGGAAGCTGATTTCTTCTCTGCCCTCGCCGCCAATGAAGCCCAAGCCGGTCTCGCATCAACGTCCAAACCGAAGCGCCAACGCAAGAAGAAAGCTGAGGGTGGAGAGCCAGCAGAGAAGCGCGTCAAGCGATTCAGGGTCAAACCTCCAGTCTCGTACTTGGAACGCTTACAGCGCGTGACTACGCAGCGGATGTTCTTGATCGATCGGGAGAAGGGCGTTGGTGAGGATGGGGAGTGTCCCGAGGAGAAGTTTGACATTGCCGGTTCTACGGGCAATATCTACCAGGTTACTATCTCTAAAGTTCCGAGGTGTACTTGTCCAGATGCGGGAAACGGAAATCAATGCAAGCATATTATATATGTAAGTCCAACCCGTGTTACGACCACTGTGTTTCGTACTGAGTATCACTAGGTCATGGTCAACGTCTTGAGAGCTCGTGAGGACTTAGCGTACCAGCTCGCACTTCTCAGCACTGAGCTCATTGAGATCTTTGCCAATGCTCCAGTTACGCCTCAGTCATCTGACAGTGCCCCATCAACTGCTACCGATACAGGTGGTTCTCGAAAGCCAGTTGAAGGAGACTGTCCAGTCTGCGTCATGGAGTTCGATGAGAGTGACAAGTCCGAGGAGATTCTGTGGTGCAAGGGTGCGTGTGGGAACAATATCCACCGACAGTGCTTCGAACAATGGGCGAGAAGCAAGCCTGGTAAGTATTCTCGAGCTCTAAAACTGGCCCTTCAGAGTCGCGGAGTATACTAAACTGACACCCTGCAGGTCCGGTCAAGTGTGTCTATTGCCGGACACCATGGAAAGGTGATGAGGATAGCCTCAAGCGTATCAGCAAGAGCGGACAGGTCAACGAGGAAGGCTATGTCAATGTTGCTGGTGAACTTGGTTTGAGTGGTCAACGTGATATGAGTACGTATCATCAGGTTTGGGTTCGACGTCAGTTCGGCGATGGCTACTATTAGTTAGGAGAGGGGATGTGGAGGGGTGAGGGTGTACGATATGATATTAGCGTATGAACTTTCCATGATGAGGACGATGGCAATGGATAATGGGGCATGGGGCGTTGCTTGGGGATACCTATTTGCTTTTGACGGTACGACACCAGTGTAAGACTAGGCTGCTTTAAAATGGCAGCAACGCAAGAGAGGTCAAAATGGACACGAGCACCCAAGTACTTCCCTTGCATCAAGATTGTTGGGCGATTTACTTTTGACATGAGCTATAAATGAACGAGACAAAGTCTTTGCAACAAAGTAACGCTCTATTTCATTCTTCATGGTTTTGAACGCCGGACTTTTATATTAGTATTTTAATCGAACATAGGGTCCAGGTGGCCGGTCTTAGGCGCAAAGTTCTTCAAATACCGTCGTCTCAACGTCAGTCTCGATCATCTGAATACAGACGGGACTGATGATCAGAGCTAGGCTGCCATTCCCAAGCACGGGATTGTGCAAGGTACCGATTTACACAATCTTTCCCTTATTGACAACAAAGCCTTCCAGAGCAGCTAAAGCAGTCAGCAACCTCTCAGAGTCCTCGCCTAAAATATCGGCACTTACAGATAGCAGCCCAGAGCCTATTCTCCGCCTCTGGGAAAACCAAACTCCTAGGACTATAGAATACCTCATCAGCCACCTCCTCAGGATGCCTCGGCAAACAATGCATGAACTTCCAGCCCTCCTTCGCACCACCCCTCTTTGCCAACTCATTCGTAATCTGATATCCCTCAAAAGCCTTCAGTCTCTTCGCCGATTCCTCTTCCTGTCCCATGGACACCCATGTATCCGTCACAAGAATATCCGCATCTTTGATAGCTTCTTCTGGCACGTTGGTCTCGGACAACTTACCTGGCGAAGAGACGCCTTGGGTAGAAGAGAGTATGATATCCCGCATGCGCGAGGGGATTGTGTAGCCTTCTGGCGCGGCGACGGAAATGTTCACGCCGAGTTTCAGGGCCCCGATTGCGAGGTCGAAGAGCACGTTATTTGCGTCTCCTACCCACGCGATCTTCAGCCCTTCCAAACCAAGACTCGACGCTCCTCTCGCACTGGAAGAAGAAGGAAACGCTTCGTGGATAGTGAGGAAATCGGCGATAGTTTGGAGAGGGTGGTAGTCTTCTGACAGGGCATTGATGACAGGTACAGAGGAGTGTTTTGCTAGATCTGCGACATCGGAGTGAGGGCCTACGCGAGCGACCATACAGGATGTCATGCTGGAGATGACGAGTGAGGTATCGTAAAGGGATTCGTTTACGCCGAGCTGAATATCGTCTTTCCCTAGGAACATGGGGTGCCCGCCCATTGTTGTCACTGCTGCTTCGGTCGAAACTCGTGTGCGTGTTGAACGTTTGTTGAACATCATTGCGACGGTCTTGCCGGAGAGGGCGCCTTGGAGATGGGAGGGTGTTGACCCGGATTTGATGGCAGTTTTGGAGGTCGAGGCATTGCGGACGAGGGTGGTGAGTTCGGTAGGTGTGAGGTCTGCGATGGAGAGGAGATGACGGGGAGCGAAGGGGGAAGTGAGTGGTGTTGCTGGTGATGGGGCGAGCGAGTAATTGCGTTTGGAGGCGGTTTTTGAGAGCTGTTGGAGAGCTGCTCGAGCTGGACGAAGGTGGGCTGTGGATGGCATTTTGCTTGCAGAGTCAATTGGATAGATTGTGCGTCAATTGACGAAAACAAAGAGACGCAAGTAGAAACAGAAGTAAAGCAAGATATACTTCTGTGCGCCGTGAGTCAGAGAGGAGAGTTGAAGCAGGAAAACCCACCTACTGCAGATACTTGAAATTTTGCTCACTTCATGTGAGTCTTTAAATCTTTCCACACCACCCACCACCCACCACAGCCAGGCCAGGCTGCAGATATGGTGGCATGCATGCAGGCATGTTCTAGCGTGTGGATCCGCCCAATGATCAACCCCGGATTGCTTCACCTGTTTCGCTGGTTCAGGAACCAGCGACGAACCGACACGGCAGCATAGGTAGAAATACACCTTCACTGTTGGTACATATCGTCCGTGTACTTGTACTTATACCTATAATGCTGTAAAATAATAATTCCACACAATTTACAACCTCCAAGTCACACGCTCTCTCTTATCGTCATATCAATCTCTCCAGGTTCCTCGACCCACCACCAACTCACAATCAGCGCCAAGGCATGAGTGGCAAGCTAAGATAGGAACCGACGCATCATCCTCAGCCTCAGCGCTCCATCCTCAACACACGACAACCACCTTCTGGCACGACCATAGACCATACAACCAAATACTGTAACCCACTTGACTGGCGCTGGGCGTCAATATCATCATCTGGATAGCCTCACAGTTTCGCCTCCTCCAGCCATGTCTGATAATCCCTCGTCACCGTTGTTGCGACCCAGTGACTCCTCACGACCCACCTCCAACCACTCTCACCAGTCTGGGGAACCCCTTGAGAATACCCCTCTATTATCACAAATAGACAACTCTCCAAGATACGATGGAGAATCAAACCACGAATCAAGCAGACGCCCATCGCCTGCGACCAGATCACTACGCACGATTCAGAATGGCGGGACATCTATCAGGTCAACGAAGGGCGATCGCAGGTGGCCGACTTTCTTTGCCATCGTCACTCTGGGCTTGGTAGCAGTGGCCATCATACTCGGTGCCTTCTTTGCTCCTGCCGTGGTGCAAGAATACGCCAAAGAAGCGCTTGTCATTGAGCCTACGAATCTCTCGATAGACTCGTTTACGGCTAGCGGGGTTAGAGCCCGTGTACAGGCCAACTTCCGTATGGATGCGTCGAGGGTTGGGAACAAGAATGTCAGGAACATCGGACGCTTCGGTACTTGGGTGGCTCGTAAAGTCGAGAGCGAGTCTTCAAAAGTCGAAGTCTACCTTCCCGAATACGGCAATATCCTTATTGGCACAGCGGCTGTACCACCTGTCGTTGTTGATATTCGGAACGGGCATGTCACTGCTATCGATTTCCTCGCTGATTTAGAGCCTGGAAATATCGAGGGGATCCGACAGGTTGCAAATGATTGGCTTGAGGGTCGTTTGGGAGAAATCAGAGTGTTGGGTAAAGCCAACGTTGGTTTGAAGTCTGGAATCTTTCCTCTGGGAACCCAGTCCATCTCGGAGTCGCTGGTATTTGAAGGTCAATCACTCTACCGTTCTTTTGCATCTTTGTACCTTGGAGAGAAAACATTGGGTTGAATTGATGAGTGTTTTAATGAGCATCAGTCTGTAACTCTAGGTCTTGTCTGTAGTCTGACAAGTTTGTTAGACCCTCCAGGGTCATTCGTGTTCTTTGGCACATATAAGTACATGAACATAGAGCTAATTCATCCAGTAGGCAACGATCTTCCAGCTATTCCTCAGTATAACATTACCCGCCTGAACTTCCGGGAAATACCTATTTCTACCAGTGGTCGTCGCGGCATGGCTGCGGATGTCTCACTTGCTCTGGCAAATACCTACCCTATCAAGCTTACGATTCCACCGCTTGGGTTTGATATTCTTGTTGAAAGCTGCAGCGCCGATGACAATTACATCAAACTTGCTGATGCTACAACCGGCACCATCGACGTTGAGCCATACTCCGATGTTAAGGTTGGTGTCGGCGGAATTGTTCGAGAGATCCCAAAGACTCTTCTACAGGCATGCCCTCATTCCCGTGACTCACCGCTAGACCTTTTACTTGGAAAATACATTCATGGCAACGACACCACGATCTTCGTACGAGGATCAAGTTCACCGGATGCCGATACACCTGAATGGATCACCAAGATCATCTCCAGTGTTACGGTCCCAGTACCATTCCCTGGCCATAGCTTCGACAACCTGATCAAGGATTTTTCTCTTACAGACACGGAATTTTTCCTCCCAGATTCCTCAGCAAAGCCTGGATCCGATGAAGCAGATCCGCAGATCTCAGGCACTATCGTCGTGACCGCCGGATTGCCCAAGGAGATGAACTTCGGAATCAATGTCACGCGTGTACGAGCCAATGCCGATGTGTTCTACAAGGGTAAGAAGCTCGGTGTCCTGAACCTGCACAAATGGCAAAAGGCACAATCAGAGAGAATAGAGCCAAAGGATGGAGAGGATGCTGCGTTACGGATCGAATCTCGAATCGAGCATGCACCATTGAATGTCACCGACGACGATGTCTTGACAGATATTCTAATGTCGCTCTTCATCGGCAGTCGAATCACGCTCAAGGTGGTAGCACTCGTCGATGTTGAAGTTTCCACTGTGTTAGGGGAGTTTGTTATCAAGAAGCTCCCTGCAGAGGGAGTCGTTCCTGTGAAACGTTAGAAACCGTTTTAATTAAGTCAGGTCGACCGCACCGAAGCTGACGAGATTTTTACACAGCGATCTCTAGGGGTGGCAATTTAAAACGCTTCATGCCTCAGGTCGGTAATTTGAAGGTTTTAAGCACCAGCAGGACTTCTCTGAACCTTGAAGCACGAGTAAACTTCACAAACCCTACGGAATATAGCGCACAGATACCTTATTTCAACATTCACATACTTAACAATGGCTCCATTATTGGGGACGCTACAGCAAACGACATCACTGTTGAACCCGGTAATAACACCAATATTCTCGTCCAAGCGACCTGGGACCCAACTAGATTTGGCGGCAAGAAAGCAGCAAATATTGGGCGGGAACTACTCTCGCAGTACATTTCTGGATTCAACACAACCTTGACATTCCAAACTCATAAAGACTCCATCCCACACCAGCCAGACCTCGGCGAGGCACTCAGTCACTTCCACATAGAGATACCTACTCCAAGACTTTCAACCAATGGCCCGGACAGCGACAAACCGCATTTCATAGATGACGCCACTTTCCATTTACTGTCTTCCACTGCAACATTCACACTCATTTCACCACTTCAATACAGCACCATCTTCATCGAAAACATAAATGCTACTGCTTTCTACAACCACACAGAGCCAGTGGGCCAAATTCTCTACGATCTCCCCTTCAAGGTACCTCCTGGATCTAGCGAATCGCCTAAACTCCCTGTTGATTGGTCATTTGATTCTGTTGGATATGAGGCATTAAAAAATGCGCTTGGAGGGACATTGAAACTAGATGCGAAGGGAACGGTGCAGATTAAGCTTGGGCAATGGAAGGAAACAGTATGGTATGCAGGGTCTGGGATTGGTGCTAGTGTCAGGTTTTGAGTGGCATAAGATGATAATGGATCTATGAGTCAATGTAAATACGGGCCTTTTGGGGTTTGGCAAAGAAGCAGGCGCTAGGAAGGATTGGGGACGAAACAGGCGTTTTGGAGACACCGGTGTGAACTTGATTGTATAGAATACATAGAAGCAGATCTTTCTCTCTGAACCAATCTATCCTCCACGTGCGTGTGAATTCCTTGCTCTCTCACCAGCTGCTGAAACAAATACAATCGCAGGCACAGTAAACGAGGAAGAGAGAGAAAGAGAGATAGTAGAAAATAGACGCCAACTCCATCCATGTTCAGAACCGATTTTGTGTCGCTTATCCATCCACGTGAGTAGAATCCAGATCATTTCTAAGGCAAGTACTTTATCCTGGGGGGAGAACGCTGGCATCGACGATCTCGTCGGCGTCTTTGATGAGTTCGGCTTCATTGGGGCCGTAAAGTGGGGAGCGAGGAAGGGCCATGAGACCTGTTCGGGCAGATTCGAGGATGCCGAAGGGGGAGATAAGCTTCATGAAAGAGTCGATTCGAGTGGGCTTTGCGGAGCTGTGCTTGGGTTAGTATTCTTGTACTTGAATGGGCTGGAAATCGAGGAGAGTAAGACTTACACCTCAACAATGCAGCTATTCGTGCTGATATCCAGGACCTTTCCACCAAACTGATGCGTGAAGTAGGTAATGGATTTCAGATGCTCATGCTTTAACCTCAACGCCTGACTCAGGGCCAGCTTGCTGGGGTGGAAATCATTTGATTCCGAGTTCCTCTGAGCCCATTCCTCTCCCTCTGCAACCTCCTCCTCACCACCCGTAATCTCCCTGTGATGAGCCATCAACTCCTCAAAGTACTCAGGACCCAGAATATTGATCTTCGCCAGCAGCAATTCACGCTGGACCAATGGAGCAGTCGTGTAATCCAATACAGCCCAGACAGGTACTAGGTCTTCCAATTGGCGACGGGCTTGTTCAACAACGCCATCTTGACCGGACAGCACGATTGTCATGCGGGACAGGTCTTCGACTTCGGTGTTGCAGACGACGAGGGAGTCAATGTTGAAGCCGCGCGCGGCGAGGATACCTGATACGCGGGAGAGAACACCGGGCTCATTCTGCACGAGACAATTGAGAATATGGCGTTTAGGCGGTGCGCTAGAAGGTGAAGGTGTCTCGTAAAGGATATTGGAGACGGCTGCTTGGGCGGACCAGGAAGGAGGTGCGTCGGAGGTTGGGAGAGGATAGACTCGTCTGTGGAGGGCTTTGTAGGCGAGTGCTGAGGTTGAGGAAGCTGTTGACTCGGCGCGGTGGTGTTGGAGGGGGGTGAGCAGCGAGGAGGAGGAGGAGGTTCTCGTGGAGCGAATTGCACGAGTGGGCAGTGCGAAGAGGGCTTTTCTCGAAGCCATTCTGAGGGTTGCGAGGCCACTGGTGGCTGCGATTGTTGCTGATTGAGTCTCCCTGCCTCCGTAGTACTCAATTGAGACGTTCAAATACGGTGAGTCAGGTTGAGCAAACGAGCAAAGAGAGTTCAGATGACGAGAGCGAAGTCGCAGCTCGTACGGAAGTACCCACCGCGAACTCCAGTGAATAATTCGCTTAAGAAGCCACCCCAGTTTTTACAGGCACTTGGCCCGAGCTTACACTATAATACCTAAACGAGGAACCCTGTCACGAAAATCAACCAGCCTGCCAGCCTCACTCATTTGGACCTGCCGGCCTATCCTGTTATACGCTTTTGCAGAACAATATTCTTTACGCAGCCAACATTCATCACTGTCGCTCACACCATACCCACGATGGACGACACAGAGAGAAGATCGGCCAAGCGCTCGCGCTTCGATCAGGAACCCGAGCATAAGAGACCTTCCAGATTCGACAGACGCTCCCGCTCTCCTCCCGCTGTGAAGCCCGAGTCCAGACGCAGCAGAAGTCCTCTTGGAAGAGCTTCAGGTAGTCCAGCGCCCGAGTCCAAGAAGCCCTCTGCGGACCCAGCGGCTGCTGCAGGTAGGGAGCCCAGAGCCTCGAATCTCTATGCGACATCTGCTAACATGTTTGTTCTAGCTGCTGCTGCTGCGAAAATCAACGCCCAGATTCAAGCCAAGAAGGGTATCCAACATGTCGATGTTCCTCCGATTCAATCTACCTTGACTCCAACCCCAAAGTCGGCATCTCCAGCTGCTTCTGGATCAGGCAACAGCGCGGCCCTGGTCAACGGTGAGATGTACATTGCAGACGGCGATTACATACGCGATATCGAGGTCAATGACCTGCGCAACCGCTATACACTGACCAAAGGTTCTACACAAAAGATGGTAAATACTCCTTGTGTTATATTCCACTGATACATCAGGCTCTTCTCTACCTCGATATAGCAAAGTTTGCAAGCGAACAGAATCCTTCATTCCCGTTTCATTTTTCAAGCAGTGCGAGCAAGTAGGCAAAGAGAAAGTATTCTATGTTCAAAATACTGCGAGAAGCAAACTTTTGTATTTGGGGAGTTTCAAGCTTACCTTCGAGCGCTATAGCACTACTACTCACTACTACAAACCCCTCATTGGCATCTGCTGACTCCCGCTGCGTGACATCTAGATCAAAGAAGAGACCGGAGCCGGTACGCTACACCTACCTATCAACTTAACGTTTTATAGAGCTCTCATGTTGACTTTTTAAGATGTCACTACGCGTGGAAATTACTACCCGGACAAGAGCATGGCAACGGCCGCTGTGAGCTTCCCTGTACTGATCGACAGAGAGTCTGCTAATTTGAGGCACAGAACCCACCGCTTTACCTCCACGTCACGAGCACATCTAAGCAAGGTCTCGAGCAGGCTGTGGCGAAGATTGAAGAACTAATGCAACAGGAGCTACCAAACTTAGTTGATGAGCGCCGCTTCAGACGTAGAGAGCCCGAGCAAGTCGAGAGAGATGAATTTGGCAGAGTGTGTACCACTTGGACCATACGGGAACTTTACTGACTTTAACAGCGCAAATGGCCTGAGGAGAAGATTCCTATTGACTTTGAACCCATTCCTGGCTTCAACCTTCGTGCTCAAGTTGTTGGTCATGGTGGTATTTATGTCAAGCATATCCAACAGGAGACCCGGTGTCGTGTACAGATCAAGGGACGTGGTTCTGGTTTCATGGAGCACGGAACTGGTGCCGAGAGTGATGAGCCCATGTATCTGCACGTAGCGTAAGTTTGGTGGAAAATTGTTTGCTGGGATGTCTACTGACTTGAACAGAGGCCCCGATCCCAATGAAGTCCAAAAGGCAAAGGAGCTTTGTGAAGACTTGCTGAAGAACGTTAGAGAGCAGTATGAAGAGTTCAAGAGCCGGCCTCAACAGCAGCGTAGCTACGGCGGTAACACTGGGTACGGAGGCGAGCGAGGCTACGGAGATCGTGCTCCTGATCGATCCAACTCTTACGGCGGACGAGAGAATTCCTATGGCGGTCGTGATAACGGCGGCGGCTATGGAGGTGGTTACAACAACTCACCTGCACCAAACTCAGGTGGTGCTATGAGTCCAACTACCCCTTCTGCACCTGGTGCTGGAAGTCCAACCGCAGCAGCTGACTACGCAGCCCAATATGCTCAATACTACGCAGCTCAAGGTCAAGCAGGTCAGGACCCATATGCAGCTTATGGTGGATATGCCGCATATGTACAGTATTATCAGGCCTACATGGCTCAAGTCGCTGCAGCTCAGCAACAGCAAAGCCCACCTGGTGCTCCTGGCTCTGCTCCTCCACCACCACCTTCTGAGGCACCCCCACCACCCCCTCCTGGTGGCGCTCCTGGAAGTGGATATAATGCTGTATGTTCACCCACAACAGATGTAACAAAATTCTGATGAGTGACAGGTTCCTCCCCCACCTGGAATTTAATTTGACCGTATCGACGCTAATGTTTTTTTTCTCCTCTCTGATTTCTATACTTGCATTGCTATGGTAGGGATGGGAAAATGGCAGGATATCTCACCCAATAGGAAACAGGGTACCCCACAAAACTGATGGTAGGCTCGCAGCACTCAATCAATTAGGTCAATTATAGCCAAAGCGTCTGTCCAATCTTCAGATCTTATCTCGGGTTCTTCTTCGTCCTTGTCCTTGAACGTTAGTCGTTGTCCATAGGAAATGCACAGCTCTTCTCCAGCCTTGATATCTCGAAGTGTGATGTACGTGACGAGGAGGTTCTTAACGTCTCGGTCCCAGCCGACATTCTGGTGAAGCGTTGAGTGATTGAACATGCTTCCAAGCCCGAGAATAACTGCTTGGGTCGTTGATGGAAATTTGGCAGAGTTAGCGCCTTGGGAATTCGCTCCAACAGGAGGATTGTATGGCCAGTTACTGCAATATGTTAGCAGAACTCTCCTCCCTTGCTATCATGTGATACGTACTACGTGTAATTGTATAGATTCGTCTTCCTAATGTGCTCTTCATTTTCCAATGGATCCAGTACCAGAACAGGTGAGACCTCAAGCACCGTTCTTCCGGGAATGTCTCTGCTGGCAAAAACCCCTCTTCCTGTAAACTCAAAATGGTAAGTAAATCAACAACATAACGACCTTTACACTATGGAATGCAAAAACAAAGTCACATATCGCACCTTTTGGCGTATCCATCACTAAAACCAACCCCTCAGACCTCTTTAGCGGTATTCCAGCATCCAAATTCTGTATCCCCTTCTTTGCATCCTCTGTCTTGGCCATACTTGGACCCTTGCACGAATTGGATTTGTGTAGGATGGCTTGATTGCTTTGGCGACAACATTTTCTAACTGGGAAAGCGGTGTACACTTGGGGCGGCAGAATCAAGAGCTAGTGACTACAGCGACGATCCTCCTACTCACTTATTCTCGAACTTTACAACGCAGGCATTAGAACTGTTTTTGCAGACATTCTGATCTTGAAAAGTTTATTTCGGAGAACCATATGTGTTGACAACATCCCAAACATGTCTCACCAACGGGGCGGCTCAACAGTTGACGGTGTCAAAGAACCCCATTCCGTCTCACTCAAAGTCCTCCGGTAAGCATTCCCCTCGTGTACATCAAAGGCCTCTCTAACATTGAACCAGACTCTCCCGCCCCTCCCTCTCAATTCAACACCCCCTCCCAACGCCCTCGCCCTCGCCCAAATCCTCACAATCCAACTTCCCGACCCCCTCCGCCTCCCTAGCATATCCCTCCTCTCAGCCAGAGCCATTCATCCTCTCGCCCCTCCTCACCCTCCCACCCGCCTTTGGCAGCGCATATGTCGGTGAAACATTCTCCTGCACGCTCTGCGCAAACAATGAGATCCTCCCGGGCTCCGCCGCAGCCTCCAAGGTCATCACCAACGTACGGATTGAGGCCGAGATGAAGATCCCCAGTTCAGGCGTCCCTATACCACTCATACTTGGTCCAGAAACAACAGTATCCAATAATACAGCAGAGAATGTGGAAGAGCAAGATCCAGAGAAGAAAGCTGAGAAAGACAAGGACCACAACGGTGTAGATCTCGAACCTGGAAAGAGTCTCCAGAAAGTCGTCAATTTCGATTTGAAAGAAGAAGGCTCCCACGTCCTAGCCGTCACAGTCACGTATTCAGAAACAACGTCCACAAGTGGTCGGATCCGCACATTCCGCAAACTATACCAATTCGTCTGCAAAGGGTGCATGGTGGTACGCACCAAGACGGGTGCTTTACCTTCTGGAACGGGGGAAAAGGAGGGGAGGAAATGGGCGCTAGAAGCGCAGTTGGAGAATTGTGGCGAGGAGATTATCACGCTGGATATGGTTGTACTGGAGACAAGAGAGGGCTTTAGAAGTCAGGGTTTGAATTGGGAAGTTGTTGGACCTGGGGAAGAAATGGAGAGACCAGTGCTGATGCCGGGGGATGTACAACAGGTTTGCTTTTTAGTGGAGGAGTTGCTGGGGGGTGAGGAGAGACCGGAGCCAGTGGATGGCAGGCTAATCTTTGGAATTCTGAGCTTAGGTTGGAGGGGCACGATGGGGAACAGAGGGTTTCTGAGTACCGGTGCCTTGGGAGCCAGGCTGAAATGAAGTTACCAGCTATCGCCGTCATCATCCGTTTTAAGATGGCTGCCTTCATACTCAAAACTCAATACCTACGACAGCATGTCTTGGACAACTGCTCATGAAAGCCGAGGCATCTCGGTCATTCGCTCCGCGCGAGAGGTGGCTGGATATTAAGGGCAAGGCTTCCAAGAAGGACTGGAACATAAGAGCCGAGGGACCAGTCAGGCACACCCCAACCTGAACCTGAATCTATTGGTCGCTTTGCACAGCATTCTGGCCATAGTCCAGGCAGACAGGGAGCTCACATAATGCCACAATCGAGACTTACAAGTCGTGGTACAACTGCCTTCAAATGTATCAGTCCAACGTCCTCAAAGTGGCACAGATGCAGTAAATGTTACCCAGATCACGTTTCAAGCAGCTCCGTCCCGTGGTTCTCGATAGTTTTCCCCGCACCAGTCTTATCCGCTATTCTCATCATTGTCAGCAGTGCCACTTCCATCTACCCGACCAAACAGAGTTGTACTCAGACTTTCATTTTGGAATACGAAACATCATCGGCTGTTGGAGTTCGTACTCGCTCTGCGATGCAATTTGCCTGGTGTTTGATATATGCTGCATTTGCTTGCTGCTAATTAACTGTATCTGAGAACGTGTGTAATTCTAGAAATGTTTTGTTACTTGATTCTTCTTAATAGCATCAGCGTACATGTTAAATCGTACAGTATCCACCACTCTTGCAGAAGCCGTGTCGGAGAACAGGTAATCGCGCCGAGCGCATTGCTGCCTCCGCCAATATGGAGCCTGACCATCGCCAAAAAGTAGATATGCAAGATATTAGATTAAGAAACAAATAATGTGGATTTATATATCGAAGAGGAACTAAATGTGGTAAGTCCATGTGTAGAATTTTCCTACAGCAAGCCCAAGCCGTAAGTGCTTGTTGGAACAGTACCACGATACTTTTGATAGTCACGCCAAGACATTTAAGCGAGAATCAACAAAAACAACTTCCCGCACCGTCCGACCAAAAAAATACCAAAAGAATTGAAGCCTCACTTACCGCCAATTCCTTACGAAAAATGGTCAAAAATTCCACACGAGAATCAACAAGATAGAAAAAAAAGTTACAAAACTCAATTGGAAGCTCAACTCTCGGATGCGAGTGAAGTTCCAGTATACAAACGTACCTGAATACGTTTTCCGAATCGATCCGCCGATGATTAGTGTTCGTTTGCGATTAAAAAAACTCGCTTTGACCTGAACCACGTCGTGGCCGCCCACGGTTGTAAGAAACTGATTATTCTGTTGTACATAGGCATTAGATAGTAGCGTGATTTCCGCAAGGGCGAGCGCCGCGTGCGTGGTCGCTAGCTATGGTTTCGGGTTTCGCGATGTGGAGCCAGCTTGTACCCTCGTACTTGTAACAGGTCCCTTTAGAAAGCTTCAGCGGTGGCATACTGGAAATTTTTCATGATCTTTGGAACCATTTGTCTCTGGATTATGCTTTGTTGAGGGTCATGTGGGTTCTACTGGCTGGTCACCACTTCACAAACTCGATGTGATGCTACAACCATCCAGAGAGAATTCGTATTCCACAAGAATTAATGACTAAATTACGAGGTAATATCTGATTAGGGCTTATTGTTTGATCACTTGCATGAATTCTTGTGCATTCTCTAGTCTACTCCATTCGTGACTGATTTTGCAAATTGGTTTCTTGTGACTTGGCCAGGCTTTACCTTAACGCTGTCGGTTCAATTTTTTCCTCCATCAGATCATTGTGTAAAGTAGATATGAAACCTCCAAGAGCCCCAAAGTCAGAAAATGAACCAGCACCTTTATCTACTCCAATTCCTCATCACTCGCCTTATACATTCCCTTATCCTTTCTACAGCCCTCCTTTCTCCTCTCAATCTCCCTCATCAACCCTTCCATAACTTCAATCTCCTCCTTCTCCTTCTTAATCAACTCCTGAATATCTTTGTTCAGAGTCTCAAACTCCTTCTCCATAGACACCAACTCCTCCCTCTTCTGAAGTATATACCAAAGCTTTGCCTCTTCATGCATTCTATCCAGCTTTTCCTCATCATCCTCAAATGACTTGACTCCTCTAGACTTGGCTTGGGTATCAGAGTCCAACCCATTATCTTGAGCAGAGCGCTTCGTTGAGTGAGTTTCCTCCTCGTCGTCGATGGCTATGAGACAGCTCTTGCCTCTGGCTTCATGGTTATTTTGATCTTGAAAGCCGTCCTTGCGGTTGGAACTTTCGATCTTGACAGCGGCACAAAACCTCTTCTTGGGCATTTCGCACGCCATGCTGAATGATCCAGCTTTTTCGCGCAAGAACTTGACGAATCCTCCACCATCCCCCAAGCTGGGCAATGATACGGCGACTGTGGGGGTTGACTTTTCGGAGATAAACTTCTTCATTTTCATGCTGTGTTCATCTCAGAAAGTGACTTGATTTCAAGAGTTGCAGGTTCAGACAGAATACTACCTGGTATAGTGGTCAAGTCATGGAGAATCTAGCAGGTCTTTAGATGAAAGGTTGTCGTGATGCTGTACAGAGCGTGTCTGAGCCTCGAAAGAGCGCTTATAAAGAACAACCGTGAACAACGTTGTGGTTACGGGCGTAGAGGCGTTGAGGCGTTGAGTAAGGTTGCTTCAAAAAGGATGATGGGTGCAAAGGATGGCTTTTGGAAGAACAGTCGGTCGAAACAGTGACTGAGTTCACGGTGTTAGGTTATCACTTAAACATGGAGACTTTCCTGTTATCGAAGAATATACCACCTTATTGAGACAAGGTGACCCTAGCTAGTTGAGTAAGAGTAATTCACCAGAGTATCTACTTCAGCTTCAATTGAAGAACATTTCAGTGAATAGTCACCTTACTAGGCATCTGAATGTGTGTGTCTAAAGACATAGTAGAAGGATAACATCGATCACTAAGAAACAAAATGTGGGAGGATGGTCTGCTCGATGCAATTTATATGCTTGGGCAGTAATAGCTTAATGCGCTGCTTGAGACACTTGATCTTACTACAAGAAGGTTCCTGCTTAGCAGCTTGATTTGTGGTCCATGAATGACTTTGATAACAATACAATTCAATCCTCAATAATTTCCATTCGCACCATACCTAATGCTACTCGGCCATTTTCCTAAGCACCCAGGTGCTGTTGTATTGAATTTGTTCTTCCTCAACATGAACTTTGGCATTGACTTCGGGTATTGTAGAAAGATAACTAGGTCTGATAACCCCTTCAGATCTATTTAGGTTCGGTCATCCAGACTAGCACGAACCGTTGATTTTGTTGCTCTCCTTGGCGAATAGTATGGCCAAGCTTGGCGATGAGGGCAAATATGTGGCTGTCTCTGTATCCGGCATGTCAACCCCTGAATCCCTCCTTACATAATTTTGGCGGTCGACATCTGCTTGTTTTAGCTCTGTTTTTTCTGAGCTGTTGTTTTCGAGTTCTGTACCGTTAGCGATAGGGCATTCAAGCCTTGAGATGGTTGCGTCGACGCCTTCAATTTCTACCAAAAGAGCTTTCCTCTTTGGATATAGGTCCTTACACTTCTGCCACTTGATCTGCTCACGAGGGATTATCAGCAAGTACACCATCATGTCTGATAATATCAAGCAGCTGATATCAGAAGCCATTGCACATAGAGATATCTGTAACCAGACTATACTGACCTCATTTTCGTGTTGAGCTGTGGATCGATTGGTAAGATATGCCACCACGCGTTGTCGCAGACCAACCCAATGATGGTAAGCTTCCTGAAAAACACTTGGATCATCCTTGCATATGGGGTTTTCGTATTGGATCCTCTTGAGTAATTCAAGGCCCTCATCAGTTGTCTTCTGCAGTTCTTTGAGTTCAGTGTCGTCGTGGAGGACCTTTTGTTCTTCTGTAATGAAATCCCTACCCGTTATTAGCTATGTCATTCCGCAAGTTCCCCAGATTGTACTCACTTCTCGCACAAGCTTGTTTTCAGAATCTCCTTCTCCAAATCAGAAATCTGGATCAAAAGTTCTGCTCTTCGCATCTTTGCCTCCAAAATCTGCAGCCTAGATTCTGGTACAGCCACAAGATTCTCCGTACTGTGTTCGATATGATCCACTGTGGCCTGAGCATCACTGCCGCAGAGGAAACTGTTATGTTGCAGACGTGTACAATGATTGTCGTCTTTGGGTTGGCGACGGTTCAACTGTGATTGCTGTGCAGAGTGGAGCCACGCTTTTGGTCGTGGAGAGGAGCAAGATGATCCATGTTGAGGTGAACTAAGCCATTCGAGAATCGTGTCTGGTGTAGGGTCGCTTGGCATCTCAGGGAAGTCTGGGGAGAGAGACTGTTGAGCTGGGGTTGTCGTAGAGCATTCTTCTTCGGATTTCAATTGCTCTTGCAGAAGCCTCTTACTCAGTTTTACAGCTGTCGCGGGAAGAGGGTTATCCATGATGGATGGTGGAGCGAATGTAATTTCAATGGTGGGAGCAGCCAGTTCATCTTTAGTGAAATCAGCTTCCTCGCGTTCTGGTGGTGGCTGAATCTTCATCTTGGGAGCTAATGGCTATTCCGCTTATAATTCGTGAAAAATATTTTGTGTGAGAAAGATGTGTCGAACCTGCAAGCATGTAACGAATTACTTGGAAGCTTAATGTATAAGTCCACGGTATTACCCACGCAATGGATAGGTTGTAGCCTGAAGTAGACGATGTGTGATGTGACTCGAATATCTCCGTAGACGATTGGATATGAGAGAGAATGAGTAGCGAACTCTTCAGAAGAAGCAGAGGGCGACGCCGCGTTCTTGAATAGCTTCTGCAGTCGCTGGGCAAGGAAGTCACGATAGTGGGCCATATCGCTCCTGCACAAACCCCTTTAGCACAAACCCCGTTAGCATCAATGAAGGCACGAAAGACTAGGTATGCAAGAACCACTGCACATAGTTTTCCATAGATGAAAAAATATATTCATAACAGCAGACATTCAGCAAAAATTCTTTGAATCAAATTCCCTGGTTCAACCCACTTCCTCGCTTCGAGTATTTTGATGCCTTCGAATAAGCGAGATCTGGTTTTGTGACAACGCGAAACCTTGAAGATACATTCACCTGGTTGTATTTGGGTGTCCCTAAGCCATATTATTATGTTTTCTTCGTACTTTCAGTATCAAGAAGCAGAATTGAGAAGTTTAAATCACGATTCTGACGTCGTTTCCTTGTACAAAGCTGTTCGCCATGTCATTGTTTCGCCTTTACTTCTCCGATTCAACCACGAATAACACATTGCCCTCAAAAGGGACCTCTTCCTCATCTTCCACCAATAACGCGTTCAGCGCCCTGATTCTCCCCGCGACCACTACCATCGCCTTCGTGACCTTCTTCTTGAGGACCCGGAGCTCCTCCACCTTCTCTAACGCCGCTGCCTTGGCTTTCAACTCCCGGTCGATCTCCAACAGTGCCAGGTGATACGCGGCCAGAATTTCGGCAACTTTGGTGGCGGTGCTGATGTCCATCTGGCTGCGCGTTAGCTGGTATTAGGTGAAGTCTTGGTTGAGGAAATGCTTACTGTCTTGTTGTGGTTTTGATATGGAAGGTGAATTAAAGGTGCATTTGTGGCCTTTGAGCTACTATATCATGAGTATAGATATTAAGAGATCATGGCAGAGGCAATGGAGCTGAACTTACCGTGTGAAGAGATTGGCAATGCTGGTGTTTGAAGTCTCTGTGTAATGAGTAGCTATCTTGCTCTCCATCGTGGACTTGCTTCAGAGCGGCAAGCATAAGCAATTTTCTCTCCTTTCCGAGACTACATAAGTGTTCTCCATCTGGGACAGTTTTGACAACAAATCTGCTTTCGATTCACTCTCGTTGTCCGTACAAGTATCCTGTGGTGCCATTTTTTCAAGCTGAAGAACTACATCACCACACAATCTGTGCTTTGATCCATGCTGTAAATATACCTGGCTGTACTTGATACCGACTCCTGAATACATATCTTTCAGAGGTTGATCAAAATTCATGGTCTGTCGGCAGCCACTTACACCCACACACTCTCTCCTCCTGATCCCAGCACTTCGTGGCATTCTGTCAGTTATGTATGTGGATGGACTGATAGAAGCTAGAGATCTACTATAACAGGCCAGTCTCAATCCCATTTCAGCAATCACTCCAGGTCTCAAGTGGCATACCGTTGAATCCTTCAAGCAATCTCTTCTCGGGCTCTCACCAGCCGCGAATCCCAGAAGCTAACAAGAATGAAAAGAAATGTAATACTTCCCACAGACCAATCATTGCTTTCTTCACAGTGACAACTTCCCGAGAAAGCATGAAGAGGACCGACGTAGACTGCGGGATCACAATTACGGCTACCTGCCCAAGGAGAGACCCACGATCTTTATTTGAGGTGAAAATTTTATCTCTCAACCTACACCGATGGTGTATTACTATGAGAACAGAGTCTAGACTTTGCGATCCACCAAGGCTGAATAATGTAGACAGAGCTCATCATTTGCCCGCTCCCCAGCAGCTCAGGACCTCTCAATAACAAGATTCTTGGATGCACTTTCTTAGTCAACAGGGCCAAGCTTGAATTAATAGCTTCCAATCATTAGCGTTCAAGTTCCATCTGTAAGATAGTTTTGAAATGAGCTCGTAAAGATGAAATGATTCAGAAGAACATTGCATTCAGTATTCTACAAGTCTATCTCCCCTGTCCACTCAGTCTTTCACATCACATTCGTCAAATTACAGTACTCCAAATTCTCCATGTGCAGGCTCAGGTGCTGATCATTCTTCCGTCTTTCATCGCTTTCTATTGGCCATGCCCTGTCACTTCATCCCATGCACATGCTGTGATTCATCTAACTTGATCCAAATCGCAACTAGAGACAGTGAAGCCAGAACAGCAAGTCGCAACCAAAAAATCAGAACAAACCCAGTCAATACGACTACGACTCCTACTCCTCCGCTCCCTCCTGATATGGATATGGATATGCCCGAGATCTATGATGCCCGCTCGAGCCCCAAACCAAACCCCATGTAAAGGAAAACCATTCAAGCAAGCAATCTCCTATGTACTCCTTTTCCTTATGACACCTGATTTGCATGCTTTTGAATTACTCAGTCGGTATATCGTACATTTTGTTGCCTCGTATTCTATTCGCCGTCGATATCTCAACTGGCTCTCATCTCACTTTGCCGATTTGTCTTCTCAACTACCGTAGAAGACTGGGAACGGCTTTCCGACCCACCCGCTTGCCAGGCATATCCATCCTCGGCACGCCTTGAATGACTCTCGGCTCTCGCATAAGTGCTACATCCAGCTGTGCTGGGATTCGTGACACCACGCTTCTGTAATCACCAGGAAACTTCGCGCTGGGTGTAGGCACTGCCGCGCTTCTCCAAAGGTGCTCCGAGGTATCTTCAAGGAATGAAGTAGACTTGGACCCTTTCGAGAAGAACGAAGTCCGACCGCGTGATTTCTTGGCGAGAATGATGCTGTCGAAGAGTTGGATACTGGGCGAGCTTGGAGGCGTTGTCTCACGTTCGTGGATGAACTCGTTAAATGCTATTGAACTTGTTAGCGATGCCTAGGTTTGGTGCCGTGAGAGTCTTACCTTGCGTCTGCTTCAACATAGCTGTGTATTCCTGCTGCTCGTGTGGCAAACTCTTCATGAACCCGTCCATATCAAAACCGTAGAGCTGGCCGCTGCTTTTTTGATCTTTGGTTGGCCTATTCAAATACTTTCTGTAGGTATAGAACAGACTCGAGAAGCATCTCACAAACGAGGCGCGAACCCTGTCAGGATGGAATGCGGATGGGCAGACTAGTGAGACGTGACCCAAGCACCGACCATGAGAGACTGTGCTGCAACTGTTGCACTTGTAAATTCCATCACCCTCGGGCTTGTCATCACATATCGAACAAACCGATGCTGTATCATTCCGTTGCCATACAAAATAGTGTCCCTCAACCCACACCGTGGTGTCGGTGTTTCGTACCGGCTGCATGAGCATGTTTGGCATGATCGTAGATGCTGCAAGTGTGGAGGCGGCATATGTTGATGGCGCATATCCGTATGTTGACTTAGCATCGATCGACAAAGCAGAAGTCGAAAGACTTGAAGAGTGGCCGTTGCTGAACGGAATGCTCGGTCGACGAAGAGTTGGTTGACGGTCGACACCAAAGGATGAGCTGCGTCTAGAGGTTCCATCAAAGTGACCTGATCTCTTCTCTCTCAACGTAGCTGTCAGGGCGAATGCAGAGTCATTTCTGGAAACAGGGGTTGTGGGCACAGGGAAGTGACCAGATAGTGGTGAGACTGAATTAGGAGGACTTGTTTTACTCGATCGACTTGTCGTAGGCCTCTCAACTCGACTGTGGTCGTTCTTTGACTGCAAGAAAGCATTGAAGACGGATGCTCTCTTCGAAGTTGCTGGATCTGGGTCCCCGAACGTTGCTGAGTTTTGACTAACAAACTTTCCAAGAGAGCTTAGAGGTGCATTTTGGGTGTAAATTGCATCGTTCTCAGAAGAGAATGCATCGTACGGGTAGGTCTCGATGGCATACGGTGGAGGCCCGGTCGGTACACCACAACGATTATGATGAGGAGCAGCAAGCTGGAGAAGTGACACCAATTTGCGGCGTTGTTGCCGAGGTAAAGTGGTAGGTGGGCCAGACGCCTCAATGATGTCCTGATCCAGATCGACCAAAACATAATCCTCCTCGGGCAGCTCGATGATTTCATATCGTCTTTCGATCCCAACTATGTAAGGACATGGTGCTTCTAAGGCAGACAGCAGTCTGGCCGGCAAGACTGGGATGAATATGCTTGCCCATTTAAGCGGATACAGCAAACTGGCCAATGCTTTGCTTGCAAGATGCAACATGGCAGTGTGTGACGAAAGGAATATTATTCTTGACTCTGACAGCGCAAATTCGAAAAGGGCCACGATATTTGGAATGCTGAGAGATCTGAACAAGGCGTAGAGATCAGTATTCCTCGACTCGGGTAGCTCATTCACTGCCTCTTTGCGAGCAAATAACCGTAACTCTCTGACGGCAAGCTCAACCTGGGTCTTGCTGGATATTGGGCTTAGTGCTTCTGTGCATAGATTGACCACATATCTCTCCAACGGCTGCCATCTTCCGACTTTAGGAGAACTTGGTGGAACTCTCAAGACGCCTCCGTCAGTCATGGGAACAACGACGGCTCTGAGCCACTCTTTCCAAAAGCTGGTCAAGCTAGCATCTCGACCCAAAATTCCATATGCTCGCGGTGTCCAAAGTCCAGTCTCGCCATCTGTGAGCCCATCAATCTTAGCAGCTGCGCCGTGTCTGACAGGTCGCAACATGTCAGTCATCAGACCGATCTTCTCTTCCACAGCACTGATTTCTTCCTCCAACGATTCTCTGGCTGGAGATCCAGATGCCACGCCGGGTAGTTTGGCAAGTAATTGTGACAGATTTGCTCTCTCAGAAGCAAGTCGCTCGCCCAAGCTAGCTGCCAGCTCTCTCTCCTCGTTCGTCATATGACTCTGTCTCCACTGTTCACATCTTCTCTCAACGTTCTCGGCAGCATCTGGGTTCAATGGCATCCACACAATGACCGTAATGCCGTAAATTTTAGAGTTGTCGTCGCCTGTCATTGCAAATCCATGCCACGTTGAGCGAGGTCTCTCGTCCGCGGAAACTATGTTAATATCATTTGGAAATGCAAACATTGGCACGTAATCCGGAAATCTGCCCCTCCGCTTCAGTTCGTCTGTAGCATGTTTCGGGGGATACCGGTCAAGCAAGACTGGTTCGAAGCGGCGCTTCAGAGGATGCATCTCGGGATCCGCATTGAGAGGTTCGGGCGGTGGGATGACGGAATTGTAGTTACTCAAGCGTCTCGAGGTCCTTACAGAGGCTGTAAGATACATTAGTCTAGGGGTCTAGGAATAACTCTAAGGTAGGAAATGTTCAAAAGACATTGACAATAGCCGATTATACCAAGATTCTGCATCTGCAAGAACTAATCACAAACTTACTTGTTCTCTGAACCATCGAGGGCTGCCGCTTCATACTGCTCATATCTCTAAAACTGATCCTCCGTCGAATGCTACCTCCCACACTTCTCAGAGGGCTTCTCCTGCCCATTCCAGAGCCAGATCCATTTGTCTCCAGTGTATCCTCAATTCTAATCCTATCTGCCCTCGGGTTTGTCATTGGCGGAGGTTTCTGTATGGGAGCGCCGGCGCTGAAGCTTAAATCGTCCAGGAAATTCTCCCTCTCATTTGCAAACTTGACCAGCGCCCGGTCAAAGTCGAAATCGCCCAACACGCTGTCCCTATTGCCATTGGCGTTGCCATTCGTAGTCGGGGCCTTGATCGTAATGCTGCTCCTGTTGCTCTGCGTGTTCCCAATATCCTCTAGACTCTGTATTGAGTTCCGTACATCGCTGGGCACCTTGCCCAGTTTGTTCCAAGAATTGTTGCGAGAATGGCGGGCGGTAGCTCGAGGAGGTGGAGAGGAAGCTGCTTCTCCTTCGCTGCCTTCCTCGATGGTCGCATCGACTCCTGGTGAGGGTGGCCCTGCGCCATTGGCAGCTTTCTCCCACAGGTTGGGACCTCCCAGGACAGGGTCGGTGTAAGATATGGAATCGATGCCAGCGATCCAAAAATAATCTGCCAGCGGAGCAGAGGAAGGATCCATGGCCGTGGACCTAGTGTTGGAGGGGTATTGGCCGGCCTTTGTTCGTAAAGAGATGTGGTTTACCGTTTAGGTCGACATCGAAAGGCTTGTGACAAAACTCTCGCGGGAATGGCGAGAGATTTTCGATGACCTCGAATGACCACGGCGTTTGATCAGGAACTGCAGCTTAGATCTACTGCGTTTCAATGGGCTAGATTTGGAGGAGAAGAGGAGGATTTGGCGTCTGGCGTCTGGCGTCTGGAGAAGAGAGCTCAGGCTCCACGTCGTTGGCGCTGTAAGGTGGGGACAATTGGGAATTTTGAGATGATGCCGGATCTGGACTGAGGCCCCGTTGTTCTGGCAGATCCCCGACTATTTAGGAATAATCGCACAGCAACCCCGGTACAAACTGCAAAGTTCGGCTGGACCGTCTCAAGTTGATAAGTCTGCAGAGCCCAGAGTCCAGATGGGATGGGATGGCACGTATCTGGAGGCCGTTGCCGTACTCCGAATGACAGGACTGGGGAAGGATTGATTGCTGGACACACAGTCCTTGTGCCGAAGTGTCAACAAGACCCGGAGAGTGCGGTGGTATCTCGAAGAGACAAATTCTGTACGATACGAAAGTGCCGCAGGAGTTGTTCTTCCTTTCCTTGGATGTTGAGCAACGCAAGAAGAGACAGAGAAGAGAGAGACTTGGGTGCCCCTGTCTTGTGCCGGCCGACCTTTCGACTTTCTGGCGCGCTCTTATCGGGATGCAGATCCGAGCGATGGTCTGCTTTTAGAACTCAGTACGGATGCAGCAGTCGAGGGGAAGCAATATTCCAGAAAGGCTTGAGGTGTTGCTTGCCAATATATCAGAAGTCTGTGCCAATGCCGATGCCAATGCCAATGCCAATGCCAAATATATATGGCATTCAACAGTACGGTTGATAATTGCAGCCCATGTCGCACGAGGCAGAAGAAAAGGGGCAATTCACTCTCTGAGGAGGCAGGGTAAGTGAGGTAGGTAAGCTCGTAAGTAAGGTAAAAAGGAAGAGATGGTGGGAGAGTCCCACCAGGATGTAAAGTTTAATATCTCTGCATTATTGGATTGGGGGAGGGGGAGGGGGAGGGGGAGGGGGAGGGGGGTGAAGTGGTGTGCGGGCAGGCGCTGCAGACTCGAAATGTGATAAGTTAAGTATGCAGAATCAGGCACCTACGGACCTACGGTACGGTACATACTGTAGTAGTCACAAAGTCGATGTGAATTTAGGTACCTACTCTAGAGTAGTAGTATGGATGGGAGACGGGCTGGACTTCTCGGGGCTTTAGCCTACTGTAAGGTAGGTAGGTACCTATGCTCCACACCCCGCGAGAGGCACCACAATGGAGCCCAAGTTGTGGCCACTGAGGAGCCTGCCCTGCTCGTAATGACGGGATAGGCTGGAGCCAGAGCCAGAGCCAGAGCCAATGCCAATGGAACGCCAATAATAATGTCTGCCGTTGCTGGCAGCCTCTGTTGAGCTCACCACCCCACCCCCGATGCACCAACCCAGAAGAGCACAAGAGCTTTGTTTCAAGAACCGAACCAAATGGCCTCTTATTATACCAAGTGCTGAGGTCGCCCACCTAGGACGGCTAGTCGCGTCGAGACAACTGGGACGCGAACGAAAGGGAGACGAGAATCAGACCCGCTCCGAGTGTTGGCGTGGGCCCGTTGAAGAATACTTGCCATACGGTTGAGCTTAGATCAGGGGTCAAAGATGCCTCCTGCCGTCAGTCAGGCACAGCCGCCCATTACCAGGCGAGGAGAAGACAGTGTTTGGCTTTGCATCCCTTTTATCAGAGATTGCAACTGTTGCTGGAGAAATCATAGACGAGCCTCCTAGATACCAGAATAGACTGTTTGCATGGGAAATCCATGGAGCCAGCCCACTTTACTGTAGATATTCCCCCGTAGTCTCAAGCACCCTACCGGAACTAACTTCCCGTCCCTCCCTTTCTCTCACTCATATTTTCTTTGGGGCGGCTGAGCATCTAGCAAGTAACTTTATGCCGGCTCTCAGCAGTTGACGAGTAAGACGCGTAAGGTAGTTGAGCGCAGCAAGTGTTGACAAACTAAGGGACGAGCCACTTGGACCCAGGTCTCAGCTGCCCCATAAAACTACAACCGTACCTCCGTACCTGAATGTAAACACCGCACATCGTCATCTGTCATGCACATGGCCAGGATCAAGGTTTCGAAACAGAGTTTCTGTCACGCATCATCGAGATACCCGTCCCCTGCGACGAGATCTTGTGCAACGGGAAATGGGCCTAGGAGGCACGGGGTTCCACAGGCAGAGCGGGTGGAAAGTCAAATATCATCATCTAGTTCATTGGCAGATCTCGAGAGACGGAGAACCATGACTCGGACCCCGAGACGGTTGCCCAGACTCGGAGATGGCTCCAGCATCGTGGAATGGAACCAGGCGAGACAAGTGAGTCCTTGCCATGAGAAACATCTATGGTCTGCTTGTAAAAGATCTCATCTTTGGGAGACCACACAAACACATCAGACGCTCAGAAATACTGAAAATAAACCTCTCTGTGTGTACCCTCCACGGTTGCCACACATAAACTCCGTGCTCCAAACCATGCATATTTTTCGTTTATCCAGACCATTATCGCTGCAAGAATGGCAGACCGGATCGGGCATAACCTGCAACTTACAAGTACAGACTCTGAGCAGCCACAATATCTCTTCTGATCTTCGAAAGTGCTTCCTCGAACTTTGCCGATAGCTCGTCAGATCCCATGACCTTGCCAGCTTGTGCCATCTGTCTGAGTAGCTCTTCGAGACGGCGGAATAAACGAATGAGTGATCCTTCATAGACGTCTGTCATTTTGCTGTTCACAATGTTAGCCTGTGGCTGTCATCCATTATTCAGGTTGGCCGTACCAGATTTCTGCAAAGGACTTTCCCTGTGCCCATAAAAGTACGACTTCCATGAGTTCCCACTTGAAGCTATCCACGTACTCCTTCTCGTTGACAGCTAGCTTGCTTTCCTGACTAACTTTCGCAATGATCTTGGCCTGGCTCTGGATCTCTCTGTAATGTTTTGAAAGTTCCTCCTTGAGTGGCTCGGCAGATTTACTCTTTTCCTCGAAAATGAAGCATGAAAGTACAGATGCGCAAACCTCGGGGCTTAACTCATTGAAGAAGCGATTAAAAAGTAGTTCGGATAGCAGAAGCTCGTGACCATCACCAGTGGACGAAATCTCACACGCAACACGAGCCTTGAGTTCAACAACTTCTTGATCATTGATGAAGCCAAGACGTCGCAGTACACGCTTGCGGGATTTCAGCTCATCCAGTTGCATGATACTCAATGCTGACGTGATTGCCTTCTTTCTGTCCTTGATTTTACCACCAATAGCTAGCTTGGCAGCGTACTGATTGTATAATTCAGGGAGACGAGGAGAGTTGTGAAGTGGATTCGAGAGCAAACGAGATTCAAGGACTTCGATCTTTCGTAGGAGTTTCTTGAACGAATCATCCGTGATTCCCATATTCTCGATTGGGTCCAAAACTGCAATTCCATCTGGGAAGCGGCGCTTGACTTCGTCCAGTGATTTCCGAACCGTGTTGCGTTGATCTGTGGGCTTGAGGTCCTTTGGCAAGAAGATGCGAACGTGGCCAATAGCCTCGATACAGGATAGAAGTACCGGAACAACCTCCATTTTCCCCTTGTCTTCACCAGAAGGTGGTTGGAGTCCTGCCGGAATAGGACCTTGAGTCTGTGTACCTGTTGAGGACTCGCTGGACACTAACAACAGCACATCGAGCATGAATGATTCTTGTGGAGGCACCTCTTCAGCGCCCTTGGGCACTCTGACTGGGTTGAACTTGACGACTGCACCCCAGCCAAAATCTTGATCTTTGTGCTTGATGTGAACAACACGCCCAGGTTGCATGAATTGCAGGCAGTAATTTGGGTGGTTGATAACATTGCGCATATCCTTAGTATATGACGTGAGTTGTTGTCGCAGGTCATAATATTCCTTGATAGTAGCTTCGTCCGGAATCTCAAGATTGTCTCGCTCGAATTGCATTGCTTGAAGCTCTCTCTCTAGCCCAGACACACTTGACGTATTCTGGAATTGATAGAAACAGTGCTCCAACATAAACTCAGGGGAAATACCTTCGACTCTCATCAAGTTCAGGATCATGTTATATCCCAGATAGAAAGCGGAGTTGAGCTTATCTTGTTCTCCTCTAACGATCTCCTTTGCTGTCGCTGGCTCCATCTTGTCGTTGATCATCATAATGACGATACCTCTGTCATCAAGTCCTCTTCTTCCTGCACGCCCGGACATTTGAACAAATTCTGACGGAGTCAGGTACCGCATGCTAGAGCCGTCGAACTTCTCAACACTAGTGAAAACAACTGTCTTCGCAGGCATGTTGAGACCAATGGAGAATGTCTCGGTTGCAAATAACACTTTGATCAAATTCTCTTGGAACAAGATCTCAATTGTCTCCTTCAAAATTGGAAGAAGGCCAGAGTGATGAACACCAATTCCGCGACGTAGAAGGGGCAGAATATGCTGGATCTGAGGGAGTGTTTTGTCCTCTTCGGATAGAGATTCAATGGCGCTCTCGAAGACCTTTTGTACCATTGCCTTTTCTGATTCGTCATTGAAAGCCATCGAAGCCATCTTTAAGGCATAAGCTTCACACTCTCGTTTGCTGAAGCTAAAGACAATGACAGGATTGTAATGCTTCATCATTATCATACGGACAATCTTGTAAATATCGTTTGTTTCGTCCTTGCTGCCACCCTTGATGGTCTTCTTGTTTTTTCCTCTGCCTTTTTGCTTGGCATCAATATCTGCTGGATCGGCGCCTTTCTTGTCCTCGATTGTTGCCATGGCCTTCTGAAAGTTATCCTCTCTGAAATTGCCCTTCTCGTCAACAATCAAATGAATACCATCAGCGCCAGCGGGGAAGAAGTAGTGTTGTAAGGGTGTGGGTCGGAAGTCGGTATAAACAATATGACATGGCTGTTGATGCGTCTTGGTGATCCACTCTGCGAATTGCATGGCGTTGGGAATCGTGGCAGACAGAAAGACATATCTGACTTTGTCTGGTAGTAAAATGATTGTTTCCTCCCAGACGACGCCTCTGGACTTATCTCGCATGTAATGGATTTCGTCAAAGATCACCCATTGCACCTCTCGCATAATCTCAGAACCTCGATACAACATAGATCTCAGAATCTCTGTTGTCATGACCAAGCAAGTCGCTGTAGGGTTGATAGTAACATCTCCGGTCATAAGTCCCACATCTCCAAATTCTGCCGCAAACTCTCGGTATTTCTGGTTGCTCAGCGCCTTGATAGGACTCGTGTAAATTACTCTCTGGTTGTTCTTCAAGCTCTGAGCAATGGCATATTCGGCGACAACCGTCTTTCCCGCACTGGTATGCGCCGATACCAATACACTCTCACCGCGCTCAATGGAAGCGATAGAAACTTTCTGGAAAGGATCCAGTTCGAAGGGCCATGTTCGCGCAGGGGTTTCGGGCGATTTGTGTTGGGAAATGGGGACATAGTCGTAGTCCGGGGGCAAGGAAACTTGGTGCTGAATATTATGCTGGATCACCAATGCCCCATCGTCTTTGGCTTGCAAGCCTGCTGATGCAGCAACTTCTCTTGACTGCTCTGTTTGGAATGTATCTGTAACAACTGGTTCGGCTTCTTCTTCGCGGCGGCGTCTCTTGGTATCCTTCTTCTCAATCAGAGCATTGGTTTCCTCTTCGACAGGGTCTACCGCCGGCTCTACATCTTCCATCTCAGCATCTTCATCTTGATCCTCTGCGACTTTCTTCACTTCGCCGCTCGCGGTTCTCTTCTTTGCCCGCTCCTTCTTGGCCTTTGCTTTCTTCGGCCGTTCTGGAACTGCTGCGCCTGCAGTATTGTCATCGAATACGTCGAAGAGGTCGTCCATCTTGGCCGAAGTCGAAGTATCGCGGTGGACAATTGGAGAATTTCGTCATGGAAATATGATCTGTGTCATAAATGGCACCCGCCAACTTGAAAGACTGTTGCGTTCCTTTGTAGGTAGGCATTTATTTTTACTGCCGAAGTTTTTCCTTGGCGTTGATCCCTGTCAATGGAATTTAGCGGCTCTCTTCGAACGAGCTCGATCTCTTAAGGTCGAACCACTTTCGGAAGTCCATAGACAAACAACTCAACCACTCAATCCTTCAAGGTGACACCGCTGCAGTCTCAATTGGCATAGAAGATACTGATGACCATCAACTAGATGCTTTCCCGAGCAGCAGTCCGCGCAACTTCCTCCACGGTCTCGATGGTCGCCTCTCGGCGAGCTTTCTCAACCACCCGTGTTCAGCTCTCCTCACCATACCATTACCCAGAGGGCCCACGATCCAACATCCCATTCAATCCATTGACGAAGTGGTTTGCTCTTAGATACTGGTCCTTCATGGCAGTCGGGTTCGGTAGGTGTCCAAGATAAGGCAGGAGGGGAAGGGGCTAATCATATGACAGGTACTCCTTTCGGACTTGCAGTCTGGCAGACATACAAGAACCAGTAGAAGGGATTGGAATGTGTACATGGAAACAGAATGTATGGTTATAGAGATATCATGGGTCGAAAGGGATATGTGGAAATCCATTCTTGAGGGGACATCCCGCTGTTCTGTGATCGAACCGAATGCTGAGATGTGATATGCCTTAACCTTTGCTGAAAACATTCAGTTGATCGCGCTTATATTCTCCAACCATAGCCGTGACTGTGGAATGAGGATAGAATTCAAAGTCGATCTGATATCTAGCTACTCCGATTCCCGTTACCAGCCAAACGCCAGCATCGTTTATGGAAAATAGTCCTCAGAACTTGACTCTAGTGTCAAATATATGCCTGTCGAGTACCTTGAAATCAAAACAGCCCTCAAAATCATCCTTGATTGCCACCAACTGATCTGTTCCCTTCTTCACCTGTTGTGGATTGTCACCCCTCGTGACAATAGTAGACGCCGTCAAGATCCACTTGTTCTCAGAGTCGAATGGTGTAAGAGTACCGAAGTCTGGTAACTCGGTTCTGATGGTAGACGGGTTATCGTTCTCGCCGACTGGGAATTGCAGATAGCGCGTTAAGTCAAAGACTACATCGCCATGGACAAATCTGTTGCTTTCCTGGATCCCCTCTCGAACAAATCTGTCTGTGTCAATATTGGAGCGCAATTCGACGAGTTAAACAAACCTATGATTGATCATCTTCATAAATGAGCAAAGGCCCTGGTTTTCAATACTGAACATCAGTCGCGTGTTGACAGGCTTTACTGCGTTAGGGTCAAGGAGTCTTCCGCCTGGTAATTTTGGAGTCTCAGTAGGATCTGGGAGGTCATTCCATCGTAGAACACCAATGCGCTGATCCAGTAGTCTATTTCGATGTCAGTAATTGTGTTAGACCCCTATAGATACTCAAATTTGTAACTCTGCTTGACTTGTTGGAAAGAGATTTGTCAAATCCACTTACAATGGTGCTGGAGAAGCATGGAAGGCAGACATCTGATCACTCTCAGCCCTTCCGAATGACTGACGGTCGACTTCATACAGTAGATGCATTATATACGACTGCCGCGAGAGTTGTACCGATAGACCAGCTACAGAGCCAGGAGAAATTAGCTCTGGGTTCGGAAGAACATGACAAGTAAGATGGGGAAAGTATCCAGGATGTAGGACATCATGACCTCGGCTTCTCGAAGGAAACAAATGCCTCCCAATGCATACTCACTCCAATGTGGTACCTTTGCCTGAGGCTGATTCTTGATGAATTTTGAGTCGATTCCTGTTGGCGTACGTGTACGAGGGCCCTCCCAAGTTAGTTTTCGAGTCAGAACTTGGGTTGGGCTTATTGCACAGTAGCCTTGGAGAATTCGCAGCGTTGTTTCGAATTCTTCATTTGGGATGATGGCTGTGAGGAAAAGCTCGTGAGCATTTGGCAAATCTGTCCTTGTTGAAGCTCCTTGCTTGTCCTTTTTCGATTTATCTACTTTCTCCATCTTGATAGAGTCTCGCTTTCGTAAGGGCTTGCCCTGAATCGTAAGTGAGAGAAAGGTACGGAGATATTCTTAAAAGTTCTCTTGAACTGTACTGAGCCGCAGAATTGGATCAATTTACTAGCTTCCCTGTGAGAGCAGACTTGAAGTAGAAGAGCTATGTTGTACGCAGTTGAGTTTCAATATGATCAATCTTGGATATGCTTTGACTTACATGATGCAAAGCAAGTGTAAAGGACTGGGACTCCTCCTGGCTGTAACCACAACCCAACCCCAGATCATTCCAAGACAGTGAATACTATAATTTATGAGAAATCTCTCAGAGCTTCATTGTCGATTGATATTGACTAAGCTTTGCTAGGATGTTCTGTTGGTTGTGCTTAATCTCCAAGAGTATGGCACGTTGAGGTGGTGTGAGCTGCAGCCAATGAAGGGATTGGGCAGTGGCACAGATCGGACGCCAAGCCTCACCTCAACTCCACCCGAGTTAAACGACATCAACGACATCGACATTACACCCTCTCCTTGCGATAAACCAACACAGGCTTGCAGCATTGATCCGGCTCAAACTGACCTGTGGTATTTCCCACTCCGGAGCTTCTCATACCGGTCAAGCACTTGCGTCTGTCGAGTACCTTATTACTCGGATCAAAAGAGTAGGCATACAAATCAGAAAATTATAGTCTCACTATCGAGGGTACGAGTACTGACACAGCACAATTTCTACTCCAGCACACAGCGAATCTGTTGGAAGCTCTTACTTTCTAACATTATTACATTATGTAAATTTCACGGTCACACTTGAAGTGTATTCTGGTTCCTAATTGTAACGCCATGGGTCATTCCCATGGGTTACATCCACATGTCAACCTCGGCAGTCATACAGCCATCTTGCATCTTTACACCGTACTACTCGGTTTTACTTTCCACGTTCTGGTATTTATCCACGCGACGTGGAGAATCCTTGGTTAGCACATGTTCAGAATAGCGTCTTCTATTTGGCTGCAGCTAATGTCCGAGGTTGAAATATCCTCACTTCTAACGTCTTCTTGGCCAATTTCCCCACACTTCAACTTCCCCAGACTCGCTGTACTTCATCGGTATTTCCTGCATTTGATCTTACTCTTGAATGAGATCTGCCGTGTTCTTAATCTGCACATCAATACTTGGCAGTAACGGTAGCCTTAGTGTTTAGTCAGACACTATGTTATTGTCAACAGGCTTGCGGAGAAACACTTGTTGTATACTCTGGTCCGGGAAATCCCAAAAATGCTACCGTCCAAATTATAACGCGGGGTTCGAAGCAGGGTCCTGCTGTCGAACAAGGCCTCCTCATCGTGTAAGCTTTAAGGAGTTTAACTTGTCGGATACATTGACTACCTGGGTAACATTTCCGTGTTCTGGCTTGTTTATCTGACTGTCGATATTGATGATCCCCCTCTTTGGCGGTGAATCATCGGAGCAGTATACTACATTTGTTTGAGTCCATCGTCTTGGAAAGAGGGGAAATGTTGTCAATGCTTGTTCCCTTGGGAGAAGAGCACGACCAGTGCTTGTGACCTTGATCTGTTCCGAGGCTTCATCCACATATAAAAACTTCTCGTTCCCCAATATGTCCAATACATTCAGTTTCTCATATATCGCACACATCTTCATAGAACTCAGTCATTCAACTACTCTACTCAGATAGTCGAAATGGTCGCCATCAAGAACTTTCTCTTCCTTGCCACAGCCGTGACGGCACTCACTATTGGAAAGCGAGACACTGCTACGATTCTCAATGATATTTCGGCCATCAATTCGAACGTCCAAACACTCACAACGGCCGCCAACAACTACAATGGAGGTCTTCTGGCAGCAATTCCCATCCTCACGGCACAAAGCAACCTGGGAACCGCCATTGACAAAGGAACCACGGATGCCCGCGCTACTCCTCAGCTGAGTTCAGCCGACTCTCAATCCATCGTTGCAGCTGTTGACAGACTGACTCCTAGTGGTGAGTTTTCTCTTGAATCAATTGCTGTTGGTGTTGTGCCTGGTACTTTTCAGACTTGCATTTATTTTTTCTTAATACCTCATTATCAATCTACCAAGAAAGTGCTGACTTCGAATCTGCCGACAGTCGAGGCTTCTCTCACAGCAATTCGGGCTAAGAAGGCTCGCTTTGCGGCAGATGGACTTACAACCACTGTCCAGAACAGCCTGGCCACTTTGAAGACAAAGACTGACACCTTCTCTGATGCCCTTATTGCCATTTCGTCCAGTGATACAAAGGCTACAGGGACTGCTCAGAAGGCCAAGATTGACGGCTACTTTAATGCCGCAATTGCGGACTTCGCTTCTTGAAGCGGATGACTGAGCGTGTGGAACAACGAGAGATGATGGTTATGGGCTGGTATCTATTATTCTGGGAGGTCTGAAAGGTGTGAGTAGGAAGGTGTACTTGAATGCGGGGAAGGGTTCTTCATTAGGAAGTCTATAAGTTGGCATAGAATTTCAAATGCCAACAGATATTACCCCAAGTCTTCTTTTCAAATTCATCCCACTCTGGACGCCGAGACGCCGAGCTTCAGCATGTCTCTAGACCCACCGCAACTGACAGTCAGTATCAAGGCTGACAATGAAGGATGAGTTGTTGGTGTCCTGGAGAAATCAGAGTCAGACGACAACAACTCCAACGTCCAGCTCTCCACAACATCCTTTTTCGCCGCGAACGCCTGTGGAGCTCGGAAAGACGCCCGTTTCTAAGTGGGAGACGAAGGCAAAAATGGGTCACCGCATGTGAGGAGAAACTTTGCCAGCAGCAGCATTGCAAGATAGCAACCAATTATTGGAGCGGCTCCAGATGACTTCCCAGAACGATGCTAGAAAAACCCATGTAAATTTTCTATCACGCCATGAATGCAAGGAAGCTTTCCCCCACTACTGCACTGCACCATGGGCCGCGTTGTAGGGATGGCGTTTTGGAGAGCTCCGTATTCGCTGACGGCAACGGCCGCTTATCAGCAAGAAACACTAATCGATATTGTGAATTTCCCTCCGCTCGCTTCTATCTCTTCATGCAGCCTTTCCTGGGTCAAATCTGAAGTTTTCCCATCTCCTGAAATACCTAGCCAGTACAATTTCAACAAGAAAAAAAACCCCCTTCTAACGAATCTGGTTGCGCTGTGCCACGTCAAATTTGTTTCCCCATCCCATTCCTGCAGGCCTCCCCTTTACCTTTTAGCGAGGCACGAGCACTAGTTGAGAACTGGCGGAGGAGCTCATTCGCGTTCACAAGATAAAGCTCCAGCCTCCGTCCCGCTCGAAAAACACGCCGAACCTCAATATCAATAAGACCATCTCGACGCAATAGAAGGACAGCTTTGCCCGCAGGATCCCGGAAAACAGTTGTCAGCTCTATCTTAGAACCGTTCGACGCAAGTTTCGCTTTGAAGATGTTCGCGACCAAGTGTCTCCGGCAGGCCTCGGCAGCTGCACATGCTGAGCGCACTCCTTTGATCAAGTTCTTGGGAAAGCGTTCGATTCCTTGTATGTTATGTCGAAGGCTCTAATGGTCTCAAATCTTCAAATTGTTGAACTGACAACGCACCAGCTTCTATCGACCATACCCCTCACGCTCATCCAGCCTCTCCTACCCACGAACTTCCAGCAGACTTCGCATCCTCCCAAAAGTCTTCTTCGGCATCTTTCTCCTCCTACAGACAACAAGCCCAACAACATGGTCCTCTTGGCCGCTCCAAGGCCGCAGATGGAACTATCGGGTCTCTCTCTGGACAATCTTTGGGCTCCGTAGCTCCTGCAAAGGGCGAGTTCTTCGACCGCAGCGAGTTGCCAGCACGCTTCCGAAGACAGCCCATTGACCTCTCCGAAATCGATGCCATTGAGACTGGTGGGGCTACATTAGTCTGCTGAGCTGATATGACGAGCTAAGGAGGAATATTGGGTAGATTTGTTGAGAAGGCAAAGCAATCATACCCTACGCACTGCGAAGAAAAATGCAATTCATGTCACGGATGAGGAAACGAGGTGATGATGAGCATGCGAGACATGATATTGGGATGTGACTATCCCCCAATGGCTTGGAAGAAAGACCAGGTGCGAAAGGGACATTGGCAGCAGTGATGGGAAAAGGAACGCTCAGTCGCTTGGAGTGTGGACATATCGGACGACTTTTTTGGAGGCTCATTTTCTAGGGGTCAATCGGCCACTTATCTGTCGCAAGATCAGTGGCCTGTACATAAGCTATAAAATCCAATCTCCAATACCTTCACACCACCATATGTGGGCTCTCTTCGGAGTAGCATAGACGTATACGCCCGTGACTGGAATGTTGCGTTTCGCTTTTGCGATGAATTTTGCGCTTTGCACAGTCTGTGATCGCTCATCTACTTTTGTATGTCAGGCAAAATCTTACAGACAGAATACCTGGCGACTGGCAAGCCTGTATTGCCATTCGGCACTCCAGTATACATGATTTGTGCCACTATAAGGTTGTCAAATCAACATCTCGCTTCCGCTGGGCTACTTGGACACGACTTGAAGCCATCTGCAAATACCCGAGCTCAGCCTCGTATGGATTCAACGCAAACGCAATGTGAGTTTCACAACTCCCAACTCACAATACTAAATCGATGTCGTAAAAACACACCGCAATTCTTCCAAAATGAGTCAGAAACATATATCCCAGTCGCTGCTCGAGATTCAAGAGATAGACCAGGCGAATAACATAGTTGCTACGTATATCAAGAGCCAACCAAGCGGGAAGGGAGAGCGGATTGATGTTGTGGTACGTGGTCTCCGAGATCCGTCTGGCTCATCAAGAATTTTGGATGATCTCTGAAGCTAATAGAGTCGTAGATTCCTAAGAATGTGAACAGCTATGCTAAGAGTGTGCTCCATGCGTTCTTGCCAGCAGGGTATCCTCATAGTGTGACAGGTGATTATCTTGAGTACGTTTTAATATTCAATTGATGAACGATACTAACCTATTTTGTTACAGGTATCAATTTTATGTGAGCTCCAGCGTTTGGATGAAGATAGGTTGAGCTAAGTTCATGCTAGGACTCATTACAGGCATTCTCAAGCTCTATTGCTGGAATGCTGTCTTCCAGAGCTGTTCTCGAAGGTACAATGGCGCACTCCTAAGTTCATAAATCGTACTTAAGATATTAACAGGAATTGGTGTCGGAGACTCTCACGCCTCACCTACTGCCGCTCTCCTCCTCTCTGTCCTACAGGAGAGCATGGGCCGAATAGCCACTATCCTCTTCGCACACAGACTCGGTACTTCACTTGAGCCAGAATGCAAGATGTATCGACTTGCGGCAGATATCTTCAACGACGCTGCTATGATTCTAGACTGTTTATCGCCAGCTTTTCCAAAAGCTTCTAGAGTTGCTCTTTTGAGTCTATCTAGTGTCCTTAGATCGTTGTGTGGTGTTGCGGCAGGGAGTTCGAAGGCTTCGCTCAGTGCCCATTTTGCTACCCAGGGGAATTTGGGAGAGTTGAATGCTGTAAGTTAGTAGAGACTCCTTCTGCAGGCTTTCTGGAGTTTGCTGATGTGGAAATAGAAAGACTCTAGTCAAGAAACCGTCATATCACTCCTGGGAATGCTTGTTGGTAGCATTGTCGTCTCACACATAACGTCTAAATTGGCAACCTGGAGCGCACTCATCTTCCTCCTTTCCATTCATCTCGGTACAAATTACCTCGCAGTAAGAGCAGTCTGTATGCGAACGATCAACCGCCAGCGGGCAAATCTCATTTTCTCTATTGTCCTAGAGCAGATATCCACAGCAGAGTATCAAGGGCCAGCAAATTTGAAAACCAGCGAGTCTTGGTACCCAATGCTGGAGGAGATTAATTGGCCAGTACCTGAGACTGTTATGTTACAGGAAAGTGTTTTCGAACGAGATGGCATTCTGAGGTGGAACCGGGAGGTACTAGGCCATTGCAAGCTTGGTGTTGACTTGGGTTCGATTATCAAGTGCTTCAGCCAAGTTACAGATATGAACTCTTCCCTCACTCAGCTCTTTGAGGTATTCAAATATGAGAACTATGTCATCTGGTATGACGAGCCTCAGAAAACCTTCTTGGTGGTGTTGGAAGATGGCGCGGAAACATGTGATATACTGTCTGCATGGATGTTTGCGTTATGGTTTGCGAAGAATGGGAAACCAGCTGGGAAACCGCTCCTGGAGGCATTGAACGATACTGCCACTTACATTAGGAGGATTCACAGAGATATCTTGAAAAAGCTGGGAGAGCTTGGCTGGGATTTAAACACAGGTGCCATGGAGACTATGTCCGGAGTGAGGATTAGGAGACCGGAGAATCTGAGGATACAGTAACGGTGTTAGTAGTGTATCAACATAGTATATGAGTTCGAGACGCTCCATGAAATGTCCTGTCTCTTACCAGTCTAGTGCATCATATTTGCTTGATGTCCGTTGATTACGGCACTTCGACCTTTGTACTATACAACAAAACGTACACTCCCTCCTCTATGATACACTATTCCGACGAAGCGAAGATTCCATCAGAATCCGCCACATAAGCACCAATGCCAATGCCAATGCCAATCTACAATACATTAAGCCAAGCCTATTATCTTTGATGCTCTCATTTTCCAGCCTTCCCAAGTATTCAACTTGGGCCTTACATCCAGGAAGAAATTAAGCTTGCCATTCGCCGTCCCGTCATTCCTCCCAGCATAGAAGTCGATAATATAATCCACTCTTTTGCCACACCTGTCAACAACCCAGTCGTGTCTGTCGAATGGAGCTGTGTATCCCAACCAGGTGTTGACTCGAGCCTTTGGGCTCAAAGTCTGGGAAAGTCCCAAGAAGGAATGAAGTCTTGGTCCACCGCATCTAATCCGACTAGTCAATTCCGAAAATCTCGCAGGAGAATCTAGATTGCAACATACTTCTGCTCACTCCCATACGGCCTCTCCCATTCCTTGATCTCCTTCCATGCCCTCTCATTAACCGCATTATGAATCGGCACAATCGTCTTCATGTCATTCGCCTCACTTGCATAACCTTTCCTCTTCATAGCATCAAAGAACATCTTCTCAGAAGGATATATCCAGTTCCCACTCTCACTAACCCCGCTCTCCTTTTCGCTGTTCGCCGGCTTTGCGCCTTCGTCATTGTTTACTGGAGAAGCTCTTGGAATGGTCGAGACTTCGCGTTCCAGTCCGAGGGTTTTAGGAGCATCGCCTGGAAGCGCTACGGGGGTCGTGAAGCGCGAGAAGAAGCTACGTTTTGGAGGAGGTTTTTGGTCGATTGTTTTGGAGTCGCAGCTATTTCCTGCACTGGTTTGACTGGCTTCTTGAGTTATTCCGGGGAAGACCACTGGTCTGCCTCCGGGATTGTTTTTCAGCCATGCCGCACGGGTAGCTGGATCAACGGGACATGTTTCTGGCTGGGTTTCTGTTTCTTTTGACATTTTGTACAGTCACTGTTGCGGAAATGAAGCTGCAGCTCGATGATGCTTTCACACCAAAATATAATCCGAGCCGGGCTGGTCCCTGGATGTCGGCCATTGGAAAGCAAATCGCCGATTGGTTAGTGCAGACCGCCTCCAATTTCCATCTCCTTTGGTGCCAAACGAATACAGTACCACAAGCTTCACTTCTCTTGAGAACTTCTCAAGAGTTCGATCAGTCCCAACACTTATTCATGCTCTTGACAGAAATTTTAAATCCAGAATGGCAGACCAAAAAATCTATCAAGCCAGCACAACTGCCCCAGTCAATATCGCTGTTGTCAAGTAAAACCCCTCCATCAACCCCTCCTTTTGACAACACCACTAACAAAACACTCAGGTATTGGGGAAAACGCGATGCAAAACTTAACCTCCCGACCAACTCCTCTGTGTCGGTAACACTTTCTCAAGCTGATCTCCGCACACATACCACAGCAGCATGCTCTGCTACTTTCGGCCCAGAAGACAGCCTCATCCTCAACTCCTCCACTCAAGACGTCTCAGGTGCACGAACACAAGCATGTTTCCGCGAATTGCGCTCCCTCCGCACAGCCCTCGAAGCTTCCGATTCTTCTCTCGCTAAGATCGCCACTCTTCCCCTCCGTATTGTCTCCGAGAACAATTTCCCTACCGCTGCAGGTCTAGCATCCTCTGCTGCCGGCTTCGCTGCTCTCGTGCGAGCAATTGCAAATCTTTATGAGTTACCTGCATCACCTACAGAACTATCCAGAATTGCAAGACAAGGAAGCGGAAGTGCATGTCGTTCACTATTTGGCGGATATGTAGCGTGGCAGATGGGAGAGAAGGATGACGGATCAGACAGTCTTGCTGTCCAGGTAGCGCCAGCATCACATTGGCCCACGATGCGCGCTTTGATCCTCGTGGTCTCAGCCGAGAAGAAGGGAGTCAGTAGTACATCCGGCATGCAGATTACCGTCGCTACATCGAAACTCTTCAAACGCAGAGCGGAGGTTGTGGTACCAGAAAGCATGCTGTTAATGGAGAAGGCAATCAAAGAGAAAGACTTCCAGAGCTTTGGTGAGGTCACGATGAGGGAGAGTAACAGTTTCCATGCTACATGTCTGGATACCTTCCCGCCAATCTTCTACCTCAATGATGTCAGTCGAGCGGCTATCAGAGTGGTGGAGGATATCAACAAGAATGCTGGAAAGATCATTGCGGCGTATACTTTCGATGCTGGGCCAAACGCCGTTATCTATTACGAAGAGGAGAACGTGGATGCGGTTGCTGGAGTCTTGAACGGTGCCTTAGGAGGTTTGGATGGTTGGAAAACACGGGACATTGAGCCACAAAATCCAAGCAATCTCGATGCTAGAGCTGTACAGGTGTTGAAGGATGGTGTGAGCAGGGTCATCTTGACTTCTGTTGGTGAGGGTCCAATTAGGACTGAGGAGTCTCTGATCGATGCTACCGGTGCGCCAGTACAGAAGTGAAAAGTCCCGAAAATTACCTGCTGTCAATAGAAATGATATCCTGCGAGCGAAGATAGCCGTAAAAGCTTTAGAATTTGCTTTGCGGATTGATATTTGTCATATTTTACTCGCTATCATTGCCATGAACTCCCATCTGCTAATACTCTCATGACTCTCTGTTCTATTTGTTTTTTTTTTCCCTTTTGCCTGGCAGTGTACCTGAAATTCGATTGAGAAGTTTAATCACCAGCAATGAGAAATAACATTGACGAAATTTGATTCAAAGCAATCCGAGAATCTGCATCTTAATCTATTCCCTCACAGTCTTCAGGGGGCCATGAATAGCTGATTCAGTATCGGCTTGTCCTGCCTCAATATTATTTGACTGTGTTGACGTTATGCGAATGTCTTGCCATAATTCTACACACGTATATTATTCTGACACACGACCTCGCCACAACTTCTGTAGTGGCACACAAAACTGCAGGCCTAGCTCTAGAAAGAGCCAGATATAGGATACTCGCTTGCCTGTACAGCTGCCCGGCCAATGTCGATGAGCGCTTTGCCCATGCGTTTAACTTGTTCCTTGAGAGCAGACGTTTTCGCTCGTTCTGCCTTCAACTCCTCCTCTAGAGTAGCTATCTGCCTCTCAAACGATGGTACGCCGGGCAAGGTTCGTCCCACCTGTTTTGTCTATCGAGAGCCCCCCGAGTATTTACAAGATTGCTTGCCAGGGTACTGATGATCTCGTTCTTTTGCTCAAGTACAGGCTTGTCGTCCGCGAGCTGCTCCAACACATCATTCAACTCGATCTGCTTCTCCTCCAGCTCGAACTCTTGTCGTTGCAGTGCATCTTGCATATCAGTAAGCTCAATTTCTAGTCTGTCGATCTCGGCTTGCTTTTGTCTCGACTCTGCCTTGATATCGTCAATTTCAGCCTGCCTTACGCGCATAGCATTATGAACGGCTCGCTCAATATTGTCCTTCTCAATCTTAGGGTTGGTTCGACTAGACCTCAACTTGGCTAGTTCCTGCCCCTGTGCTAGCAATTTAGCATCGTGGTCATCAGACGTCCTTTTTCCCGTAGCCTTGAGACTCTCCAATTCTTCGAGCGTCGACTCATAATCCGGCTTAGTGAAACCATGGTTCTTGATTTCCTGTTGATATCTTGATTCAGAGGTCTTAAGTTGGCTCTACAATTTTTGGACATAAGTTGAGTGCTGCTCGGCTCGCTTGGTAATCTTCGCCTCAGTCTTCTGGAGAGTCTTTTTTGTGGTTTCTAAGTCTCTCTCCAGGTCATCGATCCTCCTACTCAGATTCCTCTTGAGTGTTGCGTAGGAGCCACGTTCGGATCGGAGGTCTTCTGCTGCTTTCATTTCAATGTCGTGAATCTTAGCTTCAAAATTTTGGACTTTCTTGCGCGTCGACTATAATTGTTCCAGGGTTGTGTTCTCCGCTTTCCTCATGGTGTTGAGACCATCATCTATAATATCAACGTATCCCTTCAATGCTCTGCCTTTCGCGGTGTCAAGATCGTCCGAAATGTTGGTAAATGTTTCAGGAAACGATGTCTTGTAGATGGTTGTGATGCGATCCATAATTTCATTCTCACTTGAATTCATGGCTGCCTCCTCTTCAAGGTCCACAAGTTTATCCTTGTGGATACTCTCAGATACAGTTGATGATGTAGTGTTGCATATGCTTTTGGTCTTCGGGGCTTTGACTTTTGCTGCTGGGGCAGACTGTACTGCAACAAATTGTGGTGTATCAAGTGAAGGATCCCGTTGTGAGAGATGTGACAGAGGATTTTCAAGGTATGAGGATAGCTTTGATACACAACAGACCTCCTCCGAGTCCAATATGACTGGGCCCGGCTGGCTGTTGACCATCATGGCGGCGAGCTTCTTGAGCGCCGTGACCTGAGGATGTGCTGAATCTTTCGTGGCGTCGACTCGAGTAGCGGTTGTGTGCTCAAAGACTGACTTGCAAACACCAAAGAGAGGCACTACATGTTCTAGTGGGATCTCAATGGGGCCTACCTTTTGGGTCCTAGAAACAAAGTCGAGAAGACTTTCTCTCATCATCTCTAGGTAGAGTTTCGTGCGCGACTCATCATCCATCGACACCGATCTCGAATCGGGTTGATGGCTAGGCTTCTCTTCGCAGGTTCCACAATGAGACGTTCTCTTGACGTGATTAGGGAGGTTCTGGGCTGCCTGTTCTGCAGAAATTGACAATGCCTGATCATATTTAGACGAGTTTCGACGCAGCATTGGTTTGGGACTCGAAAGTGCTCCGCCAAAAGCGCACAGGTTCAAGACTTCTTGTGCCGTGAAACTTTTGCCGCACGTATTCTATCCACCAGGTGCGAATTGAAGGTGAGTGTAGTCTGATCTTGAACAACCTGGACTCCAAAGGATCGGTGCCAACGGTCTCTCTGGCGATGCCAAGATCGGGGTTTCAGACGTGGTGGTACACGACTGTGGCAAGTTGCAATATCGATTTTGTGATGCGAACGCGAACCATGTCAAAGATGAAGACGGTTTCTGGACTTGGACCTGAGTGAAGGTTGGGTTATGTGGGGCCGCATTAGGCGAGTCAACAAACAATAAACGCCAAATCTCAATCTAAGGCAAACACTGAAGGTATGGAGCAGGTCAAACATTGCCTTATATTACGTTGACATGGTTTCACCCGTAATTGCCGCAAGACTCGTTCCACGCTCATCTGCATGTTCCTCGGGGATGTAAAAATATTTCCCCAGGATTCCCAACCGCACGCTTCTCGATCTTTCCAATTCTGCCAATCTTCACGATTTCTTTGAGACGACACACCATTTTCCAATTGTTCCACAATGCTCTATCGTAAGGATTCTTCATGGTCGACCAGTACTTCCCCACTAGGATGTACGGGTACAGTTACGATTTGCTAATAGTCGACAGAAGGCTTCGTGAACGAAAATAGTATATCTTCTTTCAATTTTCAGAGCTATCCGAGTATCCACAGGCATGAGACATTTTTAGACTCTAATGCCTGTTTGTTTCTCCAAAAATTCATTGTCTCGAACCGGGTACAATACTTCCAATAACCATGCCAGCGTTAAGTCCACAAGTCACACCTAGCACGCTCCCTGGATTATATTCATATGGTAACCGGTATTAGTGTTCTATCAATACCTGTGTCTGCCGAAGTCATCGTAACATGTCACGCAGACAATCGTACCCTACCCATGAATGCTAACCTCCAGTAAAGCATAAGAAAGCGGTGAGACGTCTATTCCTGTTGTTTATGCAAAGCAGCAACAAGACTTCATGAATATCTGATCACCATAGGTGCTGAATAATGGAGAAGAATGTATTGTAAAATTCTGGCTATACTGGTGCGATGTCGTCCAACGAAACGTAAAACGTTCAAACTGTGCGTTGGCAACCCCCACAAATAAACGGTGTCAGTCTTTGTTCGAGCCCTTTCGATCTTTCGCGCTCCTCTGCTAGCTGAGCCTCTAAATGAAATCCTGTTAGTTTTTCCATGAATAAGACATAAGGATAGCAGTAGGGACCCACACTCGTTAATTTACCCGCCTTGTATTTTTTCCATTTCTGTTAATCTGCCTTCAAGAGTAGAGATCGTCTTTTTGTACTTAGTCTTTATTATGAGAGCATCCAGATATCTCGCCGGTTGTTGTATCTCGTGTTTGCAGCTCTCGGATTAGTAGCTTCTTCTCAAAATCCTCAGTGACGGCTGAGACTAGAGACTCCAAATGCTGGAAATCCGAGACAGCTGGAGCTGAAGTACTCTACTCCTTCAGTGAAGTATATTCAACCTTTGGATGTAACAGAGCATCGTTTGGCTTCGTGACTTTGTCCTTCGGGGTTCTGTCTTACTTCCCACATAAACTTCAAGCTCTAACTAAAACACCATATCTTTCTGTAACGCCTGTCTAACCTATTCTTCAAAATTTATCAAATAATTGTTTGCTTTGACCACTGCATGTTCGAGGCATTTCTTCAACTCTTCCAGTCCAGCTCGAGCCTATTTACCTCCTTACTTAACCTGTCCTAAGGAGCTCCTATCGCCTCCCACAATTGAATCAGAATATCCTCATCCTCCTCGAGCTTTTTGTCCTTTGTCTAGAGCACGTGGGACCGATTTTCTTCCTTGAAAGCTGCACCTCGTCTTCGAACGATGGTCTTGACCGAAAAAATATAAAGCCAGACTCAGGTGGATCTCTACCCCGTTTTGACGCGGTCGATGAGGTTGAAAGATATCTCCATTAAGTTCTAGGCGAACTTACAAACCTTTACGGTGTTCAACTGCGTAATAGCTCCCTTATGCGCCATCTCTTCATTATTGGTATCGATGTCTCAAAATTTTTGTAGAAGCATGTCCATTTTCTCTCCATATGGTAAGCTTGAGAGGAACACATTTTTGCTAAGTACCGACTTGACTTCGTCGAAGAATTCATCAATTCAAAGTCGCAGAAGGATATCTTCTTCATCTCAATGATCGCTTGCAGACTCGATGTTGTTCGTAATATAAGCATCCATTTCTGAGTTGTAGACACCAGCAAGAGCTTCGGCATACTGACAATTTCTTTTCAGAGACCATTCGGTAGCTTTCTACAAGCGTGGAAAAATTGTTGGAGCCTTCTCTTCGAATGCTTGTTCAGCTCAAACCTGGGGGAAGTCTCCGAATAGCTGTCGCCACCTATGGCAAGTATATTGTTTCATCTCGAGAGAAATGCTGTATACTCTTTAGATACATACTTACAAACTGATTGTACAGTTAGGCTGTTTCCTAGCTGCTAGAACTAGGTCTTATCGAAATTCTCCGGCCTACTGTTGTCCCAATTTTTGCGGGGGAAATTGGAATGAGTCAAGCGACACTGCTACCAAGTCACTCACGTATGGACAGTAGCATGTACATATTTGGATGACCTTGTAGCTCTATAAGGGATGCAATATGTCGATGACTGATCAGTCAACGGTGCAGAAACGAACGGAACACTGTTATGAAATAGAGCTTTTACCATTTCATTGTAATTTGACTGTCCCAGACGATTTAGATGGAAGCCACTCGCCTCACAATTCAGGAGATCAAGGCCTATAGTAGTAATGCCATGAAGCTGATTCGGATTGCTGGAGTGATCTTGTGGTGTTGACATCGAAGCGTCGTCTAAACTTGGCAACGCTTACCGTTGGTTGTAGGGATCCACACAGGCTAAGGCGGTAACCCCAGTCTCACGGGCTGTTCACATGACTCTCATCAACGACATCCATCAACACTCTTCTTCCGGGATATCTTGCAATTCCTGTCCACCGACAGATAACGCACACCATACGATATCAGAAGGACATACCTGTCTTTAACAGTTTCCAAGAATGGCGTCGTTTGCTAATGTATACACACACCGGAAAGTTGCCGATACCGCCTCGAAAGCATGCGAGATATGTTATAAACCCAGCACTAGCGTTCTTGTAGCCTCAGAGAACAAGGTTTGTCATCATCAATCGACATGTCTCTGTTTGTTACTCACCTCTGCATAGGATTTCTTCTACGTTTGTCCAGGTCATCTTAAGGATAAGGGGTTCTGTAACCCTATCATTGACGAGGCCGCAATAGCCGCCAAGAAGAAGAAAGAAATGGACGCGGAGATTGAACGGTTAAAACAGGAATTTGATGAGAAGCAGAAAAAGAAGAAGGAGAAGGAATCAGCAAAAGAAAAGGAGAAGGATAAAGAAAAGGACAAGGATAAGGACAGCGATAAAAAGGCCACGGAAAAGAGTGCGGACGAAAAGGTGCCAAGGCCCACTCTTGTTGTCAGGTAGACTACTAATGAGGCAATCTGCAGAAGAGATCTGATGAGGCCACACCTAGCCCGGCTGAGGAAGAACACAGAGTCTTTGCTCTGCAGAAAACTTTTTACCAGCAGCGAATCGAGAAGAAGAGAAATGCAGAGATTGCGAAGCGCAACAGGGAACGTCTCCAGAACCCGAATCTTTTTCCCCAAGTCCCGAAAGGCTTTCCTTAAATGGACTCTGCAGCCATGTCATGCAACATTCAAGGATTCGCTGTCCCCTAGGTATTGGCGTGGTGACACCAGTCACGTGATTATAATTATTCTCAGTCACATCTGGCTGGCTATCAAGGAGGGTCTTATGCTTCGATAGGTTGCCAAGCAAACCAACTCCTTGGTTCTATCGGGCATGCCGACTTCTTTAGTGCTCGGACCAGTATGGTCAACATCTTCAGTGAGATCCAGTACAGTCAGCTCGACAAACTCGCAATGGTTCAAGTTTCTGGTATCAACTTCGTTGGCGCAACACGAAAAATACCTACCTCCTCAGTCTGAGCTCCAACTAGTAGTCTGACTCTTTGATACACGTCACTACTCTGGCAATTGTTCCATATCATTGACAAGCAGGAGGGCCGATGAGATACATCCCTGAGACGATCGACCCGTCCAGTCCGTCCTGCCATGTGCATAGAATTCGACAAGGATGTATTGGCTTTGGCAAGGTTCTGTCTATAAACCCTTGTATTTTATCCTGGTAAAAAATAAAGGATGATCGATCGCCTACACGGCAGTCACCAGGCTGGATCGCGTTGTTCAGAGGGCGGCCGACATCGTGGATGGTGCAACGCTATATCTGTGCCAAGCTGCCTCGTCCAGATCTTTCAGCTTGGATTCAAGTAACGAGAACCTAAACGAGCTCTGTTGAGTAAACGATTTAAAGCTCAAGTAACAGGTAGGGTCCCGTGAGTATTTCCAGCCTTGCAGGCAGCGGTGGGGTGTTGAGATCGCTTGCGGTTTGGAGCACCTCCACCTCTTCCTGCTAGTGCTTACTCTTCAGCCTTTACCATCCTTGACATCAGCCACATTTCCTTGAATCAATTCGAGTCTTTGTACCCCTCTCTGAAGTTTACGGGACCTTGGGTAGTGGAAAACCAGTAATGAACCCCACTTGTCAGCAAGTTCGCTTGATATTTCCAGATACAGCGGTAACGGCAGCTTAGCAAGTAGAGCGACTTGAGGACATATCCATGCTTGGTGGAGTTGTATTGTCGCGAACGGGGAATCTGACAATCGTCTGGATTGACCCTGATGCTTCTTTTCTGTACATTATGTGTGCAATAATGGCAGCGTGCGAGTGAAGATCGAAGCACAACACAGACTCCTTCTGTTTCTTGCTAAAATCATCAAATCCACATCTCAACTGTTTCTCTTGTCATCCTGCTGCGTCAGCATAGCATGAAGTCTATAGGCTCGGAGAGTGAGCACTATCCGAGTTGGCATCACTGTCCGGTTCAACTATAGATATCTAGTCATAATGTCTCGGTGCTACTCGAACACCACCCGCAGGAAGAACTCTGATCGCACCTCGGACATACATGATGTACGGCGTGTTTACGGCGTGTTTGGCTGACTGGAATTCCAGCAGTCTGGTCTTTCCGTGTTTTATATCATGCAAGTTAACGTTGCGCTGTATGGATCCCTCGTTTCCTCACAATCCACGAATCATCCAAGGGTTCTTACGGGAGTGACATGGAAGCCATCACGAGGAGTGATTGATCATCAAATCAGGAAATCGCACCGTGATTCCTCGTGTGCGCCTCACCGTGCCGCTTCCGACTGATGCAGATGCATACTGCGAGTGCGCTGGTCGTACTTATCCATGCATGAGCACCTATGAATTGATAGCTATCGTGTTCTACTCTGGGAGCGTCTTCGACGACATCGAATGCTTCAAATACGCTCCATATCGGGCGACTGCGGCGCATTCCGGTCGAAACGTGCTTACCTGACTTGCACGAGTCCAATGAAACCCCATGCTAGGCCGTGAAGCCACGAATCAGGCTGCTTAGAGTTCATGCACTTTGTGTGAAGCCTTCAACACTTGAATCTGGGCCTTTCATCCCCTCCAGTTCCTATAGATTCTCCTTCCCCTTCATTCCCGGCGGTAGCCTAATGCCATGCCCAGTCCCTATCTTGGCCTTATCTCCCATATTCCCAGACTTACTGGTTCCATGGTCATTCTTTTTGGTGACTTCGTCGACGCGCCCCTTTTGCAGACTGAACGCTGGACATACCCATACCCCGCAGCTACATCTCATACCCTGCCAAGCGTAGCGCCCGAGTTGACCTCCGCATTTCGGATTCGGACACTCCAAGCGGCCGCTGAGCAAACCCTGCTCAAGGGCAGGCCGCATCCAGGATACAGGATGCAGGAAGTGGTGAGTACACGCACTGTGAAGCGGGGCAGGTGGTAGAGACGGGTTGAGTGAGGATATCGGCCCATCTGTTGGCAATGCTTGGGCTTTGCCCGGCGTGGGGAGATGGTTGACAAGGTATTGAGTTGTAGCTAGTGTTCGTCTGAAAGGATATCATTAGCCAACCCAAAAAAGCCGAACGGAACAAGACTATGTGGTTTTGCTTGCACTGAATAGTCCTCGTCCTGGCCTTCACTGTGCTGGGCCAGGCTCGTAGTCGTGCAGCAAAAAGCGGAATGAATATACATACCGACATTTCCTACAACGTAGCTCAAGCTCTCTCCCCCCAATTTCGCTCTCGACGAGTTCTTCTTCGTCTCTAAAGCGAACTCGTTCTGGTGCCATGCCAGCTGCAAGAGCCAATCCAACCTCTTGATCGTAGAGCCATCTCTGATATTTTGGGTGCGCTTCGATATCACGTGGACAGCCCATCTCCTTGTAGAGCTGGAGCTGGGCCATGAAGCCATCGTTGGGTTCCGCAATAGGTCTAGATTCTCGGATCAATTCAAGAGCAGACTTGACTGTGTGGTGTGGATATTTGCGAAGGAGATACGCGATTGTGACCGTGACAGAGCGAGATTTGCCCATCGCGCTGGGAAAAGGGTTAGCGAGATCAACTTGCATGAAAACAATGGGCATGTTTTGGGCAGGCAGCTCTGCCCCAGAATCTTACTCCTCCGCTAATTATGACAAGAGTCAACACGCAAATGATCAAATTATGATATTTATCATCGTAGGCTCTCCCCTTCCGATTCTACGCAAATTTGGGAACCCTCCTTGGTACTCCATATATCCGAACCTGAATTGTCATCTTGACCAATTCCCACATCCAACACTTTGAGGGAGAATGAATTCCGATAATCCGAAGCAAAATGCACTCACCAATGAACCAACACAGCTCCTTTCTTGCCATCCTTTTCGCTCTTCAAGCCCTCCTCGATGAATTTCCCCGTCCTCTCAAATTCTACAAGCAGATTCTCATCGTCGACATCATCAACCTCAATACTCAGATGCTTGTACTTCTCCCAGTCCTCGAAGTCCTTGAAGTCGTATTTCAGAACCGAGACTATGTGAGTAATTCCTGTGGTTTCGAGAGCGGCCTTTCGGCGCAAGGTGAAGATGCTGCAAGCTCCATTAGCGATGTTGCCCTTGTCTTCAATAGTGATTCGGAAGGCTGGAGATCGTACGCTGCATTGGGAACCTGCAATAGTGCCCAGAACAGGAAATGAATGGACCCGTCACGTGTAGTAAATATTTGTGTTTAAAAGGAGGGCGAAGTGGCAAACAGAATTTGGAAACTGTACTTACCCACCAACGTACAGGTTCTCGTCCCCTGGAACTCGTGAGAGCGCCATGTTTGACGGAGGCGGAATGTAATCCACTTTGCCTGCCTTCTTGGAAGTATCAATTTGATGCTACTGCTCCTGGTGGCCAAAGCCCTCGTTGCGTCCCTTTGTCCTTGACTCCTTACCCACAGTTTTCTGATCAATGGTCAAACAGCCTCGGTCTGTTGGTGCTTACGAAAAAGGGGTCGTCGAAAGGGGTTATCACAATTGGGTGATGAAAGGCCACTAGCTGTAACTTTTCGTAATGGTATCTCAGACGTCCTTTGTGCACTTTTGTTTATCCCGCCTTTGATTTTGAAATCCTTGTCGACTGAACTGGCGATGATTTAGGGCTTGCTTCCCGAGGGACTAGTGAATATGTGTGCCTGAGGCACCTATCAATTATTACTTCGGCTCGTTGTTTCGGGGAGGCAGCATCAAATCTCATGAAACACGATCGATGGCGAAGATGGAACCATGGTGATCTGCCGTGGGCTCTGACTGCCGCATTGTGTCAATAATGCCTGTTGCTCCACGCTTTCTATCCACCTCCCCAAAGCAACCTTGTTCTCCGTCCCTGGCCCGCTTTCGGTCCCTATGTCCTAGCCATTGAACCCAGTTCCTGATATCCGAGTCGTCACCGTCGGTGAATTAATGGATGGGAAATTTCCGAATCATCCGTGGACCGTGGGGAACGGGACGATGAGCATGTCCTGTCTTTCTTTCTTGGAGTTCTTTGTAGTTTTCATGCATGTTGCACGGCTGGTCGGCCACATACATTATGAAAGTGGATCTTTGCAGAAAAGATACACCGAAGATACTTGTTGTTGGCTTGGGAAGTTACATAGCCCGATAAACAGCCATTATTCATGTCTTACAAGGCTGACGCAGAGTTTACTAGTGTCTCGAAGCCTGGAAGTATAATTTCGTTACGTCTGAAGGGTATTCGGTTGTGGAGAAATAAGACGCCCTCCTCTCGGGCTCAATCGGGAGAGCAAAAAGGGTACACTTTACGAGGTTACACCAGAACTCGAGTCAAGGAGCCCGACATTCTCAATCCATTATTGCATTTACCAGTGGCGACAATTCATCATTCAAGGAAGCGAGAGTTTGTGTCACACGCGGCCGAACATTGGCAGAGCAGGTGGCTTTCTCAGCTGAAAGCCTCACTTCCGTCATATGCACTCATGCAACTTTCAGAGTGCCTTGAACCTGCTTTTAGTGTTTGCATCTGATTCACTCGGATTCCGTTTCGCGCGGTCACACAGCAGCAAGGCTGAAAGAAGTGGTCAGAAGATTTTGGATCTTGAGATCACTTGGCCCTTTGGCATGTTTACATATTATTTTCCAGGTATGAGGTGATCATAAGTCTGCTTGTCAGCATGTAATCGCCGACCTGAATTACGGACTCCCAAAGAGCCGGTAAGTGGAAATTCCAAGCCGTCTTTGGTTTGGTTTGGTCTGTGGCCAGGCTTGACTAAGTCGGTAAGGTCCTTTTGCCGGCTTTCCTCTACCGGGAGTGAAACAGGACACGGCTCGGAGATGCTAAGCCGATTAAGAGGTCAGCCTTGCCATGGCCTAACGTCTTCTCAAGACTAAGGACTGTCACCGTGATCGGGTCATTTACTCGGCTAAGCAGATTGATGATTCGCTGTATGAACCGCCATGGCGGTTTGCCCCTTCTACGGTGAAGAAACATTCTCTCCGCCGAGGCTGCGAGATATCGGCAGAAACACTTGTGACTAACCCATTGACATCTCCCCAATAGAGAGGATTGCGAATGTCATCTGTCCGCCAGTATGTCCGCTTATGGATGTAATTTCGTCTCGTTATTACCTCCGGATAGCTCTGATTCGACATTATCAGCGACCAGCGATACGCCTGCCGAAATCCTGGTTTCCAACCATGAAGGTGCAGATCTTGCAAGGTGTTTTTTTTTTGCGAACTAGTCCTCGACACAGGCTTTTGGTTGTCAGTGGATGGCGAAAAGATTGGTTGGTCAATTGGTACGGGTTCGATAGTTGCAATCATTTAGAAGACGCGTCCTGAGGCGGAGACTGGGCCCTAAAAATGCCACAAAGTGTAAAATCAGGAAATTTTCTAGTGTCTCTCACCTCCTTGGCTCTTGGCAGTTGGTAGCTTGATCATGGACTGTTTGCAAGAACTACCGGCAGCACCCTAGCTAATGCGCAATATGGGTAGGTAGAACGTCTTGTTTTGGACAGGCTCGTGACATAGTGACTAATCTGGGAGTGGTGAGATTTGGGGCCTTACAATACACGCATTTGCGCGCGGCAGTCAAATCTTGAGACATTTCACCGACTCTATTCTCGTCTGCAGTTAATTTACGTTGTGCCGTTCGAATGACAGATAGCTTTTAGTCGCAGGCGGCATACAAGGGATGAGCAGACCAAAATAAGATCCTGCTGCACCGCGAAAAGAAGCATTCGGCCTTGCATTGGTCCTTCTTGTCCATCACAGCCACTATCCGTGAAGCACACAGTGGTTCACCAGGTTCCAGTCAATCAGAACCCTCCCCGACGCTCTTTCGGATGCGAACCATACATGCCTTCGGCCCGCAATCGCTGCATGTCGCTTGCATTGCATCGGCCTGGCTGGGCTGGAGGCTGAGGATTGGTGTTCGATTAGGTGCGAGTAGACGAGTAGACGAGTCGGCTTCTGAGAGTAGTGTTGGTCCAGAGGCAAGTCCCGTCGTCGTCCACACGTCCTCGCCTAATCCAAAATAGGGGGCAGCTGAAGTTCTGGCTTGTCTGGCCCATCTGCATGATCACACTTTTGGACAGTACTGTAAGGACAGTCCTCGTATCCGGTAGACTGGTAACAGTTGATAAGATCATGCGATTGGATTGGCTTTGGGGTCTATGGCGGTTGTCTCGCGCCTCAGGTACGTATCTTGCGCTGAATACGCAGCGTAAGTATTGTACCCCTCAAGAGCTGAGGAGGGGTACATTGAGCTGAGCTGCACGATGCACAAGGCACCAGGATACACTTTAGGCTCTGCCGGGGGCGATCGAACCAGGCCCTCGTGCAACAAGGTGGACGCGCACTTCATTGTTGAAGGAGTATCTGGTATCTGGTGCGCAGCTTACATACTGCTTTGTAAGGAGGACCGGTTCACACGGTGGCTGCAACGCCCCCGACAGCATCCCTTCTGGTGCGGTTGTCGGGTAGGGCAAGAGATTCAAGGGGATGGCACGAATCGTGCGTATTAACAATAGTAATGTGCATCTGCTTGTTTTTCACTGCTACTGTAGCTGGCTGAATCAGGGCTCAATGTCCGAAAAGGTCTCGGGATGGCGAACAATACGGCATCAATAAAGCAAGTCGACTCGTTCGCCCATGATGGCTGCTCTGCATTCCCCCTTCCCCCTTCCCCCTCCCCCTTGTGGCAGAAGCTAATTTCCGCAGTGAGGCGAGGCAGAAAGAAGGCTGAAGACAGTAAGTAGCGAAGAGCCCGCTCAAGCCCGGTTTTCCCATGCCTCCAGGAGTCCAGGAGTCCAGGAGTCCAGGGCTCGCTAGCCGGGTCCCGAGGTTGGGTGGAGGGTGGATTTGTGGGGTGGGGTTGTCGTGTTCGCTCAGGGCTGAGGAGCGACGATCACTCATCAAGGGCAGGGCAGGGCAGGGCAGGGCAGGCGAGGGCAAGGCAAGGCAAGGCAAGGCTCAGGGCTAGGGCTCAGGCTCAGGCCCAACCTCGCCAGCCTAACATAACCTAACCTTTAACGTTTATCTCGATTCGTCGAGGAGCTCAGAGTCCGTGTGCATCGCGGACACTTCCTTCCCGCACGCTCAACCAGAAGCCGTCCCTCGCGCTAAGATACCGCATATTATTATTGAGGTGTAGCCCTGCCCTGCGCAACCAGCCCAGCCCCCCTGTTCCCGTTTACACCCAGATCTCATCTACGGCACGGCAAGCTAAATCGCGGTGGCAGGCCATTACTGGATCAACGGTGATGAGCATCCAAACAAGTGGGAGGGAGGTAACTTGCTTACAGCTTTAGAAGTAACTTAGCGAAGCTTCTACCTCGAGTCATTGAGGATCTCCCACGAGTGATGCACGCAATCGCTACTTTCTCGCTCGGTCTTGATCCTGAGAATTATACTGTTAAAGTCCAGCCACCAATGTCTCCAGCCACAACAGCCATCTTCCGTAAAATGATTGGCTAGGGACCTCAGAGCCACGACCGTCACCGTTGCACATGCATTTGATCAAGAGTTTTCCTCTTACCGAGGGGGGGGGCAGGGAACCTCACGATGCGTGTTTGCTTGCTGGGATCCTTTGGACGTTGATGTCGAGGGGTCAGGAATCGAGTTCAAACCTTGGTAGCCTCGAGTCATTAGCGCAATTCCTCAGTGCCATCGCCATGCGTTCGCCTTCTATCCGATGGTGACGATCTTTCTCGGCAGTCCTAACGTTAGGGCACGCCACCGAATCCACTGCGAACTAACTGATCTTTCCAGAAAGCCGTCTAGTGCCTTGTCAAGTGCTTGCCTCGTGGCGCCTCGATCTCAATAGATAGTTCCTGGATCGGCGCAACCATAGCCGCGCGAGTAAAATCTTCAGTAATCGAGCTTCTTGTTCAGGCTACTGGTGGGGTGAAGAATTTGCTGACGTTGCTTCCCGAGTAAGTGACGTTGGGGAGTCGTTCGATCAGTACCGAGGCAGCTCGATTACTTGCAAGCCATGATAATCCACACTACTGGACATGCATGTTTAGTGTAGCAGTGTCCGAAAAGTCGTCGGGAATTTGAAATACTAAACATATGCCGAAATATATACCGTAGCGAACGATTGATGCTCAATGCCATAGCAAACGTCTAGAAGCAACATAGAGTAGCTTCCATGTCCCCATGTCCAATAAAACTTCGGGATCTTTGGGTGCCGAGTCAATTCTCAAGTAGCCCTATGGACATGAGGAGTTTAGACACGGCAAGCTCCGAGTAGACTTTAGGCCTTCTCGACTGTGCCTCATGCAGCAGAGAGGCACTTCTTCTCTATCAGCATCGTCCACTACTGGATTGAGAATGGAAGATTGGCAATATGGCCAGGGGAAGAGAAAAAAATAAACTCAATTGACGTAAATAAAGCTGCCGGAAATCTCCGCACAATTTGGGGGGTAGCATCGAACCTGGACGTGCACATCATCTCAGACAAAGTGGAGTTGATGGTGTTTTGAGCGCAACGTTCGAATCAACTTGGCACAGATAGGAGGAGATGAAATTTGCCATTGATTCGCAACTCGACCTCGTTGTTCCAGCTTCTCAATTTATGTAAGGCCTTGGGTGGTGGCGCAGCAGAAGATCCAGTCTTGAGACATGGCGAGTCGCTGGCTGCTGTATCACTGCCAGGCTCGTTGGGAGAAATGTCTATGGTCTGCGGGACGCAATTTGTAGCGGAGATGTCAATTGGTTCATCGTAATATAGCCAATTGGAGAATAAGAGACTTCGAGGCACACCTAACAATATAAGCTAAATTATCCTTTTTCTGGATCTCTAAATATTGGACCGGCTGTTTGTTTTTCACTTTCCTTTTTCCGGCCACTGGAGACTACTTTATCATAATCCAAGCAATGGGAAAGCAGCCTGCTTTAGATTTTGCCCTGGTATCCAAGGAAGCGGCGAGCACAGAGAGTGGACAGTTTGGCGCTGCGGTGTCCCAGCTCAGCTGCCTTGTAACAGCACTCATCAAGCAATCCCAGGTCCTGTTGCACTTACTAAGAATGAATGAAGCTCAAACAATGAAATGAAAACATGGTTTTTTTCTTTTCACAAAAAAGCCAAGTCCGGTACAGAAATCACATACAGTAGTGGTGAGGCGAGGATGAGCCTCAGAAAGGCCAGAGTGGGATTGGGAGGAAGAGGAGCTGGGTATTGTGTGATCTCACAACCTTTCGGGGCTGCTTTGTCTTGCCTTGTGATGGGCACGAGAAACTGGCTTGGAGCTACTGTAGGGCTGAGGTCAACACCATTGAATGACTGGGACTGAGCCCGCTAATCCCTGCATGACGTTCCCTGTAAATGACAAACACCCTGACCGCCACCCCTTTCAAACCCCGCGAGAGCCTGGATGAGAATGCTAGCAACGCCTTGATAATTGGTCACCTCGGCAGACCCCTGACGGAGCAGAGTGCCGTCCCAAGGTGAGGCCCGCTCGACAGAGCGTGGGGAAGGACAAGAATGAAGCCGAGTCCATTGTTGATGGAAGCCGCCGAATTTCAACACGTATCTACCAGCGGCCAGACTCCTAAACGCCCAATTCATGATGTCGTGATCTGTGAATAGACAACCTACCTAGGTAGTTTGTGGCTTCTGTGTCAAGCTTGGGTCTTACAGCCGGGTTCGTATTCTCGTGACCTCTTATGAGCGCCGTAGCGAACAAGTGTGTGTTCTGGACTTCGAAAGCGCAGAATTACTATGCACTACGTACATGAAGGCTTGGATATAAGTAAAGAAGGGGAAGCTGATTCGAGGGACGAATGAGATGAAACCTACTAAAGGAAACATCACTGTGAATGCATTACGCGGTGGCAGACATCGAATTCTATACATGCCAAAGATGCAATACCGTCTAATCCGCGTGCATGGAGAGGGATCGTGAAGTATCACCTGCCCTCCGGCCACTCAAGTCAACGGTCATCATATGCAAGCAGTGATCATTGAGCCAGACCTGTTTGGCGCATGGCGACAGACAGTGAGTATAAGAACTGTCCTGGCCTATTCTCCTTTCCTCATGAGTTCTTCCCTCTCGTTCGTCTCGTCCTTCTCACACCGCACCTGAAAGGACTTCGACGATCCCCACCTCCTCGCCTTACAGCCTTGGCAACAATAAGACGACGAGGCATGGGTCGGGCAGGGGCAGGAAGGGTGCGGGCCTCTGCGGATAGAGATCTCTGGAGCAGGGAATGGAAGTAGGGATGCGATAGGATGGAGGGGAAAGGGAAGGGAGACGAGACAAGGTTTAAGTGTGGTTCGAGTGGAATGAACAGTGGGTAGGGACTAGGTGGAGCAACTAGGCTTGGCTGGGCAAATAAATCAAAACACAACGTCTAATAAGTGGGCACTCGGAAGGCTGTGCAACGACCTACCAGCTAAAACACAGCTAGACGTTGTAATTTCATAAGGTACCTACCTATCCACGGCCCAATTAATCTGCCTATGTGCCGCCGGAGATCAGTCCCCTACCGACTCTGGCACCTAAATTTCCTGTCTTCCTTGTCCACCTTGTCTACCTACTCCGAACATATGGACAGACATACGTAGTGCCTTGGAACCAGTCCCGGCAGACAGGGCTCTCTCTGAGACGTGCAGCGAGGCCCTTCAGACACCCAGCCCATGACATGACATATTCTCTGATCCATTGTTTGACCTGGCCCTGGCTGGGTTGTCCTCGCTGACGCTCACTGTCACTGTCACTGTCTTGTCCTTGTCCTTGTCCTTGTCCTGTCGCCGCCACCTCTTCTCCTCTGCTCGTCAGCTAGCCCTAGCCGCAAACCTCAAGGGCTTTCCCCAATCCTTCTTTCTTCCTCCTCCTCCTACGGCCAACCAACATCTGGCTACCGCCTTCCGCCGAAACTCTACCAGTTCCAGTCCACTGTATGCCTCCGAGCTCCACAGGTACTATTTCAAGTAGATTTCATGTACCAGATCTGCTTTCATCTTCGACGCCACTTTCCAAACCAGCTCTCTCCCTGAGCCTGCTCCCTTTCTCTTCCCCCTCAGCACAGCACAGCATTGCACTGAGTCGTCCGTCCTGGCCAACACCACACCAGCGCTATTAGCAAGTCGCCGCCTCCAAATCCCTACCCAGCTGGACCATTTTACTACACGACTAGTCTCACCAACCATCAGCCTTCCAAGACATTTGTAAAGTCCGAAGGCCCCATGGCCCACTAGTTGTCAACTAGACTCTTTCAGCCTGCTTTGCTTCACCTGGAGCCAAATCAACATACGCTACACTACATCCTTTCCTCCCCCTCCTCCAGCAACGACCGCGACCACACTATTGTGCCCTACCCTCCAAGCCGATCTGACTCCATCTCCTAAAACAGGTCGATCTCGCGAGTCTTTCTCTTTCTTATAATTCTCCGATGACATAGCTTTCTTCGACTTATCCGGCGGTATTCTCACTTTCTTTGCTGTACATTTCTTGTTGGAATCGATATCTATGTTCGCCTTCATTTCCTCGTCCATATCGGATCTCCCGAAAGACCACCGCCACCCGAGGACGCAAACTTCGTAGGAATTCGTGGACTAGAGTGCTTACGGTAACAACTGTGCATTCTTTTCAGCAAGTGGCAAGCAACGCGATCCCTTTCAACATGGAGATACCCCATCGAGGAGCCAGGCCTATGGGAAGCCTCCCTCAGATTCAAATACACGACCCATCTGAGATGTATCGAAAGTCGAACAGGTCCAGCTCGTACAATTCAGCGTCATCTCCAAGACCGTCTTCGATTCCAATGTCAATACCGAACACTCGAGAATTCGTCCCCCCACCGCTTCCCCCACCACGACATTTGGCGGACATTGCAGATGGTGGACACAATGGGCCTGATATTGCATGGCAATGGGGCAATTCGCATACCGACAGTAGAGATTGGGGCAAGGCGACGGCATCTATTCCACAAGGCTCCAGCTTACATGGCGGAACCGGTAGTGACATGGGTAGAAGCAGGATGCTCGACGAACAATCGGATTTCCAACGCCGTGGAAGTTCTATCTCGACTTTAAAATCAGATTCAAGGGAGGGCCAATATCAAAGAGATGAAGGATATGAGAGTTTGGGAGCGAGCGTGTGGTCGAATAAGTCAGTTTTGCGATTTCCTTCAACACGATCCGATTATTCCTACCAGCAGTGTATACTCCTTTCTTCATTGCCGTTAGGGTTAGGTTGAGAAGTCTCGCGAAAATTCTCGCCCAGAACGAGTACCCTATTGTCGGCTACCCAGCGCCCAGTAGACATAGCCGTATTAACAATCCTCTTCTAGATCCAGAAACCAAGAATCCTTACCAAGCTTTCAGAGTTTTCAAAGTTCTGTCCACGATAAATACCAGAGTAATGCTCAAGCATTTGATAGAACCCAAATACAGAAGCTCGATGCTAGGAGGGGATCTGACAACACAACACCTCCCAAAGGACACCCAAAACCCAGCTTCAGCTCGTCTGTCAACGACGTATCCCCAACATCTCGCGTGCATGAGCACAGATATCCTACTCAATTGAAACCATTGTCACTTCCGATCCTTCCAGGAAGACCGGGGCTTGTCGAAAGCCCGCTGAGTAGATGGGCCGACACGCCCCTATCATCTGCCATCTCGCCCGGCAATCCATACCCAAGATTCAGCATGCAGAGCCCGTATGATCACAGATCGCCAAACGATGCGGATTCGGACAGGTCTCCCGTCCCGTACATAAGGTGTTCAGGAAGCATTCCTATCATGAATATCAATGATGACGCCTCTTCAGTGACTAGTAGGTCTAGGGAGAGTTATGATCAGAGGATCACTCCGGAACATGATGATTTTCCTATGGAGGATACTGGTTTTAGACGACTACATATTGACGACTACTCTAACCGCCATGAAGGATACTCCCCTGGCGCAACCGTTGGTCAGAAAAGACGTGCTTCCTCTCCACCAGGTGACGATGGTCACTCTCTGCACACTGTCGGTAGCGCGAGCGATCTATACAGACGGAGAGAGTCTGCATCACGAGCTTCTCCCAGCCCTCGTTTCCACTCGAATTCTGGTTCAGTGTCATCAACAGCCTCAGCGCCAAGGAATAACTCGTATGCTTCAACACTTTCGGTGACTGCAAGTAGTATCACGAGCATGAGCTCTTATGGACGACTCTCTCCTGGAGGAATTTCTCCTGGTGGTATTTCAAATGCTGGGTCAGACATGTCAGACTCACCATATGTAACCTCGTTGTCATTGAACCTGAGTCCGCGCGGCTCCTTGTCAAGAACAAATCATAATCGGGCCCTGTCCGAGTCCCGCCCTCTGATGACCTCTCGGAAACTATCCGAAAGCCTTGGAACTTCTAAGCACGACAGCCCTCCCAAACTGCATGGTGTTTACATGTGCGAATGTTGCCCAAAGAAACCAAAGAAATTTGATTCACAGGAAGAGCTGACGTATTATATCCCATCCCGAGATTTCTTCACATGCTGACCTCGCATTTAGTGCACACGAGCAAGAAAAGCAGTACGAATGTGCATACTGTCGGAACCGCTTCAAGAATAAAAATGAGGCTGAGCGACATCAAAACTCCCTTCATCTTAGGCGCCATTCCTGGTCCTGTGCAGCGTTATCAGGCTACGCCGCAGCGTTCCATAATTCTCCAAATCGGCCTAACGAAGCTGACACATGCGGCTATTGTGGAGAAGATTTTCCACGGTCAGGAATCTCGTCTCCCTCGATATCAGGACAACCGATTGCTATTGCAAATGACCAGGATTGGGAAATTCGGATCGGCCATCTTCAGGAAATGCACAAGTTCGGCGAGTGCAACCACGCCAAAAAGTTCTTCAGAGCAGATCATTTCAGGCAGCATCTGAAGCACAGTCACGCAGGCACTAGCGGTAAATGGACCAATATGCTAGAGAATGCATGTATGAAAGACGAGCCACTTCCGGAGCCGATCCGAGGTCCCGAACGAGTGAGCCCTGCCGGGCCAAGAGTAGGTAGAATTAGCGAGGAGGATGAAATCATTTGAGAAGAATCGTGAAGAAGGTCATACACCACATGCTTCGGATTCGATGGATTTGGAAATATTTAAGAGGAAAAAAAGAACGAAAACAAGGACCATCAAAAGAGAAGAGAGGACGTCTTTCAACGGCCATACACAAGATACCCGGTTCACGGCTCTCATGCATCGCTTGCATCATTTGTCATATTATGTTACGACATACACTTGCATTGGGCATATCGCATATCGCATTTTCTCGTTATTTCCACACATTCTATATACCTTCACGGAAATGGAGGAAAGGCTGCATCGCAGGACTGCATAGGCGCATGGTTCATGATTTATCACGACAAAAAACACCGTTTTTTGTTAGCAGGGAAGGGGTTTAAGGGCACGGGTTGGGATGGGACTGAGATGGTGCGACATACGGAGTCAGAGTGCGGATTTCAGGAAGGAATTACAAGCTTACATCACGCAGCAACTGGGCTACTGCGTTTGTTTTCGCTCGTATCACTTTCTGCTGGCTGCTGGCCGCTGGCTTGCTTGCACCTCTGGCACTCACTGACCAAACTGATCAGAAATCTGCCTGTTTATCTAAAAAATAATGAAAAGAGATACGATACCAACGTGATGCAATCACGCAGACCCCAAACAAAATCACAAAATTTCCTCTTCTACGACCCATCGGTGATGTTGGCCTCTGCGCTTTGCGAGGGGCAAGATATTAGTGATCACTCGTCCAGTTACTTATTGATCCGTGTCTGTATACTCTGTCATGTGTTAACTCTGTCAGTCTTGGAAGAGTGGCATAATCAGTTAGTGGATAGTTGCTCTTGGCACTTAGGAAACGAAAGCAAGGAACGATACATCCGAACTTCGATTTGGGCTTGTGAGCGCTAGTGCAATAGCACGGATAAGAGTTTGCCTTCATCCGGAGGTATATTATTCTCTCATGTTCATTTACGTAGATACCTATCATGATCTTGGTATGTCGGTTGTTTGGAGTTGCGAGCAGTCTCGCTTCGCCTAGTGTTCTCCTCTTGGGTCTGCCAAGGGTAGGTATCTGCGGACTCGCAAGACCATACAGTATGTCCATGTTTGCACTGCTTTTAAGAATTTCAAAAATTCCGGTTTTGTTTTCACCAGGGTGCGTCCAAGATCCAAGGTTGGGACGGCATTCTCCCCCCGAGGCAGCTTTTGACGACAAGGCTACGCTAACAAGCCGGCGCTCTCCAAACCAAGGATGGAACGCGATCTTCGGCGACAGATCTTCCCTCGCTATGCTGGTTACAGCAAGCAGATGCGCAGCTATCTTGGGCTCTTGTCCACCACCTCGTGGTTTATGCACCGGCAATATCTGCCTGCATCGCCTGCATCTTCCAAGTTCCCCAAAAGAACCCGACGCGGGGTCAAGCGACCTGAATACCGGCCAAGACCAGATCTGCAGGTGGACCCAGAAATCCAGAAGGATCTTTTTGCTCTAATAGAGTTTATGCGGGAAGGGTATGACTTGGAAGGAGAAAGTCTCTTTGTTGCCGCTTCGGACGACTTACATGTCGCTAGCTTACCCTTCTCTTGGCGGCTGGATGACTTCTGACTGACAGCCTCGACAGCCCTACGGTAAACTCGCAGAGGTTTTCCTATTACGGAATGGCTTGGTCCCCTATCCCCTCACCTGGTTGCATGCTCGCATGCAAGGCTGAACTCTAATGGCGAACCTGCCGCTGCATGCGGTTCTCCACACTAGTTTACGATTACGCCTTGGTCTGACCGTGGGAGCCGACTCCGCGCTTCCCGGTCCCGGTCCCGGTCCCGGTCCCGTGTCTCAAACGTTATGTAGGTTCTGTATCGTATTGGAAACTCCAACTGCTATTCAGCTTTAACATGACTAGGAGGTAAAGTATTTTACCAAATACAACATCTATTGGTTCTGATAGGTCGGATATTTGAAAATGTTTAGAGTTGTCTTCTTATGCTATCTAGAAGATGGCCATAGCGTTTGGTGGGCTGCTCACCCCGCCTGGCATGTTGAGTGGCATTGATGTGATGAAGAAGGAATAGCGATTTAGCTCTTGGCATGTCTTTGACAGGGCTTCGAGATCGAAAATCTCGCCTTTAGAAGAAGAAGAAGGAGTTAGTCATATCTCCTCTCCACGTTGCTCCTTCCATACAAAGATTCGATCTCGCACGCCAATCTCACTGTTGACAAGATTTTGAAGGAAGCGAAGCGGAGTAACGGGAGACTGGGAGGGAATAAAGCGGAGATGAGAAATGTGCTTACCGATAGGCATACCCCATCCAGCTAGAAGATATTCGTGCATTGAGATGGCGCCAGGAGTTGGGAAGACCTGTCCCGGTAGGATGTTGCTGTCAGCATCAATAGTTCCGGCATGTCAATCGTTCCGTACGCCAAAACGCGGCACAGCTGCGTCGACGATAAAAGTGTAGAGCTAGTCTGTTCAACGTACCTCCCATGAGATAGCATCCCCAGCCACAGCTGAGATACCGCTGTCCCAAAGCCACTCCAGAACCTCGATACAGGCTTCTACACCTGCGTGTTCGGGCTCTTTTAGTGCAGCATAATCTTGCTTTTGGGTCGTTGTGTAGTTATCCCATTCGGGTATGACACCCATGCGGATGAAGAGCACGTCACCTTTCTGCGGTGTTACGTTGAAATATTTGCACATGGCGACAATGTTGGTGAAGGTGATGGCGTGAGTGGAAAAGTTAGAGTAGGTTATCCGGGGACTCTGTGAAGCTGCCCAAAGTTGATAGTCTAGAAGGATCCCGCGGCCTATAATAGTCAGTTGATGTACTCGACTTAGGCTTGCGGCTGATTGTAGGGCTACGCCAGGCTTGAAGTAGATCCAGAGCAGCTTGGATCTACGTAGATCTGAAGACGTATATCTGAAGCTTGTCTACAGGAACGGAAGAACCATCCCGGTCCCAGGGACTTCATAATTGTCCAATTTCTAGATGGATATGTGCATATAGTCCGCAATGGTAGACGTATGTCCGCATCCTTGCAAGAAACATTCCGGCGGACTTTTTCCTGGAGCAAGCCCGACAAACATTTCCAAAAAAAAAATAATGCTACAAAATCTTAGATTTACACAAATCTGAACACTCACCAGCGATTCCCTCACTTGCCCAATGTTGAATGCCAATTCGATGGTTGCTCGTATCCATGATCTCCTCTTTGGTAGTTCCGCCGTAGAAGACTCTATCTGGGGAGTTCGAGGAACCTTTTGGCTCTCTCGGTTGGGAATAGTGTCGGAAACCGTCCCACTGGCTACTTTGTTCTGTTATACTGTCAGAAGTTTATATTACAGCTGATGTCTCGTACAAAATACTACTGTGGTGGAACAGACTAATACTCTGCTTGAAAGGTGGAAAGACAATACGTACGAGGATTCATGGAGTACACATCATCAAAACCAGCACCAAACCCAGCTCCGCCGGGAAATGTAAGTGGAATAATGGTATGCCCACACTTCTGTCTCCCGAATTGAGAGTGCTCGAGCTTGGTCATGTCCCAGCCCAATCCGACTCGTGTCCCAGTCTTGATCTCAGAAGCTGCCGCTGCGGACACAACTTCTGGAGTAAGGAGTGAGAGACGACCTGATTCAAGTCAGTGTATCTACAAAATATAATTTGAAGGAGTTCACCAGTCAATACGCATATCGAGAGTGGAGAAACATGGTGAATGTACCTAGACCTTCTAGTGGGGAGGAAGGCGACCCAAGCCATACCCGCTTTGGGTTGGGTAATTGTGAGAACGGCGTTGAGTAGATTGATGGATCATAGCGAGGGATCTCTGATTCCTCGTCAGCAGTGACTGTGGAAATCTGCTCGACTTGTAATGGCCCCTGCATTGCGAATGATGTGCGAGATTTGGAGGCTGAGAGGCGGAGTAAGCTATGCAGGAGAGCAGAAGCGGCTTGAAATGTTGTGGTGATGTTCTCCAGTTGTGCAAGCTGTGACAAAAGTCGTCAAGTTGAATCCACTTTTGTCTGGGTTTTGAAATCCTCAGGTCTTCTGCATGTGCTGCTTTTACCGCTCGCTATGTCTCCACCCCACCTTCCACTTCGGTTTTCGGGCGAGATTTAACCGAACCCCTTTTCATATCGTTTCAACTTAAGCGAGACAACAATGTTTGTTTTCTTTCGTTGTCATGAGGTAATTAGGATACATGTCTAAATTCGAACATCTACTTTGAAAGACAACCAGTCTGATTCAATGATGCTCAAGCTACAACATTTACTAGCTGGTGTTCAGGTGATCACTACCCCTCAATCCAAAATTCAGCCCGGGCTCTGATTCATCCGTTCTCCAACGAGAAGCCCCCATATGCAATTGCCTTCTGCAAAATCCAGGTACATACAGGTAGATGCCAACCGGATGTTTAGATTGTATCTGGTATCAGTATTCGTGTCTATGTAGATGACTTCCAGCCCACACTATCACCAAGTGCTGCGCGAAAGCCTTCCACTCTATGTAACACGAACTGGAATGTAGGAAGGTTGCTAGCATGTTCATTTGATGTGATTCCAGGCTATCTCGATCGGCTAAGTGTTTTATCAAGATCTCTACGCTCTTTGCCTACTCATCCCTGACTTTCATCGCTAGGGGCTTACTCGTAGTACTGAAATATTTTTTAAGAGAGATATGAAACAAAATAGTAAGTAAGAGAAGCAAAAGAAACCCACAAGGGGGAAAGAAAAACCCTGCTTTTCTAAGGGTTTTGCTTTTTAAGTCGTTTGTTGATTTTGTTGCTATTTGTCGAATTGCCAAACTCGCCATCGATCCACACTATGATCCGTGAGATCTCCACGGACCATGAACACAGTTTGCCCAGACCGCTCGACCATAGAGCGGCTGCCTGCTGCTGTTCATGTTGATATATCTGCTTACTTGGTTACACAAACAATTTCTCGTCATCCTACCCAGGTATTGTTGCAGAAAGGACGACATTGCGCGCCTGTATGGGGCACCTTCATCCTCGTGTCGGGGGGTTAGAAGACTGGCAGTCGCGTTCTCGAAACACCCGTTGATTGTATCCTGCTTATTGCATATGTCTCTTTCACTCAGCTTCCTCGATAATATGAGGGCAATATCTGTCTCAACAACGCGGTTGCGTGCTGCTTCTCGATGACTTAAATGGGATTCTATGGTATAGGGAATATCAACCAAGTTGACTAAACATAAAGCTTCTTAAAGCTATGATTTTCTTTGGGAAAGCTGTAACTACAGCAATGAGTAGCGCCATAATTCGTTCAAGTATTGTGGGCATCTTGACAATGATCACCAGCATCTACTCCTGCTTAAATATCTCCAGAATAAAGTCATTCGTCCATAAAGCTGTCCATTCATTCTTCCCGGACGACGAGTAAACAACATGTACCAAAATACAATCCCAAAGTGAATTGCACAAAGATCTAAAGTGTCTATACGAATACTACTACACAGATGCTCTACTTTGAAGAGCGCCACGGACCCAATGTAACCTCATAACTTCTCGCATTGTTGAGAAGATTATTGAACCTTGTGCCGTTTATTACCAGCATGTTTTAACAACGAATTTAAAATGGGAAGGCACGAAGAGCATCGACGACAAGCACCCACCAACAACCTCTCAGCTAAAATTGGGTTTCCCGGAGCCGCATACCCCTTTGTGTGCACTGTCATGTTACAGCGCTCTTCCTAGACAGAAAGACAACAAAGATACCGGGAGTAGAGAGGAGAGCAAGAAATATGTGTATCCAGGTAGCCGGCTCTTCGGTGGGAAACGGAACTTACATGCCTCGCTTTCCTCCATTTGTGGAAGACTCGAATCGAGTCTGGAACGATATGTTGTCTCCATATCTGAGTCAAGAGACGAGCCAGAATTGCAACCTTGATTCAACTCACCATCGGACATTCAAGTAAGCCCAGGATGCCAGGAATGGGTATCAGGTAAGCGAAGTGCATCCTAAATATCCTCGATACCTGTGATGCCACCCTACCTAGGTGTCCACATGACATCGATGTTTTGTACACACTTTCAAATGTTGCCTCGCAACCGAACTCAAGACGGTGCTGTATCCAATGGAGTCAAATCCAATTGGGTTCCTGACTACTTAATAAGAACAACTGGGTGGGTATGATACTTGCACAGACTCTTGCAGCGAAAGCAAATGAGCAAATTAGTGAAAGCTCTGTAGGTCAACAGTGTACAGAAGCTGTTCGCTTCACGGCTATTATTATATTTCAGTTACGTCTAGAGGCTGTCAAGTCTGTCAAAGTTCCCTTTACTCCTCGCAACACAAGTTCATGGTCAAGACGTCATTCATTATCTATCAACAGATTATGTATCCATCCAATACAATGCAATCAATATGTACCCTGATCTTCGAAAACTCAAAACTGGTACAAACACCAGGATGCTAGACCCACAGCCGCGACTCCTAACGAAGCCATGCCAATTCTGTGCGAAACTTCCTTACTCCTTGGGGCATCTCCCTCACTTATGGATATCGAACCCATCATGCCTGAGAGCAAATCTCCTTCTGGGCTCGGCTTTTCAGGAACAAAAAGCGACTGCTGCTTCATGTCTATACGGCTTCTCTCTGGATGGATGCTGAAGCTCGTTGATGATTTGGTAGTGAAGAAATTTTCTTTCACTTGTTGGGATACGAATGTTGGCTTGTTTGGTGGGTTGCGAAGTCGATGAGCTGGCGTAATAGGAGCTGGTGGGACTTTGTACCAAAATGGTGACGCTTTGTCGCCGACAGGCGATTCATTGAATTTTTGAGCCGTTTGTGGCTGTGATGGAGGTGTGAAAACGCGGAAGGATGAGGTTTGAGGTACGGTTGGTAACCATTCCATCTCATCATTTTCGTATGGTATTCTTACTTGCGGGTTATGTTGCTGAGGGTTGGATTTTTGAAAGCGCGCTGGGTTACGTGCTTGGGATTCTGGAGGTAGGTTGAAGCGTTGAGATGAACCAGTCATGGGCTCTGGCTCGGGTGATTCGGAAATCGTTGGACGAGCATCTCGTGAAATTTCATCTAGGAGTTCTCCCAGAGATTCTATACCCCTGGGAGAATTCGGAGAACCTGAAATCTGACTTGGTTCGGTGCTGGCCAGTTTCTCGGGCGTTTTCTTCCACAGAGGTGCCCGGTCGACTTTGAAGGCGTTCCTTGCCGTTGTGTAAAACTGCAAAGGTTAGCAATGGCTCTTTGAAACTGTATTCTTTGACGTACGGATCCAACTGCAAACAAAGAGCAGACGTGTGCTAATATTGTTGGTGGTGCACTTTGACCACCAAGCTTATTCTTCACTATGATATAATAGAGGAGCGATCGTAGAACGATCGCTATTGTTTGACGAGTATACCAAATGTCGAAACCCTTGAGACGCTTCCTGAAATTTTTTGTTACCGGGTCGAACTCCGGATTCCACCACGCTGATGCGAAGCCACAGATCAAACTATTGCGAGCCCAAGATTTGGTGCTGCAGATGTTGACAAATGCCATAACAAGTGGTAGTATGGGCGCTACTGACGACGACAGCTGAGCATCCAGCTTGTCCTCGATCAGACCCCATTCCACGAGGTGAGCGGTGTCCCAGAGCAATTGCCCGCCAAGGCTAATATACCAGAGTAACCGAGTCAAGAACAAAACGATTCCAAACCACGATGCGCTCTTGGCCGGCGCTGATCTGGCTTCTCTCGACTTTTCCATCATCCGGCGCAAATGGTCTGTTTTGGCAGTCTTGCCGGCCTGGCGCATCTGCGAAAGGACTTTAGGCTCGCAATCTCGACAGACTTGAGGGAATCGATGTTCGAGCCCTGCTTTGTATTTATTGAATTCCTGCTCATCTTGCAAGTAGCCGGGGCGGCGTGTATCTGTGTCGAATGGATATTCAGCAATAGCCGTGGCCACAATGTGCTGATTCTTCAGACATGTCGCGCAAAATATATCGTGCTCTAGGTGCTCGGGGGAAACTGGGCGCGTTGAGTATTGCAGATTCGCTGGGGCTGCCAGCTCTGTAGCTACCGGTGGATCGGTGATATCTCCATTCTGAAGAAGATATTTAGTATGCTGCGTAACTCGTGTATGCACGACGGCACTTACCTCGTCGAGATAGTTCTGGGCGTCGCAGTATGCACATTCCCATTGTCTGTTGCCATTGTACCTGATGCCGGACCGAGTGTTGCAATAGAAGCAGATGAGTTGCTTGCGACGGCCGCGGACAGGAGCCATTGGGTCATGATGCTCCGCAATACAAAGTCCAACAAAAAGTGCAAGAGGGATAACCGGGAGGAAACAATGAATGCGAGCAAAACAAAGACAACGACACGGGATTGTTGCTGGTTCCAGTCAGGTCAGGTCAAGTCGAGTTCAGCCTCACCAATGAAAGTCAGCCAAGCCAGTGGAGTGAATTTCTCGAGCCAGCCTCACTCGCGTGCTGGTTGTACCTTAGGCAGAGCAGAATGATATATGCAGAGCAGATCTGCAATGAAATGACCGTGTTGATTAATAATGGCATGTAACAGCTTCAGCTCTTTACCTGGACCGCCTTTTGGAAAAGCGAGAAGCTTTTACCTGGGCTCAAGCTTGCTTGCCTTTAATTTAAAGCAGTCAACTTTTTAATTCTCCTTCAGCCAGTCCAGCCTGCCAGCCTGCCAGCCTGCCTGCCTGCCTCTGAATCCCTGTCGCTTCAGCGGCGCGGCGATTAGCTTATCGCTTCCACCGCCTTCGCTTGAACGTCACAACACAACACGCCGCAGCCCGTAAGGCTACCATTGTCGTGGACGACAGACGACTCTACCTACCTTCACTCTGCCGTCCAACAATAAACCCGCATTGCCCTAACCATTTCGCATCACAACATTGTTGCACATTTGCCCACCATGGAGAACGATCCCCAACCTCCTGCTACGAATGTGCCAGAGGCCCCAGATAAGGAGAAGATGGACCAGGTAAGGCAAGGTTGTTTAGATGGGGTGGAGACCTTCGAAGTGGCTAACTTTGTTGATTACAGATCCGAAAGCGACGCATGGAGAAGCTTTCAGGTCCAGCCCCGACTCCTAAAGCCGAAGGAGAGAAAATGGGAGTCTCGTCATCATCTTCTCCTGCACCGGAAAACGCTCCTTCGACTGAGTCCACTCAAGTCTCGAAAAAGATTCAGATAGCGAAAGCAGTGCCTTCCCCAAAACCGGCTGATAATCCCAATCCATTCACGAAATTGGGCGCACAAGCCCGTGCCGCGAACATGACTTCCGCTTCATCCACAGTAAGAACTCCTGATACGGCTGCTTCAACTCTAAAGAGAAAGCGGGCTGAAATCGACTCGCAGACAAGTCCTCCCCCACCTCGAACCACGACCATCCCAGCGACCGACGAGCCTATCGAGCAGTGGGAGAATAGAAGTTTGAGCAACATTTTCCGGATTACATTGGACCCAGAGCACCGAACTGAAGGATCTCATAAGCTCATCTACTTGCCGAGTTTGAGGCAGGAGTTGCTAGATGAGGAGGTTCCGGTCCTTTTGACGAAAGATCGACTTGATTCTGCGCTTCTCGAGGCTGGTTCGACATTACCGAACAATAAATCGATATTGGATTACCTACTTCCTTGCTGGAAGAGAGTAGTGAAAGCGTCCAAGGGTCTTAGGGGATATGCGGGTGCCAAAGATGCAATATTAAAGGAGGCAAAGAGATTGTGCATGAGCTACTGCATCTTTGCTGTAGAAATGCCAGAATTATATGGGTCAGTGGTGCCGAAAATGGTATACAGTTCAGAACTTTTGTTAAACTAACAGCACTATTTAGCCGTAACCCAAATCCTGCGACTGACTCTCTTACACCATATTTACTATTCGAGGGCGGAGAAGACATGGGTATCTGCCCCGATTTCTTAACTGAGTTAGTTAGCAGATTTGAAGAGGATGAAACCGTCAAGCCAATGATCACAAAGGCAGTCTCGGGCATCAGTCTGCAGCTCTCAAATATGACTATGAACGACAACTACAAGCCACATGTCAATGTAAGCCTTCTCAACTCTTGCAGCCTCGATTGGAAATTAACCGGGTCGTTACAGGCACTTAAAGGGCTTTGCCAGTTTAAGCCGATTGCCACTGCTATTGCGATGGACCCCTCGTTCCAGATGGCGACCTCAGCACCTGGTATTGAAAAGCACACTATCTTAGGTCCCTTCTTCCGGATCTCCCCTCTCCAGCCTGAAGTGACGAAGGAATACTTTGCCGGACCAAAGACCATGGATAAGAGACATATCCATAACTCACAAGATGCGTTGAGATTGACTCTACAAGCTCACCAGAGAGATCTGCTTGATATCGTCAATCAGCTCGTGCGTGCTAGCCCTGAAGCAAAGAACCAGACATTACAATGGTTTGCGTATATCGTAAACTCAAATCATAAACGCCGAGCTATCCGACCAGATGCTGCCCAACTGTCTACAGACGGTTTCTTGATGAATGTTACAGTGGTTCTCGATGGGTTGTGTGAACCTTTCATGGATACCATGTTCTCAAAGGTTGACCGAATTGATGTTGAGTACCTAAGACGAAAACCACGAGTTGATATCAAAGAAGAGACCAAGCTGAATGCCGACCAAACTGCCTCCGATGAGTACTACGATGTTGAGGTTTCTGGCACGTCTAATTTCATATCCGAGGTCTTCTTCCTAACTCTTGCTGCACACCATTACGGCAGTGAGGCTACAAACAGCATGCTCAAGTCTCTTGACAAGGACATCAAGTATTTGACAGGGAAGGTGGCGGAATTGGAAGCAGAGCGACCAAAATTTGCCAATGTGAGTTTAGTGAAAGATTTGGAGTCTGAAAGCAACCTAACGTGTTTAGTCACCAATGAATATGGCCCGATTTGAGGAACAACTAAGAAGATTCAATGACGTTCTGGACAAGTCAATGTCTCTCAAGTTTGCCATTGAAGGTGTTCTTTTTGACAAGGTCATGCAAGCGAAGTCTCTGATGTTCATGAGAGTTGTCACTGTTTGGCTTTTAAGAGTTGCAACGTCTTCTAGTTACACGCCAGACAAGACTATTCAGTAAGCTTTACTCATCGCTCCTTAGCGAATATTGCTAATGGATTGAAGATTGCCTTTACCAGATGAGCAGCCGGATGCTTTTAAGTATTTGCCCGAATACGTCCTTGAAGATATTGTTGGAAATTTCAACTTCGTCTTCAGGTGAGTTTTCGCGATTCTTAAGCTATTGAGCTTTTCATTAATTCGTTGCAGATACATCCCCGATGTTATGATCTCAGCAGTGGGAGATGAGCTCATTGCTCTTTGTATCACTTTCCTGACCAATTCCGACTATATCAAGAACCCATACCTCAAGGCAAAACTCGTCTCTCTTCTCTTCAACGGTACCTGGCCCGTCTATCACCGAACCAAAGGCGTCCTGGGAGATTCGTTGATTGGCCTAAAATTCGCCAACGATCATTTGCTCCATGCTTTGATGAAATTCTACATCGGTAAGAAACAATAACATCATCATTAATCTTTCACTGACGTTATCCACAGAGGTTGAGTCTACAGGAGCACATACTCAGTTCTATGACAAGTTCAATATCCGCTATGAGATCTTCCAAGTCATCAAATGCATATGGACGAATGATGTCTACAAACAGCGATTAACTCAGGAAAGCAGGTAAGCCAATGCGGAAACGGACTTCAAATTGACTATTTCTAATCATCTCCAGAACAAATATCGATTTCTTCCTTCGATTCGTTAATCTGCTTTTGAATGATGTCACCTACGTCCTGGATGAAGCTCTTACGAAATTCCCAAAGATCCATGACCTTCAACAAGAGCTGAGAAATCCTCACTCTAGTTTGACCGCTGAGGAGCGAAGTACCAAAGAAGAGGAGCTTGCATCTGCAGAAAGCCAAGCACAATCTTACATGCAATTGACCAACGAAACAGTGTCCATGATGAAACTGTTCACCAAAACGTTGAGCGCTTCTTTCACGATGCCAGAAATTGTGGATCGTGTGGCTGCTATGCTTAATTACACTCTTGATACTCTGGTTGGACCAAAGTCAGCAAACTTGAAAGTTGATGAACCTAAGAAGTACGCTTTTCAACCCAAGACTCTCTTGGGTGAATTTTTCGACATCTATCTTAATCTTTCAGTCTCAGAGGCTTTCATCGTGGCGGTTGCCCGTGATGGTCGCTCTTACAAGCCAGAAAATTTCGACGCGGCAATACGCATCATCACTCGATACAGCCTCAGATCCGGCGAGGACATTGCTGCTTTCGAGAAGCTCAAAGAACGCTTCAGAATTGCAAGATTAAACGATGAGCAGGAAGACGAGGACATGGGCGAGCCTCCTGAAGAGTTCATGGATCCACTGATGGCAACGTTGATGACGGATCCTGTCATGTTGCCTGTCAGCAGGACCATCCTGGACCGCAGTACGATTCGCAGTCACCTTCTCAGTGATCCAAACGACCCGTACAGTCGTGCACCACTTAGGATCGAGGATGTGATTCCCCAGCCTGAGCTGCAGGCCAGAATCGAGGCATGGAGAGCGGAGACAAGAGAGGCGGCCAGAGCAGCAAGACTTCAAGCATCCCAAGCCACAGTACCGGAGACTACGGCAATGGAAACTACAGAATAATAGACGATGGGTGCTCGGGGTGTTACATCATGTTGGAGTTGGTGCGTTGCGGCGTTCTTTCGAAACAATTATGCATAGCTGTGGTTGGAATGGAGGGTTGACATGACTTCATCCAAAAAGGGCACCTCGGTGGGACAGATGCCCACCAACAGCAGCAATTATGACAACTGAGCGAATTGAATTTCTTGGCGTAGGTCCTCAGTGCTTGCGATATGACCAGCTTGTCCACTTGCGAACGATGACCTACTCATCCCCAGGAAGGCAAAGTTTCGGGGTCATGAATAGGTTGATGTCTTTGTTAATCACACCACACATATAGAGTCACAAGTTGCGGAGATCAAGTAGTCTTTGATTAAATGTGGCAAAGTGCTCCGGGTGTAAAGATAACCTGGATAGAGCTTTGAATAACAAATAAAACAAATGACATTTCTTTTTGCTGTTGAGACCCAGACCCTGGAATGCATAATCACCTGCATAATTGCTGCATACAGCAAGTAGGTACCGGTCTGCATGCATGGTGATGTAGTGACACTGGTGACCCGAGACCCTCCTGGCAAGGCTGCCCCAGTGTCCCGTCACCAATTGCAGCTGCACTCCAGCTGCACTCGAGCTGCACTCGTGCACTCCGCTAAGCCCGGCAATTTCGCGAAAACCACCTGCTTCTATCGCCACTTTTGGATGTCAGCGTCAGCCTCGTTCGTCCCTTTGTCACCGTGGAGACCTAGTCATCCTTGCTATCTCCCAAACAGCCCCATTGACTTGACACTGTCAATCAATCAATCCTTTCCCCTTCATCCTCTGCAAGACTTGATCCGCAAAATTCCCCATCTCCCAGCAATTGTGCATCTGCAAGTCAGTATGGTGTGGGTGTGAGGCTCTAGGCTGCACGCTTGTGACTATCCGCTTCTCTTAGACTTCGAGCCAACGTCCGCAACCTCACTTCTCAAAATCTGGGACCGAGAGACAATTAGCCATGCCATGAGATCGCACACCAAGGGCGATTTCCGGAAAACCTATCCTCAATAATTGCCTGCCTGCTCTCTCACACTCTCTCTTTCACTCTACAACCTCTGACCTTCAACATCCAACCTTCGACACCATCAGCCTCCTGCGGACAGAAGACAATCCATCATGCCTTCAATCCAATTCAATATGCAACGCGTTGCCCGCGGTCTCCTTTAAGAGATTCTGTCCAGGCGGGTGTCTGCATTGGAAGGGGACTGCCCCAGTCGCAATTCCAGCTTCGAAGACGACAGCTACGTCCGATCGATCACAATAAGTGGAGGGTGTCTGCGCAAGAATACGATGAGTTTGACTGAGATCAAAAGCGAGATGTCGAGAAGATCAACCAGGACCTTTGTAGAGGAGCAGGAGTTCGTCGACAGAAGCAGTATTACAATGTCGGCCAGCTCGAGGGAGAGCAGCGTGGACAATATCGAGAAGGCGGCACACCAGTTCAAGTCAAAGAGCCCAATTGCAGGAGGTGAGAGTACACAACAGACAATGGTCAACGTAGGACGGAGTCTCGACATATTCCCAATCAACTCCGAAGATATCGATCTACATAGTAAGTTTTGACTCTCTCGTGGTCTGGCATGGTATTCCCCTATCTGTCTGCCCAGGCCTGGACCTGCAGCAACCCGTTAGGGCTATGCCTACTCCAAGCCTCACAATCAACTCTGCGTACAGCCTTGCTGATATCCAAGTAGTCACCGAGAGTCTCCAAGCAGCCAAAGTCTCCACCAAGGCAAAGGAAGACGGCCGCCCGCTCAATTTTGGCGTTGTTGTGACCGGCAAGATATACCGGAGCAGTTGGCCCATGGTGGAAGATTTTCAGTACTTACAGTCCCTGAATTTGAAGACAGTCATGTCAGTAAAGGTCCAGCAAACCCTGCCGGACTGCGTGCTGATGCTCGTGACAGCTCTCTAGTCAAGAAGGACTTAACCTCTGAGTTCAAGGGTTTCCTCAAGAACAATCAAATCCAACACAAGGTCATTGATATGCCTGGCACCAAGAAAGTCGACATCACCCAGGAGCTTATGCAATCGATCATGGAGGTTGTCCTCGATGAGGCTAACCATCCAATTCTCATCCACTGTAACCACGGAAAGGTATTATCAACATCGTTGACAGTGCAGACAAAAGCTGATTGGCATCAAGCATCGAACTGGTTGTGCTGTTGGCGTTATTCGTCATGTTGCTCGCTGGGATGTCGAAGGTATGTGCGGCTTGCTTTCCCATTTCCGCGTCAAGAGGTTTGCTTTGGATACCCGGAACTTGACTCCAGCGCAAGTTTCATGCATCAAAAGCTCAAAACTACACTTCTACCGGAACAGAGCTGATATGATAACAGCCATACTCGAAGAATATCGTGGTTATGCGGAGCCCAAGGTCCGAGAGTGCGATGTCAACTACATCACCAGCTATAAAGTCTCGAGTCTGGAAAACCTCTTCACGAGACCAGCCACAACAAGCAGCATCACCGACCGAGATCGGAAATTTTTAAGATTCTTCGTTCTGGCAGCCACTGTACTAATAATTTGGATCGGAAGTCTGTCTTGGGCTAGTAGTTGGAGCTTGGCCGCCTAACTTTTGATTTGACGCGCAAAAGGATCGGAGTTCTTACACATATTGGGAAAGGTCATAAGCATGGTGTGATGGTGTTTCACAAATTTTACTTGCTCGCTTGCTATAGGTTAATGGCGTTACCAACAGAACCAAGGTCATTGGGATTAGAAAGCCGTCGGCGGTCAACGGATGTCCTGCAAGACGCACGGAGTTGGTGGAGAGAATCCGCGGGCGGCATAGACTTGACAACTTTTCGTTTCTTTTGTCACTACTTTGGGCAATTCTCTTCGGATCAGGAAGGGAGTGCGCTCGTGTACAAAAAGACATCTTGCTTTCTGAGCTTTGGCTCGTGTGTATGCATGCGTCTTGAACGTGTGCCAACAGTGTGGGTGATGATGTGGCTAATACAGAACTCTTGCTGCCACACTTCACTGGCTTGGATGGAGCACCTTATCCGCTCGTCACAGTACAGCACCATCTTTCACTTCTCAGGCCATTGACGAATATTCACATGACCTGTGTCAGCCTGTTCAAAGCTGTTTTTGGACAGACTCAGTACTTCCAAGACATTCAATGAAAGACTTGCAGAATTTCTGAACATGCACTATGCAGCAAGATATATTTGCAACAAACAGGAGCTAATTCTTCTACTAAGCATACTTACAGTGCTGCCAGACTCCTACCAGCAGAATTTGCGAATAGACAGGCAAGAGAAATGAAACAGAGTCGAGCACAAGATTTTGCCATCACTTCAGCATCTGGGCTGAAGTCAAGGATGCAAGTCCTTGCATCTGGTTGGACTTGTTTAATATAGCATGATTCAGCTTCGGAAAAGTCACGAAGCGCTGAAGATCAAGGTGGGTATTTCATCAGGTAAGGGCATTTTTTAACCGTGCATGGAGACTCAATATTTCAATGAAATTGGATATCTTGATGTCCTGGCATGAGAGGTAGGAAAGAAATTACAGCGACATCCTCGGGAGGGAATCTAACATAATATCGAAATAATGGATGTATAGTCATGCAATAAAGCAATAAGAAACATAATTCTGTACAAATAAGAAGAATACAGTCCTTGACTTTGCCCTGCCCGATGCTTTCTACAAGATCCCTCGTGATCACATCCTTACATCCAACATTTAACAAATACAACCATTTCTCCATAAATTTATTTGCCCCATCCCTTCCTCTTTTCGTGACCATGTGGTCTGATATTTCACACAAAGCATACAAAACTCTTCCTTGCCTGCCCTACGCATGATCCAATACGGCAGACCCAGCATAACAGTTATACTTCCAGAACTCAACATTCCACCTACGGCGCTCTTCCCTCCGCACTCCTCCTCCCAAAGACATACGTAACACCACACCCCAACACATTTGCACCCGCCAGCATCATCGCCGAACCCCTCGTCAACCCTCTCGCGCCAAACTTGTTTCCAATCCTCGAGCTAAAGCTCGATCCTGCGACCTTTCGACGTCTCGCGAGCAGGAGGTACAGACCGGACCAGGCGGCTGTCAGGCCTGCGGAGTCGACTTGGTAGGATGAGAGGTTGAGGTAGGCGCTGAAGAGGAGAACGGGCGGGAAGAGCATTGGGAGAGGTTGAAAGGGGCGCGCGTGGAGGGCGGTGATTAGGGTCGCAAGGAGAGTTGGAGGAAGGGGAGATTCTACGAGGGGTTAGTCAAGTAGGTCGAGGAGGAGGAAAGATAATGAAAGGGAATTGAAGCTGCTAGTGAAAGCGTGGAAGTGAGAAGGCTGAGAAGGCTGGACTTACTGCCCCAATCCATTGCGTAGGATATAGAAGCCTTTTTGACCTCTTCTTTGTCTGGGACTTCGGACGACATGGTGGGCTATTTTGTGTATTGAATTGGTTTGGTTTCTGACTGTTGAACTTGGGAGAAATGTCAAGCTGGAGAAAGTAAACTAAACATCGTCATTGAGCCTCGTTAGGCTCAGAGCTAGGTAGTCCGAAAAGCGGCGCTGCGACTTGCTCCAGGAAGCACTTGAAGATCAGGTAAAAGAGGAATGTATGAAAACCGGAAGCTCAACCAAAAGTGGATGCACATTTTGAAGATAACTCCACGAGAAATTTTGATTTCATTCGGTACAACATGCTTTCAATTAAAGATTAGAAAGTTTTTATGGCTGCTTTTGTGTTCGCTAGGGTAAGTAACATGTGACCGTACTTATCGATCAGCCCAAGACCAAGCAACAAATGGGGACAGCCAAGTCCTGTGCATCTGGCCATAACCCAAAAAATATCCCCTCCAACGACGACAAACAATCCATCGTACCCCCCGAAGTCGTCCATCCAGTTTCTCACTCAGCTCTCCAGTCCTGGGAACTTACCATTACATCGCTGCGCAATGCCCGCAGCAACTGCCTCCGGCGCTGATGCGAATCCCAATGGCTCTGCGCGATCGCGCGAACACAAGCAGGGAAACCAAGACAAAGAAGTGAAGGAAGAGCATAGGCGCGAGATCTTGCGGATACGGAAATGCAACCCACTGGCCTTTTACGACATCTTAAACCTCGAGGCTGTTAAGACGACGTGTACGGACACCGATATCAAGAAGGCGTACAGAAAGATCAGTTTGCTGACACATCCGGATAAGAATGGCCATGAACATGCGGACGAGTGCTTTAAGATGGTTAGTAGGGCTTTTGGGATCTTAGGGGACAAGGAGAAGAGGGCGAAGTTTGATAGGCATGGTGGGGATCCGGATAGTAGATTTGGAGGGGGTGCGCCCCAGCAAAGTCCATTTTCTGGTTTCTCGAGAGGTACGCCTAGGGGCGGTGGTGGCGGTGGAGGGTCCATGTGGGAAGAGGAGATAAGTCCCGAGGAGATGTTCAGTAGATTCTTTGGTGGTGGTGGACTTGGAGGAGGATTCGGTCCATTTGGTGGTAAGTTTCACAAATGGATTGTCATGACATAGTACTGATATTTTCTAGGTGGAGGATTCGACAATGGGCCAGGCTTCGTATTCAATATGGGAGGAGGACCTGGAATCAGGGTTCATCAGTTTGGAGGAGCAAGACCGAGAAGAAGACCGAGAGATCCCAATGCGCCAGAACCACCACCAGCTTCGCTCCAACAGACGCTTATGGGTCTTCTGCCGTTACTGTTCATCCTGGTACTACCACTACTCTCATCACTTTTCTCTGGAACAACAGCTCCAGGCCCATCGATGCGATTCGACAGCGCTGTTCCACCACATACCATGCATCGTCATACACGGAAATGGAAAGTTGACTATTTCTTAAATCCCACAGAAGTAGAAGGTTACACACCATCTCAATTCTCCAAACTCGACCAGTCAGCAGAAATCCACTTCGTACAAGAACTGAACTTGCAATGCCAGCGAGAAGAAGCCGCTCGACAGGACATGGTAAACCAAGCGCAAGGCTGGTTCTACCAGGATGGCGAGATGATGGCTAGGGCGCGGAAGATGGAGATGAAGAGCTGTAGGCGGCTGGATAGTATGGGAGTGTCGAGGAGTTATTAAATAGATCCCGATCCAACTCATTTCTTACCTGTCGTCTCTTTCTCTGTATTAAGTTTGGACAACTATAATTCAAAACGTAGCATGGCGTTGGGCATTTCAAGCAAGCATTATGGGAAGGGAGGCGAGTCCTTGATTGATTAATGAATGGGCTTTCCTGGGTCGTCGTTCCGTAGCGTCATTTAGATAATGCATTAATCTCATTTAGAGAATGCATTCATCTCATGCTTGTGATCAAGGTAGCGCTTTATACATGGCCAACATGACTTTCTAAATGTATTCCATAGAACAAGTGAAGATTTCAATGGGATGTTGGTAATGTCACACTAAGATCATTAATGTTAGACAAGTTCCCGAGTTTCAGCCTTATCAAGTCACAGCCTCGCGACTTTTCCACCACTACAACCCCTACCGGAAGACCCAATAGGAATACAATTTTAATAAAAATGACAGGATAGCACGTTTCTAGTTGTTAGATAGAACCTAATTTCAAATAGTCTACATAAAGTTCCTCTCCAGATTGAGTACTTTGTAGCTCTTATCGGGTATTCTTATCAGCGACAGTTCCGAGACTTGACAGTTTTCAATTCGAAAGAGCTCCAGGTCTTCGAACATCTCTACCACATCACAATGTCTCGGAACTCAGAGCGCTGCCATAGTACCAATGAGCTTTGATTCATTTGTGCCAACTTCTTATCATGCCAAAAGGCCCTACGGCGCAATACAAAGTATCAAGTGCCTGTCGCGATGCTCTCAGCCTTGCGCTTGCTAGTAGCAGCGCTCCTCATTTTGGTCCCTACAGCCTTTGTAAGAATCATGTTCCAGTCCCAGGCTGTAGTTGCTAATCCTACACAGCTTAGACTTCTATACATCCTTCCCTCAACCTCTCGACGGCGCTCGAACCCCACCAAGCCATCTGTTTCGCACATGGTTGTGGTCTTAGGCTCCGGCGGACACACAGCGGAGATGATGTCCCTGCTGAGAGACATAGACCCCAGAAGATACACACATCGAACCTACATTGTATCGTCAGGAGACAGTTTCTCAACTGGAAAAGCACTGGAAATCGAGCGGACCATCCAAGCCAAGCAAAAGCTTGGAGAGCAAAACCATGAGCAGGACCATGAACCTACGAAAGCAGGAGAGACAAGCCTAAATACCGGAACTTGGGATGTGAAGACTGTACCACGAGCAAGGAAAATCCATCAAGCATTATACACCACGCCATTCTCGTCCTTATGGTGCTTCATCGGCTGTCTGCGCGCACTGATCGAGACAGCGCGGACATCTAAAGCTACGCCATTTGAGTTCCCGGATGTGATTATCACGAATGGACCAGCTACGGCAGTGATGGTGCTATTAGCAGCTATGTTTTTAAAGTTTGTGGCTGTGGCACCAGTGGGGAAGATGAAGACTATTTATGTGGAAAGTTGGGCGAGAGTTAAGACGCTGAGTTTGAGTGGAAAGGTTCTGCTGAGGATGGGTATTTGTGACAGATTTCTGGTGCAGTGGGAAGCGTTGGCGAGGAGGATTAATGGGGAGGGAGATGGGAAGAAAAGGAAGGTGGATTGGGTGGGATTTCTGGTGGAGTAGCTTCTCTGCAGTACACAGAGCTGTCAAGAAACATGTACAAACCGTTGATATTCCTCTATTGCCTAAGTGTCTTCAAATACCGACGCAATGCCCGCGAATCCGAGAAGCTCGTCCGAATCACTGTCGTCAGAAAAGACAGCGAGTCCACGAACATCGTGGCATCGATTTCTGAGAATCAGACTTCCAGATCACCCAAATTAGCGAAGCAGGGAACGATTTGCCCCATATACAAGTCTGCATATACAGGGACAGGCCGATATTGTACACTCTATCACCCAGACATCATCTATCGAACATCCATCATGTCAGAGCCGCCGGCTCTTCCTCATCCGGAACCGGAGCGCTCTCTTCTTCTGCCTCAACTCCAGTGTATGCCGAGTCTCTCTGTATAGCCATAGCCTGAACTTCCTTCAAAGCCCAAGCTTTCCAGGACTCGTATGCCTTATCCTCGAGTTCCATACCGATCTCGATGGCCCCCTTGCCGAAGTACGCTCCGGTCCACAAGGCTTCCTCGTGCTGTATCTTCCGCTCAACCTCCTGCTCGTGCCGCAGGGCATAGAATTCCTTGCGAGCTACGTCGTATGCTTGGTTACTGCTCATCCCTTTGTTGTTGATAAGCCAGAGCTGTCGTTGAATCACACTTCCATGCTGTTAGATCTTGAATATTGCGATGAATGTCAATCGCGACCTACCTCTCTCCGTTCAGCTGTCTCCCTGGCTGTTGTATCTGGCTCCAATCGCACTTCTGACCATCCTTTCCATCATTCTCCAACACAATTCGTGGCCTTGCCAGCTCCCATGGATGATCGCCATAGAAATCTAGCCGTAACTTGTCCTCCTCGTACACGATCGGTTGGGGTCTGAACATCTTGCTGGGTTTACGAGTCTTGGACTTGCGGGTTGTTTCTCGGTGCTGTACAGGCTGAGTTCGGGTGAGGATCTCTGATGGAGGAATTGATCCAATGGTTTTGAACCATGGTGGTGCTTGAGATATGCTCCCCGTCTCAAGCAGTTGCGATGCTGTTTGGTAGACCCGTGAGGGCTTTAAGTTGAGTCCCCTCATTGTACCAGACCTGTGAAAGAACTATACCGAATGTCAGTATTCGAAAGCGATCCTTGCAGGCATTCGATGTACATACGATGTCTGGGTGAGGGTTGAGGTTGGTGATTGTCGGACCACGAGGACTGTATTTGAGACTTACAATAGAACCCCGGCATGTTCCGCCAAAAAAATATATTGTAGTATTCCCCGTCGCGACTCTCAAATTCCATCAACGACCCTCCAGTCGCCCCCATTAACAACCAACACCTACCGAACAAGAATTTGCGGTTCTAATCACCTTAAATGCCTGTGCAGGGACGGTGACCATAAATTCAATATGTCAGGACGCTCATGTCCCTCTTTTGCAGCTCCTCCCCTACAACGAGCAGGCCGATTCTGTCCAAGCTAGCTCCGCGACAAATCCTGTCCTTCTTGTATCCCATCGAAATTTCGAGGTATACACATTTTCAGGCTCGAGATACCCAGCGTCAACTTCGAACTTCTGTTGCCACCGCATCAAATGGAGTGGAAGCATGGTTCATCAATTCCCTTGCAGACGCAGGCAGCTGCCACAAAAACCCTCGAAAACCCCTACAACGAACTACATTTTTCACAGCCAATCGACCAAGGATACCCTCTAGGAAGCGGGAGTTGCATGTCGTATTATTCCAAAGGCATCGGCACACCCAGGACGGTGTCGAGGAAGCTCCGGAGGAGGACGATGTTAATAGCGGGAAAGTTGCAGTTGAAGAGCTACCTCCAGAACCAAACCGAACCAAAGAAGAGCTTTTGGAATTGATAGATCAGTATGGCGACACACAAAATACGGATCAGCTCCCAGTTCTCGAGCCGCCGCCTCGCTATCCACCCAGCGATGGTCCAAATATTACAGTTTCTGACAAGCCAGAAGACGAATGGCCTCCTCCGCATTATACCTGGCCCGCAGATGCGGAGACAAGCATCAAGCTTGATAAGCTCAACCAATATCTCAAAGAAGTCGACGAGAAAGATCCCCAGGAGATATTCCGAATGTATAGAGCTTTACCCGCTCCCCGTGCTGCGTATCTCCCATCCAAAACACGGCATGCCATGCTACACCACTTGTCAGTCGTACAGAAGAAAGATGAGCACTCTATGCTTAGGTATCTATCTGTGGTCGATGACATGAAGCGATGCGCTATCCCGTTGCTCATCTCGGAATGGACCAGTGCTATTTCTTTTGTCGCCAGTTACGTGAACAGGATCACAGAAACCGAGGTCGAAGCCGCGCTGCAGATGTGGAGAGAGGTTGAGCACGTCTCAGGCGTCAAAGGAAACGAAGCTACTTTCAACGTTCTCTTCGATGCAGCGTGCAAGGCTGGAAAGTTCGTCCTAGCTGAGATGATCTACAAAGAAATGGGAAACCGCGGCCTCCCCATGGATCGGTTCCACCACGTGAGCCTGATTTTCTTCCACGGACTAAAGCAAAATGGAGATGATGCTCGGGCAGCATATAACGCCCTCGTAGAGGCTGGCGAGATCGTGGATACTGTAGTTTTGAACGCCATGATATCAGCTCTCATTCGATCATCGGAACCAGCAGCAGCAGAAAACATATATGAGCGCATGAAGAAGATGCACTTCGGGCAAAAGCATCCCAGATTACCACAAAAAGATTGGAAAAAGCGACGAACGGTCAATTTGTCGTTGAGGCTATTGGGCAAACTATCTAGGAACAACCGGGACATGCGAGAGAAGTTCCAAAGCAAGTCCGTCGTTGCCCCCGATTTACACACCTATCAAATCCTGCTCAACTATTCCGCTGTCAAAGCTGGCGACCTCCAAATGACTGCCCGGTTCCTTGACGAAATGAAAATGTTCGAAGTAGATTTGCATGGGGCGCTTTTCATGGCACTCTTCAGAGGCTTTTCTACACATGGGGGTGTACGTTACTCGGAATGGGATGCGGCACGTCTAGAATCTGTCTGGAAATCCTTGCTCAAGTCCATTGATGACGAAGTCGAAGACGTGTACCTGTCCAAATGGCTGATCTCATGGGCTCTACGGGCGTTTGGGAAATGCGCGGGAAAAGCAAGGACTATGACTGCTTGGGAGGAGATCAGAGAAAGGTGGACAGATCCTACCGAAGAAGAGCTCGACTTTGTGTTAGGGAATTTGAGATCGATTCTGGATGGCCCAGACTTTGTTGCCAGGCGTCGCGACATGTTCTTGGGGTAGAATCATGTATGAACTGCTGTATAGTAGGATGTTGGAATAGATGTGGATGAGCTGTATATTAAAATGTACAGTATGGATATATAGACCGGCAAGTGTCTCACTGTCGAAGTAGCTTAAGATACCAGTTGCCTCTTCTCAGCAAATAAAAACTTATGAAATGAGCTGATTAGATGTGAGCACCATAGATTATTCTTCATCGTGTCCAACCGTGTTTTAAGGTGCAATAGCTTCAAAGACCCTGTTTTCTCTTTCGTCTATAGCGACAGACTCCTCTCATATTTGAGCTCATTGTCATTGAAATGTTTCCAGACCGAGAATAAGGTCGCCTCACTTGCACCGTCGATCGTCTCTGGTTTGAGACCAGACATTGGGAGTGAACACAACGATGGACGAGTCTTTATCCTCCAGCTTCGATATTATGCCTAAATATCATTAGTACACCTTGCTGCGATATGGCAAGTTCTTGTTAGGGTACCTGACACTTGCTCAGTCTACACATATTTCTTGGCCAGAACAAGACTTCTCCTGTTTCGCCCTCACTCCTGCGGTACAAGTCGACCTCATTAAGTAGTCTCTCCACAGTCAAGTCTGATGTCAGGCAAGATACCTTCTATACCGGTCTCGCCGCATCCTGGCAAGCTCGGAAACAGGACTGTCATCTACGCAAATGGTATTCCCAACCAAGGTGTCCAGGCAAGAACCAATGCTGATGCCTTGAACTCTGGCCTTGACGATGCCCTTAGGTTGGGGGAGGGTTGGTACATTGTTTATACTTCAGTGTTAACTCTTCTCCTGACGCTCCTGACGCCCGATGTCTGTTCTGGATGGACAGAGGAGCTTATGAGCCCCAGAAATGGGACCTATGACCTCATTGATCTCGCTCTCGCGAACAGAGCTCTTTCATTGTTGTCACGATCAGTACCACCATGCAAAATGGACTTCCTCTCCTCAACCAGAGTGAATTGATATGGAACTAAGAATAAATCCAGGACATAATGACCAAATCCCTGCGTTCAGGTGGATGCAATTAATATATCCTGCCTTTTGGCTTTGATCCCCAGGAGAGTCACGCTTTTTGATAAGTCGGCTTAGCTGGGACTGTGATATTATCCATCAGTCAATCATCGCTGATGGTATCTGGAACTGGAGCCATTCGGGTTTGTTTGGAATGTAGGTCGCTTAACCTTAACCGCTGAAATGCTCGCTTCTCCAAGACGCAACCCCTCGATCTCCCCTTCAATCCCCTAGGGTTACCACCCAAGAAACACATTGAGGAAGCTCCGTCCGATCTCAAAATAACTTCGAGAAATCATCTGGGGTCAACTTGCATGTGACGCGAGGACAGGAGTTTACGGGGCAGGTCGTGACTTTCTTTGGTGAGAAGCTTATTTTCGCGAGGTAGTATTGGGGTCGGGGGTTGGCGGTTGGGGAACGATATCAGGCTTGTTGATGCATATAGATAGGTACTTGGGGAGGATGACGGAGAAATGGATGAGAGTTTTGGTTGGAGAAAGGTAGGAGCGCTGGTGTGGGAACGAGAGTTGTGCAGGGCAACAAGTCTGGAGGGGAAGCGAGGAAGAAAGGGGGATCATGTGATGTTGGTTGGCACATTGCTGTACTGGGGCTCTTCAAAGCTTGATGAGGTGGGCCACGATGGCCGAAGTCAAGACTGGTGGACAGATCAACATATGAATCTAATGTATGAGTTTTAATGATTTATTCTTGATATTTCTGCCTCTCTTCTGCTTCTGTGTCAACTCTGATCCAGTGACGCACCATATTTACACTGCCGTCACTTCATACGCTAGACTGCGCTCTCCCTTACGACCCATATTGGCATCTCAGGTACCAGCCGCCATATTCACAGTTCGACCTCCCCAGACTTCCACATCTCCTTCTCCGCCTCCGACCAATAATATGTACACATCTCCTCTCCTCCTTGACGCTGCCTCTCCCACTTCTCTCTTTCGCTCCAAAAGCCCTGAAGCGCCGGTCCTGTATCTTTTCCCAGTATCCTTTCTAAGAGCCAAACCCAGCCAATCTAGGCCAGGCACCAGGCGATTCCGGTCCGTTCCATTCCAAAACACCAAAAGCAAAAGCAAAAGACAATACAAAATAAAATTTATCAAATAGACAATAAGGCGATCTGCTCTCCAATGGAGAAACAGACGTGTATGTATTCGTAACGCTGACGTGACGAACCGAGGATCCACAAGAAAAAAGGAAGTCAAGGAGTGTATCGAGAATGGCGTGCTAAGGAGCGTAGGGGTATAATTCTTTCTTCCGAAGTCCAATTCTTTGTCGCAAGAAAAAGCAGAATGGCCGTAAGATTCGTGAAGGGGTTGTTTTGTTGTTAAGTTGTCGTCAAGAACAACAGCAACAAAAGCTTTTTTTTTCCGCATCCAAGACGAAAATGAAAATAGTAGCCGTGAGGCAAGGCGGAAGTAATTCGCCAATCTAGGCACGCCCTAATCCGACAGGAAATTTCTCGGCGAAGAATTTGAAGAGCTTCGCTTTCTTAGAAGGGCTGCGTTGCAGCTGTGCGGCGACTTGCACCATGGGTCCGACAATATCTTCGTCGCCCAGTTGAGGGAATTTGCCTTCGCTTCGAGGGTCGTTAAGTGATGGGATCTTGGTCATGATATTTTTGCTGCTTCCGTCACCAAGAGTGGTGTGCTTCAGTGTTGCAAAGGCATCACTGCCGCTCTCGACAGTATTGGTGATGGTGGTCTCGTTGTTGTTTCTCCATGTCGCGTCGATGGCAGTCCACTTCTGTTCTGTGAGCTTGTACGTTTTGGAGGTAACGCCATAGTGTTCGCCAGTTCGGACGAGATGTTTCGTGTAGTTGCAACGGGCAAGATCCCAGTTTGCGCGAAGTTGTCGACAAGCTTCGAGGTCAAAGCTCTCGGGGATGTAGGGTTCAGGGTAGATGGTAAAGTTTGCATGGCCGAGTTTGTTGGCCCACTCGTCGTTGGGATCGGCGATGACAATAGGTGGGATTTCAGATGATGGTACGAGATGGCCTGGGCGGCTCACAGTGCTCCGGTGGAATGAAGATACGGATGGTTTGGTGCTCAGTGGTGGTGAAGGTATTCCTGGTAACTGTGGGGTGGCTATCGCATCAATTGGTGTGACGGATCCGGACAACGGATCATGGGCATCAGCAACAGACGGCGATTGCAGTGGTGATTGCATCGATATCTGCTTCGTGTTGGCCGATGCATCCATCATCAAGGGAGGAAGAAGTGGCGTGGAAGCGAAGCCCTCCTCGTGATCTCCACTCTCTCTATTGGCTTTCTCGATATCAATTGGAGCGGCCATTGACATTGGGGTCTCGTCTCGTCCGTCATGAACACTCTTTGTTGGGGTCGGAGGCATTTGAGCCTCAAATAACTTGTCAATCGCCTGTCGTGCTGAATTGGAGATTGATGAAGAGCGACTCGAAGGGCCACGTGAGGCAACATTATCTCTCTGGGCTTCTGAGTTGATTGAAGCGGCGCTTGATCCCTTTCTCATTCTCCACTTTCGTGAAAAGGAGGGAAATCTCGTCCCAAATCTTGTTGCAAGACCAGTAAGCGGCGACTCTCCAGCTCTTCGCTTCTTGTTTCGCGGACTTGTGGAATAGTCTCCGTCACTGAAGAAGCCATCTGCTAGGTCATAATCAAACTCCGCCTTTGCGGACAATTGTACGGAGCTTTGTGCCATGTTCCCTGAATGATGGGTGCATTGATAATTATCGCCTGAAATTATTGACAAGCATTAGCTCTCGGACCAAAACAATGTTTGTTGACACCCCGCAATGTTTCAACTTACACAAACAATCGTAGAGATCATCCTCATCATCGAACATGTCGAAATCCTCTTCTTTCTCCTGAGGTTCCTCTTGGACGTCTGGTAATGATCGCTTACTGGCTTTTGTCCCAATGAAGGTAGGTGAGGACGGGCTGTCGGTTGTCGAGCTGTGAAATGTAGACTCAACTGAGGAGGCGGAGCTGGGGTATCGCATATGGCCCCGGGTCGAGAATGTTGGTGTTACTGGAGATGGAATGTCGGATGCGGAAGAGTTCTGCGTGTAGAATGATGAAGATGCAAGGTCAATTTCTGCGTCCGACATGCTTTCTCTCTTCCTTCGCTCCTCTACCAGCTGCGGGAGCAGGAGTGGCTTAAGCTTGGGGCTCATGATTATTGTGTTTTGATTTGGTGACTTCGGTGTTGGAAGAAAGGTGTGGTTAGTCGCATCCTTATAACGCGAGTGCAGGCATCGTGGAATATCCGGTATCTTGTATTTGAGTCAGGTGCTGGTGCGAGCGTTCGCAGTATACGTGGTCACGGCCTGCTGGAATTGGTTGCTCGATTTCGAATTGTCCACGTAGGAGGAAGTTGGATGGGCGTCGTTGTCGATGTGCTGCTGCGAGGACTTTTTTTTCTCCAATCAGACTTTGCTTCGCGTAAAAACAAGGTGGGCAGGGCCTGCGCTGGAGCACCACACCACTTACAGCACCAGATTGTCAAGTTTCCACTACAGCGTTGGACGAAAGGCGAATGAAGCTGTGAACGACTTGATGCGACGTGACAGGAAGGGAGAGTGTGAGAGAAAGAGAGGGACAGCGAAGAGAGAACTGGGAGCCAAGGGCAGATGGAAGTGGGTTGGGGGATGAGCACTGATTTTGTGCGTGCAGCACTCGACTGCTGCTCTGTTGTGATCCATCCTCGACCGTAACCGTTGGGCTACGGCACGGTACCGCAAGAACACCTCCCGTCCCCTTTGCCCCAGCTTAGTCCATCGATTGGGGAGCCCAAGCACGGGAGAACTTCCCCTAGTCGACCTAGGCTGGTTAGACTCCGAGAGTTCTCTCCTCGCCTCTGGTGCAGTGGTGCCTCTCTGGCCTTCCCATCTCTATCCATGTCCTTGGCACTTTGCCCCTGCTCGACCAGCGCGAATCCCTGTAGCTGGCGAGAGCGAGCTAAAGAAGCAAATCGTTGGGTTCAGTGGTCCCTGGAGGCTGGAGCCAAAGAGCTTTTCCGCCCCCCAACGCTGCTTTGAGCAAGGTCACGAACTAAATTGTTGTGCACATATCTGTCCAGGAAGATATCACGACTTCAGCTCCAGAGTATTCTGTCCCCTTCTTGCAAAGCAGAGTCTGTTCACTCCGTACGGGGGTAGATCGCTTGCCCCCATGTGCTGCTCTGATCATGGCCCAGGAAGAGCCTGCAGTGAAAGAAGCTCCAGAAATCCCAGCGCTGGGGAGCAAGGCCAGGGCCAGGGCCAGGGCCAGGGCCTCGGGGAGCAAGGGCTCCTTCTTCGCTGACGACCTTCCAAGGTCCAACAGGCCCCTGCACCACGAAACGACGGGTCGATAAGCTCCCTGGTCGATATCCGCGCCGTTTATGGCTGAATTCCGTCGCCCTAGCGCCTCACGCTTCCCTCTCATGCTGTGTGATGATGCCACCACAGAGTACGGCTGGCAGAGTTGTGGCCTGCTTAGCGAGCCCTTCACAAGCCTGCCACGCGTGCTGCATGCCCTCATTGCCCTGCCGAGCCAGCCAGCGTCGGAGCAAAGGCGGGCTCAAAAGCGAGAGAAACAAGGACTTCAGTCCCGAGTAGGAGAGGCGCCGAAAGAAGGAATTTGCCGTAGATTCTTCGACGGGGTTCCAGTCCTCAGGCTGTGGACCTTCCTGTGGAGCTGGCAGTGGAGCACATGACTACTTGATGCTGTGAAGAAATTCAAGAAAGTCAAGACCCGAGCGATCAAAGCCTGAAGGCTGGGGAGGAGCAGCGACTCAGCGAGAGGGAGATGAGCACACTGCAGGACGAAGAGCCGTGAAAGTTACAGGCACAGGCACAGGCACAGGCACAGGCACAGGCACAGGCACAGGCACAGGCACAGGCACAGGCACAGGCATTGTCTGAGACATTCGCCGGGTACCTGCACCTGCCTCGAGCCTGCCTGAGAGGCTGAGAGAGTTCCGACGATCTGTTCGCGACCCAATTGCGTTGGTGCCACCAGGCGCTGGCTGTTTCACACGCACAGAAAAAGCCTCCCGCGGCTTTCCTTGGCCAAATATGATCACATCTCACGATGTCCACTACAGTCCTGTATTACTTACTGTTCACTACTGTACCTACGGCAAGAGGAAGCCACGGGGCAAGATTGCGACGGCGATGAAGCGCACGAGGGATGACTTCATCGAACCTCGGGGAGGGTGGAGGGTTGAGGGTTGAGAGAGAGAGAGAGAGAGAGAGAGAGAGAGAGGGTGTGGTGAAAACCCTGAAAGGCTGCTACCTCCTCGAGCACACCTTTTTACACCTTTTTCGCCGTGGTCCAAGGCCGGCGGAAGCTGCATCTGAACGTTCCGACGGCAGGTCGTGATTGGACGGTGCCTGTGCCTGTGCCTGTGCCTGTGCCTGTGCCTGTGCCTGTGCCTGTGCCTGCGCCTATGCTATGGAGCAAGGTTTGTCCGGGCCATCCTGACCTGCCAGGAGCGGCTTCCATTCATTGGATGGAGGTTGGAAGGCGAGGAAGGGGCCTCGCAGCCTGAGGTGCCTGAGGATTGAGGAACAGGGAACAGGGAACAGAATTGGAATACAGGTTGACCCCACCCGTTGCCCTGTGAGCGACGCTTCGGAGAGACAAATGACAGACAGACAGAAACATCCCACATGCAATTATTGGATTGGATAGTGCTGCAGAACCTAGAAAATGCCGAATCCGGAATGACGTGATGGCCTGAATTGTAACTGTTCAGTACCGACCGTACTACTTGGGCATGGCAAACTTCGTAGAAAGCACAGTTTGCGTTGGGCGGTCCCCTCCATTCTCTCCTCATTGCTGCACTGGACATTTCCTCGCTCCACACTTTCAAATCAAAGACCAGCCCTGCGCTGCGCTGCTCAGGAGCTTGAAGGTTTACGAAAAGCCAAACACCCACCAGCGTTTCTGCGAAAGTCTGTTGTCCGAAAAGGCTGACAGAGCGTCAGTCCGAGCATGTCGATAGCGTGACTGCGACCTCGATACAGTACAACCGTGTGGGGAACCGGAGTTCTCATGGCGCTGCACCAACGTGAGTTTGGCGGTCGGCCCACATGCTGATCGGGAAGTCCAGAACAGCCTGTAGAAACTTGGGCCCACCGATGGACTGGAAAAGTACCTACCCACTAAATCACGACTCGGTCGTGGATCCCCCATCTGTCAATGTGCAGATCTATGACTCTATTGCTTTGAAAAGTCATGCCGATCAATAACAAATAACGCGAGATGAAAACTCTTACTCGACCTGCTACGACTGCTACCCTTCGCTTGCGCTTCTCATGTCGATGATTGATCAATGGACCTTTGCTGAAAGCTCCACTAGCTAACTTAGCTACTTTACGATTGTCGAGACTCATAGTGACGTTGTGAATCCTCACAACGTGTAAATCCCCTTCGGGACTTGCGAGAATGTGATCATCAGATGTGTATCTCGAAGAATACTCCTCACTGGCTGCATTTGGATCCCTTGACAAGCTCCCTGGTTAGTCACAGGATTGGCACATTGCAGCATTTACTTTAATAAGTCTCCGAGGGAACTCCTGCCGAGTTTTCCTTGCGATATGCATGTCATCAAATGTGTTGGTGTATGGATTGAATTTGCCGAGACCTTGATGCTACTCGACGAGTGCAGAACTTTTCATAACCGCCATATTCAGCCGCCGCACTATCGAGAGAATGCTGGAATTGTAACAACCTCGTAGTAGGGTCCACTTGGCAAAGATAGGGAGCATACCGTCAATTGTCAATTCCTGTCCTTGCACAGGATTTCTGCGGATGTAACACTGCGAGCCATTGAGATTGGCCGTATCGGATTCAGCTATCTGACAAGCATGCAGAGCACATGGTAACTTCATGCGCATCATTCATTTCCGTCCAACGACAGGCAAACGATACCTAGGTTGTCAAGTCCAGTGTCGAGTCCAAGTCTGTTGTTCAACCTCGTTCCCGAGAAACTGCATGGATCAGCATTTGTCTGTCCTGATTTAATGGCCTAAAGTAAACATACCTTGAATGGTACCTCTGTGATATCTTGGAAGCCTTCGCTCAACTCTGGACGTTTATACCTCATCGCAAAGCTCTTGAAAGCCATACCGGGAAGAATCGCCCGCTTTTCAGGGTTCATCTGCTCTGGCAATTAGTAGTAGGTTCAAGTGCTAAATTCTAATTTGAGAATTGGCCAACACAACAGTTCAGCCTCGACAATTCCATTGGTTGGGAAATAGGGGTGGCATATGCATACCGTGCTGTTGAGTGCTCGCACAGCATCGTTGTGCTCACAAATCTCAGATCCTGCTGTGAACAACACGCAGCGAATTGGGACAGAATGCTTCGCAGCCAATTCTATCCATTTCTTTCGCACGTCGGGATCTGCATTGGTGTTGTCTATACATCACAGTTATTAGTCAGTGCACACATCAGAATGTGGTACTCGGGCTGGCAGCGGCTACATACCAATCGCTACAGCCTTGCCATCCTTAAGGTACTCTCCGGCGACCTTGAGACACTTTTCTCGCTTCTCAGATATCAGATGATTTTCATGAACGCGTGCATGCTCTGTTACATACAGATTTAAGAATATCTTGGTTGACTCTCTTGTATCCCAGAGGCTCTAGATTCTTCCAGTAGAATGTCGACTTTCCTGCCGCTGGGCTGCCACAGAATAATACTATATCGCAAGGATTCTTCTTGGTGTAGGGTTCGAGGACTAGAGGGATATGAGTCTGCTATTCGTGGAATATGGAATGGAAGTTTCGTATACCTTCACCTGCAGATAATCTCAAATATTCATTGGGGTCGAATGTCCGTGTGAATGGGCGTGTTGCTTCTCCAAGGAAGTATTCCTCCGGGGTGTAGAATCTAATCCCAACATTATGGGCAAAGTTTCTGCTTCGCGTTAGTACTTTGTCTACGCGTTGCATCGGAGAAGACTAACCGATCAGAACACGAGAAGTCTTTCGGCTGGCCGTTCAACGCTTCACGGCCTGCAGCATCACCAACGAAAATGGAGCTGTCAAGGTCGAGGCTATCCAACTCGATATCGTAGTCGTTAAGGAGTTCTGTCCACATTCCCGTCCTTGGCTTCCGATAGATATCTTTTCCAGTAGCTGCATATATGCTTATCGGAATGTTCAGCTGGCCGAAAACGGCCAAGACTTTGTTTTTGAAGGTAGCAAGTTTGGACACAGTAGTTCTCGGACCTTTAGTATCGGGCTTCAGAGAGATGCCAGCTTGGTTGCTGACTACCACAACTCTGAAACTGTGTAATAGTTAGTGACCGGCCTGGAAGATGCGATGATCTTTTGACATACCCATCTTCCAAGTACAATTTCCGAAGAGTGGCTGGGACAGAAGTATGCCACCACTTCCAGTCCTTGGCATCGGTAGCAAACTTCTTGCCTGATGAAGTTTGAATGAGAGTTGAGTCCTATGTAGTGCATGACACGTCAGAAATGGAGCCGCATCCATGTCCCTTGAAGGACAGTAGTCAGACTCACGAAGTCGAACGCTGCAATTTTACGACGCTTGACATCTCCACCAGTAGGCTTTTGGCCTTCTACAGAGTCCTTGGCTTGTGCATAAATCCCAACAATGAGACTCTCTGGTGCATCGTCACTCGGGGCTCGCTCTTGCCATATGATCTTCTCGAGTGGCTTTTGGGATGACGGGGTGAAGAATGATGCAACGGCAGTTTCTGTAAGATTGCGGTCAGTTCAGCCGTATGTATGGATGACACCTAGGTCCAGAGCTTTTGAGGAACGCACGTGTTGTGTTAGACTGGAGCTTCCGTCGCAGTGGAGGAGGGGAGATGGGGGCGCTTTGGTCGACCTTTCTCTTGGGGGCTCTCGGAGGGCTCGCCATAGTGACAAGATATCTCCGAAGAGTTTGTTTCAGAAAGGTATCCAGGACGAAATAGGAGTTCTTCCTGGGGATTGTTGACATTAGTAGGAGAAAGTTGAGACAGGATTGTCGCCTAAATAAGGTCCAACGCGTGGGACGTGCCCAGGTGCTTGCCTTTCAACGCCAAGTCACGTTATCGTGCTTCAGGTTTCTTTCACCTGACATCCAAGGCGTCCTCCTCGGAGCACTTCACCTTCCAAGAACCACGAAACTGAAGGTCCTTACGATTGTATACTGTTATGGCTTCTAGTGTCTTCTTCCTGCACCAAACGATCCGGCCCTTTGTCGATTAGCAAGTGCTAGAACCTGTCTTCCCATTCTCCTAAGATTGGCCCGGGCAAGTAATTGATGTCCAAAGCCTCATTTGCAAGCCTTTAGCTATTGCCTACAATACCATCAAGCTTGATGATGAGTGGCCAGTCTGGCGCCGTTTGATTCAGCACAGTACAAAGCCACTGTAAGTGCGTCTGCGCATTTGACACCGTCCAACAGCCATTGCACGGTCGTCTATATTGGGACTATTCTCTGTGACATCCCGTCATGATTCACCTGTCTGTCACTGGCTTCAAATAACCAGCAAATGAGTCTATTTCTCTCTCAGCTCGCTGGAACTTTGTGGCATTCGGCTCGCATCCTTTTCGTAGTCTGACTGGTGCTCATCATCTCACCTCCTCTCCATTTACGTCCACTGAAATTTGTCGTGATAACATTTTGAGACCTAGGAAGCACTCTGCCCAGCTGCTCTTGTGCAGGATCTTCATACCTTCCACCGACATATTGGAATCACAAGTGCATGCATCACCCTATGCTTCATGTATATATTTGACAGCAGTCATATTTCTCCAAGCCACGAAATATCAACAACAGTCACCAATACTGACGATTATACTCTTTAAGGTCATCTTCTGGTACTCTGAGTTTCTGCAGTCTAGCTTCGTGCCTCTGTTTTGGCTTTGAAGCACGCCTGAAACTTTGACGTGCCAGAAATGTCTTCATCATTAGAGCGGTTTTTTTTCCTCATCCCAGCGAGTTCTGGAACCCCCAGGGGCATACAAGCTCCTAAGATTCTACAGAACCACCTCTGTCAGGTACTGAAATCACACTTCAGGACTTTGATAATGATCAAACATCCTTTTTGCTTGGCTTACATGCCTGGACCTCGAGTCAGAGCGATCAGATGTTTACACTGGGTAGCATATTTCACTATTCATAATGAGATTGAATACCAATGACAACGCTGGATAATTGTCCCATTGATATAAAAACTTTATATAAACTTTTCCTTCTTATTATGCATACATGTCTACTGTGCCTGTGTCATCTCAAGATTTCTAGGAGCTGGCGTAGCTGCAACCCTAGCCGCCGTCATCTCACTCTGGCTCAAACTCAGATCCTCACTATAATCGCCAAACGCATTCACCAACTCGTTCAATCCACTCTTCAAGGCTTTAAGCACGATATCGACCTCAGGACACTCCTGTTTCCTCTCAACATCCGTCCAGTGAAACCCCAAGTTGGCCTTCAAAGCCTCCAATTTAACTACCGCGGTCGTCAGCGTCTGGATAATGGTCTTCACATCCCTCTGCACATGACCATATTCGTCCTCCGTGAGACTGCACACAGAGAACCTGGTAAGAGCATCAATGGCATCTACAATAACACCGACATCGCCATATGGCTGACCCAGCACGATTGCCGAAATTCTCCTCCTGTAATCTTGTCGAAATGGCCAGCCGACTGGATACTTCAAGAGATTGAGCGCCCACTCCTTCAAGAGCGCGGTGAAGCTTTGGTCTTGTTGCTCCTTGGGAACGACCATCTGCTCTGCCTTTTCCAACATCTTCTTTGCCCGTGGTGATATTGGACTAACGGGTGACTGCCCATGGTTCTTTGCGATCTGACCAACTGTTTCGCCCATGCCGCGCTTCTTTGGCCTCGGCTTGGTGAAGATATCACCTTGCTTGATAGGCTGCGCCATGCGGGGAAGGCCTGTAATCGGAGGTTCTGGATTCTGCGTAGGATCTGGCGCTGCTGTACTCGGCGGTCGCTCATAGTCTGCTATTCGCGTCTGAACACCGCCAATAACTTCCAGGCATACTGTCAATATTTGCGACCATGTGGACCCGCCTGCTCTATCAATATCTTTGTATATGTCTTTACGACGTCCTTGGAAGCGCTCTCCTATGTAAACAAGCTCCCAGAACGCAAAGGCCTGATACACTGTCAGCTAGGTATCCAGGAGTACGACACTGAAAAACCCACTCTAGTTTGTAGCTTCTTGCCTCTCAGCCCAGTTAACAGGGTACCGTTCGGATCTCGAGATTCATATGTGATTGGCCGCGTGTTCTTGAGAGGCTCTTGTGCCACATATGCGGAAAATGCAGCATTTGCAACTTCCCACATCATGATCAGGAAAAAGCCTGAGGTCATGGAGTTCTTCAACACACTCCAATGGAAAGGCTTTACACTAGGAACGGAGGTCGACTTGGAAAGAGTCCAGAATATTGTTGCCCATTGTCTCGTGAAGCCCCATGCCATGCGCCGAATCGATGGTAGAAGTCCCAGATCAAGTATATAAATGGCAGGAAAAGCTATAGCGGCAACAAAGGCGCGTTTCAGAGCGCTCATAGCAATGGATGGAAGCTTCTCCTGGAATTTCAAAGCAGGCGGAATGAAAACTTCATTTGAATCCTTTGTGGCTCCTATTGGCTTTGTTTTTATAGAAGGCATATCAATACGGTCATAGTCGTAGAAGAGGTGGAAGCCTGCTTGGACCACGGCGAGAAATAGCAGGAAGCTGGTGATGTAGATCGGCTTCTCGTTGAGCATTGTACGATCAGTCCTGGGTATCAGCTTGATCCTATTCAGATCCTGATCCTTTGATGCCGACCAAACATAGACCTCGCTGAAAAACCACGCAGAGGCGAGGTACCATCCCACTGTTTGAGGGACCGCAAATGTTGTAGCGTACTTCTGGAAGGTATCCCATGGGGAGTATGATGTTCGCAGACCAACATGTAATTGTCCGATGCGAGGAATGAATATCATAAACCCTGGGATGAAGAGAAGAAGGGCCCGTATGCCTGCTCGTCCTATCGGGAACCACGTCCAGAAGACTACAAGCATTTAGTCAGAGGAATGTTTGTAAGCGTGTGAACAGCAAGGACTAACAAGAGTTCTTTTCCCCTATGAGGAAAGATTCAACGTAGCAAAGCGCGAATAGTATCGCTGAAGCCATCGAAAACCATTTGTGCAAGGCTGGGGTCAAAAAGTCCTTGTAGGGACGAATTCGCGCTGTGGGCGGCATTTTGTGAATTGTTGGATGTATGTCTTGTTTCTACCATTAAGGAAGTGAGCAACACTTTGACTCGGCCTATAACATTGGTCCTATCAGATCATCGTGGGTCGCGAAGGAGCTGTTGGTTGTATGTTGACATGACATGAATTCGGTTTTCCAAAAACACAGCTACCTGTAAACGCGAGCCTCGCCAAGGCCAAGCCTCCAAATCAAGGCTAGCAGGCGCAGGCGTCACCAGGTTATCACCAGCCGTGTCTTATCAACAGGCAACGAAGATCAACCTGTACATAAACTCCTACCTCGTCATCGACCTCCGCGTTCGCAAACTACACGCCTTACGATGTCGTTCGATCAATTATCTTCTCTGGAGTCGCAACCTACGACTATGCGCAGGCAAGATGACCCGCAATACTCAGACGACCCCGAGTTCCAGAGGCTGTCGCAAGACCTCATGACGAAGCTGTTTACTTTGACTGGTAATATTTCAAGGCTTTCCAATGAGGTCGCTTTGCTGGGCACAAAGAGAGATACAGAGCGAGTTAGGGAGAGAGTACATGATCTCTTGGAGGAGTCGAAGGATACATTCAAAGAGGTTGGAGAGGGGGTGAAGACTATACAGTCATGGGAGGATGTCAGCGTAAGTAGTCCATGTCATCAGAAACAGCAGAGTATTTCTAAATTCGCATCAGCCATCTCAAAAATACACCCAACAAAAGCTTGCCCGCGAGTTCCAGAACAACCTTTCGGAATTCCAAGCAGTACAACGACAAGCGCTCGAGAAGCAGCGATCGTCGGCAACAGCGGCGCGGACCGCATTAGAAGACCAGCAATCACCTGGTGCTGAAGGAAGTGGGCAATTTGGACAACAACAGCAACAATCTCAGCAAGAATTGAGACTCGCGTCTCAGGACGAAGTCGACTTCCAGGACTCATTGATTGTGGAGCGAGAGGCGGAGATCCGGGTCATTGAGCAGGGTGTCACGGAGCTAAATGAGTTGTTCAGAGATGTCGCACATATCGTCAATGAGCAAGGCGAGCTTCTTGATAACATTCACGAGAATGTAGAGAACACACGAACGGATACACGAGGTGCAGATCTGGAGTTGAGAAGTGCGGCAAGATATCAGAGAAATGCTCGATCGAAAGCATGCTGCTTGCTGTTGATTTTGGCTGTCATTCTAACCGTTGTTATTCTGGCAGCAACATTAGGATAGCGTGGTATTGGGCACTGATTGGGGGATATACAGTATTCTGTTCTGGAGTTTGGAGTTTGATGATGAGCATTTCAATACCTGGTTCTACACTCATTAAGAGCATTGTACTACTCAAGCGGAGGAGGGGTAATCGGCCCAGATTCGATTTAGTGGACTTTTCAGCCGAACATAAGAGCTTAGGGAATGGATTATTTCCGTTTTTGGTTGCACTTGACCCTTTACTGAGACTCTTCATTGTCGAGACCTCATCCTAGAAGTCACAAGCACTCATCGCATGGAGCTTGTCACTTGAGTAGCGGGTATATTAAAATAGCCGACGGTGATTGTTTTGCTCCGAGGCGAGCTGGGGCGAGATCTTTACAAACTCTCCCAGACATCCTCAACTTCTGCAAGCCATGGACTAAGAGGAAATATCTTAGTGATGCAGTCCCATCAGATAATCACAGCCACTTGATGCAGCTTAACTCATCGGCAGCCAGTCAATAGCCGAGAATCTGCGATTACGGAGAATGGACACCCCTGGGCCGAAACACTGTTTTGTGATGTCAGTTGGCCCCGCCGAGATGCAAGTACATAACAAAGCTATGCTCCACCATTATACGACTTTTTGGTTTCTGGCGTTTCCTGTAGTTTCATGGCTTCGTCCTTACTTCTCATCATTTAACTTGATCAATTGAACACCATTTTTCAACATGTCCGGTCTACTAACAGCTTCAGCTGCGCTGAAGTCTCGTGTCAAAAGGCCTTCTATGCTCAAGAAGCTTGCCCATCCTGAAGATTTGATAAAGCATTTTCCTGATGGCGCATATATTGGGTGGTCCGGCTTCACCGGTGTTGGGTATCCTAAGTAAGTAACTAAGGCCACTGTTCTATCTTCAGCAGCTTTTCTATCTACTACCCTCCAGCCGGTAGATTCGGCAAGTGTCATTTGGACATGGCTAACCCTTCTGCAGGAAGATCCCGACGATGCTCGCAGACCACGTCGAAAAGAACAACTTGCAGGGGAAGTTGAAATACTCCCTCTTTGTAGGTGCGAGTTCTGGAGCCGAGACCGAGAATCGATGGGCGGAATTGAACATGATCGAGAGGCGAGCACCACATCAGGTTGGAAAGGCTATCGCAAAGGGAATCAACAACGGAGATATAAAGTTCTTTGACAAGCATTTGTCAATGTTCCCGAGTGACTTGGTCTATGTAAGTGCTACATTCTTATATTTTGGGTGTCAGGTACTTAATTGGACTTGGCGGGAGAAGTAAACATAGCAAGAGTTGCATATATTGGCAGCGCAATGGAGACGCCAGGTTTTGTGGAGGATTTTCTTTTTGGCTGGAAATATTTCGACGTGTTTACTCCTACAATTTGTCCTCAAAGGTCCAATTATTTCCCCCTCTGAATATTCTGTGGACCGACTGTCCAGGTATTGAATCACCTGAGACATTCAAATGCCTCGGAACATTGGGGATCTTGACCCTTACCGCAAGAAGCACAAATTTGGAAGGCATACTAATCGTTATGAAAAGGGATTTTATACCAAGGATAAGCCAAACAACAAGCTGGATGTTGTTGTTGTTGAAGCGTCAGCAATTCTCGAGGATGGTGGCATTGTACCAGGCGCCTCTGTCGGTGCATCTCCAGAACTTATTCAAATGGCGGACAAGGTCAGTTCACCTTTGGATTCTCTTTCCGTCCTGTTTGGTGTGCTAACAAATTTCAAGATCATCATCGAGGTAAACACCGCGATTCCATCCATGGAAGGACTTCACGATATCACCATGTCTCAAATCCCACCACACCGAAAACCGTACTTAATCATGGCTCCAGAAGATCGCATCGGCACAACTGCCATACCTATTGATACAGAAAAGGTTGTTGCAATCATCGAGTCGGACTATCAAGATCAGACATTACCCAACAGTCCAGCCGACGCATCGTCAGCAGCAATTGCAAGACACTTGATCGAATTTCTTGAGCATGAAGTTGCGCAGGGCCGTCTCCCACCCAATCTTCTCCCTCTTCAATCCGGAATTGGAAACATTGCAAATGCAGTTATTGGTGGACTCGCTGAATCCAAATTTGAGAATCTGAAAGTATGGACGGAGGTGTTGCAAGATACTTTCCTTGACTTGTTCGACAGCGGGAAATTGGATTTCGCAACAGCAACTTCTATCCGCTTCTCGCCTGATGGCTTCAAGCGCTTCTACGACAACTGGGACCAGTATCACAACAAGCTCCTCTTGCGATCCCAGCAAGTCTCGAATTCCCCCGAAATCATTCGACGACTAGGTGTTATTGGCATGAACACCCCCGTCGAGGTTGACATCTACGCCCACGCAAACAGCACTTGCGTTATGGGATCTCGCATGCTGAACGGACTTGGTGGATCAGCAGACTTCTTGCGCTCAGCCAAGTATAGTATCATGCACACGCCTTCAACGCGACCTTCAAAGACCGATCCTCACGGATTGAGTTGTATCGTGCCTATGTGCACACATGTGGATCAGACGGAGCACGATCTTGACGTGGTCGTCACAGAGCAAGGACTTGCTGATGTACGAGGATTGAGTCCGAAGGAGCGGGCCAAGGTCATTATTGAGAAATGTGCTCATCCTGACTACAAACCCATCTTGGAGGACTACTTCAAGAAGGCAGAGTTTGAATGTTTGCGAAGAGGATGGGGACATGAGCCTCATCTTTTGTGGAATAGCTTTGATATGCACAAGGCTCTAGACCAGGAAGGTAGTATGAAGAAACTCAAGACTTGGGGTTGAGATACAGCGACGTTCGATTTGTGCATAGCTAGCGATGGGACGGGTAGTGTATAAATCGTGCTTGGGTGGAGCAGGGAAATTTATATAGTTATTCAAGACTATAACTGTTATAGGATATCAAATGTTCAATGCCCTTTTACACCTTCCATTCCTCGTCTATCTCCTACTGGGGGCACTTTTCCTGTGCAGATGTACCTGACACCTAGGAATATCGCCAAACCTTCTTACGACATCGGGCTGCTCCAAAATAAATTGGCTTAACAACTTATCTACTGACTCTTGCTTAGAAAGTTCAAGATAAGATAGCGTCTCCGTCTATCCAAGCCGTATTTCCACATGGAAATCCAAGTCAAACCCTCTTGACGAATTCCAACTACAGTAGGCTTAGGTTGCCGTCTCGGTCTCCTTACTAGGTACCCCTAGATATGACTCGCTAGCAAGCTTTCCCCTCCTGAATGTTACTCTGACGAGGAATGGAGAACAGCTCGCCCGGCGCCGGCACAAACGAGTCCAAATGAATATAGGATCGTGTAAGTAAATGCTTGAACCCCCTTTCTGTCTGATGTACTCTACTCGTATCTCGAGCTCGTGACCAGCTAAGAAACACAAGCAAAGCTCGGCGGGGTTGCTGACCACCAAAGACAGTGACCGGTTGGTCCCTGGCAGCTGGGTGGTGATGTGTTCGGCGCGTTGATTGGGTCCCGAGGTACCTGCATCTTTTGCGGGCTGCCGGGGCCTCAGGGGCCTGGCTAGCTGGCTAGCAAACGGCTAAAGCGTGCCCGCCTCGCCCGCCTCAGAGCAGAAGCGACCGTGGACCACCACGCTGTTTGGCTGTGTGTGGGCTTTGGGTTTGCTTGGGCTTGGGCTTCTCCCAGGGATGATGTCGCGACCACCTCACCTCACCTCCCCTCACCCTGCCTAACCTCTCGTCAATCCCTCGCAGTCCCACATCACTCCATCACTTACTGTACTCCAGACCAGACCAGACCAGACCAGACCAGACCAGACCAGAATCCGAATTACACCTCGACCACATCGGATAGACAAGACGACCGGCCATGGTGCGAAACCTTACTCCCAGAGATGCTCCCAGTTCCTCCTGACCGCTACCCGCCAGCCTCCCACTCGACTCGACTAATATTCGCCAGCGTTTGCGCTTCACGCTGTTTTGTCTTGCTTTTCGCGGCAGAAGAGTTGAAACAGTACCTGCCCCGACTCGCAAGCACGACTACAATCAACATTAGGGCCATTTGAAAGCGAAGGCATCGTGATGGACCGGCCATCTGGACCGTTGGGCGCAGCGACACAGTCAACAGGCAGGCCGATGGTAGATAATGGAGTCCCCCGGCCCGCCGTCCCTATTACCTTGAGCAACACCGTTCGAAGAATTCCGAATAATACCGTACGACATGAGGCATCAAGCTCCTCTCTCTCCTCGCAGATCCCGATATCTGCGGGGCAGGTGGTGGCACTCGCCCAAGAGGCAATGAAGAATGCCATCGAGGAGAACCGTACGAAGGCTGCAGAGGCCAGTGGCGTCAGTAATGAATTGAAGCCAGGGGTTACAATCGATTTGAGTCACAAGCAGATCCAGAGATTCCCTGAGGAGGTTGTTGATATTATCAAGAACGAGCTCGAACGGTATGGTCTATCTTGTCCAACGTAACTCATCCATGCCACCCGCTGACGTCTGTATGTGTTAGACTTGCATTGTCGCACAATATGATCTCCACGTTTCCCTCGAGGTTTTCGGAATGTACCTCACTTCGATACTTGAATGTTCGCAACAATGTCATCCGAGAATTCCCACAATCTGTAGGTTCGCGTGAGGGATAGCATGAGCAGGACTAACAAGAGATCAGATATGCCAATTGACTTCTCTTGAGATTCTTGATCTTGGCCGCAATAAACTCAAGATCCTGCCACCCGAATTAGCAAAGTTGACTTCGTTGAAAGTCCTGTCTGTTCAAAAGAATCGAATCGAGGCCTTGCCCCTCTGCCTTGCGGAGATGGCATCACTTCAAGTTCTCAAACTTGATGGAAATCCCGTGCGTTTTCCACCTAAGGAAGTGTTGCAACCACAAGCTACAACACCTCCAAATGGCGGTTTCCAGGAAAGTGAAATGGATGACATTGCCGTCACATCACAAATCAAGAGATTTCTGAGGCAGAAGGCTATATCGGACCGGTCGGAGACAGAATCTGGTGGGGAGGAATCCAGTGAAGGAACAGAGACCCCTCGGCCGATGAAGCGTGTTATGAGTGGTAGATTTCCTATCAAGGTCAACGGAACGGACGTACCTGATCTGCGGTCGCCAGCCTTACCGCGACCACCACCCATCCCATCTCGTTCACACTATAGAGGACTGTCGCAACAGAATACGGCGCTTCGCAGACCAGGCGTGATGCCTCTTACTATTGGGAATGCCAATGAGCGACTTCGAAGTAACAGTGAAAGCTTATTGCAAGCAACCAGAGACCGTTCGTCAGACCGCTCAAGAAGGATGGGTATAGTTTCCAAGAAAGCGGCTGAACTGGATACTGTCGACGAGACGAAAACGAATCGCTACAGCCATTATAGAGGCCTCAGTCATGGATCTGCAATGCAGGGACCTAATGGCACGAATGGAGCTGCCAATTCCAGGAGTCCAGCAAGTCCTGCAGACTCTTCGATTCAGCGGGCAACGTATGTTCGACGCCTCTCTAGCCTGCCAGAGCGCAAGCGAGAGTCGCTTTCACCTGATCCTGTTGTCGAAGCCGCGAAAGGGATTTTGTATGCACTTTTCCAAGTACATCCGCTAATTCAAAGTCTTCTTGGTGTTACCCGGGACGGCACAAACAAGCGCACAAGTTTGGAAAGAGTTTTTTACAATGCAACAACACACGTGGAAGAATTGGACCGGCACATTCAGGATTACATCACCTATTCCGAAGAAGACGAAGACGCACCTCCACGATCGAATGAAAATGTACACCGGGCATGCGTGACTTGTGTAAGTGCTTACATGCACGTTTGCAGTCTCCTTCAAAGAAACGTGGAAACGTTGCTTGAGAACGGAGATCCTCGTTATATTCGCACACTTCTCCTGCTTGTTTATGGGAGTACTGCAGAGATTCGAAACGCGGGCGTTGATTTTCTGAAGAGCCAGTCCCAGCTCTCAAGAGTAACGGAAGTGGAAGAAGGTACAGAGACAATGAGATTCCAGCCACGAGATAAATCGGTTACTCCAACACGGGCACGGCCAGGGACAAGCTCACGTATAAGAAGTGCAACTGTTGTTCAACACTCGAACCTCCGAGTTGCCACGAATGGTCCTCCGCCTCCATTCCTTAATGGGACTGGAAGATCTGCCACCATGACTAGTGCCACGCCTCGCTCTGGAGAGTCATTTGCTTCGTCAACGACGTCCAGCAGCAGAATTGGTGGCGACTTCACTGAAGAGGACAGGATATTCGAGAAAATATTCCTGCGGCTGCAGGATGCCTCAGAGATGACCATCAGAGCATTACCCCACGTCAATGGTCATTTTGTGATGGCAATGGAGGCTGGTGTTCAACAAAACAAAGCAGACCAGCCAAGACAGTTCTGGCAAGCATTGATCCTGAAATGCAATACTGCTCTGCAGACTGCCGAGGCTCTCAAATCCCGACTATCTCTCATCAGACTCAAGGATCCGGGAATTCGTACTCAGAATACGTTCTGGGAGCTGTGCAATACGTTTATCCAGGTAAGAAAATCTTCTGAATTGGGTGTACCTGATAGAAAGCTGACTGTTTGTAGACGTACACAGACCTCGTCATGAAAGTGAAGGAGGCCAAAAGTCTCTCAGCCGCATTACCTACAGATGTCATCATTCTTCTTCGGCCACTTCAAAAGGCAATCAAGGAAACCAGTCAGCTTATTCAGACATCACCCTGGGCGTTCTTAGCCACGCCCCAAGTCAACGGCATGTCCAATGGCAATTACTCTACCCAATCGCCAGCGTCTCAAGTACCCCTGCCAATGACCCCTCAAAGTGCAGCACTTGGCCCTGCTGTACAAGCGACGGTGCCATCGACACCCCAAAGCGCTTCGTACAATGGTATATTCAACGGCAACGTTTTCGATCGTGCCGACACTTTACTGTCTATGAACGGAAGCTCCGTCTCATCATCGCGAACAGGTACAATGACCTCAGCGTTCGGCTCCAACGATGGGACCATGACACCTGCGTCGATACTCAGCCCTATGAACTCATTTGGATCAAGGTTTAATGGTAATAACAAAGTAGCGTTCTAATCAACACGTCATGTATCCTTTTTTTTCTTTCTATCCTGCTGCTTGAATCTTTTACTACCCACCATCATGTTTGCTTCATCTGATTTTTCCTGTCTGTATGTACCATACTTCACTGTCATTAGCGATAATCAAACGAGCGATGTTATCAATGCTTGTAAGGGAACGAAATCGGAGTTTTGGGGTGTGGATCACCATGGCATTGCATTGGCGTTATCTTCTTAGGGACGATCGAATTCGGATATGGATCGAAGCGAAGCGAAGAGGAGGAAGGGGCCAAGAGGAAGAGGGATAGAGATGATGATCAATCGAACGGATACTTGTAAACTGCTATAGTTGAGCTGTCTGCGAGCAAGATTGAGAAGGAGAAAGCAAGCGACGGCGACAGGTTCGCCATTGGGCTGCCGAGCTGGAAAAAGTACCTACCTATGTATGATGTTATGATACGATATCAAAAGTGCAGGAGATAAACAAGTACGAATATTGTATGAGTAGATGTGGAAATGAGTTCGGTCTATTGAACTGCAAGTGATATTACCTTTCCTTTCGTGCCTCAATGGAGAATTTGCCTTTCGGACTTGAAAAGTTAGTTGTACATCTATCAATTCTTTTCTGATTGTGCTGCTGAAGGCCAGCAAGCCAGGTCAACAGGTACGCGTTGGATGTCTGAGAGCCCAGACAGTCAAATCGGCACCCTTCTTGCACGTTGTGGACTCCCCTCTTGATTCTCAAGGGGGGTAGGGGGGTAGTTATCTTCAGAGCAATGGGCGGGAGCTGTCGAAAACAACAATAGCCACGAAGTCCTCACATCAAGTACTGCGAGACAGTTTTAAATTTAATCGCTGACTATTTGTTTGTTATTCATTCTTTCTCAGCTGAATAAATACCTTGCATAGCATAGCATATCAAAGCTCCTCCCACTCGTCGCCGATGAAAGAGCTTCACCACCGGAAATCTAATTGTCCTGGGACACCAGAGCGGAAGGTAAAATACATAGAGACCACCTCGCATCTAAAATAAGTAGAAAGTCCCGCCCGCTATTACAAATGAAAATCAAGACGAATGCTCCATTCCATTGCAGACCTAAAGGCCCTGCAAGCAATCAATATCGAGGGATGAATTGGGAAATAAACTCCACGCGCGTGCCATTTTCAAAAAACACCAATCCATCAATATCCATGCAAGTTTTTGGAACCCAAACACACCGAGCCAAATGATGAATTGCCGTGCAGAAAAAAGCAGAGTGTTGTATTACAAGTAGGGCATGTTCCCGCGCTCAATACTGTTCGCACGGTGTATGGGTATCAGAAAGGGGAAATTATGAGACCAGTAGCAAATTGAGGAAGTTGAAAAAAGAAATTCCCAGTCAAAAGCTGTGGGGTATCCGTTTACCGATACTCCGTTTCACCACCCATTCTCATATTCACAGTTCGACGCTCGTTCTCTCACTCTCTCCTTGGCTAGGGCCATATTGCAAGTATTCCATCCCTGATTGTCTCCTATCAATGATGTTTGAAAGGGCGGCACCTAAAACTTCCATGAAGTATGTTGGTGGGTTGATTTGCTGCTTTCACCGTCCTCGGCTTGGCTTCTCTCAAATAAATATCTGTCGCAGGTCTCTTTCGCTCTTGAACAAGATTGAGTAAGCTGCTTTCAAGGCACGCTCTTGGCTCGGTCAGAATTGGCAGCTTGCTCCTCCTCTGCATCGGGATCAACAAGGTAGGCTAACGGTGCCCAGACCCTCCAATGCAAGATTCCGATGTGTGCCATCCGGGTGGCCATCTCAGCAATGTCTTCTTTAAAGCCATTGCTTGGTGCGGCTGCACTGGTGGGAATGACTCTTGGGGCTGTAGCAGCCTCGAAAATTTGGAGACTTGAAAGAGGCGTATAGGTTTCAACAAGCTTCTGCAAATCGGTGTGAAGGCTTCTCAGAACCTTTTCTTCCGCATCCTGATACAGCTTGGACCGAGGATTGGAGACGTGGAAAGCTAGACGAGTTTCGAACTGTGGAAGGCGAATAAGGGATGTAGAGGTGTGGCGTAGAATCTGAAGGGCGAGATCAGGCGAGAGGGCTTCCCACTTATTAGATGATGTCGATGAGGCCAGAATCGCGAGAAGAGAACTTCGGAGTTGGGATGTTGACGCAGAATCTGATGTTACAGGCGTAAGATAAAGTGGGGTAGGTGGAAGGGTGTCAGGAGTGGAAGCTGTCGACGAGGGTGATGACCGTGGACTGCAGGCAGATGAGCCGGTACGACTTCCATCGATATCTGGGACCCACGACTGCCTTCCGAGAGGATGACGAAGGGAGTGACAGTGGTCTTGACGACTGGATCGAGACATATCGAAGTGATGGAGAGATGGAATTGTGGGCTGCGAGTACGTTAGATCGTCACCTGGAGAGTCGGCTCGATCACATGGTGTTGATACAGATGTCGTTGGCGTATCGTCACGATATGACCTGTTTTGAGCCTCCAGATTGCGGTAAAGTTGCAAACAGATCTCGAGGTTGACCATATCAAGCATATCCGTGCGTAACTTGATCAACCGCTCCTCGTCAAACAGAAATGTGTGTGGAAACAGCTCGGCTTTGGACGGCAGTGTGAGATTAACCATTGCCTTCATGAAATCCCAGGTCTGTGAATTCATCGAAGTGCTGCTCGATACTGCTTCTGGCAAGCTGCTCGCTCGCCGAAACCATGAATGGGCACCACCAATATCAACTCTACCCAAAGCTATTTTTTTCATGAAGAATTTCTGCTCGAAGTGAACCGTATCATCGATCAAAAGGGGTCTGAGACACCGGATCTGATGGTTCGCCACATCCTGAAGAAATCAATTAAGAGATACTAAACCCAGGGGAAGTTTCTTACCAGTTTCATAGCCTCTAGTACACCGAGTAAGTTCTTCATGCCGGCTACCAACAGATTAACATCGCCCGTTTGGTTTCCCTGACTAAGTTGGGTGACCATGTCATCAACCCAGTTGTCCCTCATAGGAGCACAGTGGCATTTGAGCAATTGAGATAGCCACAACGCAAGCTTGACCAAATCAGCGACCCCCATTCGGAATTGCTGCATGAGTAGCTCAACATTGAAAGTCTCTTCTACAGAAGCTTTGTCTCGCTGCGGCACCAGAGTCTCCAAGATTCCTCGAATGGCATTCAAGGTTGCAGGTAAACACCATTCTGAGTCTCCGAGTTCTCTTTCGAAGCGCTCTTGATTTGTGAGGAAGGCTTGCAGTTGCACTCGCATCGTATCCCAAAAGTAGTTGGCCTTTTCCGTCTTCCTCCTTCCCTTGTCACCATCCAGATTCGGGCGGAAGTGGAGTTCAGGATCGAAGTTGATATCGTGACGCAGTTTTGGGTTGTTTACGATCTTGGTCACGTCTAACTCACTCAATGTCGCCTTCGTGACTGGCGGTTCTATCGAGATCGGCTGGGGGCGTGTTACAACTCTTGTCTGCCTCTCCATTGCTTTCGAGGCGATTTTCGTGGAACCTGATCTTGAGTTTCTGTCTGCTTGGCTAGGAGCATAGTTTTGGTCGCTCAGTCTTGAGTTCTTCTCTGCTGGACTCGGCTCGTAACTGGGCTGATTCCTCGGCGATGGGCTGCCTCCCGACTTGATCCCTTGTGTAATGTCATAGCTCTCGTCAACGACATGTATCTCGAGGGCGCCTTGGGACCTCGAATCCTGCGGTTGCTGAGAGGTCATCGATCCATCGTTGTTGGATGAAGCACTTGGATGGTCGTTCGCCGCTGCGATGCTGTTCGTCCTGCCCCTCTTGTGTGCATCTGATGCCATTATTATTATATCCTCCCAGTCCAGCTGCGGAACCTTTCCCTGTGTCAAATTTTGTGTCGAGGGATATGTGTGGGTACGTTCTAGGATCGTATCCAAAAGCGGATCTTGCTCGAGTTCGTAAACTCCGCGAAATGAGTGAATCTGTAGGCCATTGATATCAGTACACATTTTCCAGCAAACAAGAGAAGCCTAGGCTGTGAGAGGATTCAATGGTCCTCGTGGGGTTCAAGATGCGGCTAGCCACCGGCCGTACCACAGCATCCTTCGAGCTACGAGTAGATATGTCTCGAGGCAGTACGGATAGTTGCCAGTGGTGAGAGCAAGCTGGATTGTTTGTGTTTCTGCAAGTCGGCAGCCGACGTACCTATTGTGTCTCGCGATAGATACCCTATCCAAAACCCGATAATTGTCTACGTTCTACAACCAATTGACTGCAGCGAGTACAGAAAAGAGTGGAAGGGCGAGTTGTTTCGTCGCCTACGATGTCGGGTGCAATCAATGAATGGCCAGGAAGGAAAGTGACAAAGGGCCGCCCAAAGAGGTGACTCGGTGAGAGTGGCGGACAATGGAAGTTGACGAAAATAGAAGTGAACGAAGAGAAGAAAGAGAAGAGGAAAATGTATGGATTGGAAATGGCCGGCTGGTATGTACAAAGGAGGGCTGGCTGGACGAGTTGAGCGAGTAAGAGCGAATGTTCTGACCGGAACGGGGAGAGTGAGACAGGGAGGAATGGAGCGGAAGGAACAAGGGGGGGGAGGTGAGGGCGAAGGCGAAGACGAAGGCGAGTGCGCGAGCAAGCCTTGACCACCCAATGTGCCGGCTCGTAAGGTATGGATGGATCTGATATGACCAGTATGATCCCTCTAGACCGCAAGATTGAGCAACATGCGACGTGGAAGGTCGGGTCGGGAGCTGGGACTGTCGGTGCTGCTGGCTGTTCTCGTTCTCGTCTGACTCGGGCTGGCTATTGAGCGGAAAAGTACAGAGGAAGAACAGTCGTAAATAGATAGATAGATAGATAGATAGATAGATAAATGAATAAATATAGTGAAGCAAGGTACAAACAAGTAAGGTATTGGTGGGCATCAAACTGTAATAAAGGCTGCCACAAATACACAGGCAAGGCAGTAAACAAAGGATAAGGATGTAAGATGTCAGTCAGGTATGTAAGGGGGGAATGCGAGATCTAATGAAGGTGCCGACGCAGATACTGGCAGGGCGAGAATAAAATGACCGAAATCTTTTTTGGTAGCCATTGCGGCGGGATGGCGCGGATAAGTAAGTTAGAGGAGAGCACTCGTATGGTACTGTAAATTACCTAGATAATACTAATACTAATACTAATACTAATACTAATACTAATTTACTTTTCCAAGATAAATCTACTGTAGCCACCGCCATCGTTCTTTCGCCCTCGCCGCCCCAGGCTGCAGTACAGTAGAAATGGAAAGGCAATACAGGTAGGTTTACGTGGTCTTGCCTCTGGTGCCATCCAGACGCAGTCATCGTGGGCCATTCAGTTCTTTTCGCCTCCCCTACCTTTTGGACTGGTTTTGTAAGCAGGGCAAGCAGGTCAGCAATGCAAAAGTCAACAAAGCCGTCGCCAGTCAGGGCATCGGTCACGGATTCTTCCAAAAGAAATATCTGCCCACCACCGCCTGCCGCCCGCTATGCTACAATATGCAATGCAATGCAATGCAGGTGCCGAGACAGAGATGGGAAGGGTAGTTATTCCATCTCCCCTTCTCGCGCAAGCACAACAACATAAGACAAGGCGAAGAAGTCCTGTCCACGCAGCTCGGCTTTCTTTTTCTTCTTTTCTTTTCTATCTCCATCCCCCCCTGGAGCCCTTCGCTTTCACAACAATTCGAATGCAGCACTCGCTCGCTCCTTGCTGTGCACAAGACCGTTCGCTTCACCGCATCCCCCCCATTTCGCAACGCTATCCACTCGACGCACATACCATACCTGGGCTCGCTGGAGTGCATGAGCTTCATTCTCTCCATTTATGCCGTCGGAAAGGCCGGCAGCACGAAGCCTACCATCATGATCCTGACTGACTGGCCGACCGACCACGGAGACCTGTGCAGCGCTGTGCAGTGCAGTGCAGTGCAGTGCAGTGCATCAAGGGCCTCTGCAACAGTATCATTGAGGCCTGAGTTGCTATGACAGGAAGAGTCAGTCACAAGCAACTTGCGACGGCTCTCCGCGAGTAACGGCAACAAGGCAAAGTACATCCCTGATGCTTGAGCTTTAAAGCACTTGTAGCGAGTCGACTGGTGCACCACACACCACACGACGTCGCCGACGGGTGGCTACGCCAAGTTGACGGGAGTGTCCATCCCAGCTGTGAAGACCGAACTCCAGACCTCCAAAAGCCAGGCGAATTAACGAAGTAAGAAGCATGGGAAAGCCCCATCGCTACCGAGCAAGTGACACAGCTGCATACGTATTCCATTCCCCCTACCTTATCCTTGCACTCTAAATTACACTTCCGGCTGAAATGTTTGTAGGCGTCCAGGCCCAAGCTGAAGTGGCGAGCTGTGCCTATCAACGGTGCAGCCTCATATTTCTCGCCTTGGCTAAACATATAAATTATATCCTCGTCTTCCGCAGTCATTCCACGCTTTTCGTGGGCTTCAAGTCATTCATTCTCACGCCTCACAGCAGCGATCTTCCACGTTGATCGAACCAGTCTCCGAGACAGAAGACTGTGCTGCTTTGGCTTACATCTGCAGAACAGAAAATGCATCTTCACGCTGATTTCTGCACGATCCCTTGCGGATGCAGCTTCACGAGACTCGACCACACCTTCCGGACACCAGCACCAGGCTGGCCGGGCGTACTTCCAAAGTGTTTTCTGTTTGAGATTATTACACCCGCTCCGTCAGGATAAGCTCGGCGACTTTTAACTTTGGGGGTCAGATACCATACAGTATCGTGTTGCTCAGATCCGTGGGGTTCAAGCGCCTCGTGACGCCATGAGAAACCTCAATTTACCATCCATCCCGTCTATCGAATACAATGGCTGCAAGGTAACTTCGTACACCGTTTTGACGTTTTGGCAGGTCAAACAAACCTCGATTGCACCCGACAAAGCTGAGTACTTCTGTCCTCCCTCTTCTCACTTCTGGAACTATACTCACATCCCACGATTGCGAATTACTGGTTGGATTCTCCAAGAGTCCTATCCTACTAAATGACCGGCCTCATCTGAGGCGCTTGTCGCCCGGTTTATTACTGCCCCCAAGGATCTTAAGAACCTCTGTATCGGGCATGGAACCAAAATCGGATACTAGTCCCAGATGGCGCTGCCAAATCCTGAAGCTATTGGCTCTTGAAATGCATACAAAATTGCGCCTGGCTTTCTTCGGAAAATTGGCAGCTCAAGCCTTTGATTACTCTGTTTGTGAGCATCATGTAAGACAAGTTACAAAGCTGGTCCCAACACATGTCGTCTCACCCACGGGAAAGTGAGGCTGACGAGATTCGCTGATACCGTTAAGCTTCGGGATAGCCACGTGATACAACGTGGTTATCTGCATTTGGACAAGATAACCCTGGCAGCATTATCTCAGTAAATCAGCTTACTTCTCTGCTCGTAACTTATAAACGTACAGATATCTTTCTATTAGTTTATTTACTTTTACTTATTATATAGGCTATTTCTATTAGGTTACTTATTAGTTAGCGCTAAGCTAGGACTTAATTAAGAAAGAGGTTTATATATCTATAGTTATAAGCTATAGAGCGTTTAAAGGAAAATAGTACTAGTTTATATAGTCGCGCAGCTAATTTAACTCTTAATTTTTAGTTACTTCGCGATATTTTAATAAATACTAATTAGAATACTTTCGTAATTATTACTAGACTTATATATTATATTTCTTTATTATATAAAACTATTTATATTATATTCTACTTATTCCTTTAGGAAGAAGTATACTTACTAAGGCTAAGGTATTACTAGTGTTTACGCGGCTATAATAAAACTTAGTTAGAAAGACTCTTATTATCTAGTAATAATATAATATATTACTAAGTATATTACTTCCTAAGGATAAAATAGATATAAAGAACTTCTAAGTACTTGATTTTTACTAATTAGTATTAAGTTAGTAGAAGTATATATAAGTAAGTGATATAAAATATATATTTCGCTTATTTTTAACCGGAAAGCTCTTTATTATTTAATAATCTAACTTACTTTATAGAAGTAAAATACTATATTATTATTAGATAAGTAATTAAAACAACTAGAACTTAGTTTAAAGAGAATTACTTATAGTTTTATTAAGAAATTTAATATTAAGTAATATACTACTTATTTACTTTCCTCCTCTTCCTTCTCTTCCTCTAACTTATATCTCTCTTAATTAGCTTACTTACTTTTATTTACTTAGAGTTAAGAATAAATACTCTTAAATAAATCTCGTCTCCTTTATTCTCTCTTTAGTTATCTCTTCTAATTAGTCTACTTACTTCTATTTACTTACTACTACCTTAAAGGCTATATAGAATCTATTTATTATACTTTTAAAACTTAGTATTTAATTAGTTAGATAATCTTTATAATTATTTCTTCTATTATCTCTTTAATAAGCTAAGTTATTCCTTAGTTCTTTTAATTATATACTTATTTTAATATATTTCTTCTAATAATTTAGGAGTTAGTATTATAATATTATCTAGTGCTTATTATTCTATAAGAGATTCTTAATTTAACTACTAAGACTAAAGAAGGACTTAGATAATAGGACTATTAAGTAATAATAGAATAGTAGGATAAGCTAGTAATAAAGTAGAAAGGTAGTTCTAGTAGGCTTTTAGTATCTAGTCTATTCTACTTAAGTTATAATAAACACTTAACTTAATAGACTATTTATATAGCGATAGCTTTATTAGTAGTGTAAATAGTAGTACTATATAAGTAGGTGTTTATAGTAGTACTTAGAGTAGCTGAGATAATAGTATTATATATATAGGTATCTGTAGTACTACTAGAGGTACTAGCGTTAGCTCTCTAGGAGGTAGCTAGGGAGTTTTAGTAGGTATACTTTAGGGACCTAGTAACTTAGGAGTCTTTTATATACCCTAAGCTCCTAGCTTAGAGGCCTTCTTTATAGTAAGTCGCTTCTTAATAGTAATATAAAGAGTTAATAGCTTATTAAGTAGATTTACCTTCTATAGTATATTATATTCCTAATCGCTAAGTAATAAGACTTAGTATTCCTAGTTCTTTTATAATAAGTTTATTAGTTTATATAGGATTAGGCTTATAGCTATTATATACTAATACTAGTATAATCCTTATTAGGTTTAGTATAAATATATCTACTAAGAAATAAAATCAGCTATTTAGGAAAGATAAATTAAACGCTATTATATAATTACTAGCTTATTCTATTAGTACTTAGTATATAAACTAAGTATAGGAGTTTTTCTTAAGTAAAGTTAATAATAAGTGACTTTCTAGCAGCGGATCTAATAAATAAGGAGCTAGGCTTAGATTATAACTAATATAGTATATCTTTAGTATAGGTTTATTTCTTTATTCTTTTAAGAGTAAGTTCTCTCTTAGTTAACTTAATAGTACTTTCTAGTGATATAATATATTATATACTTTATAATATATTAGTACTAAGTTATCTTACTAGTTTATCTTTAATTTTATCTAAAGTTTAACTATTTATTTATATTCGGAACTTATCTTATTCTCACTTACTTTATTAGTAGGTCCCTATTCTATTATATTACTTATAGTACTTATAGTACTATAGATAGACTTTATATTACTTAGGTATATATTATCTAGTACTTTATTAACTATTATACTATTATATAGTCATGACTAAGTATAAATCGCTATATAATACCTAAGTAATATATAACGTAGCTTATAATATACTAGTTTCTTACTATTACTACTAGGGGTTAATATAGAGGTTATAAGTACTTATTTAAGTGGATATCGACTTTTACTATCTATAACTTAGTATAGTATAAAGATATATATCTTACTAGTATAACTATTCTCTTAACCGCCTTATCCTATATACTACTATAGCTTATTTAAGCCGGAGTTAATAAGTAGTTTTTATAATACTACTTATTAAATATCTAAGATATTTATTCTAGTTCCTATTAAAGTTATAGCTATTATAATTTAATATATAGATCTCTTCTTTTAAAAAGACTTATAGTAAGATATCTTATTAGATAAAGATACTTATAAATAGAACGTTTAAACTACTTAAGTAATACTTAAAGTAGAAGAGTTACTAATATATCGTAATAATAGCTATATTTTAGTCTTAAGCGTAATATAATATTAAAGCTAGCGCGT